CTGTTGATGCCATTGGAAATAGAAACGTTGATTTGCCAACTGCAATTCAAGAATTGAAATTTTATGTTAACGTTAGGAAAGGTAAACTTTGCATACATGAATACATAGTTCAGCTCAATAATGAATTGAAATTTTATGTTAACTTTACGAAAGGTAAACTTGGCATACATGAATACAGAGTTCAGCTCAATATTGAATTGAAATTTTATGTTAACGTTACGAAAGGTAAACTTTGCATACTGTGAATACAGAGTTCAGGTCAATAATGAATTGAAATTTTATGTTAACTTTACGAAAGGTAAACTTTGCATACTGTGAATACAGAGTTCAGGTCAATATTGAATTGAAATTTTATGTTAACGTTGCGAAAGGTAAACTTTGCATACATGAATACATAGTTCAGCTCAATAATGAATTGAAATTTTATGTTAACGTTACGAAAGGTAAACTTTGCATACTGTGAATACAGAGTTCAGCTCAATAATGAATTGAAATTTTATGTTAACTTTACGAAAGGTAAACTTTGCATACATGAATACAGAGTTCAGCTCAATATTGAATTGAAATTTTATGTTAACTTTACGAAAGGCAAACTTTGCATACATGAATACAGAGTTCAGCTCAATATTGAATTGAAATTTTATGTTAACGTTACGAAAGGTAAACTTTGCATACATGAATACAGAGTTCAGCTCAATATTGAATTGAAATTTTAAGTTAACGTTACGAAAGGTAAACTTTGCATACATGAATACAGAGTTCAGCTCAATATTGAATTGAAATTTTATGTTAACTTTACGAAAGGTAAACTTGGCATACATGAATACAGAGTTCAGCTCAATATTGAATTGAAATTTTATGTTAACGTTACGAAAGGTAAACTTTGCATACTGTGAATACAGAGTTCAGGTCAATATTGAATTGAAATTTTATGTTAACTTTACGAAAGGTAAACTTTGCATACATGAATACGGAGTTCAGGTCAATATTGAATTGAAATTTTATGTTAACGTTACGAAAGGTAAACTTTGCATACATGAATACAGAGTTAAGCTCAATATTGAATTGAAATTTTATGTTAACTTCACGAAAGGTAAACTTTGCATACATGAATACAGAGTTCAGCTCAATATTGAATTGAAATTTTAAGTTAACGTTACGAAAGGTAAACTTTGCATACATGAATACAGAGTTAAGCTCAATATTTACGATACTTACATTCCTGTTTTGTTAAAAGACGTAGAGTAAGAAGAAACAGGCGTACTTGTTTCCAAAATTGTTTTCTTGCTGGGAACGAATGTTGTCAACTTCCACACATAATTTAATGGGAATCCATATTCACTCTGGATCAATACAAAATCGCCAACAGAATTAAAGAGGCAATAAATACGTTTGGGTAAAATAAAAGAAAACAGTACAACGTTTCCCTTACTCCAAATTAATATATCATTGCTTACCGATATAATATCCTTAGCAACTTTTACATCAAATGTTGTAAGTTCAAAAATACTCGGTTCAAACGGCAGAACAGTCAAGGTAAAAATTGATGTTGTAAGTGGACCTTAAAGAGAAAATTCAAAGCGTGACTTTTTTGCCGATTTAGCTAATTTACAAATTTACGTTTCTGAAGTTGATGAATTTTTTCAGTAAAAAAAAAAACACCACTGAAAGTATTTATTTAAAAACAAGAGCGCGAAAGCGACAACATCAATAATAATCTAAGGAGAACATTAAAACATTAAACTTACGAATGACATTTACGCTAACAATTTCGGTGATGAAGCTTTTCGTATTGGACAACAATATTCTTAAGATGAACGATCCAGGCCTAAAAACACGTAAGCAAGCGCAAGAATGACACAGAGACACAGCTACTAGGAAGCAAAACCATCCACTTTGTGAATGGAAGAAACTATTATGGAAATATGAGTCTCGTGGTAAAAGGGGAAAAAATTTACTAAAGGTAAATCTTAACAATTCAAAATCATTCGTGAACACAATATGACAAAAATATTCAGCATGAATAATATGCATACTTTCATCATTTTATGTATAGATTTTTCTAAGTATTATTTCATTAAATATATTATTTATCCGGTTAATGTAAATGAATTTTCATGATTTTTTTAGTAGCTGCTCGTGAAAATTAATTTAGATACAAATTTTAAGTAATCAGTAACTTTATGCATTATTCTACAAGATGAATTCGTCTTCTACCACCACAAATTAAAAAAATTCCTTACTTGGGAGGTTTATATTTGAAATGCACAAAGTCACTGCCAATTCCAGTGATATTGTAGTCATCGAACACGTATCTGAATAGAAACCAAAGGAGAATGAGAAGAGATCAGGAGGGTGAAAAAAGGAGTAGGAAGGGATAAAAGAGAAAGGGAATAAAAAAGTACCCCCATGACATCACATGTTGCTACAACATTATGGAGAATGTCACCGTTTGCTTAAAAAGATTAATTCTACTTACGTAAATTTTACATGATCCAAATACGCTCTCACCAGTACAGCCTTCGCTGCCAGAGTGTCACGAACACGAACTTTAACAATACCGTACTTATTTGCTTCCGGAGAGGTTGCTATCTTCTTGAGACGCAATACTAAAGAAAAAATTGCACTTCATCACTTTTTCAGGCTAACATTTCAATGAACAGCAAGTGTAATTCCTTATCATATTGTTAACTTGTGTTGAATTAGTTGTTGCATTTTTGTTTGCTTTATAATTAATCTTGTATTAAAAACAATTACTTACTCCGAACAGGACATGGTGCTGAATGTGGTTCATAGTACGCAAGCGTGTGGTTTCCTTTTATACATGACGCAAACTGTGGAATCATAACATACCTGAAAAAGATGAAACAAAGGTTTTATTTATAAATAGTAGTCATACGTACTGCTTCATCAGGAGTGCATAATGAATGACTGAAAAATAACGTCAACGAAACCATGTCAGTAGGGAATTTGTTTTGGAGGGAGGGGAGGGTGTTCACCACGTGGTATTTTTCATCTCATTCTAAATCCACCAATCATACGCCAACGTAGCGTAGCGTAGCCTAACATAGCCAACATTAAGAAAACCGTTAATTAATACGTACCCACGCGATCGCTGATAATTACTTCCTTCTGGACAATGGCTTGGAACTAAACTCGTCTGAGGCATTTGAATACAGCTACCTTGATCATCTGGTTCAAAGCGACGGTCACTATAAAAGATACATAATTTATCCAAGTTAAAAACAATATTGCACGAAGTTCACAAACTTCGATGATACACACAGTTTAACCGATAATTTTAATATACCATAACAAATAGATAAGCAGGGGGGGTGCACATTATTATCCTCAAACTACACTAACTTAGAGGAATGGTATTGCTAGAAAGGACTGAAATAACTTAAAAAACAGAGAACATTACTCACCATCGATAGTGTGCTCTTTCACAAGCACATTTACTATAGGAGATGCTCACAACCTTTTTAAGTGACTTTCCCGTAATGCAACGCGAGCTAGCGTTACGTAACTTAACCACGTGGGTTTCACATTTTCCTATTCCGAGATCACCGACAGTTAACGTGTGGAAATCTTTATCTGCGCATGGTAACCCACCTGCAATAGAAAAAACAACCATTAGCTACAGACAAGACCACTGCATATTTTTCATTAGGATCTCTATCTTTTATCCCACAACTGACCTAACGTCTTTGATGTGTTAACAGTGTAGACAGAATACTGGCTATTTACAAGAGTGATCACTAAGAAAACAGTTGCTCTGTCACCAGGTTCAGTGAGAATTTTCTTAATGTCAACTGGGCGACTTGCATTGGGTAACTGCACTTGATAGAAAGTCTTGAAATCTGTCGAATACCTGAACAATCGCAAAAATACTTCGATCAGCACTTTTTATCCTCTATATATTTTTTATCCTCTTTTTATCCTCTGTATATTGAAGTAAAATCTTCAACATTAAACATAACAATTACTTTACTCAAAACACAGCATCAAATGGCCAACTAACTTACTCTAAAAATTTTGCTCTATCAAAATGCGATGCCAAGACAATACCGCCATAGTCACCAAAACCAAAACGTCTTTTGCGATTTAAAACCTGCAAGTTCAAACATATTATGTAGTCAGTACTCGTTAAAAATCAAAAAGCACTGTCATCTGATAAAACTACACTCTTTTTGACATTTCAGTGTTGTTTCAAAATACGAAATTAGTTGAAATGTGAAGTTAAATACTTATGTAGAATAGTCTAGTATTTTCAACAGATGATTTGATGTTAAAATTCTTTATGTACTCCACAGACCAGCGTTGATCATATATACATATCAGTATACTATTTTCTGGAATCAGATGTTAACGGAAATAACTGTGTACATTTTACAACCTTCTGGAAAGTTTTGCCTCCATCTCTTGAAAGATATGTATCAGGTGTGATTTTTAAATTTGTTCCCAGAACACCTGAAGCAAAAACGATAAAAACAATGATTATCGCAACTGTTGCGTAATCAATCAGAAATTAAATGGTGTACCAGTGGCCATAAGAAGTCCTGGGGACGATTCTCTTGACAAGAGGGGCGTGGTCTTGGAATAACGGTAAATACTTCCATAGAGTAGGTTGATATGCAAGGAACAGGAAGGCTAAATGTATAAAAAAGTATAAAAAATAAGTATAAAAAATCATCCATGAGACAGACACATAAGTCAAAAGAGAAACCAGAAGAGCGATATCACCTACAACATATTAGAATATGTAAAATGATAGCTTAGTGACCTTTTTGTAATAATCAGAAAATATATATCCATTTAATAACGACGTTTAGATAAGTGCAATGCCCTTCCTAAAAAATCGTGCTTGCTTTAAGGCTATGAAAAACGGCAAGTGAGACTTAACGAGATAAGAAAAAATCAACAAACTTGGAAAAAACAACATACATAATAACATGGTCTGTTGTATTTGTTTCTGTCGGGACCTTTGATTCTCTGCCAAACACCGCCTTTATCGAAAGTCATTTTGCTGATCAAATATCGACCTCCAACTGGTCCAGCTGTCAACTGGGTGGCGAAATACACAAATTTGAGACCTTTCGCGCGTAAAATATCAACAAAACGATATCTCACAGCACGCCTAAAAACAAATCAAATGCAACGGAAACAATGTGAGAAACAAGCACAACTATTTTTAGGTTAAGCATTATTCCACAACATAATGTGTAATTATGAAGCGTTACCTTAGCCAATGCGAAGAAACTTCTGAATTTGGATTGTGATATAAAACTCTTGGTAAAGACAACGAGTAGTTTCCCCAGTCGCATCATACGAAATATAAAGATTTGTTTCATTCTTACGAAGATTACACACTAACATAACCTGACCATCCGAAACATCGTAAACGAACGCCTCCTGTGAACAATAGAAGAAAAAAAAACAATCATGGGGAAAATTGCTTCAATTTTACAGCTAAATTTCCCTCCCTTATATCAAATGAAGTAGAAATAGGCCCCCGAACAAACCTAGTTTTTTATGAAAGAAACTAATTCAAAAGTTTACTTGTTCTCAAGTATCGAAGTTATCATATTAAGGTCATTGGAAATCTTCGCTAATTTGTTTCCTTTAGAAATTTCCCAACATTTGCCTTAAATGTTCACGCTGTTTAATTTCAATTCTTTTCGTAGTTCCATAAGAACTGTGACGTAAAATACGGACAATACTTAATGAATAATAACGCAATATTTTATTGTAGTGTTCCAGTGATTTCTACTGCAAACATATACTACACACCTTTCGGACACGTTTGGGACTTCGAGTACGAAGAATATTAGAAGACATTTAGATTTGTATAATGTTATCTATACACAAGTTATCTATTTAAAATTCAAGTGTAAAATTCAACGTTTATTTCTGGGCATCCTTCAACGTAGCGTTCTTACCACTAAATATATATGAAACACAAAAAAAATGCGGCCGAATTCTTATTGATGAAATAGCAAAATAGAAGTAGAATTCTTTACGCGAAATTTTCCACGGAATGCTGCTCAAATATTAATTATACTTTTAAATATATTTAGATATTAGTCATTAGAATTCGTCATTCATTGGAGCAATGTATATTGAATACAGAATTTGATACAATAGTAGTAGGTTCCTTTATTGTAAAATAACGCACCTTTACTGGAGTTGGTGTTACAATATTGGCCTTAACGAATTTTCCTGTTCTCTTGTACTTTACATATAAATACAAGCCAGTCTTTGCCTGCAATTAAATATGCAGAAAATTTCATAACGGCAAAGCTTTCAATGGATGATTAAATCTCGAGATTAGATAACTCCTGATGAACACACTGCAATGGAGTAGATGTGGACTTAAATTACAGAATCATATCACTCCCAATGACGAAGATATTAAACTAAAGAATCAAGGACACGACTTTCAACCTGCGATCACTAATGATTGATGAAGACACTTGACTGGACTACAATATGACTAGCGATTATATAAAACACTATATAGACAATTCTTATGTTGACAAAAATATGTTCAAAATGTTCACAGCTTTTCGGAAGGACTGAAAAAAATAAATTTTAGTGTTTTTTTTTATAAAACCAACCTCGTTATGCTGCGTAACAAACATATAATCTCCCTTTACAAGAAAATCAGTAATCTCTCCATTTATTGGAGCCACATTTGTCAATATTTTAACAAGTGTACAGTTTGATGTTTCGCTTGTATTGCTGCAGTCAAGTTGATATCCTTGGAGACCATGTGCTAAAATAGTAATATATATGCTCAAAAATAGTTTTTAAATTAGCACTGTCCAAAACAAACTTTACGTATGCAAGTGCAGAATATATATGACATCATCATAAACAATATTTGATTTACACATGTGTCTTCATGCATCTCTGTTTAAGTAACTGAAGACGAAGTAGAATATATTAACAATAAAATGGGACCGCTTTATTTGAAAAGGCAATCAGATTAATGTAAGAAACCATTTGCAAAAAGACAGAAGTTTTACTACGACAATAATCTACGTGGAATCAGGCAGAATAAATCTATTTAAACGTACCGTTGGTCTTGGCTTCCAAAAATAGATCTGTTGATTTGTCGCCATATTTTTTAGAGCCCCTACGAACGACAAACAGTGTCTATGTCAAAGACTAACCACAAATGAAAACAATTGCCAACGTTACATATTTGAAGCTTGCATGCAAAAACTTGTCCATTTAGAGAACTAGATAAACACGATAAAATATTGTCTTTCTTGATATACTCTATTTATTCCACAGTCTTAATCGCTAACTAATTTTTGCGACAAAACTACAACGTGGAGCACAGAAAATATGTTCAATTGTAGGCTAGCAATAATCCTTTTTTATAACCCCTTTTTCTCTTCACTTCAGGGAAAAAGAAATCATTGCTATTGAAACTATTAAGTAGGAAACTTATCATAACGAATGAACGAATCATCAAAAGACAAGTTTACGCAATAAAGTCCTGGTGCCAAGTATCTCATAATTATTTAAACGAAAAGAGAGTTGTTGAAGAGTTATGTTAATGAAACTCACCAGTAAAATGCTTTGACGTCCACAAAAAGTTGCAAATGATTAAAACTTCTCGCTCCGTTCTTCGAAATGTACAACTTAAGAAACAAAGACAAATATATTATGATCATTTGCTGGCCTAACTAGGTTTTACACAAGTCAATTTAGCTACTTTTCCAAAATCTTCAAAATCAAAATAGCATATTATGGTTGTGATAAATTCACCTACGGTATTTTAAACATTTCCATAAAAAATCAAACGTGATTTCGCCAAGAAATAGTTACATCATCATAAACAATTTAGAATACACTAATCTTCCAATTAAAGGTTAGAAATGCCATAAAACCTACGTTGAATTAACTTTTAAACATTTTAAAAAGAAATTTTACAAGCAATACTAGAAGAACAATGCAATAAAAGCACACGCATAGGAAGCATAAAAAACGATGATTTTCAGCTGTTTTGATAGTTATCAAAACATTCATATTAGAACTCGTGGTTAGTCACGCTTCACTCTCTAAATAGGGAGTCTAATATTTTGATAAAGAGGAAGGAAGCACTTTATAAGTACTGCTTGTAGCTCTCTTGTTCATTTTCATTTTCGTTCATGACATTCGAAGTGGGGGCATGTTACGCAGGAAAATATAAACATATAAAAAATATAAATATTAATGAGAAGTTTAGTCTTCATAAATAGCTTAGTCAACATATGGCATTATCTACCACTATGATAATCTATGGAATGTTGCTCGTGACAAGCTAATTCCTTAAGATTTCAAGATTGAAGAAGAATGATCTTTGTATATTAGGCAAATATACTTTAACTTTACAGGTATAACAGACAAGAAATGCCATTTTGGCTGAAACGCAATACTCGAAACTATTCACAAAACCCTACAAAAGATGGTAGGGTACTACGTAATGGAAACGTTATGTAAGCATGAACGGAGTGTGCCTGACCATAAGCAAAATATACCTTATATATATCCTTTTCTTTGGGGCGTGTAACCTTTTCCGAAGCCAGAACCATCGAAGATTTCTCTGGATTAATATAGACATTTTCTGGTGCAAATTGTGGAGAGAATGGCGAAGAGTATTGTGATATGTCAATATTTCGACCTTCATCATTCGTATAAAATATGCGTTTATTCAACGTGTCGGCAAATACAATCTAAAGGAAACAACTTGTTTATTAAACGCATTTGAATCGTTTTGCAGTCTCAGTGACAAGCTGCAAGTATTAAATATTTACTACTATAGAGAAAAATACATTTGACATCCCGACCACAACAAATATTTTGACTCTGTTGCACACATTACATAGAGATTGAGAACGCTTTATTTTAGGCCAGGAAACAAATATTTGGAAAAAAAAGTCAGAAATCAAGCCATGGGTACTGTGGTCAAAAAATGAATGGTGTAAACAATACCCATTGCGCGCATTTGAAAGAATTTAGTAAAACGAGAGAACTGATGCCAAATTGGGTTAATCGCTCAGACAATTTAAGGCTTTAACAGTACGTATTTATAGCCTTTTCAAATACCATTACTTAGACTACCAAACAATTTGAAAGCAAACTGAGAAATCGCACGGTTTCACCTATAAATCAAAGCTAAATATTTATTGAGAAGTACAAGTTGTAAACAATGTACAGGGAGAAAATTGAATACTGACAAGACATACTTACGAATTTAGGTGCATTTGGAACGAAATAATACATGTTTACTGATGGTTCCTTCTTCAAAATTTTGCTGAATTTCGGTGTCAAATTGACCCAACTTATACCATAATCGTAAGAAACATAAATTACGGAAGTAATGCTCCTTGACGGATTTGGCCGACACAAAGCAAAGATCGCTCCCTTTTCACTGACCAAATTCGTGTCCGTCCATCTTATATAAAGTTCATCATGGCTACATAACGCCGCCTTGAAAAAACGTTATTTAAATTAGTGTTAGCTTGTTGCACTAGAATTGACTGAACTTTTCCTATTTGAACTTTCTATTCCAATGATTACATGCAAGCACACTTTTTCCAGATTTAAAACCTAAGTAGACATGCTTATTCATAATAATACACGCCAGTATTAACTGTACTCGAAAACAGTATGTCGTTTTAATTTAAAAACCAACCGGTCCAGTGATTTTTGGACGAGGTGGACGACTTGAACCATCAGTGTTTCTTCGTATGCGTTCGTGCATTCCTTGTCTTTCATCTATTGAGCGAGAAAATCTGCGATGGTCACTTTGAGATAAATAATAGCTGCCATCAAAAATATCCGGTTCTTCGCTAAACAACCGTTGAGGAGATGCGAGTCTGTTTGAAAATACGTCTTTAAACGTAATACAGCAAGCCAAAAATGTCCGCAACACCGTAATGGTATTGAGATACATATTCGAGTAAGAGAATACGAAGGTTTCTGGGATGAAACACAACAGTCCTCGTGGCAAGTGAAATCTGCAAATTACGGCGTGGCGTCGAGTTTATAGTGGAGTCAGTAGACGTAATCATATGACACCACAATTCACAATGAGTATGCAAATTTGATACAATATTATATTTACATAATACAAACAAAAATGTCGTAAGTGGTGCCATTAAAAGGAAAATTTAAAATCTTTTCGTACAATACAAAGAAAATGCCTGCAGCTCATTTCCCTTAGAGATAATTTGCAATGTATATTTTAATTGGATTACATGCTGGTTTTGGTGTATGTCAACGAAAATGTTCGAGTTAAACCTAAGTGATGAAATACACGATATAACGCGTTCTCATATAATTCAGAGAACAATTATCACTTTTATACCCCTTGAGTGAAAGCAAAAATTAAAACGAATTACGCGGAGACAGCAACGCATTTACCCCTGATCACAGTCGAGTAAATGCTCTTGGTGAACTCTAAAAATTTTCCAGGTTTTATTGATAAGCGTATGTAAACAAAACACGATAATTTGACCGTTTAGCTGGCGACCAGTTTATGCCATTGCAGACGCACTTCCTGTTCACAGCCTGACTCTCTAAGGAAACAGCGTCTTGTTTGGAGCTAATTTCAGCATTTTTGGCAAAGTTATCCAGTGATTGACTTATTGGGATTCGTTAATTTGGCATTTGTTCATAATGTTCACCGCTTCTTTTGTTCGCAAATCATTATTTAAGATAAAATCAAAGGAAACTGAAAAAAACAGATAACACAAAGGCCACGTGTCCAACGTGTGATAAAAAAATACGAAACATAAAAAAAATGAATTACAAAAACTCGCTTGAATTTTAAAACCGTGGGATGCCAAAATGCGCTTTTTTGTACACAATCAAAGAAATAAGTAAAAAATCATAATTTAAAAAACTAATGTGCTCAACACACGTCCGACGTCAACTTATCGTCACTCAATAAATTGGATTCCAGGTTCGTCTATTAAACCAGCTTCTGGAACATGATCAACAGACGTGAGAGGCTGCACCTAATCTACCAATTATTTGTCGAAATGAAAAAAAAAATTCGTTGATGCTTCTCCTACCAACGTACTTCGCCGTGTACCCCACATCAGTGATCCACACCACACCGAGAACTTCCTTTTATAAAAATAAAATTCCTCTCTGTGGTACCAACTCGTGGGCGAAGGGGAAAGGTTGGATGGGAGAAGGGAGAGTCGATAGGGGGACTTTCAACATTTCTCAAAAGCTTAATTCATTATGAATCATAATTGTCGACATAGCAAATGATTTGGACAACATCTAACTACGTCAATCGCTAGTAATCAAGTCAATTATGGTTTTTAGAACTACATTTTGTCTTTTTGAAGTTTTGGATTTCTCGCCAAAGTTCAACGTCAAGCAAGGGTTACGAATTTTGTCTTCTAAAAGTCTATGGAACTCTTCACGTAATCTCTGAAAAAAGTAATAATATATTGAGAACACAGTTTTAGTCTAACAAACACCATATGATGGCACAAGACACAAGATATTAGAGATGTACTTGAGAGATACTTGAAATAAAGTTGTTTCATTGGATACTCTCTTGATGATTAAAATTCTCTTGACAAAGGGAAAATAATGAAAGGGGGTTATTCTTATATAGTTACTCTATTCAGGAAGAGTTATAAATTATTAAAATGTCTTCATCAGGAGCAAAATGGTGTTTGAACTAAAGCTCTCTCTATCCAAAGTGCAATATCTTCCATTAGAAATGAATTCATGTTATAAATTGCAACTAAAGTAGTTTTAATTAAATTCACATGAATCAATCGACAAATTACCTTAACCAAGATGGCAACACTCAATCTGCAATTAAACTTGATCCAATAATCAACAGTTACAATTTCTTCATCTTCATCAACAGACGTCGAAATATCACCGCCAAAAAATAGAAGAGAGTATGGTGAAACTGTACTGCAATCTTGCACAAATATCTACAAAAAGGAAAAAACTGAAGTTAAAATGAGCCTCAATATTCGTCTAAAGTTAGGAAGACGTTTTGGCATTCGAAGCCAATATATTAGCAACATACTAAAGGCAAATGAAGTTTTGGTAATGGCAATTTTACCTTAGTCGATTTTACTTTTTCCAAGTATATCAACCAGTTGCTTAGGAAGTTGTATTCATCATGATTCACTGACTTAGGATGGATTTCTACTCTTACCATACGCCCGTCTTGTTGAACAGTAAGTTTTGGAGGCCTGGAACGAATTTTTTTTTTATTCACCTATATGGTCCTAGTTGATTTACGAAAATAAAACACCCCCTCCCCCCCCCCGAAGATATAAGTTTGAGATCTTTACGTTTGGTGATTTATGAGATGGTTTTATTGTGGTCGTTATCTTGCTAGAAAATGTGACATGAATATTCTATGCTGAGGAAGTCTAGCGAAGTATGACTTACATAACATAGCAATCTTAATCCCGATTGGAAATTTTGAAGAATAATGTTCAATAAGTTTAGCGAGTTGAAACGTTTGTTTAACAAACCAACAGGTTTTTAAACAATTATAGAGAAAGAAATACACATGTCAAAATGTCGGAAAACAAACCTTCTTGAATTGGGAAAGTGTGTAACATGAATGACGTTGGGATAAAAACCAGCACACAAAATTCCCTTTATTAACGATTGGTTTTCTGAATAAAAAAAGAAGATCTCAGAAAATACATTAGAACGATGATCGATTTGAAAGATTTTATCGCTAGACCCAATTACCTGAGTTACAGTTAGCGGTAAATTGCTTTGAATCCGTTGATTCAATGAAACCGGCATCAAAAAGATGTTCTGCGAGCTGAGTTTTCATATTTTTGATGGACTAAAAGAGAATCGCGTTTCCGAAAAACTTCAACGTAGATGAGGAACATAAATACATTTTGTGTAGTCGTACAAGAACAGATGTGGTTAATTAGACAAAACAAAAACTCATTTCCTTAGCTGATCTATATCATTCAGTCACTTCCTAAATATAGTTCACCGCCAGATGTGAAGTAATTAGTATACACATTTTCTGATAAACATGACCTTTAAAGAAAACTGTAAATATAAAATTTATACCTTAGACTTAGTTGTATGATGTAATAAAACTCGTAAATATTCTTATAGTAAATCTGGTGCATACCTTCAAGACCGAAAACGAGAGGAAGTTATCCCAACAAAACTGCTTTCCGTTGCTACATCTTTCCGCAACCTCCCATTTCTACAAAAAATGATTTTAAATTGAGCAAAGAGGACACAGTAACAAAAATACTAATGACGTTGATATTACCATGGAGATTTATATTGGCAAGAAATTTACGTTATTTAGTGTTTAGTCTAGAAGCAAGTCAAAGAAACAGGAACATTTATGTTGAGAGAAAAAAGTTGAAACAAGTTTGTTTGCATATGTTGTGAAGTTTCATGTGTTAAAATTGTGAGCAATAATTGAGTTAAACGTAATCGCGATTTTCAAATGCATGCATTTCATTGAATATGTAAATAAATAAATAAATTTGCAAATTACATCCAACAAAATTTACAACAAAGTAGTTCAATATAAATAATTTACTACACGAGAAAAATGTTCCATAAAGTTATTGATACTTACACGAAAGGCTTCATATAAAGTGAGGTGATCGCTTTGTGTTCCAGGAGAAAACATTTTTCTGGTTTTATCTGCTTTCTCCACCATTTCCTAAATTTCACAAGACGTAAAGGCGATCTTAAAAACGTTTTCCACGTTCAATTAATAGTTGGCTCTGAAAGAGAGAGTTAGTGAATCGACTGTACAGCCAACAAATCAGATAATCAACAAGTTTTAGCGTCGTGTCTTACAAAAGAGCGAAAGTAATGCACATTCAACAATAAAGCATGAACTGAACAAACCATTTAACCCACACCAAGAGTAGAATATGGGATCAACATGAGGCTGACACAAAGAAATCATTTCTCACATAGGGTACAACATGGGATCAACGTGAGGTTGACACAAAGAAATCAACTCTTACTAAGGATACAACATAGGATTACCTCACATGATACGGGTACAACATGGGATCAACATGAGGTTGACACAAAGAAATCAACTCTTACTAAGGATACAACATAGGGATCAACTCTTACCAAGGGTACACATGAGGTAGACACAAACACGTTATTTCTCACCAAAGGTACAACATGGGATCAACATGAGGTATATATACAAACAAATCAACTCTCACCAAGGGTACAACATGGGATCAACATGAGGTATATATACAAACAAATCAACTCTCACCAAGGGTACAACATACGGATCACGAAATCCCATACTTGATGCGATCGTGAGGACTGGATCCAAACAGGACATTATTGCACCGAGTAAAATAATTTTCCCAATTTTTGGATGTACAGGTAGGCGAGCTAAATGCACACCTAAAGGTGTGAGGTTTTCACTTGAATCAAACGCATTCTAAGAAACAATATTAATAAGAATTTGCATACATCCAGATAACAGAAGTTGATAAGTCCTCCCCTCAAATCGCATAAAACATTAAACCACTTACTAGCTGTTTCAGCGATTCAATGGCGAGTGCGATTGATTTGTCTGATGGTGATTGTAAGGCTTTTTTTAAAAAAGATTCCACCATACCCAGTTTCAGGCACTAAAACAAATTTTTTATAGCAATCATGAAACGGTTGCGTCAACATTACTTGGATGGATGTCTTTGAGATAAAAAGTGTGTAAAGAAATGTGATGCAAAGTGAAAAAGTCTTGCATGATGTACACCAGTTTATCTACACCTACATTCTAAAAATATTATTTAACTGCATCCAATCCTTAATCTGATCGTAACTCAATCCATACTAAATTCCATAACCCTCAAAAATGTGCTTTTCACAAAAAAATAAAATTAGTAGGTTGAAACCAGTTTCATTTTGAATAACACAATCCATATTGAAGATAGCCAATAGTTTGAGGAACATATTTTACCTTCACTTGTAAGCAAATCTCTTCCAAGGGTGTTCGCAATATTTCAGGAAGCTGATAATCATTCATTTCTTCATAATGAAATTTTGTGAACAAATGAAAGCACACACCTTCTTGAACCCTAAACATAATTGAATCGCAAGGTTCGTCATAGTAATTGATAGTTAATTTAACAAATTAATAAGAAAAAAACTTGAAAGGTCTCAAAACATCCAAGATAGCTTGCTATCGCTTCATCGTTACCTTCCAGCGCGACCTTTCCGTTGTTTGGACGAAGCTTTACTTATCCAAACTGGTAGGAGTGTAGAAAGTTGTTTGTCGACGTCAAAATTCTAGGAAACATAAGACAAGTGGTGACATGTTCAACATAAAACAAGAGAAGACATGTATAAAATATATTTACAGTAAGACTAGTGACATGTTCAACATAAAACAGGAAGACATATATAAGAAGTGCACAGGAAGACATAATCAGAAGCTCAGACAATGGCCATTCTGGTTAAACATACCGATTCTTTTGTTTTACCACAGTCAACCACAAAGACAACATCATCAATCGTGATACTAAAATGAAAACATGAAATCAACGAATGTATAAAGTCTAAAGTCTGGTCGTCACGTGCGACACATACGTAAGCATAAAATTATCAAAATTCTCCGTTCATCTTATGCTTATGTTTGTGCTTATGCTTATGTTTGTGCTTATTACATTTTATTGCTACGTTTATGCTGATGTTTATTAGTTTAAGTCGCAAGTAAAAGAACCAGACTTAACATAACACTCTGAGGCTGTATAAAATGACTGGAATAACAGAATACATATAAACCATTTGTGATAAAATATCCATTGTTCGAGTTTCATTTGCAACGATTTTGAATGGCTTGAATAATATATTTACACAAATCTGGCCACATCAAGTCAACACTTTATATTTCGCTCAGAGTAATGTAAAATAACGTGATTTTACCTTGTCTCGGCCAAACTTGTTGACAAAATGATCTTTCTCACACCACAAGCAGGTCTGTCGAAGATCTAATACACAATAAACATTATACAAAAAAATCAATGCAATCTACGAGAATTAGTCCAATATGTTTGTAAATGTAGATCGTCCAGGTTGTTATAGTCCTGAGAAGGACTGTTTTTGTTGTTGTTGACTGACGTTTCGACAACCTTAGCGGTAGTCATCATTTTGACTCTGAAGATGACTACCGCTAAGGTTGTCGAAACGTCAGTCAACAACAACAAAAACAGTCCTTCTCAGGACTATACCAACCTGGACAATCTACATTTACAAACATGTGACGATACTCCCAGGTTCAAATCATTTACTTAATCAGTCCAATAGGTATTTCACTTTTTTTGTAGCCAATCCGTCGTTAGTTTACAATGTGCCACTATCTCAAATTATCAAGACGCAAGCTTTAACTTGTCCCTAAACTAACTTAGCTCACACTGACTAAAATTAGTGTTTTTCCTAAATTACATCATGCAAACTTAAATTTGGCTCCTACCCTGACACACATACCTGACGCTGGTTTACAGTTGGCATCAACGAATGCAGCGGCAGAACTAGAAACTTGTCTGTAAATTAAAAAATAATGAAAGTATTTAGTGCAGTTGGTTACATTGAACTGTTGTGGTGTAGATCATTTTAGCAAAACAATGACAACAAATGTGAAACAGCTGCTGTTAACGAGCATATTTATAAACTAGCGGGAATCTCACCAGAAGAGAAAAATGGATTTTTCTTCAAAATGTCATTCAATGCAGATATGTCTTGCCAACCAGGCAGAAACACAAGAACGGCACCCTCCTGACAATGAAAATAATCGTTAGCTTTATAAGTCTTTTCAGGAGATGAGAAAAGCTTTATAAATTGAGTAGACAGAAGTCAACCACAAAACAGCTCTGAGTAAATTACTTTCATATTTCGACCAATATGCATAAGAAGTTGCTCCACTAAAGAATGATCGATCTTTTCAAAATCCATATTTGCTAAAGATTCTGCCGTGAAAGAATCGTTCTCACTAAGAAAAAATAATGTATAAGCCACTATTTAGTGCTGAAGGCTAAGTCAAATTGATCATAAATTAAATTTTGTTTCTTTATGATGTTAAAACTTGGGTACTTTATCAGTTTAGGGTCTTCATCTGGAATTATCTAATGTTCAAAGAGGGAAAATCGGCGCAGCTTTGCACCCAGCCCCCGTGAATTCATCCACCCAACCCCCATAAATTCATCCTTGCAGTACGTAACATTCATCTACTATAACATAATCATCATGTGCAGCCATCATGAGTCAAGATTAGAATGAAATAAAAAACCTGTGATGTAAGTCAATTAAATATTTTTTCCACATTTCTTCTCTGTTTAAATCATCTTTCTTATTTCTCCTTCCCCATAATTTTCTCTTCTTCGTCGGAGGACATTGGTATCTGAAAAATTTAGTACATTATTTAATCAAAGCATTTTCTTAAAGATTTATTAAAACAACAACTCAACTGAATAAAATCAACGTACCTAAGTGTCTTGACAATTTCCTCAAGAAAGTATTGCTTCACAGGAAACGTAAATCCTGGTATGTTAAGTATAGGACAACCTCCTACAGAATGAAAAATATATAAACAAGACAAGATATTCAAAGTTAATTTTGAGTTCTATGAAAACTTACCAAAATATTCTGAAAATATATCTGCGTTTAAGGTGGCACTCATAAGAACAACTCGTAGAGCGGGTCTAAATAATAACCCAAAACAATCCCATTTATCTACATGAAGATATTTGATCACATGAAATCACGTGATATTAAAAATGATACATAAAAAGTCAATGCACTTGATCTCCTAATATTTATGTCACAGTGAGGATGAAATCTTTTACCTTCTAGGTAAAATGTCTCGAACGACAATAAGTAGAAAATCTGACAGTATACTCCGCTCGTGGATTTCATCAATAATTACATGACTCATTCGTAAAAGGTTACTACAACAAAAATAAGAAAGAATGAATAGATGAATCATTGATAAAATTGGTCATATCCACAAGGTCAAATCTGTTGCTTTCACTTGTTTAAACTTAAGTCTGCTGTTTATTAAGTCTGTTATTTCTGCTCAAGTCTGTTGCTCATGCTTTAGTCCATTGTTTTTTGTTCATGTCTTTTCTAGTATTCTATTTCTTTTTGTAGTTATTGACTTGGCAATACAAAAAGAACTATGAACTTACGGATCAGACATGAGCCACCTTAATAACACTCCTATAGTACAAAACATGATCGATCCTTGGTCACGTGGTGGTTTACTGCAATAAATAATAGAGAAAAAAAACAGCTAAAAGATTTTGCGTTACATGAATGGCTATTGTTTTAAAACATCGTTTCAGACAACAGAGACCCATTTCATTCATCAAACGTGTGGACAGAAGGCTCATCCTTATATGTAACTAAGTAAGCAGTTACAATTGATAGTTTAAATATCAAGCATTTTCGTGAGAACGCAACCCTGACAGGTAGCTGGAAAAACTAGGTCATCATCGTTATCGAGTGATCATCGCTATCTCAACCTTTCAAGTCGAATTTGATATCCAGTGCTTCCATTTCCAACAGTTTCACCACGCTCTTGTGCAACTCTTTCAGCAATCTAAACGAATTAAATTAACTGAACACGACTTCATTATTAGCTGGCTTTCCACGAAAAAAACTCACTGAAATCGCGCTTATTCTCCTTGGTTGGGTACATACAACACGACAACTAGATCCCACTCCCTTCTCAATAGCATCATCCAATATAAACTGCGGTACCTAGAGAGATCACCGCAATGAAGTTTTTACTTGATTAAAGCTAATATCTTACGATCAAGTAAGAAACATTACAGCAAATGAAGATCAAAATACCATAATAACAACGCTGTGCATTAAAAATTTCAAAAGAATATTTTAGAGCTACAATTTTATCAATGTAGTAATGCATTCTAAACAACCCTAAATCAACCAAAAGTTCCGTTTGGACAAGATCAACATAACAGCTGTAGACAATCTAAAAACTACTTAACGCAAAGACAAACACCTGTGTAGTTTTACCACATCCAGTTTCCCCACTGATTAAAACAACTTGGTTCATGGCAACCAAGTCAACAATTTTCTAAAGAGTACAAAGACGGATGGTTAATCATGTGACATAGAATGTTGATCATGTGATATAGCTCATCTATAAAATCCGAATGTTATATCTGTTTGGTCGGGTAGCCATTGAGGTAAGAGAGAATTTTAGCGTGTAATATTAATTTTAAACCTGTCACCAACAGCCAATCAAAACACTCGTACGCTTCTCAATGTAAAAAAAATGTAGTTCACATACATCTTTCACAGCAAATGCTGGAAGCTTTTTTCTGAACTCCTAAATAAACAAAACTTTGATTCAATTACTGATAATAAATTTCCATAGTATGTAAGTAATAAAGGTGTCAGCGCGAGAATCTGTACCCCCACCTCCATCCACAGGTGGATTGGTATGGGATGTGTTAAAATCATTCAGCAAAACATCAAATGATCATTCATCATGTTTAAAAACTAGAGATAGTAGAACACATGCTTATGTATTGAAAAGCTTTCAAGTCACTGTTATCCTTGGTCAATCCCCAATATCTTCGTTATACTTTCAACTTTTTCTGATCATGTTTTCGTGGATAGATTTTAATGGTACTGTCTTAGTAACCATGTTATTGAATAGTATAGTTACCATCATCTGGTCCCCTAGTTTCTTCTTATCAATCAAATCTTTCTTTAAGATCTCATTCATTACTTCGTCATTTTTCAACATAATGCGCGGGAATCGATTTTCCTGGAAATTTATCGCCTGAAACCAGTCTGAAAATGAATGCATATCAATTTCTAATGAGCACCTTCATCACTCTTCGATATACGAGAAGTACCATAAATTAACATAAATTATAATGAATTATGACGGACACAAACAAGCTTAAATTAAGTCAGAGATAACTAAACTGACCATAAGTTATGATAAAGACGTTGTTAAGACATACATATGCTAAATAATTTGTCCAACTTGTCAATAACTTAACCTTGTTGATCTGTAGATGACGATGAAGATTCACACTCATCCAAACTATCAATCATCTTTCTCAAATGTTGTTCATGTGATTTAGACATTGACACCTCTTGACGCTGTTAACAAAAAAATTATTAATGAAACAGAGACTTTGCCATGGTGACAAACTTAAAGATGAACTTCAAAATAGCAAATACTATGGTGAATGGTGATAATAACAATGTAATAGTTCTTAAAAGGACACGTAATAGTTCAAACTGTTTTAACCAGAACACTAACCCAACAATTCAAAGGAACCATTATTTACAGCTAGAAAGAAGCACTATGCATTTTGGCAGACTACTTGTCAGGTGTCAACATCTGTTAAATGAGAACCTCCAAATCATGCTATATTCATAATGTTACAAAAAGTCAATGTCATCCCCATTTTTAGAGATGACACATAAAACAAGCTTAAATTAATCTGTCTCTGTTTTAAGTGTCATCTCTAAAAATAGGGATGACATTGACCTTTTGTAACATTATAAATATAGCATGATTTGGAGATTCTCATTTAGCAGACGTTGACACCTGACGAGTAGTCTGCCGAAATGCATAGTGTCTCTTTCTAGCTGTAAATAACGGTTCCTTTGAATTGTTGGGTTAGTGTTCTGGTTAAAACAGTTCTTCTAAGAACTATTACATTGTTATTATCACCATTCACCATGGTATTTGCTATTTTGAAATCCATCTTTAAAAAAAATTACTATCCTATGTTCTTAGCAATATTTAGAGCAAAGCTTTGTAAATTAAATAATTAAAATTTGATGGTAAGCCTTATTTTTGGAAATTAAACACTTATTACAGCCCACAAAATTTAATTGTGCCATGTAAATGTTTATCTACCTAAAGCAGAAATATTTCTAAAAAATTATAAACTAAAACAATGCAAAGCTGCTTTGTGACTTTATCACTGTTTTGGGGCATAGTTTTGTATTTACAACCAAATAAAGCATAAAACCTGTTCCCTCTCCTTTCTGATGTTTGACTGTTCAGATTTTTCTTTATACCACATTCCTATCTGTGCACCAGTTAACCCGGGTGGGTGACCACCTCTACCACCACCATGACCTCGTCCACCACCACGACCTCGTCCACTACCACGACCCCTTCCACCTCTTCTTCTTTCTTCATATCCTCCACGCCAATCATTCTTCTGGCCACCAGAATCTAAAAAACACAGAAAGATAGCGAATACTCTATTATGTTCAAAGGCAAGGATCACATTTTTTTCAAGATAATATGTTGGTCAAAAAATCTAGCCTGAATTATAGGAACCTTAGTTTACCAAACAACATCACTGCTTTGAATGAAGTCATCACAAATAGATCAAACTCTTGGTAGATTGACCACAAGACATTCTTAGGGTTGGAAACTGGGAGCTACACCATTGATATGATTTAAAATCTATATTCTATTATAGATATCTTCATCCTTACCATACACAATGAATGTTTAGACATGAAACAATGAAAATAGGATAGTTATACTAACGACGCTGTATGAGGTAAACTGTTAAAATTGCAAAATATTCACATCCGAAACTTACCCCTTTTGTACATATCGAACAAGAAGTTCTAGGATAAAGACCTACAAAAGACTAACACATATATTGTAGGAAAAAATAAGGAGTTAAAACTTCCAATGAATATATTAATGATTTCACATTTATCCAAGCATTTATCAAAATTGCCGGTCGTGAAGAAACACTGATCTTCATGAAATACCTGGATATCTTAAGAGAGTTGTTTGTAATGGACCTCGGAACTACCACTGTTGAGATAAATCTAAGTTTTATTTGAGACCGGAGTAGTTTTAAGTGTAAGGAAACAGTTCTTCATATTAGCAAAACTAATTTGATCTTGATGTCCTTAATTCCTCATGAATTTTTAAAGATGCTATAATAATAAAAATAAAATTATAAAGCTAAAAATACTTCGTTGCTAACTTTAAAACAGGTGAATTTATTGTGTATCAAGTATTTTGCTTTATTGATATTACGAGTAAAAAAAAGCTTGAAGTATTTCTCAAAACACTCCTGATTACAACTTTATTGCATTTTCGCTATCTCTTTAGGTGAGACCCAATCCATTGCCTCCCATTTTTACTTTATTAACTACAACAGAAACGGTGCAGAACAGAAAACAGAGAAAAAATCAACTGAGGAATTTTTGTGTATCGTACACATACATCAAGTAACAGACCAAAGTAAATAAATTAATATTTGAGAACGCCATCGCTGAAGACGTTTCACCTAAAACCTTCCACATTAACAAAGGTTGTTGTTGCAAAGAGTTGTTGCCGGCAGTGGTGTAAGAACTTGTATAAAAGGCAAGTTTGTGATGGTCAGTTCTAGAATTTGACGATAAATATGATAAGCATGGTGACTAAAGATACTAAGCTTATTGCCGTTCTTTTTTGAAACACCGGACGGTAACAAAAACAGCATTTGACTGCTTAAATTACAGACAAAATTTATTAAGAATTGAACAACCAAGACACAGACATAACTAACTACATAAAGGGTTTTTAGATAGATACTTCAGTAACGTACCAAGCGTATTTCTGATCTTCATTAATTCTTATAGTTAGCAATCAGTTCACGAAAAAACGTTACGATCTACATTAAGAGGTTGATGTATAAAATGCTTTCCATCATTCAGGAGGTCTCTTCTCCGCATATTTCTTTGTATGCTCTTCTGCATTCTTCATAAATTTCTTCCTTTCCTTTGTATATTCCTCAGCAAGATCCGCGCGCAAAGGATGTTCTGGTTCAGGATCTTGTACTAGCGCTACCAATGCTTGTATAACTAAAAAAACAATACTCTGTATGATGGGTTTTGCAGACAAAATGGCTTTACTGGTATAAAATTATCCTTCTTTTTATACAACCAATAGAATACAACTTTCTTTATCCTCTGCTCATGAGGTAACATTTCATATTATTTTTAAAGGATGCTGGAGATGCTATTTTATATTACTGGAGGAAAGAATACTAATCTACCTTGATGTGTTTTTGTGGCTGTGATAATTTAATACTATACCTTGATCTGTCTTTGTAGCAGGTTTCCAATTCTCAGCCCCAATAATTGGCAAACACACTTGCCCCTTCTCGTCAATGTTAGGATGATATATTTTTGTTTTAAATGTGACCTAAAATGAAACATCACAGAAAAAATAATGTCCACTACATCAATACTTTGGCAATTTCCAAAGTAAACATCTTCAATAAACAGGATATGTGAACATTATGAGAAAATTGTTTAAAGTCAACACACATCATAGGTAATAACCATATAGATATTGTAATTATGTAACAATTCTTTGCCATGAGCTTTTAAACAATCTCAAGAAACAAAATGTGCAAGGCCAGAATAAATATCATCTTCATATTTAAAGGGAAGTGTTCAAGGAGACGCAATACAAAACGAAGCTTCATCCCATGTTTGGGGAGACAAACTAAAGCTTCACCAGTTTTCTAGTTCCTACATTCACAGCGTTCTTATGGCCCTTAGGTTTATTAAGGTTCCTATATTTGCAGCCTTATGGTTCCTATTTTCTCAGGATTATTAAGATTCCTATACCTACATACACCATTTTCAACATGTGTAATTTAAGCCACTATCATTCAACTAATGAGAACAGTAACCAAATCAAGTTGGTAGATAAGGAATTGGTACTTAATAGACATTGGTAAATAAGTCCAAAATGTAACACCTACCTTCGGTGGTTTGAATGGATATTCAGCTGGAAATACAATTTCAATTCTAAATGCACCCTTGTTGTAAGGGGCAGATTCCTAATGAGAAAAATGCAACCAGTCATTACTTAAAAATCAGAGAGTCAGTTATTTATAACAGATCAATACTCAAAAATACCAAATTATTAAACATGAAGCCACAATAATGTTTAAAGTTTTGATTTTTACAACAGGTTTGGCAACAAACACAGTTTTTCAAAGATAAGAAATGTTGCAAAAATATTCTTTGTTATAATAAGGATCCTTTTAGGCAATGAATTGTGGCATCTTACTTGACTTTGACCTCATTTCAGGAGTTTTTCAGGAATATTGAACTACACAGAATTCTAAAGTCTATCCCTTTGACATGAAAGAATGTTTTTTATTTTGTTTATTGTCAGATCTTAAATCTTTTCTGTTTTTTCATTAATTTTCACACTGCAATTTCCACTTCCAAGAACTGGAAACAGTGCTACTGGTATTAAACATGGGCACTAAACACATAATCAAGACACAAAATACACGAAATGGCACTACGTTTCCGCCCAGTAGCTAAGAAACAAAACTAAAAATTTCTTTAAAACTTACAGGTACGATAAGTCCTTGCCAACAGAGTATGTTCGATTCGTCCACTCTAATATCACGAAACAATTTTATTCCCGATTGCCTAATATCGTTCAGTTCCTGTACAAAAGTGTGAAATTGGAAATAAGTACAAAGCTAAGTACAACATTCAAAATTAATCGTGACCGCAAAACATTACAAGATTCACAAAAATTGAATATTGCCTAGCATATTCAGAGGACGCTGTTGAGAAACCTCCTTGAACGACTTACTGTTATAAAAAGGGATCTTTATAACTATTTCAATAGACAAACCGTAAAAGTTTAGTTATGAACAAAACGAAACATGAAATTTGGTATGAGTTATGTCTTGCTTAATTTAGCATAAAATACTGGTTGTATGCGCGATGCTTCTCATCATAAAAAGCAAATCAAGATATAAAATCCATCTTAAAGAATAATGTGCATAATTCTGGATTAGAGTAAAAAAGAAAAAAGTTTTCGTTTCACCTTAGTCAACCTCCGTGTAGCTGCCATGCTGAATTTTGGCCCGTGACCACGTCTCCTGCCGTCTTATCACGAGAGACTGAGAACGAAATAAGCAACATTTTCTGAATTTGGTAAGCTTTTTGGTGCACTGGATTTTTATTACGATAATTTCTGAATTTTATTTTTTATTCCGCAAACGGAGCGAGCAATGAGCATGTGTATTTTCCAATTGGAATTTTCATATTCAGCCAAGTTCTACCCGAATGAGCTATTATAAGCTATCATTGGATTTGGCAGTATCGTATTGTATGTATGCATAATTGCAAAGAATTGGATTACATAACGGTTCGCGAAGATTAATTGAGATTCAATCTTTGTTGATCTGGATTACATGAATTGTATAAAACAAATATAAGAACTTCTCTGCTTATGATTCATTCAATACATTGCAACAATTGCAGATTAACGTACCAATTTAAGCAGAAAGAATATTTTTATCAAGGTAAAAATCATAATTACTTCAATACTTATACCATTTATTTTTTTCCATTTTGATTCAAACAAAATGCCTGCCGGAAGACAACGAACCTCTGCTAACGCGCCTGATAAAGCCACAGTATCGACAAATGAAAGAATTTTAAAAGAGTGCCACGATTTATACATAGACAAGGAAAAAGGTATAAATAAATAACTCATACACTGATAATTTGTCGTGAGAAAATGATAATTGGCCATTTTTAAGGATTTCTTTTCTCTCAATATCGGTGCTTGGTACTGACTGTGGTTCAAATTCCTTCTAAGGTCTTGTTGCAATCGCTAAAGAATTGGACTTATCACTTCTTTCTCCACGAAAGAAAATAACTGTATTGCTTATTGGTAACCATTCAGCTGGCAAAAGCTCCTTTGTTAATTGGTAGGTGCCTGTTACAAATCTTAGTAATGGTACGAAGATTTATAATAAAAGAGCAATTTAGAAGTGCTCTAAACCTTTTCCATGAAAACGTTGGGCAGCCATGCTCTTGTAGTCTCCTATTGAATGGCAGAGTACATAATAACTTTTTTGCTAAACAAGTGTGTGTCTTGGTATGCACATGTAAACTTTTAATGCAAGGATATAATTCACCACAACATAGTTGAGAACTTCATCTGGTCTTGCCAGGTATGTTGAAGAACATGTACAAAAGACAGGAGTGGCCATTGAAACACAAGGTTTCACCTTTGTCACAAGTGGAAGAAAAAGAGAGTCACTTACTGTAAGTCAAATCAAGACTGTTTATGATCTCAGAAGATTGAAAATTAACTTGGTTCAGTCTTTGATATTGTTGAATGCATACAAGTAATGCTTTCATTAAAGTTTCCATAAATTGCCAGGGACAAGCTACATTGCATCTCTATCCTCATTTCAAAGAACTTGAAACATTTCCTGGTATGTCTCAATGTGATGTAATATAGAAGTAGTATGTTTTCTGATATAGTGCATATTAAAAGCAAGATAAATGCTGCCTTTTATTACCAACTATGATATAGGTGTTGTTGAGTACCTATCTACAGAGATCTCCACATCAAAACAAAAGAAGTTCAGCCTAGTCACTTTTGTTGACACACCTGGATTGGTTGATGGTGACATGAAGTATCCATTTGATGTCGAACAAGCAATATTCTGGCTTGGTAATTACAGCTTAACCATAAACATTTCCTTGTTTTTTTTTGCAAACCAATCTCTTCGAGCAACTTGTGTATTCTTTGATATTGTATTCTTAAATCATGTGTTGTCCATTTGTAGGAAATACAGCTGATCTCATTTTTGTCTTCTTTGATCCAATTGGCCAAGCCTTGTGTAAAAGAACATTAAATATAGTTGGTAAGTAAATCATTAATACTCTTACAACATATATGTATCAAATTATCTATGATGGCCATTGACAGATTTCTATAACATATGCAACATTTGCTAATTCTTTATACATCTACTTTAGAAAAGTTAAACGAGAAACAAGCAGATAGAATCAGATTCTATCTTAGCAAAGCAGATACAGCAGGACATGAGAGTGATAGACAGGTTGTTGAATGTTAAGTTTAAACTCATACACACCCACAAACAAACACACAGGAATGCACAAATAACACCAGAATGCGTAGTAAAAACGTTACCAAATCTAAATCGTTGTCACTGATTTTTAGCGAGTTTTGATGCAGATCACACAAGAACTTTGCAAGAGACCTGGTTTGAATAAAGCTGGATTTGACATGCAAACAATATTTGTTCCAAGTTTGATTGATAAGGTGACTGACGCTTGGGAATTACGTAATTATTATTCCATGTTTTCAGTTATTATCTCTTTTCCACTTGTTACACTGTTCAATTGTATTTGTTTTTACAGGGGATTACTACTCTCTTTCTACTACAAATCAAGTTTTTCACCTTTTTTCATTTTTTGTCGATGCAAAATAATTGATATGTCAATTATTTTGTAACGTCACTGATGTGCGTTAAGCCTGTGCGATATGACTTATTTAGCATGCTAAAACTTCTTATGAATTAAACTGTGCTTTATTCAGCCCGCAAGATGTGCAAATCAAATCGAAGAGGTCTGTAAACAGATCGAAAAAACTATCAATCAGGCGATACAAAGTACGCTTAACACGTTGGAGAAGGATTGTCAGAACATATCCTCACTCATTGATGGGAAATTGAAAGAGGACAGGTCTTATTCATTGAATGTATTTCATCTGAGTTAAAACTTGATACTCAAATTTAGTGGTTTAATCAAAAACTGATTCAACGTTTAAAATCGAATTTTACCAGAGTTTTGGCTTTCATAAGGAGTAATCTGATTTTGAAATTTAACTCCTTTTATATAGTCTAGTGTGGTGTCTTCTTTAGGAAAATCCGACTAGAAACTTAAATCCTTTTATACTCGAGTGAGTCGAGTCCATGGAGTGTCTACCTTAGGAAAGATCTTGTAGTCGTTGTATTCTCCAATGGGTTCCTCGAGTTTTCATATACTCCAGTGTAGTGTTTGTTGACGTCTTGGTGGTATGAGTCAAAACTTGACTGATCCTTTTGTTTGTAGAGAGAATCGTTCGTATAACATCAAAGCGCGGATGAAAAGTTACTTCTTTATGTCACTTGGTCTTATAATGCCATTTGCTATGTTTATCAGCTTCATAACTCATCAAAGTCAGACGTTGAAGTTATTTGGTAAAGACATAGTTGATACACTTCATATATACACGGTACGATTGTGAAGATATATTTCCACTATCAATTGCAGACGCATGTAGCTATTAGTGTGTCTCCCCATACTGTTGGTGAACTTCATTATTTGTAACTTTATAGTTTGGAAGAATCGTTATCTAATTTAAAACCCGTGCAAGTGCAGGGTTTACATGTTAGTTTACCTAAAATGCCCCTATATAGGGAATATAGATTTCAAATATCCAAATAGTTTATTGCCTAAATAAGGAAATGCCAAGAGTCAACATTTTGTTTGTTGATTAATTAACAGTTCCCCTAGCTTAGTAAACAATTACGATCATTAAACGTAAATTCAACCCAAACGACAAGTTTCATCAAAAAGATTTTAGTGACATATTTATAAAGTTACGGTGAATTTTTGATCAATTTGAATCTAATTTTTATATGATTCAAAGCGCAGATGTGCTGAAGGACAAATTTGAATTGGCAACACAAATTTCACTTATAGCTGATGTTCTTATTTAACTCAACGCATCGTTTTTGATTTTTTTCTTAGTAGACTAAACAACCTATATACTCTTTAGGCATTTTTTTACTAAAACCTTTATATCATGATGTTGTTTATTTTTAGGGTCCTGTTGAGAAAGTTTGGTCTTCAGTTCCATCTCAGTATTCCAATCATTTTCTTGTTGTTATGATTTTCTTGTCGTTGATTCTAACGATTATGGCAAAATTTAGCGGAAGGTACGTACTTTTACGACATTTACGTTATTTACACGATACATGCACTGATGTTGTTGGTTAAGTTTTCAACACAGTTGAAAATTTTTTTCTTATGTTGTGATGTTCATAACATGATGCTTACGGGGTAACATTTTGGAAAGGTTGTAATAAAACTATACCTTTCGTGTAACTTTGTGTCATGTACCTACAATACTCAGGCTTTATAAGTCGACATATACCGACATGCATTTCTCTTCACTAGACATTGAACATGTAAAACAAAATGTATAGCTATCTGACATCGTTTTTTTTCATTGTTAAGGCTAAAACAGACGTTATCTCGAAAGCAACAGCGTTTATTGTCTGAAAAGAAATTATTCGTTCAAACAGTTGTTCATCCAAAAAGAGTAAGTTGATAAAAAAAACGCTGCTCAAATTGTAGTAACACACCAATATACTGTATGTCGAGATTTGTTTCGTTTTTATTTGTTTTATTTAGGAAAGACTATACAAGGAATATTTACAACAAAGTGTGGCTGAACATGACTTATAGGCTATAGTATGTTTGTATGTGTGAGATACCTATAATTCCAAGTCACTTGTTTTGTTGTTCAACCTATAACGATACGTGGAATAAAGTTTAAATTTTGCGCCAAATTGTGATGAAATTTTGTTGTTTTTATTGCGATTGCCATTGTTGATATAATAATACTTACTCAACTTCAACAAAGATATTAACAACGATGCCAAAAATATATGATTGAAATATTGCATAGCTCACAATACAGAAACACCAATTTCAGAGCTCGCTCCGTAAGCATGTATTTACCATCTCTAAACATGTTTACGCGTTTTTTACTTGTTAACTTTTACAATTTACCTTTCTCATAACTCTCTCGTGATGAACGACAGCCTCATTAAATATTACTCTCTCATCATGAGCGAAAGCATCCATGGGCTTCGTGGAAAAAGGGATTATCTACTTTTTTTTATAGTAGTTATTATAAAGATAGCATTAATTAATAAGCAAAGCTTATGTTATAGAATTTTCATTCATTTCGAATAATAAACTTCTTTTTACCTTGTAATATTTTCATGATTCAATCTAGAAAGTAACATCACTTCTCTTGCGATTAAACGGTACACTTTTCGGATTCGAACGAGCATTGGTTACTTTTCTCTGGATATAGACATCTATACAAAATATATGACATTAAAAGACAGTAGCTATAAATTCTTCGACACTTAAATGCTTGTTGTTCTTCATGATCTTCATTTATTCAAGTTAAAGCTTTGGTTGGAAGTTTTTAAGAAGAAGGATAACTTTCTTTATGCCACTGTCATTTAATAAAAAGGAAATTAGGAGTCCAAAACGAACTTTTCAATTCATCCAAAGATTAACAAACACCTAAAAAATTTAATAATGGAAAACAAAAAATGTCGAAACGCGTTTACTTGAAGCATACCATAATCGAAAAATTTAAAGAAATATAGCAAATAGTAAGTCTTAATAGATATATATTGAAATTGTTCACACTTTTTTCACGTTTATTTACCCAGACGTACAGTTAGCTTAATACTATTTAAACATCAACCAACAGAAGGCTGTTTTTTTTTTGAAGTCATTGCCATGATTGCATTGTTTGACGACAAAAAAAACGGCGTATTTTTTGATCGCTTGATTTGTCGGCGGAATATGAAAGTGGTCAATGACAAACTGTCACCGCAAGAGTCGCAGAGTCGGACGACGAAGTAGTTAATATGTGGTAGATTCAAGTAAAGGCAGTTCATTTCTACACTAGCAATGAGCAACAAAACTTCTGTGAGCTCGAGTGTTTCGGGGCATAGGAAAAAGGATGGTGGTTATTTAGCTAGACAGGCAAAAGCGAAGAAAAACACAAACATGAACGAGGAGGATTTGACGAAAAAAGAGGTTATTACACCCCAAGATGTTTTAAACCTCACGAAATGTACAAAGGGTATGGAAAGATGAAAATCTATGTTATCTATTTTGAATTATTCTATTTTTGAAAGAATGTTTTTTACTCGAGCAAATACCTGCACTAGGCGACGTGTCATTGTATTTTGTAGTATAAAAAGACATCTATTTCTCTATAGATTACCTGTGTGATCAAAAGCGAAACATTTATGACATTGAGTTTACGAGGTTCAAAATACGAGACATGGATGAAGGAAAAACACTGTTTGAAATCGCTAAACCGGATGACAGTGAACTTGTGGACGACAACACTGACGAAGCAATTGGCGAGGATATTGAAAATGACGAAGACCCAAATGCTGGTCGTTTCGTACGATATAAATTTAGCCCAGAGTTCTTGAAATTGCGAACTGTTGGCGCTACGTGAGTAATTTTTGTGAAAGTCACATGCTTTCGAAAAATACGTTCAATTAAATTTTTTGTTGTGTAACGGGGGGCGAAATTTCAACATAAACTTTGCAAGTTTGAAGGACATGTTTCAGTTGTCAAGGTAAAATTTTAATGATAATCAAACAGAGCATTTATGAATAATACTTATAATTTTGTCCGTTTTCCTGGTTGCTATCACATTGTTGCTATGCAGATATAATTAAAGTTATTAAAAATTGATGGGGGCTTTGCTACTAATAATAATCACCATAAGGATATTAATTATCCATTTATGTCCCCAGTTAAGAAATACTTTTTAGTTGTTCACAGCAAGATGAAGTTGCATAAGATATGTTTTTGCAATGCCATTACTAACACATGAAACCAATCTTGTCTTTGTCATTGTGAATAAGATGAACAGTTAGTTGTAGTAGATTTGGTGAAAGTGAAGATTTGATTCCTGGACTGCAGCTACTAGTATGATTTTTATCTAATCTTAAAAATCTGCATAGCATCTTACAATATGAATGAATAAGGAAAAAGGGATCATTTCAATAACAATGGTGCACCTTTTTGAAGTTTAGCATTCCTACAAACTACTCAATTTTCTTGCTTTAGTGTTGAATTTGTGGTTGGTGACAAACCTGTGAGCAATTTTCGTATGATCGAGCGACATTTCTTCAGAGACAGAATTTTGAAAACTTTTGATTTTTCATTTGGTTTCTGCATTCCAAATAGCAAGAACACCTGCGAACATATATATGAATTTCCAAGTTTAACTAGCCAAGAAAGTAAGTATTGTTGACATTTCTTGGAATGTAAATGCATATACATATGTTGACTCATATACTATCATATTTTCAACTCCATGGCATTTATTTATCTTAGATCTTATGATCTGCAACTATTTAAAAACATCATAAGCCAGAACTTATTATGGCACAATATTCTTACCTGGTATTTTATTTTATACTACATGAAGTATTAAACAACTTTTATTTTTTAGTTGAAGAGATGGTGGCACATCCTTATGAAACAAAATCAGACAGTTTTTATTTTGTTGATAATAAACTGATAATGCACAACAAAGCAGATTATGCTTATAATGGTTAAGTTTAGATGTAGAAATGCTTTTCAAAATTTTGATGTAGATTGCTATACTGACTTACTTAATTCTCTTACCCGCAAATGACATGTGAATGTTGCTCACATCCAGGCCTATTCATGTTTCATCTCCAACTTTACTTTCATTTATGTCCATCTATGTCACACATTAAAATAATAAAAAGCAATGATTGAAAAAAAATACTTTCAAGTTTTAACCAGCACTCTGTGCCATTGTCAAGTATGGTAACTAGCTGCCACGTGCCACCTAGCTTAAAATCTCGCATATAACATAACGTCAACGTATGTTGTGAATCACGTGGAAGATCAAGTCATTACGTCACAAAACCTTTCTTGGGCAGTGAAATATAGGAAGGACGTCGTTTGCTCAGCGCCACTTTTTTTAACACAGGTGTAAATCATAGAGAAACAATCGTTATAAAAATAGTTGTTTTCAATAAAATTTGGAGTATTTAGTTACAATCGTAAAACAGTCAATGTAATACGCCAATACTTGTTTGCCATAGGTAAAAAAATTGTACATTATAACAACTAGCTCACACTTGTCACATGCCAAGGCTACAGCAGCTTGAATTTTTTTTGCAAATCAAAATATATTGGTATGCATTTTCAAAGTAGAACAAATGGATACTTCAGGAGATGTAAACGTTATGAAATAGAACAAATGGATACTTCAGAGGATGTAAATGTTACAAAGTAGTACTAATGGATATTTCATAGGATGTAAACGTTACGAAGTTGTACAAATGGATACTTCAGGGGATGTAAAGCCATCACCTTTTCCAGCCACCGCGATTAAGTCCGGCTTTCTTGAACACATGGGGCATTTTCTGTTTCTTTCATGTGAAGATCGCATCCATATAATTATGTTCTGTCGTTCTCCAGACTGTATTGGTAAAGCACCATGCATTTGCTGACCACGATGTAAAACAGCATATCCTTGTTTGTGATCCATCAGAGTGCATTCGCTTTGCGCAATAGCAACCTTATAGAACAAGAACCTGGTTTATAATAACCTCAATTCTCCATAAGCCTGTTCTTCCACAACGTAACCCTTTACCTGATCACAACTTATCCCTCACCCCCCACCCCCCAAGTTCATCATTACTATGGTATAATATCATTAGGGTCTATCTATTTTGTATGCCTGATGACTTTAAAAACTTACTTCTTTCATGTCACCAAAATAAAGTTCACCGTCAATAAAATTCTTTCCAATGCATAAATTCAAAGTTACTTCAGCATTATCAAAATGATATCCAAGACTTTGGTCATTTTGCATATCATACTTCACCGTAAATGCTTTATACGAGTCCAACGTACTACCGCCTTCTTCAGGAAATAAGATTCGACTTAATGGTTTTAAGTAATCTTCGAATAGTGGATCGAGAAAACGATCATCAAAACCAAGCTCGTCCAGAAGAACCTGGGAAAGAAAGGCAACATGTGGCAAAATGATTGATGGGATAACCATTAATAACAGTAAGGTAAAATGCTAGAAAAGGCACATTCTAAATAAGCAATCTTGTAAATTCAAATTAAAACTTCACACATTTGATTTGACTGGCTTGAAAGATTTGATTCTTCCATGAATTTGAATCATACAAGATTGTTTTATGTATAGATTATTGAAGATAATCAAACAATGTCAAAATTATATCACATGTGCTAGTTTAGACTAAATTATGACAATTTTCAACATTTTCAGTTTTGGCACAAAATACTACAGTGTAACCAGTCACAGATGTTTTAAAAAATCACTTCAGATTAAAGACATGACACTGTAGTACTGACTAGTGAGCATTTTCATTCATTCCTCTGAGATAAATATCCTGATGAAGCAATGACACAGGAGATAATTAGATCTTTTCAACAAAATTATTTCTGATGAACATAAGTGCTAATTGGTTGTATTTTATACATCATTTAGTGAAAAATAAAATGTTTTTAAACTTACTCCATAATTATTCATAGAATTTGGCCTTCCTTTCGGTAAATCTGTTTGGTTGTAATATGCAAACTCTTCCATCAACATTTCACAAATATCTTTAGTGAACATAGGAAAACTATAAATTTGGGGAACTAAAAGGAACAAATACAAAACTATACCTTTTCCCACATTTTTTCTTTAAGCACACATTCTTTCATTCTATTTCAATAAAGAGAGTTATACAATTACAACAAAATGCTAGTGACAAAAATTACTGACCATGATGAGCTCTGAATTCAGGAATTGATAACAGGGCATTGTAGCTTGCACCATTTGACCTTGCATAATTCACAATTCTTAGAAACTGGTGATTCAAAAATGATTCCTATTGAATATAAACAACTCACATTAAATTTTAGATCATGGATGCACAAGGAATTGGCTAATCCAAACTTTACCATCTCAAAAAAATACTCACTCTCAAAATATCAAGCAATGACAACAACTACCATACTTTGGGAAATGTAATTGGGATCCAAACAGTATGTCATAAAAACAATAACTAACCAGTCTATAATGGTAACAATTGACCATTATACCTGGAGAACAAAGCAATCCGGATTTAATTGTTTGTACACTTTGAAAATCATAGCTTTTCTATTGCTGGACTCCTCGGGAAGATTTTTCTTCTCTTTACTTCATTTTGTACCTCAAACAAAAATTCTTCATATCATTGCATATAAGTTTTCCGCTTTGAGACCAGTCAATTTTTGCTATAAAATATTACCTGGACAACTATATTATCAAAATCGTCATTTGAACATCCGCGATTGCTAAAGTACTGCGAAAAATACACCAAAAAGATGAAATGTCATTTTCAATCAAAATGTTATATTACTGAAAATGGAGACCATTGCATACGCATTTCGAAAATCATCCTCATTGCCATGATAGGTGACGTGTATATCAAAGGATTTCAAGTAGATATTTTGTTTATAAAAACACGAGCAAGCTAAACGTTTCATGTCCTTTTTGTTTTCCATGCCATGGCCACCAACATTCTTCAACAACTTTGCCTATTTTACATACATCAAAAAGTTCTTGTAACATAATATATAAATGTATAATTTAATATTGTAATGTGTCAATAAGCTCTAGAATAAAATAATAAAAATGTATCTCCTGCTAAAAGGCATTGTAAAGTACATTTAAAGTACACAAAGACAATCCTTAGGCTCATATTTAACAAGAGTCATGTTTTCTTTTGAATCATTTTTGAAAGACTTGAATGCAGCCTCTGTCATTCAAAAATTTCAACAAGAAATACATTGAATAATTCTTGCTGAAGACTCTAATAGTTAATGCCTTTGCTTTAAAGACAATAACTTATATCTTTGTGACTTATAATCTTCCCTTTGACCACAAAATCCCAAATGACCACAACTTTAGTAACACATCAGCTGACCAGATTGGATCATCAGATACATACTACCCAAATTTACCCATGATGAAATTATGATGCCACTAATCATTGAATCCAAACCAACATGGGATGTCAGCAACAAAATTCAACTTTCAAAAAAGCTCAGAATAATCTCATATGTTAAAAACATGATCCCAGTATTTGGAATCTGCCGAATCAATTGAGTGGATAATCCACCATATAATCCCCTGGCTCCTTCTTCAAATCCAACTTTGAGCAAAGTTTGCATGAATGAATAGTATCTTCTTTTACCATCATGTTCAAACTGCCTCAGACGAGTTCTAACAACTTCATGTGGGTATGTTAAAGTACAGGCAATGCTTTTTGACACTCCTGCTGCAAGCATGTATTCAAAGAATGTTTCAAATCTAGGTTTATCATAAAAACCACCTTTGCCAGATCTACGATAATGATTGATTTTAGCTTTAATCTTCTCATATATAACCAGATGAATAACAGTCTCTGTTACACCAAAATAGGAAGCAGACAACCCTCTGTAAAACCCTCGTAAACCATCTTTCATGTAAATCTCCTTTATGGAATCAGGGACACCAATTTTATGCACAACACTGAAAAAATTAGTATTAAAGTTAAGCAATTATTAGCGGGAACTGTCAATTGCCATTCCCTATAAAACATCCTTAAAAAGAACATGCTTGTATTCATGGCCATATAGAAATAAAAGAAAATGTATGTTTTGTTTACATATTCTTAAATAATTGGAGTGTTGTTAGCAATAGTTACCTGCTATCTAGCTGAAGTCTTGTTTTTATTACCCATATTGGTGATGTTGCTGTACTTGAAGCAACACCTAAACAAATACATAAAAAATCAACAAAAACAAATGGAACTACAAAATTCAAGAAGTAAACAATTGTTGAGAATAAACTGGTAATACCTGCTGAGAGACCAGAAAGCATATGAACAGATGAACTGTCCTGACGTAACAGACCAGATTTATTTAGCAGACTTTTCGTTTTTGCATAAGCAGTAAAGTAGATTGCCCTTTAAAAACAAATCATATACTAACATTGTTACAACTCATATGACAAAGAAAATATAAAGGAACTAAATTTCAAAGTTTCTAAAGGAAAAATTGAGGATTGCAATTATTAATTGTGAGTTAGAATCAATATTACTAAGAAAACCGAAGATATTAAAGAATTGTATGAAACCTAAAGATTTGTATGTAATAGAACATACCTTGAGGGTGCAACACCAACAAGATTGGGACACAATCCACGAAAAAGTGACTTTGCTCCTTCTGTCTTTACAATATGTCTATAAACCCAAAGTGAAGTATAGTTATAATCATTCTTGCCTTTGTAAAAATGTAGCTATTCAAAATGAAAAAAGCTTACTTTGTACATGCAATCACGCCCATTGGAACTTTTTCTATAGCAATGGATAATGTTGCATGGCCAGGAAGACATGACACATGTTTGAACACGGGAATTGATGACTAGACAAGACAATTAGCCACTTACATAAAATATATAATGTAGAAGACAAATATGTATTTGACATTAACATTTAAGTAAATGCTTGAAACATTTTAATTTAGCATGAAAATAGTATTAGTAGCCCACTTCCCTCAAACTATCAACTATTTGCACAAAATGCAATGTATGGTTTTTTATATAGAAGTAGAAATGAAAACTAATTTGAGCATCTTCAGTTGGTAAATACAACAATTTTTCAACATACCATGACTAAACTTATGACATCAAAAAAGACAAGTAATTATGCAATTAAAGAACACTTTTTGAGATGATAATATTACCTGTAGTCGTGTTTTGATCACCTCTAACGGACATGTTACTACAGCTCCTACAGTACCTGCAACCCTAAATGTTTAAAGTAACCCTATGAGTTCATGATTATTACCAGTACTAAGAATTAATTGGTAAACTGAAGGAAGATGTGTCAAAATCCGTTGATGCGTGTATAATTGTATTTTTTTTTGTATCATTGTAATGTCACAATTCAACCCCGAAAGCAAGGACATGATAGCAGAGAGTATTGGGCAATTCACTATTCCTCCACCTAAAGTTTAAATATGGTACATCGGTTGTAGAATTGACATGGTAATACTACAAACATATCAGCTGATACAATACAGTTACAAACATAGAAAGAACGATTTTCCTTTTATGTATAAGAGTAAAATGAAATAATAAACACAACTTCGTGGTCGGTTTTGTGAATGTAAGTGGACATAAAATCACAGTACACAATTATTTATGCAAGCAAATTGACTGAACGCCAGAAATACAGCGACGTGAGTAAATTCGCGGAAACATTAATTCATTTTAATTACAATACTCTTCAATAGCAGCTTTCGAGAAAATACTTAAATTCAAATTTAAGCATTCTTCACAACATACCCGCCAGCAGCAAGATGAACTAAGGTAGAATTATGTGTTGCCCGATGTGATTTCATTTCTTCGTCGTTTATCATGTACAAAAAGTGGACAAATAATCGTCAAACAAAGCAACGGTGTGTGTGATTTCCCAACTTGTAGTAAACAACATTACAACATTTATGTTACATGACATGTGGTTCAAAGGGCAAAGCATTGAGTTCATGTTGTTCACGTGCAATAAACGCCGCAAAAACGATTTATTTTACGCTTATTTTACTCCGGTACCATCATTTGAAAGAAAATTTCATAGAGGCGCGTTGTATAAGAAAATAAGTATGGTATAAAACCCCTTCTTAAAGATTCTGACAACGAAAATAGTTAAAAAATTTTTCACGTGCTATCTTACACACAGCTTATATTATGGAAATTATTTTATGGAAATTGGATAACACGTGCAGTTCTCAATTACGCAATGCAACGTCGTGCAAATCGTCACGTAGCGTTTCTGTCAGAATACATAATAAAATTTATGTTTGCAATATTGCATTAAAACTTGCTGAAATGTTTCTGTTGCAAACCTTATGCTTTTATTTCTACCGCGTTTTCAACACGCTACTTTGATTGATTACTATCAATCAAAGTAGCGTGTATCAATAAACTTTTGACTTTTGTTATTGCAAAGAAAATTTCCCGAAAAAATAATTCGAAAGAAAAACCTACCACAGGTTCTTGAAAAAAGCATTTTCCATTTTCCATCCATTTCATTATACAAGCGATTTCATGTTTCGTTGTATATCCATTCATTGCCCCACCACAGACACACCTATCACCATCACCCACCCACCACAAATCAACAGAGCATGCGCAATAATATAGTGACGATTTGAAAACAATAAGCAAAGAGAAAAAGTTGCAATTTTCAATCACTTTAATCATAATTGACAATATAGCTGATAAAGGTACTAGTTAGTATACCACAGCATAACTCGTTAAATGTTTGTAAATTTACTTTATAACTCGTTAAAGTTTCTCTGTAGTGTTTAATTTGCTGCTGTCATGGAATATGATAATATGCTGAAAAGTATCGGAGAATTCGGCCCTTTTCAAAAAAAGTTTATTTAATACTCAATTGTTTGGCCTTTTTCCAATGTTGTCAAATGTTTCTATTAGTGTTCGTGGCTGATAAGCCACAATGGCATTGCTCTGAAAACTCATTTTCAAAAACTCTGATTTTGAACAATGATTCGACGTGTTTCAAGGATGGTTCGGCTTGTACAGAAATAGATTTCTCTAAAGATTTCACCAGTATAGTTTCCGAGTGGAAATTGATTTGTGATCAAGAGTACAAGGCCGATATAGGTCAATCGATTACAATGTTTGGTTGTCTAATTGGAGTTATAATTGCTGGTCGCATATCTGATGTGATTGGTCGACGCTATGTCACAATTGTGTCCCAGGTTATTGCATTTTCTTTGGGCATGTTGACTTCATTAACGTGGACCTATAACCAATTCCTGTTGCTGCGTTTCCTTTGTGGTTTAAGTATAGTGGGTGGTAGCATGTCTTCTTTTGTCATTATGACTGAAATCATTGGGCCATCTTATAGAGGTTTGTTTTTAATATTGACACTACCTTGTACATATGTTGTTATCATGTTCTGTTTGACCCAACATGAAGAACCAGAGTTTGATTTTTTCCAGGTCAGTTGATGACTATCTCACAGATGTTCTATGCAATTGGTTTTGGCTTTTTTGCATTGATGGCTTACATTTACCGAGATTGGCGTCATCTTACAATGGCAGTCTCAGTTCCTGGTGTGATTTATATGTTGTTGTTTGCCAAAGCAATACCAGAGTCACCACGCTGGCTTTTGGCTGAGGGACGAATCATAGAAGCTGAAGAAATTCTTGATAAAATGGCAAAAAAAAACGGTGGAAGCTTCGACAAGCAATATCTCAATGTAAATAACATGAAACACTCAAATTCCTCATCATTGGAAAATTATGGGATTCATACATTACTGACTCACAAAAGCTTTCGTTACAAAATGATATTGTTGATGTTTATATGGCTCATCAATAGTATGGTCTACTATGGACTGTCTTTTAATTCTAAAAATTTGGAAGGTGATCGGTATTGGAATTTTTTTTTCTCAGGGATAGTTGAGGTGCCTTCTTACTTTTTGGCTGTGCCAATGATAGACAACTTGGGACGCAGAAAATCATTGTTCATTAGTGTAATATTGGGTTCATTAGGATGCCTTCTTTGCTCATTGGGTCCTCCAAAATTTGTGGTGTTGACAGCCAACTTTGGAAAATTTGGCATTTCATCTTCATTTGCAATATTATATGTATATTCAGCTGAGCTTGTTCCTACTGTGGTAAGAAATTTTGCCATGGGTACTTGTTCAATGACAGCAAGATTTGGTGCTATGTTGGCACCTTTGGTAGTTACTATGGGTAACATTCATCCCAAACTACCAATGACATTGTTTGGAACTAGTGGCATAATTGCTGGAATTATTGGAATGATGTTGCCTGAAACATTAAACCAACCAGTTCCAGATACTTTAGATGATCACTAAATTGCTAATCAATCAACTTTAAACCAAGACATTTCTTAACTATTTTTGGATATCTTGAATTCAGTGGTACGTGTCTCAAATGATTCTGAGAAACAAAGATGAAAAATGTCTATTTTACACTCTAAACGTACATTCTACAAATTTGCATTAAATGTAATATACACAGTAATTTATTCACATCTTTAATTCAATCATTGTATGCATTATTTCCTTTGGTCACTGGTACTGATGTTCAATCATCTATTGAATGGGTGGAGCAGGTGGTGGAGGGTTACCAGATCCCTAGAAAAAATAAAATTATTTTCTTCACAAGATTATTATGATTTTTTGATGATTTTTTACTAACAAAATCATCACATACAAGTTGACAAAATTCAATTAATTACTTTACTACTACAGTTCAACTTATCTTTTAATCATTGTATTTAGAGTATATTTCCAAAAAGCTACTATGAATTTGGTCATAAACCATTAAAACAGGCATAGTATTTTTTTGCATGAAATAATTATGAGAAGGAAATAAACTAAAAAAAGGAACGCACCTGGTTAGAAGGCTTTTCATTGCTTGATTGTCTTAAGTTCTGTGGTCGAAGTAGAAACAAGACAACAGCTGCAATTATCCATGCTATGAGAACATACATCATGTTGGAGCCACCATTACTACCACTACCTTGAGGACCAGGAGCTGTAAGAAAACATTGTATCTTTGATTTATCTTATTAGGCTCTCTGCTTTTGAGTAGACTTGTATCGTTTACAGGGAAGAGGAGTGGAAGGTTAATTTCTCAAATGTTGTTAGATAAGGTCGTTATTGTTTGTAGTTGTTGGTTATAGCGTTGTGCTATCATTCTTTTTGTTTAAATGGTATGTACTGAGTTTATGTTGAATTTTTGAAAGCGAGTTCACATTTTTGTTATATGTGCCCTGCAGTTGTTGAAATGCAAAGTTTGGACAATTTCCATATTTTAAAGTGATCATTTATCTTATCTATGTAACATTTATCTTATCTATGTAACATTTGAACTAGACTTATCAAAAAATATTGATTGCCAGACGATATATGGGCAAACAATATCAGCTCAAAGAAATACTCTATTGACGTAATTTAGTAACAGAAGATTCAAAATCTTTTATAATAAATAATTGAATTATTGAAAAAAGGAAAGGAGAATCAAAATAACGATGTTCAACAGTCCACAGGAAAGCTATTTATTGGCATCAACGTAAGCAAAAGCAGAATAATGCACATTACATACATTATTTACTATAAATACTCTCAGAATACAGCATATAAAATATACCGAAGACAGATTTTATTCAGTTTTGTGAATGAAAAAAACAGAATTACAGTACAAGTGTCAAACCAAAATCAAATGTTAAATTCCATACTCACGTTCCGTGAAACATTCATTGTCTGTGCAATAACTTTGTGAGCTTCGTAGCTGAAATATAAAACGTCGAAATGTAAACGCTAATATTGGCTGCTCCCGTCACGCGACGAACGAGTGAGAAACGATGTGAATATCTAAGCTATAGAAACAGAAACATTATCTCGTTCTCTTACCAAAGAAATAAGACGTCTCATTGCACCTTCGTAGCTACAAATGCACTCACAAGGGTCAAAACTACCGCCATCACCACCTTCCATATTTTACTTAAATACGTAATAAAATTTATTGAATTTCAAAATTCAATTAGGCACAAAATTGTTCTTTTTCACACGACTTTATCAAAGCAAGAACCTTTTGTGCAACGTCTGTTGGCGATAGAGTCTAACAAAATATTTCAGACAATTTTCGTAGATTTTCAATCCATAACAACACAAAATTGCCGGTTTCACAAGGAGAATAGTATATAAATTACGAGTCAATTATGTTGTTGTATTGTGAACGCGCCACGTAAAACTAACGCGTTTCCGGTTCAGAAAATAGATAACGGAGAAATTGTACAATCCACGAATAACTTCTGACTCATACGTAATTACTCCCCGGATTTGTTGAATGGGCTTGGCACTGCGCTCAAACGATTCATGTGATATCGAGCTTTAACGTAGATAACGTCCACTTTCTAAAGTGTATATTTTACCATCCTACTGCTCTGAGGTTTTGAGAACTATAACTAGACTACACATGATGACGAGTTACAAGTATTTGTAGCTAAGGTGTTAAAAAATAGATGTTATTTTTTAGGGTCACTTGTTACATTGAAAGCTCGACAGGAATATAGCCGAAAAGACAATTTGCTAGAACTTGGAAAGATATAATTATTTCCGTTTCAGTGTTGGCGCAAGTGTCACGGAATACCTACACTGTAATAAAGACGTTGCCCCTACTCTCACTACAAAAATTCTGAGGGAGACTCGTCACAAGTGGCAAAAAATATATGCAATAGCACAAGTTGCAGGGCAAATTACGTCGCATGGCTAGCCGTGGTTGATGGATGACGTGTTTGTAGAGATGTCAGAAATTTTGGGGTTATATTTCTAAAACAATTCTTTTCATAACTCCTCGGGATGTTTTTGGCTATTCACTATGGCACTTTCAACAAAAAAATTATTTCGTCGTTAGAAATTCCCGAAATAAAATACTACGAACAACCAAAGAAAAACAATTTAATATTGATTTCATAAAAGGATACAAATCAAAAACTCGTCAACGAAATAATTTACAAGAAGTAACCATAAATATGCATGCAAACTTTGCCATGATTGTCTTCCTCGCTGCGATCAAAAAGATCTTCGCCGTACCAAAGCCGCAATCTCTGATCTTCGTTCAGATAGATCGGATTAGCAAAATTCGACATGACCAATTCGGGAGACGTAGAATCATAGCCTGCCATTCCGTACCACCATTGTCTCTGCGCAGCGAATTCCGCTTGCGCTTTTGTTGGAAATATCACATGGTTTTTCCAGTCAGTCAGAAAAATCCCAAGGTTCGATTGTACTGTGTGACTACAACCCCAGTTCGAGTTATGTACCTTAGCATTGTGACACCTTATGTGTCCGGAGGAATGTACAAATTTCACGGCAGCCAAAAAGCCAGGTTTTCCATGATGTCGAAGTGTCGCGTATTCATCAAAACGCGCTTTGATACAGATAGGATGATGCGTCATTTTTTGCCATTCACCTAAATTTTTGAACAAATGTACACTTAAATGATAGCGTAATTTATTCAAATCATTCATTAATGTTTACCTTACACGCAAATATTTTTACAAATTGACTGCTAACGAAAAGTTAAACTTCAACTAAAATTGATATGCGTAGTTTCTATAGAAAAAATCTATTAGTTCACAAAGTTCTCTTCACAATATAAAATCTCTTTACACAAATCTTGTGTTAAGGTTTCTGACAGCGAAAACCGCACGCGAAAAAACAATGAACATAACTTGCAATTTTCCCGTTACCAGATTTCCCTGGTATTTTAGGCGCGCATCCATGTATTATTTGACTGTAATATATGGTTATTCAATAGCAGAAAATAACATGAAATGAATTTAAAAATTTTAGAGTAATACGTGTCTCAAAACGTGGAAGAAGCTTGAAGTGTAAAATCATACTTCATGACAAATAACAATAGAAATATCAAAAAAGGTTAATGGTAACAACTCACTAATTCTCGGGTATTCTTGAGACAGCGCTTTCCTAATAGCATTCGGTGAAACAATTTTCACCATCATTAGTACGGACAGGACATAACATAAACTACCAAACATATTTCTTTATACTAAAATTTCTTTTCTAAACAAAGATATGATGTATTGAGAAGGCCGTGTTCTTATGATTGTTGTGATTGATAAATAAAGTTTATAACTTTATATATAATCCGACAATAACACATTCCGTTGTGTTGATTGGTAGAACTGGGATAGCAATTAAAGACATGCACTCATTAAATTATTAACAGACTACACCTCGCGAACTGGAAAAAAATGAGTAACAGTGGATAGTAAGCTTGTCTTGTCAAACGTTTTTCAGTATTTTCAATTTGAAACAGACAAGTTTAGAGCATGAAAATTAGTGGGCGCACTGCGATAGTTACTGGAGGCTGCCAGGGTATTGGCAGAGGAATTGTTTACGCATTATTGCAAAAACATGCAAAGGTATTTAAACTAGTAATCTGTATTTTAGACATGTCCTTACATGACCAACACAGAAACCCTTGTGTCTTAAATCTCTGAAAGTGGTATGAATTTTGTTTTTGCGAGAAGTTCATTTGCAAAGCGAGTGCAGAAAGTACATGGTCAAGACCCCTTTTAACTCAAATCTTAACCTTTTTATACATAAGATATTATATTATTTACATTTGGCACAATGCATTAAATTCCCTCATTAATCAGGTTGCCATCTTAGATGTCAACGATGTTGCTGGTAAAGAATTAGAACAAAAGCTTAAAGATGAATTTGGGCAAGATATGGTATATTATAGACACTGTGATGTCTCAGACAAGTTTCAACTTAAAGGTAATCTATATAGTTGGCAGAGACATGATTACATGGACAGGGAATAAATCAACTATCTCTTATAGATGCATTTCATGAGGTGAAATCTAAGTTTGATGGGCTTCATATCTTGGTGAACAATGCTGGAACAAATAATGACCCAGATTATAATATCACTGTAGATGTAAATCTGGTTGGTTTTTCCCTGTTTCTTTGAAGCTTTTAACAGAAAATAGCATAGATATAGAAGTTCAAAGTTTGCTTAAAACTGATTTTGTACATCTAAATCTTGTCATTCAAATTAATAAGTTGCCTAGACAATAATACCAAAACTAAAGTTTTTGAAATATTTATCAACTCATCATCATTGAGGTTTATTAGACATTCATTAGTTACATTCTATCTTGTTAAGAAAGCAGTTATAAGAGCTACAATGCTTGCAATTGACATGATGGACAAAAACAAAGGCAACCTTGGGGGTGAAATTATCAATATCTCTTCGATGTCAGGTGTGTAATCTAATACTTTGCACTTGGCCTCTAAAAAATGTATAGGTTAGCATAACATGAATTATTTGTGCGTTTCAACTGGTAAACTTACATAATTGGTTTTTTCAAATTCTACTATTGACACATTTAAAGCATGTTCTTATCTATATAAAGGAATCATACCTTTGTCATTTGTTCCTGTATATTCTGCTACCAAATCTGCAGTCATCACATTTACACGATGTTTAAAAGTAAGAAAACCACATTCATATCATCTTCCTTTAAAAGTGTCAAAAAAACCCAATTTGCTATTGTTCAACCTTACATTATATAACATGTTTTAGGCTGCAAAAACTTACAAAGGCATTCAAGTGAATTGTATTTGCCCAACTTTTGTCAAGGACACAGAAATATTTTCCATGGCAGAAGTGTCCCCACACTTACAGCGAGCTATTGCTAATACAGGCATTGTCACGTAAGATATGTGAAGTAAAAGTTTATTTGCAAAGTCAGGAAAAATTCTAAAGATTGTGCTCACACAATTATTAAACTGTGAAACAGTAATATGATTCCTACCAGACTTTTTGTCTTCAAAAATCAATCTTCCTCATTTAAGGGTTTCCATGGTAGCAAATGCTGTCATTCAAACAATTGAAGATGACTCCTTGGCAGGAAATATTGTAACTGTAACCTCTCATGGCATCAAATTATTCAAATTCCCAAAAGCAAAATTATAAATATTTAATAATGAAAAGTTTTGTGCAAAAACTTTGGCACAGCTTTAAATAAGTGCTATTATGTATTTAACATAAAAAATGGATGGATATGAACTTTAATCTGCTTTATTCATCACCATTTAAGTGGATGTGTGATGTTGTAAATAAACAAAGGCATTTTCCTTACATTCACGAAGCATATCACCAGTACTGTCCGAACCAATCCAAAATGTTTTTATTAAAAAGGGAAAACAAAAAAAAAATCAAGTTGTTGCAACAGAGCATACTTCTAGCACAAACATAAATTTAACTTGCCCACAAACTTGTCAGAACATTATATAAAATGAAATACAAGCAAAGGCTGGATTTTGGTTTTTATTCCTCTTTAAATGTAAGCATTACATTTAGCTATACTTAATCAAAGAGACCAAAGCCCATGTCATCATCACTCTCTTCAGATTCTTCCTTCTTTTCCTCCTTTTTCTCTTCTTCTTTTGCAGGTTCATCATCATCAGCTGCAGCACCACCACCAGCAGCTCCACCACCACTACTAGCCATGCCACCAGTAGGAATACCAGCTAATTTTTCTTTACCAGCAGCTACAACCTGAAACATTGATAAAACATTTATTAATTTAACGAACTTTAAAACAAGTCCAAAAATAAGACTTGAGCCTATATTGAAATTGATCTCAAACTAATTCAATATGCATATGAAACAATCAAAGGCAAAATCATTCATTGCTTGTAATACAAACTGCAAAGTACATCCCTTTTCTGCGAGATCTTAAGTGTGCAATTGCCACTTCTCTGTAGTCTTGAAAAGGCACAATTTTATAACTTATAAAGTATATAGATAAATTAAATTGAATACCTCATTAATGTCTTTCCCATTCAACTCAGACACAACTTTATCCAGTTTTTCATCATCAACATTTACACCAACTTTCTCTAGTATTTTCTTGATATCTTCGGCAGATGGTGATTCATTACCACCAAGACAAGCTAACAAGTATGCGGCCACGTAACGCATCTGCGGATAATAAGTTAATCATTTGGTTCTAGGTATAATCAACCAGGTATATTCACTGGCTAGTATGGAACATGAAAGACACCAATCACCCACGTGGCTTGAACTTTCAAATTTTCCATTTTACGGTTCAAGAATTGTTGCTGTACAAAAGTCATTGAAGTTGATGCAGACATAGGAATAGATATAATAAAAAGAAAATAACTTACTTTTTAAGTCGACAAGGACACGAAACGAAGTGCACGCTGTATTTTTTGGAAGAGGAAATTCAACACAAACTTTTCAGGTCAAATGCTGAAACAGAAAGAATTGATAAACGTCGGGGCGCTCCTTTACAGCTGCCAGGGGCTTTCTGATCTCAATAACTGTAGTGTTTATTGTGAAATTTCATAAGAAAATAATATTTTCAACTTGTCAAAGAAAATTAGAAAATTACTTATTTTGATTGTACTTTCTTATACATACGACTATTTCCGAACCCTATTTGTGGACATACGATTTTATAGCGATGAGATAGAGCAGGAAAGAAGGTTGACGATGGCTGATCGTGTGAGCCAACTTCAAGACGCTTTGAATGAGGTATACAACCCATAAATTTTTCCCAATAACCATGCTATTCGTGGTGCTGCCATACCTAGAGAAAATAGTGAGTATGCCAAAGAATTTTGGAAGTACCTATGTTTTTTTGGAAAGACATTAGCATATCTCTTCCTGACACATGTACTCAACTTTCGTAAGTGGAGGGGGGGGTAGTGGGTATATTATCATTTAGTGGCACCCCTCCTGCTCTAAATGTAGCCAACTAACCTAGCCATACATAACGGTGTACAAATAGGTGTATTTTTGTGTAAACAATGTTCAAATTTCCTTTTTATATCCATTAAATTAATTTTAGCTAGCTGAACACTTTTGTAATAGTATTGGAACCTTACAGCAGACGGCACAACCAAGCTCTTTTCCTGGGTTTGAAAAGGAAGGTCAGTGTCAATTGAGGTAGTCATTTATTTCTATAAAAATTCCAGTCAAATTGAAGTGAGTTGTAATTTGTTTCTTAGAGAATGATTTGAATCAAGAAAAAAGTTTAACTCAAGAAGGCAAGTTAGATATTTAAATAGAATAACTCTTTGTTCATTTTTTGTATGTTTTATGAATAAAAAATTCATTGATAAAAGTGTTAACTGGTGCATAACCTGAGTCTCAAGAAAGGGAGAGGGGGCTTAGTTTGCTCAATATGACTAGTTGATAATTGTTTATAAATTTGCAGTCAGCTGTAGGTAATAAAAGACCAAAATTTTGCGGTTATTGTTTTACAGGCCATGCGAAACTCTTTGCCTCAATGATAGCAAGAACAGCGAAGGACATAGACTGTCTCATTGATTCATTGCCAAGTGATGAATGCTCAACTGAACTACAAGTATTTAAGAATCTTTTGCTATGAAAGACTTCCTGTCAAGCATACTTGAGTTTTACAAAATGGTTGTTTTTCAGATGGCCAGTCTTGAGAGGCTGCAGATGGAAAACGAAGAAGCTGGAATGAAACTCCAAAAAGCTGTGGAGAAAGGGGGTATGCACAAAAAAAACATTGATATTCGTCACTTTTTACGTCCAAATGGACTGGCTAATGTCTTATACATGTTACAAACAATATTTATTGTGTTGAAAATAGAACGAATGGACTGCTCATTAGAATCAAAAAATTTGAGTTAATATAGAAAATGAAACATACAACTATTATTGGCCAATTTGATCATTCTGTAAAAAGGAACATTTCTTTTGTTGGTTTTCTACTTTGATAATTAACATATATACAACTTTGGCTTTTGTAGAAGCTGTTCTTGAAATGTTGCAGAATGCGTTGAAATTCATCGCGGAAAAACAGCTTGATTCAGAATGCGATGTTCTTGAATGATGATGTTTACTGTATGAAATTTTGGATGTTGAAGTAGACAATTTAGTAAAAATCAGGTCCAAATTTGTTGAAGGAACGTGAATTCATAAGTTTAATGTAAATAAGATGAGAGAAGAGAAGTGTTGTATGCTTTATATGTAAATGCATGACCCACAAACACATGTAAAAATTAATGATTGATATTTATTTTCAACAATACACTATATAAAATAACTGAATAAAAAGTATTTTTTATAATCTATTCGGTAAAAATTATACCTAAATATTTAAGTTTTACATGTAGCTTTATTGTGCTTTAACCACTATAATCCAGCCTTGCCTAACGTGAAATAAGTCAGACAAAGGTTCGTGTGGATTAGTGGAATTTATATCTCTCTCGGAAAGAAAAAAAAACGCACTCAAAACAAACAATAAGTGTTTTGGAAGATTGTGAGTTTTTAAGCCCATTTTATGTGTAAAAAAAGATGAGGTAATATGAGAACAATATGTTAAATATAAATAAAATCAGATTATTGAAATATTTGTCTGTCTACACACGGTTTCCATGACATAACTCATCATTTCCATGATAAATTATGAAACACTTATATACAACCGAAATAAGTTATTTGCAGACAAGGTGTTGAGTTTTTGTTGTAGCTTTGTTGGTTGTTTTTTTTTTTTTGCAAACAAAATCGCAGTCGTTTGTTTGTTCTTTCATTACCTTATCTTATTAAGAGTTCTTTGGTAATAGAACATCCAGCAAACAAACTTATCGAGACAAAGTTTAAACGCAACAATATAATAAAAAAAAAAGCAAACGGAAAAGTTTTGAAGAAATTCTAAACGAAAATGAAATTCTGGAATTTTTGATCGACACATTTACAATTGGGTATTTTATCTCCAACTCTCATCCACAATCCACTGCAACTTTTCGCGTCTGTTGCCATCCATGACGTAAAATTACCCACAATTCCCTCTCCTCTACAGAAACCACTATCATTCATTGTAGCTGGTTGACATTCCACGCACATTGGTTTCGATAATTTGAGACTTTCTGCCCATGTGCCTTTACAGTATGGATGTTTCGACATTAATTTGAAATTGACACAATGGCTACGGAAACTGTGAACGAAAGAATATATGATAAAATATAAACGTTGATTGGTCAAGAAATGTTCGTCTAAAAGTTATAGAGCGTCTTGCACTTATCCAAAACATGTTTTTGTAAAACGTTTACTTTTTAACTAAATTACTGCAACAATTCCAAGAATATTCTAAACATTCCAATAATGTAAAGCCGAGCTGTGCTTTTTATATTAAAATATTCATATATACCTCTGGCGCACTTTCTCACTTGCGGTCAACACTTTCTTTTTCGGCAAAATGGTCTCGTAAATGCTGGAACCTAGCCGGCGAAAATCAGCGGGAAGGATTTGTGCCAACACTTAGATGATAAAAATACATATTATTAGAAGATTTCCATGAACTGAACGCGAAAACATTAGCACTGGATGGTTATCACTGAATATGAAATTTACTGAAGAACCATTTGGCCTGGAACATGGTGTTGTATATTTAATTAGATTATTGGGTGCGGTTATCAAGGTCACTGTTCTTATTGGTCAGAAAATGAGATTGACTAACAGCCAGAATAATTCCAAAGGAGTGACCCTTATACACATGCATTGTGTGATGTTGTCAAAATTACTGAGATTTCTGAGAAAAGTGCCAAGTATCATAAAAAAAATTTCGAGAATGTATCTTTATTGAAGCACTGCAGTCATCTAGATATAGAAATTTACTCATTTAGATTTTCCAGAAAATATTTTCATTATCCATTCAAGTTTTGATGGGAGGAAAAGTTAAGATGAAACCGGATTTATAATTACCCATATCGTCTCTGCAGTTTTGACGGAAACATCCTTTCTTTTCAAGTCTAACTGGACATGATCTGCCACCGTTTTTAGGTTCTTTTAAGATATCTCGACGACGTGTCATTGTGCCAAATCCACACTGCACGCTGCATTCTGACCATGGCGACCACAATGATAAAACACAGTCCTGAGCCTCTGAAAAAAATAAATATTAATTTTGAATGAAAGGAAGACGGCTATTGAGACCTTCCGAGCCTTTCTTCGGGGGAGAGTGGGGAGTGCCGGAGTGGAGACCGAAAGTTGTCAATGTTTGACATAATCACGATTTACAAAGATTTTGTCCATCTACAAAAGCAACTATATCAGTTGATAAAAAATTCATTTGATGTAGTACCACTATGTCTATGTGACACAGTGACATTGCAATCAAATAACAGTTGTCGAGTCGTGGTACGTGGTCAATTGTGAATCGCACCCACGGTAAGAAAATATCTAAAAAATTATTACATTGCAATCAATATTTACACGACACATTTCAAATGAATCATATCTTTGCCTAAATATGGTAAGTTAATGCAATCAGATAATTTCAAACATCTCGCGTGTACAGTAGGCGCTAACGGTGGTATGTTTTTATTGCATAAAAAACACCCATCAGGTTTTAATTGGTTTTAAAGCTTATCAAGTTTCCGGATCGACGGCACGTTCCATTTAATGAATGCAAACGGTTCTTATTAGGGTTTCTTGAAGAACTAATAGTAGCAGATGTGTATTATAATATCATTTTCATCTCTTTTCTATCATCTTCAGGAGAGAGTGTTAATCCTAAAACAATTTTCAATTTTCTTGTTCGAGGAGTGTTAAAACACTTATTGTTTTTGCTCGGTTCGTATATACCACGTCAGGAAAAATTTTGCCTATTACTTCGACAACTGTAGCATGCAGAGATAACTTGGGGGGCAATTAGGCTAAGCTCTATTGAATTTTTATAGAATTATTAAAAATATCTTGATCAGATTCACGCTCGAAATTTTAACATTTCAACCAAAAGCTGAGTTTTAAATCATCGCTTTTAATTCATTGATTTGTCGAGAAACTTTCAAAATTTTCACTTTAGTTAATTAAGTTTTCTCAAATGATTAATTTACGATGGCAAAATTTTGAAAAAGCATTTTGAAAGGGCAATGAAGCATAAATAACGGCAATGTCAATAAGTCGTTCTTTCCTAACTTTCATTTATGCGAGGCCTAGGGCATAGGTGATCAAGGTGGTCAAATATTGTAGTGAATGTGGTGCTTTGCAAACTAGATTGAGTTGCTTTGTGGGAGGGAAAAATAGCAACAGGATATATGATTTAGTCACACGAATATAGGAAAAAGGATAAAAAGGCGACATACAGCTACATAAAAGACGAATAGCCAAAACAACATGTTTCTGTAGAATCAACTTTGAAATACGTAACATCAGAATATATCCCACATCAATAATACCTATATAGTTACTGTTACAAAATGACACGTGGTTTATGACTATATGACTCTATGCATGAACGCAGAATGGATTCTATTTGTGGTCGTACCATACTTAGTCAGTACAGAACCGGAATAAACTCAATCGGGTATGACAAAAATTTGAGCAAGTTTTTAATTCTGTGATCATTTGAGCACGTAAAAGAATTTACTACAAACCGATGCGTTCTTCATTTTACGATGAAATTTACCCTTGAATAAAAAAAAACACAGCCCCGTTAAAGTTAAACAGAATACGCGATCATTTCAAGTGCCATGGATTTGATAAAGGCATTTACTAGACATGTCCTAATACCAAACATTTGGTCTTAAAGCGATTTATCATGTAATCCAATTTTTCTTTGCTTAAAGTTGTGGTTAATTCAAATCGTCTGCTTTTTCTCCCCTTGTTCACATGGTCTTATAAATGTTCAATACATTTTTTTAAGTTTTTACCCCTCCCCCCTTGTCTACTCAACTTCAAGCGATGTCAGGCAATCTCGTTACAATGATTCCAACCAATCTTTACTCACTTTTAAATTGTGATGGTGTATTTTTCAATGTTTGTCTAAGAGTAAACTTGTTGAAAAGTAAAAAGTGTGAATTTCAATGAATCGTACTATCATCAAAGGAAATTGGTTAGCTTTGAGCTAGAATAATTTCTCACACCGCTGCATATTTTAGCCGCAGAAATAAAAGAAATTATTCCATATTTCTTTATAATTGTCTCGATTTTTAGATTATCATCTGGCCAAATGGCAAATATACTGCGGAAAGAAATCAGTTACAAATCTCGTTTCCTGATGCCTCATATATTCAATAAATAAAAATTCATGCACCTCCAAAAAGCATTGATTAATTAACTTTTAATTTGAATTCGACTGTTTTATGTGAAACGTAAAAAGATACAACAGCAAAGTAATTTATGAAGAATTTCTAAAGCAAACGCTACACAACACCACAAGATTCCCAGACACGCAAAATATTCGTGACTGCACATAATCACTTGTCAATTTACCTCACGAACGCATTATCTAGTGTGAGATCGACGCTAATTCTACTTATGAAACGTTGTGTCTTCGAAGTACGCAATTTATGCAAATCTGATAACTCGACAAGTCAAAGTTTGCCAGCGCAAAACGCTAAAACCTCAATAAGACATCTTACGTTTGTAAACAAACAGTTCTCCTCGATGTAATAAGAGTTTGCATACGACCATATATTATGATCCGGCAAAGTGCTAACAGAAGAAAGTCTTCATTATCTCGTGCTCAAGGCAGATTTGATACAATTAAGAGAAATATCATTCTGTGGCAGTTCATACAGTCTATTGTTCGTTGTATGCAAATGGTGTTAAAGATTTTCATCAAAAAATTCCTGAATTTGATGTTATCAAGCCAACCCATAAAAAATCATAATAATATTGTATTTTGAAGCTCGAGTTTTGTTGAAAGTTAATCGTTTTGAAGGGAAACGAAAGAATTCACAAACGAATATTTTATCGTAAATCGAGCATTCCACCATAGACACAGCTTTTGGGGTATTTTCAATGTATGGGGGCAACTTGTATTAAATACTAATATTTAAACTATGTAAGCAGAACGCACGAACTTAGAGCACATTCCAATATTCAAATATACAAGTTTTCAAAGTCAGTGGTGAAATTTTAACACAAACTATACTCACTGGGGAATCATTTGAATATTGACATAAGAAATCAAAATCTAATTTTAGATGAAAAACCAAAAATGAGCAAATTGAAAACTAGATATTTTTTAAATGAACAATTCAAACCTCCACACTCGTCACGAACTCGATTCAAATCAGGGCAACAATCGCCAGTCGTAAGACAGTATTCGTCACAATAGCAAACACGAGCAAGACCGGCTGGTAAATTGCTCTCATATGAAGATGGTACACGAACCCAACACGAATTATTGGTCCCCTTACAGCAGAGCAATTCTCCGCCAATTTTACGTTTATCACACAGCTGTGCTTGTGTCAATGTGATCGCGAACTGTGCAAAAGCGAGAACAAAAATAGGAAGCATCGTACTTTGAAATTGTCAAACGCACAACGACGCCAACTTGGGAATAATGATTAACCGTTGAATAGATAGTAATCACGAACTTCTCTACGGTACTATCCACGTTGAGTGCAAGATAATATCGCGTTGTTGCGTCACTACGTTCACACAGAAAAACGAAGGTATGCACACTGTCGTCTTGAAAAACTTGTGAGGGTTTGAAAACGATTAGTTAACGTGTTGTATTTATCCGTTGAGCACTCAGGAATGAGTTAGTTTGTGTCTCTCTGTCAATAAGCCAATTATTTCAAAGGTGTCGTTCTCACAGCACGACTCAAAGAAAAAATGTCCGGGAACAAACGAGAGTTATTATCCATGAAAAGATTGCAGATAATCGCTTTGCAACATTGTTTGGACGCGAATGATGATCAGCTTATTTTGACAAAAAATTATTTCCATTGATGAATCATAAAATCAATATTTTGTTTAAAAGTACCAAATAAATATTATTTAGATGAACGTTATCGTGGAAGAAAAATTTTCAATCTAAAAGATCTATCACAAAGAGTTTCGGAAATGGCAACAGCTCCACACCCATTTGGACGAAATCCCAAGATAACAGCTCTTTGTTTAAATGTTTGACATTATGATGGAAAGATATATTATCTTTTGTTATAAGTGATTTCCTAATGGTGTGGAAACGTTTATTGAAAAGTACTGACGCCATCGATTAAATTAGACAAACAACACAAGATTTTGTCTACCGCACTGAACTAAACGTCAAAGAAAATATTGTTTACGGATAATATAAAATTTCAACATCAACTCATTGAGACAACAGACTGACTGAGTACGAAACGTTTCCGGTTTCATAGATTCATACACAGGTATATACCCAGTCTCCACTAGGATATTTCCTAAATCACTTCATTAAACGACATGCACACCAAACAAGTTATCAGCAAGAGCATATTTAATATTATACTCTCAAAATGAAAACTACAGTTTCGAAAGAACATACAACATGACTACATGAACTGATTTTAAACTATTTCTTTGAAGACAACATGCAACATAATAGGCAATAAAAATATTTGGATAACTACTCAATCAAATGCATTATTCCTTTCATTGAAAATAATCCTATAATAAATATGAAATCAAAATAAACGCTTAAATGAGAAGACACAGGGTGGTAGACATTTGTTACATTTCTATACTTTGCTTTAGTCATTCCATTGACTGGTAGTAAAATTTTCACTTGTTTCGTTAATGATAAGTTCAAGAAAACAAAACCTGTCCTGCAAATGTCTTTTTCTTGATGATAAGAATGAGACATTGTTATGAAATTCATGCCATAACAATTTTCATTCCTGACTGTCAGACCAATAAAAAAAGGGTAAATAAATTCTCTTCCTTATACAAAATCTCTGACATTTGCAAAAACAATAAGATTTCATATCGCTATCACATTTTAATCAACGAACAAGGGCTGTACCGTGCTGTTTGTGTGAAGCTTGTTTAGCAACGGACAAGGCCAAAATTGAAACAAAATCAACCGAATTATTGAATAGCCTAACCAAATTAAGCTAAACAGATGTATTTTTCTTCATTAAAAACTTTTATTGCGTAAGATCTAAGCTCTTTGTTTTGTCAAATTTGTATGAATGTATTTCCATAGTATATTTCAGCCTATAATCTTTTTACACTCTGATAGATTGTATTTTATGGTATAGCAAGTTAAAGACAATTCTGGATGCTTAAGAAGACCATGTCCAGACAAATTTATATAAATAAAAATTCACCAAATCATGATTTCGTTTGAACAAAAAATCCAGTGTCACGAATTATTTTAGATCTAAATGCTCATTTTTTCAAACAATAATAACACAATTATTGAATTGGTTTTCACGGTGATATGAAAAATCGAAATGCGCCAGTGTTTATTTAGACTTTAAAATCGTCGTTATATGGAAGATCAGGAATAGAAAAGCAAACCGATAAATGATAAGAACAGCATATATAGTGCATGTGCATGTAAATGTCTTATAGAAGAATTTAGCTCAAAAGATCCATTACTTTTTGTTTTTTTTTTATTAACTCGAATGAAAACTTTTTGATATTGTTTTAGCGTTGATGAGGCTATACAAAGACAGATCTCTTCTGTTTCTCAAATCATTCTAATCGGTTTGCCGCCATATTTGATGTCTGAATCTGATCACGAGATAAAATAAAGCATAGCTATTGGTTCTTTGGTAAATTAAATGCGAGCATTGAGCTCGCTTTAGCGCAAGCGGTCACGTTCGCTCAAAACAATCAAGCATCTTTAATTTGCACGAAAAGGTCAAACAATTCATAAAACTCAGTATAATCGAGCCACACATGCTGAGTTTGTAGACATTGCAAACAAAATTACTTTTAATTAAACTCATAGCTCTAATGTGCTGAACACATACCTGCTTTAGTTGTGTTTCCAACATCCAAAACAAATGTATTATCGGAAATTTCATCTGGCAACAAAACGTAGACATCCTTTCCATTGATGCGCATGCGTGTTTTTATATCATTTTCAAACGCTTCAAAAGTAACTGCATTATCAGTGAAAACTTTAAGTTGTCTCTTCACAGTTTCACCACTTTGAACGTCAAATATATTGTAAGGTGACTCCAGTGATGTCTTCAGTATAATGCTTTCATTCAAAATATTTGTTAATTGAAAAGAGACGTAGAATGTCTTGATGACTATTTAAAATAAAATCAACCATTCAAAAAAATTATGACTATTTATGACTTATGATGGTACATTAAACCATGCAGATAGCAACTTTTCTGTTTATTTTGAAATTTTAGTTATTATCAAGTTCCCATAAAGATTTTCACAAGCGTAGTACGTCCTGTTTCTCGATAAAACAAATACATTGCTTTTGTGCATTTCAAGAGAAAATACAATGAATGAACACTTAAAAACGTCCATGACAAACAGCTAAATGCTTCATTTTTAGCTACTGAGAAATCATCCACTCAATAAACGAGTTAAAACATTGAAAACACACAACGAACCTTGACACACTCCAATGACGTCATTTTCATCTTTGCCGACCTCCTCATTTTGGTCATCAATGAAAGCCTCGCTGCTCTGGTCAGCACAAATCAAATTCTGATCACATTTACCATATCGTGCGTGAAATCCACCGCAAACCTCGTTTTCAGACCGCAGACACACGTTACAACAATCACAGTCGTCTTTTACAAACACATCACGGCGACAACGGATTGTGGACGCTTTGCAGGTTGACTGGTCACATATGTCTGGACATCCATTCCTACCATAAGCACCGTAGTTAAGCAGAGATAAAAATACTGCAAATAGTAGACTTTTCATGATTCTGAAAAACACAAGCAAGCGGTGACTGTTAGTTTTTTCCAGTGTTATTATACACAAACAAATTATTTCATTTTTGGATTTTGGAATTCGAGCAGTTTAACGTTGTATATATGGCGTGCGCCTCGTTGTTATTTCTTAGCATATATCCCTTAGAACTTTTTTTAAGAATTTCTGGGTTTTTTTGCTACGATTTAACGTTTCATGGATTTGTGTTGTAAAACTGTGTCGTACTGTAATGAATAATGTAGTTTATTATTAACGTTTGAACTAAGTATTAGCAAATATGAGAAAAATGTTTATTCAAGTATTGCAGCTACTACTGATTCATCACAGTAGGTTTATGATACCTATGAAAACATTTTATTGACTCAGTTTCCTTCATTGTTTCTCGAACTTTCCATTACAGTAACTATACGTGTTCATGTTAACGATTATGAAGAATGGATAAAAATATTTCGAAATCTTCAAATACATCAAAATACATCATTAATTTGTGCTCACAAAATTCTATATAGAAATGCACGAGTATATACACTTAACACAAACATAAAACTTAATACTGAAAAACAATGGAAAGTAATATGTGGCATTATTCTCTTTATTCAAATTGCTAAAAACAAATCTATTTAACTCTCTAACGTGAAATGCAATAACTTTAAAACATTCATTTAGTTCATACACAAAATTTAAGAAGATTTCTTCAATCCCGAGTTGGTGAAATTTCTCCACTTTGCGACATTTTGACAATTGAATATATACTTATTGACCAATCACAAATATTTTTTAATAGAGCTAAATCAATGCTACACAAATTAAACTTGAATATTTTACGTTGTTAAGAAAAAAAAAAACAGACAGAAAAAGAGCGGATACCTTGCTTTATAAAGACAGTTTCATCAAACTACTAAAGGCAATTTATTTGATGATGCTTATAAATAGCTGTATCGATGAGAAAGAGTTTTCGCTAAACAAACACATTGATCGTCACTCATCGCTGTTAAAGGTGAGCGATAATTTTGGCACGCTTTCGCACGCATATTTGTCTATTTACTGCCATTCTTGGTTATTTCTGTCAATAGAACTGAACGATAAATAAATGCATTATGCAAGATTTTCCTCCAGGCTACGACTAAATGTGATAATGTTTTTTGACTAAACAAAAATGAAAATTGTTAAAAATGTGCCTGATTAGGACACGCGATGACTATTGAATGAATGCATTCTCTCAGCATGCATGCTGATAGATTAAAAGACCGAGCAAAATAAGAAATATTGATTTCCTGTACGCTGTCCTCACAAGATGACATGATTGGGAGATGACACAAAATTTATAAAAATACTTCATAGCTATATGCTTTTCCCAGTCAATATTTTACACATGGCGTCTAATGTAAATCTCACCAAATTATTGCAAGGGATATCAATTCATTTCAACTGAGATCTAATGAACAAAACATTTAGTACAAATTTTTATATACTTTTCTTTAAATTCCATAAATTCGAAAAACAAGAATACCTTGTAATATGTTTGGGTAGCTACACCGAATACATTTAAAGCTAACCAATGTAAATGCAAAACTAAACTGAAACATGTTATTCTTCATGAACTTGCTGTAAGTTAGGTTAATAATGTTACACTTGACATAGTTAAAATAGTTATTCTCATTATTTTTATATATTTATATACTAAATATAGGTCGAATTATAAACATCTGTCTGCAAATCATTTAACGCGGCGAGTTCACATTGAGAGACCTGCTAAAGTGGGAAATTGCACAAATAACACATACTTGGAATTTCTAAAAAATAGCGTCAATAAAGAACAGCACAATTTCTGCATTCATTGTCGGTAAAGTACATAATAAATTTTAACGTCTTTGATGTCAATGTAGTTGAAGTATTAATACAAGCTAAACAAAACATCAGTGATAGTGAAGCATTCAAAACAAACGAGTCATGTTTATAAATCTTAGAATATACACAAAATAAGAGCAAATGTTTTCATAATTTTTTCACCTTTTCGAAAAAACAACAAATGAAGTCATAAAGTAGGTGATGATCGTCGAGCACGACAGTCACTATTTTTGTGGAATTTTAGCGTTCAAATTATGAGTAGAAAATATATTTTGATAACTAAAATGACAATGAAGACTAAGAAAACAGAATTTACCCAGGAAAGTGTAATCATTGCATTCAAATATAGACAATGTTGGCAGAGGAAATGAGTTTTTATTACATATTTACACGAACAATTATAAAAAACACAAATGACGGAAGGATGATGTGCAAAAGAACAAAATAACAATACGATAAATGGACAGCAAACGAGACAGACATTTTGTGATTGAAAGAAATATACTATGATGATCTTCATCCTCTAGTACAGTATTTTACTGAATTGATATCAATGTGCGCTTGAGAAATCAACATATTATGCGTTAAACAATACAATACATGTTACAAACTAACGTAATGAACAATAAATACGTGTGCAAATATTCACTTTATACATTTTGCGCTTCATAAATGACTTTATTCTGCGTATCAATTGAAGTAGTAAGAGAAAATTATGGGAAAATCAATGAAAGAAAATAAATCATGACTGCATGACGCCTCATAATATCCTTTTAAAAAGAAACACTAGAAAATGCTGGAAATATAAGTTTAACTGTCACGTGTCTCAACTACCGATTTTTCATCGAGATGACGCTTGGTCGGCCGTCAGCGATTGCTCGACGACAATACCCGATGAGCTGTCATAAATCTTACTTTAAATATACAGTGCACAATTTCAAACTGTTTCTGTTTTAGGCTAGTGTCCTTTTGAGGGAAAGAAAACAATTTGAAAGCTCATAATCAACCAATAGGCAGTCTTAACAAAAACCAGAAATAACAAATTCGAACAAGCAATAAAGTTAAATGACCATTTATAGAAAATAAAGTAAACGTATACCATACAGGGTGAACTAGACCAAAGTTTAAATTTTCTTACGTATTTATAGTCTACAACAAAGATCAACAGCAACCTTCCAGTTATCTCAAACAAATTGGACGACATTTAGAGCGTTCAATTTAACCAAAAGAAATTCTCGAATTGCATTTTTGAGTTGAAGAATACATTCCTTTGTAATTTGTAAATTAGCTTATATTTCTTTTACCAGAAACGTTATAAAGCAACACAAGTTTTGGGAACGTCCATTTTTCATATTTTTAGTGATAAAACTCTCTTATAGTTTATCATTTTACGTATTGTCGAGCAGTAACATAACATAACATTTACGTCGATTAACGAACTTGTTGGTTATTCAGTTTCATTTAAATAATTTTAATATACATAAAATCGAAAGATTTTCACAGTGAAATCACAGAAATCAACTTACCTTAAACAAGATAAGATAAAGAAACTATGGAGATTAATTCACAAACGAATTTCTCTTCCCGAAGCTTGAGTTAAAGCGGTAAAACCGAGCGAATAAACGATCCAGCCGACACACGCTTGCTTTTGGCATCAAGTTATTTTGATGACATGAACAGCGGTTTGAACACAATAAACTAAGGTAATTAAAGGGTCAAAGATATCATATTCGCAACTCTTGTGGCGACTCTTGTGGTGACAGCTCTGCTGTACAACCAAGTTTCCAAACGACCATCTCACGCAACACTTTGTAAATTCCCGCCAAGATTCGCCCACATATTTCTACAAGAACAAAGATAGACCATTGATAGGCTATCGATAATAAAATATATTTTCAAAACACAAGTGCTGATACATCCTTTGCCGATTTATTTCGCCTTTTTGGAATTTAAAGTTAAGACTAGAAAGACAATTTCTAACATCATTCATTGAAAAGCTAACAATATCCAATTATAACACATGTATATTATCTTACAGAGTAAAGTTTGAAAGTTGCCAGAAAATTTAGTGTATAGTTTATTTTTGACACTTTTCTGTCCCAAAATTGTCCGGATGAAAATTATATCCTATTGCGTGAGACCCCAAATGTTTCATGTCCATAACACACGGAGATTTTCATATGCGACATGAAATTTCATCAGAACTATAGAGGAATTGACGACATTAATTGACGTCATCTTTACACAATTCATTCATCACATTTGAGTTTATTTTTTCGTCATGGAGAAAACAACGAAAGTGCTTTTGCCGTTTTATCAATCATCGAAGCCATTCACAAAAATATGAAGAGGAAATAGCTCAACTGCTGAAGACATCTCCTCTCATAGAAATCATGATTGATTGCATAAAACACGATAAAAAAACTCACAAAAATTCATGTATACAATTCTGTACTCCTCAATTTTAAATTAATCAATGAAAAGACAGGGTTAGTCTTGAAAGTCACGAGACAAAACAAGTTACTGCATTTCATCCCAGCTCGAGTTAAAACTTTGAAAAAAAATATTTATAATATGTATAATATGATGAAGAATGAAACCTAGCCTATTTCTCTCTCAAGCCAAGATATCGACGCGAAACTAGTTGTTTGTTAAATGAAAATCTTCTGTTAAAACATAGTAATATTTCAAGAAACATACTACAGATATTCTGTTGGCTAAACTACTCGATAGTTGCTCCATAACAAAAATTAAACAATGCAAAATCAATGACGCTCTACTCCAAGAAGGTGCTTTGAAAGAATTCAAACATTTCATTTTCACACACAAAAAAAAAACATTATTACATTTTTTGCAATAGAGTTTTCAAGAAACTATGTCAGTACTTGCTAATAATATATTTTGCGATATTTTGCTATCTAAAACGCCGCCTACCTCTGTCTAACTTTCAGAAACTCATCTTACACTGCCCAACTGTTAAAAACATTCACCGCAAAAACAACAACTGCTGTGGTGTTTTTTTCCTTTGTATTGCTTAGTAATTCTTGAATTTCCGACAACTGTTATTGTGGAAAACTATGGGAAAACTTTGTTAACAGCCGACATTTTTTTTTAATTGAAAGGAGCTTGTTTGGCTTTCATCGTCTTTCAACCAGTTCAGCCAATCAGATTACAGTATTTACGAGAAAGATTTCAATGACTATTGTCACTTCAAAAAGGTGCAGACACCATTTATTGAACAAAATTTTGTTAAAGTACATTCAGACGCCAAATTCATTCAACAAAAATGTCGTTCACCTTTCTTTTCAAGATAACGGAGGCAGTTTTAATCAAGCAATCATGATCTTTTTTTTCTTCATTAGCAATTTATTCTTCAACTAGTATTATTTTGATGATTCTAAACCGAGTGCATTACTACCATTACGTACAAGAAACGTTTACCTTACACTGTAGACAAATTGGTAAATTGAATTGCATGTGTACAATATCATGTTTTAACAGGCTGCATATATAACGTGTCCCTAACACAAGTCGTATTGCATAGTTTATGTAAAACGTAATAATTTCAGCCTCAGGAGAAAAGGATTTGCTCATTTTCATATTTATTTTTGCTTTCATAAACAACAGATGTAGTATAGGCATTAATGTGATATTAAAATGATCTTTTTATCTTGTTTCGACTACAACTTTTTTAAGCAAAATCTCAATGAACAATCCTCATATAATAGGAAAGAGTTTTAAAGTGCGCAGATCAGTCTCGTAGCAATCATCCTGTCACTCTCACTTGAAGTTTACAGAAGATACTCGTCACTACTTTGCAATTGACTTGCACCTACGAAAGGAAGGTTAGTCTGGAGTATAATGTGCACATGTATTTACATAAAAAAACAGTAAGTACATTTTGATAGATGTTAATTCTTCACACAATTAAGTTGTATTGAATCTAAAATGGTCGAATAGAAGAAAGGTTGAAACTTGAGTTTCCACAATTATATGATACTATAGATAGTATCATTTGAGTGGCATATCAATCAGCAATAGTTACGTTTATCTTTGAGCTTTTGTCTTCACCATAAAGTATTTAATGTTATAAGCCTTGGCCTGATTCATTATGTTTTAGTCTAATGTCAGCGAAGGTCATTGTCAAATTCTTAACTCTATTCAAGAATCTTTTGTACATCTATATATGCACGATACATGCACTGTCTGGAATATTTACATGGCGGCAATACACAGTACAAACTCCACATTTCGGTCTTCAGAGATGACATAAAAACCAATATTATGCATATTTTAAATACATCAACCGAAAGCCATGAGCATGCAACCTTGCACTACTTTCTATAAATTAACTCTCACTAAAGTTATCGACTTTTCGTTTCCTAGAATGAACAGATTCATAAAGACAGTCACTATGTTACTACTTTTACTTCCATGCAACATGAACGTGGAAGCAAGAGATTGCTATTTTAAAAATTGCTATCACAACTTTACAAGATGTTTTGCATTCTGTAATACGTTGGATACCGGCAACAAATGCACTATAAGAAACTGGAGTTTTCTTACTACTAGATGTGGTCACGTGGTCGTTCGTCGTTCCTTTAAACATTTAGCCTTGAAGAAAAACTGAAGTAAATTCTGATGCACAATGCAGGCTGAAATTTTAAAACTTTGATAGTACAATTGTGAGTTTTTGAACGGCACGTTAAAAATGTGGAAAGGGGGGGCAATAGACATGACCGTCTATTAAATCTCCATTCAAACTCTTTTCACCAGAAAAAGTTTTGAAATGATAATTTTATTTGTGACATAGATTATTTTTTCATGGTTTACACGATTAAATAAACGTTGGTCAGGTAAAAAATTGCTCGTCTAAGCACGACTAAAAATGAATATCAAAATAAGTGAAGTGACATTTTGTTTTATCAATAATCCATCCTTTATCATAGTGAATTGTTATTATATTAGCAATCAAGTGTAGTGAGCCTCTCTTGGCATGCGTCATTGAGCGTAGCAAATGATGACGTAGTGGAAATTATATATACGTGTATATTTCGATTTCTGGCACAAAGCCAACGAGCTCTAAATATTCGTTTACTGTCTTGCCCTTCATTCATTAACTGTCTTTCTGCCAATAAGACGGGATATAACACCTGTAATTCACTCTTCGTTTATAATGTATTAGTAAAGACAGGCGCAATCTTCATATGTCTATAAGTCTGTCTAGTCTAAATTTAATTGTCATAACTGATGGTATTTCTGTGCTGATCACTCATCAGCAAGATCATCTTCCTTTTTTCAACATTTTTCTGTTTACGTCACCGCATGCATAGTCTTACCAAGAGCACACTTCTAACACGTGAACATAAATTTTTTTCTATTAAGACTAGGTCCGCAATAAGTACGTGTATAATATTTAATTACGAAATATTTTCCAAATCTTATGTTTTTCATATTGCATTCACAGTGTTACGGGAATCTAACCCGGAAACCGAAGAATGTCATTTCGAAAAATAATAAACCGAAATATAAAACAAAATTAGTTGAAGATTTAGCAATGTTGTATTTTTATATTAGGCAGTGATTGCAATTCAAAATTACATCCTTGGCCCAAACATTGACACTGTTTTTTTTTGTGGGGGTGAAAAATGAAAAATGAAGGGAAAACCGGTGAAATACGGTGAAAAACCCTCCAATAAAAAAAATTGCACTTTTTTTTGAGAAAACACAGCAAATTTGTTGGAACTTTAGGATGTTAAGTTTTGAAACTGTTTCCAACCAGAATGTCAAGTTTTGAAACTGTTTCCAACCGGAATGTCAAGTTTTGAAACTGTTTCCAACCGGAATGTTAAGTTTTGAAACTGTTTCCAACCGGAATGTTAAGTTTTGAAACTGTTTCCAACCGGAATGTTGATCCCAATGCTCTACAACAGTCTCTGGGAGTCATCATGCCCAGACGTAGACATTCAACTTAAAACTTGATTTCATTGCTTTTACCTAATCAAACATTAACTTACGCTTCTATGAGCTTTACGTGACTTAAAGCACAACGAGACACTGTCGATAAACCAATTTTAACGATGACCTATTACAGCCAACTTTCACTCAGAGACCTTTCAAAATTTTGTTCTTTTCAAAAGCAGTCAGCCGGAAGAAGCTAATTTGTCCTTTGCCAAATGTTCATCGAAATAGCGTTATAAAAATGTTCTGTCGTGAACAATCAAACGAAAGATTTTAGATTTTATAAGTATGCATTAATCTCTACAACGGCGTTTTGTTCTGAGCAATGTGGTTGACTTCTTCAAGATTTCATATACTGGTCGTGAACAATTCGTTCTCGTCTTTCTGTTGCTTTTTTTGAGCCTTAATTCAAAATAAGAAACACGGCATTATTAAAGAAATAAAAATGGAACAAACATTTACCTGTAATGTATTGAGAAAAGGCTGAAGCTGCTCACATGATCGAGACTTTCTTTATATTAAACGCTGTTTTGAAATGTTTCGTTTAAACATACAAAACGACTACTTTCGTTTTGTATTGTATTGTTTAGATATGTTCCGTTTTAGATATTGTATTCGATTTTGAAGTTATATTTTAGGTGCGAGTGAAAGTCGGCCATCACAGACTTGTATCACAAATTCTGTCATGCAAAAAAATTAAATAAAGTAATATTTTCGAACTTTCACCGACATCTTACATGCAAAAAAAAACCCCACGAAGTTTAAAAATAGAGCATCAGGATCTTCTTCACATCCACAACCATCTCAGACGCATGCGCTGTTGTGAACGTGAAGTTTAAAATCTACACTACACTTATGTACTATGGAACCTGGTATTTTCTTCAGCCATCTCCAGCTCTTTCGACGTAGAATTTTCTCCTCTTTTGCGTTCTAACATCACCTGTTCTCGTTGATTATTCAATTCCGGTTTAGTAATTCATTATCATCATCTGTGCTCATGGTTCATAACACTCCATGCAACCGTTCGTTATCATCGTCTGTACCCATAATTCATAACAATCCATGCAACCATACATTATCATCAACTGTACCCATTAGTTCATTATAATAGCAACAGTATATCTTCATGGTAAAGTTTTCCCTGAAAGTTCAGGAAATGTTTACGCATGTAGGTTGAGTGAAGAATGGTAATTTTGTAAAACAAATATATGTTCAAAGTGTATATTCACACACTTTGTACTTACACCAAAGTTGAGTAGCCATCAAGGAAAGAAATAAGGTCATCTCAACACCCCAGTTACACCATTACTCAAAGAATGCTTGATGAAGAGTGGATTAAATGTGAACGTCAGATGACCACCTTTCGGTGGGCTCACATAACAATGGGGCCCATCATCATTATATGTACAAACAACTGATATTCACAAGGAATCCAAAATATGCGCAAACATCCTTGGTCATGAATCACCATGACTCATGAGCAATGAATATAACTAGTGAGGGTAATTGAAATTATTGGAAAATTGATGAAAGAGTCCTTAATTCATGAAATGTGCTTCAACATAAGTCAAACATAATTTTTTTTCTAAAAAAAAGAAAACATGAAATTGTATCGGGTATTTACTGAACATCTTCCGTATAATAAATAATTCCTGCATAGACATAGACTAGAAGAATAAAAGTTTGAACATTTGCTCCAGTTGGTGTTTTATAAACTTGCATTTTGTTGCAGGTCAATTATCATACCTACTTGCTTTTTGTTATCTTTTCACCAACATAATAAATCTTCATGCGTCCATATATTTTTCTTGAATCTCGAAGGAAAAGAGAACAAGAGATTAATCCTCTTGAGAAATAAGGCAAAGGCTACAAATGTTATTCCAAGTTTCTGCACTTCTATATGCAAAGCTACGTTTTAAGGCATTTGTTTTTGATTTTGGCAAGTTGAGAACGCGATTGTTATTTCGTAATTCATACTTTTCATTAGTACGTATTGAGAAAAATTGTCGAAGATAATCTGTAGTATTACCTTTTATTTTTTGTAACATTAAATTCTCTAATTGTGCTTTTTTCCTTGCCTCTGAGGTGTCCCAAGAGAGTTCAGCTTTTACAGTCTTAGGCAGATTTATGGCAATCACCTGTAATTATTCGGCCAACTTTATTTCGTACCGAATAAGTTAATTAATTCACGAAATGACCAACATTTCATTTTATTTTTCACACCCAAAATTTCAGTTAGTACACCTTGTTCATATCACGATAGCCCTGTTCAATTCAATACAGCCCTGTTCAATTCAATACAACCCTGTTAAATTCAATACAATCCTGTTCAATTCATCGTAATAATAACGTAGACAACACACTAGTGAAATATTCTTTCGTTTCCAACAAATCAGACTAACTATAAACCCGACTAATTGCGCGTTACCTTCGTTTTAAATGAATCGAGCTTCAATGAAATGTTTTTAGTTGTGATTTACACAAGAATGAAAATCATTCTCAACTCGTCACAAAACAACTACGAAAAATTGTTCTAATACTTACATTACTGAAGCTTTTCTCATCGAAGCACATAAAAGTTTAGCACGAGGTATGAAACGTATGATAGTTTATAAGACGCTTTCACTAATTGACGTCAATACATAAATTTGAGTTTTGATTGGTTGTTCTGCACCCAATCATTTTCCACAAAAACAAACACAATTCATCGCACAACTGGCACATCTTTTGTAAACAATTATTGATGATTTCAATAATGACGATAATACCATTGGGCATAACGAGTCTAATGGAGTATTTACATGGTGCATAAATAACTATTCTCTTTGAAATCGAATTTTTTGTTCTCCTAAGCCTGAGCTGTAACACCCCTGGGAATTGATTGAATTGAGCGAATTGCAGAATAATTATAACTTTCCACCAAATAACAAATAACAAATCACAACGAAAATAAGGGAAAATAATTGGGTCTCGTTTTGCAATTGATTTTCCAGAGATGTCGCAACAAAAAGAAAGATTTTATGGAGGGTATTTTTTTATAGATCCACTGAAAATAGTTACAATTCTAACACCAAGCAGCACGTGATGTCGTGATTGTATTTCAATAGGTGGATTGCATGTTACGTCACAGCAGCCATGTTAGTGGTCAAATACAAAAGAACATTTTATCAATGCCATTGTTGGCACAAGCCGACGTAGGTGGGTCACATTGTTTCATAATTCCATGGAGATTGGTTGCAATGCAAGAATAATTAAGAAAGTTAAAGATCATTGGGAAAAAGGGAGCAATTGTAGTAATTCAAAACACAAGTAACTACTACGAACATTTACTAGACCTATAGGGACATCAAAAATTATCAGGTTCATCAAGATCGGATTTATTGAGAAAACAAATAAGTTCTTATCTTTCCATTGTCCTAAAAGTCCACTACGATCTCCTTCTAACCCTTCAAAGACGACATCCCAGCTTTCATGATCTCATCAACCAAAAGTAGGTTAGTTGCAATCACAGTGCTTTAAAAAATAATTATAGAATACTTTAAATTTCCAGCAATACAACGAGGCTGTGTGATCAGAATTAAACGAAGTGCATTCTGACTCATTATATTGGAGGGTAATAACTATCAAATCAAGAAACGTATCTCCTATTTGTGGAAGTTTTAAAAAATAAATGAGACATCTTAAGAGTGGTTGCTTTAAAGTTTAATGAGCAGAAAAACAAAACTAACCAAGAATGCAACAGCTGTCGTTTGACGTTATAATTATCCCATATACCAAGATCTGCCGGAATGAAGGCCTCGCCAGAACTCAAGTCCACGCCAACAGGTTTACCAATATCTGAGTATTCTTCCTGAGATAATAAAGAAAATTGTAAAACAATGTTTTTTGAAGTGAGCAATTGTTATCTTTTTGTCCACGGTTTATAACAAACGAGATTATTTGTCTACATTGTAATGTCTATGGTTGTGTATTGGCTATTTTTCTTTTACCCAATCTGATAAATGTTCTCCGAGCAAAGCCTATCGCAGGTGATCTCGGGGTCTAATGGACGGAAGCTTGCTATTGCATCTCCCAAGTAGGATAGCGTGGAGGAGCCGAAATCTCCTACCGAAACGTTAACATGCGGCGTTCTAGTGCCTTACGCTTAAGGATGGACCGAAAATGGGATTTTTTGCTTTTGAATTTTATGTTTTTGTTTACAAGAGTTCTTATAAAATGAACTATAACATAAAACATACTGAAAACTTTCAAACAACTTTTCCGTTTTTTAGCGACGTTCTAGTGCCATTAATTTGTGAAAGTGTTGCCCAAGGGTATCGGGAAGCATTGATCGAAAACATGGTTTGGTTTTTTGCTCTCGAAATTTGTATTTTTGCATCTTCTCATAAAATGAACTGTAATATTGACAGAAAGTGCTATGTTTTAAACAACCTCTGCCTTGTTTTGACCATTTAAGTTTACTTTACACATTTTGATTGGTTTATATCTTTCTCATTTACTGTTTCACGTATCATGTATTAAAAATTGAATGTAGTCAAGCATATATCTTTTTCTTGCCTATCAACTTTGCATTAAAAAAATTTGCTTCACAAAAATATTTTACAAGAGTTGAATGGAAATATTTTGCCCATATTCACAAATCGCTTTTACGTGAAAAAGAATATTTTGCTTCGTCCATAAAATTTTCGTAAAGCCAATGAAAAGGAGTAACTTGACTAAAGCCTAAACGTTTTAAAACAGTTTAAGAAGTCGATCATTAAAAGCAAAAGCAGTTTAATTTTTTTCTATTTAATGAAACAATTTTGATAAAAAATTTCGCATTGAGTATGCAGAATCGATTACTAAATACTGACAATCGCAATGTTTATCGTACCTGCAGTTTAACAATAACTTCTTGCGGATCGTGACCAGAATTTTGGGCGAGTATTTTCGGAATTATGAGGAAGGCGTCAGCAAACGCCTATTAAAATATTAATTAAAAAGATTTTTTAGTCAGAAAAAAATGATATCTTTCAAAGTCTAACGAGATACTGCTTTATACTTCTTATAGATTGATACTTATAAGCCTGTAAGATGAAAAAAATTAAGCAGCAACTAAACGCAGGCTTAAAAACAATGAGCTCTTTTGTAGAAATAACTGATCATTAAATGAGTGCGTGGTCTTACTAAGATAGGTTATGAATCAAGACAATCTTATTATCCAACTCCTTGAAGACCAACCAGTAAAACATGTTGTACCCAACTCTTTGTAGACTAACCTGTACACCAAAAGTTATCAAGTACTTCTTGACTAACATTTACATGAAGTGTCATCAAGTACTTCTTGACTAACATTTACATGAAGTGTTATCAAGTACTTCTTGACTAACATTTACATGAAGTGTTATCAAGTACTTCTTGACTAACATTTACATGAAGTGTTATTGAGCTATTTGTAGTCTAACCTGTACACCAAATGTAATTCAACTATTTGCAGTCCAACCTGTACACCAAATGTAATTCAACTATTTGCAGACCAACCTGTACACCAAGTCTGGCGCGACCTTTAATTGTCTTCTTATATTCCATAAGAGTAGAGTAAACCGCAATTTCAAATGCACCGGCTCCAGGTACAACTGCACCATCATCGATGGCGTTCTTCACGGCACGTAAACCATCGTGAACAGCATCTTTGATCTGTGTCACGGTATGTCTATTTGGGCCTGGAAGCAAGAATATTGGACAGGGGAAGTCACATCGATCGAACTAAGCTTAGAATGAGGTGTGTCATGATAGTGCACATCATGCAGCCTCTCTAGTTATGTTTATGATCATAGAAATATGTTTCCGAAACGTATTTAAACTTGCAACAAGCGTAGGGTTAAGTAAGTCAAAAATTACCTTTGATCAAAATCGTTACTGATTGAGGATTCTTCACTTCCTCAACAAATGTAAATTTATCTTCTCCCTAAAAGAATGAAAAGAACAGTTTCATTATTGCTATTGATGAACAATTACAATGTTAATATAAGAAAGGACAATGCACTTTTAAAGACTACTGACTACACCAAGATTGCACGCAAACTAACTTTGACATACAAATTGGTAAAAGCAACTGGAAGATCTCAATACTTAATGACTTAAAGCCCAAACATTAACAATTCAAAATAACAATGACCTTGTAATACAAAACATTTGCGTAAGCCTTGCGCCATGTTACTTTTCCTGTATAATAAATATGAGTTAAATCTTACTCACTTCAGTTGTCGCTGGCAAGTCTAAGAATTAAAGAAAGGAACAAAAGCAAGTATGAAAACTTTTCAAGTTTTAACTCTGCTATACCGGTGACAAGCCTGGGACTTGCATCGTTTGCCATAAAGAAGATTGGAAAAGTTGTAATACAAATATTTTGTGTTACAAGATCATTGTTGTTTAGCACTGTTAATGTTTAGGCTTTGAAGTCATGAAGTATTGACATACCAATACATGTTCATACACAAGACCAGCATGACCAAGACATTCCAAAGTGAGATCATCAAATGAATTCATTGCCATTCCACCACATGCTAATGTTAACCTAAAATATTATTATTATGTATGACAATCATGCGTAAATACTAGAAATATTGAGTTGTACTCCACAGAGTTCACATACAAATAAATGTCCGTAATGTGCAAAAAAAAACTCTACAACAGCAAAACCCACGAGAAACTGATTGAAGCCCAAACAGTTAAAATAATTTGCTAGAAAATTAAAAGCGTCTCTAGGGGAACAACCTCTCTGGCAACAACGCGAGTTTCTATCATTAGTACAAAAGCAAGAAAAACATGTTCACGTGAGTGACAGATAAACGGAAAAAGACAATCTATGAAGTAAAGATATTTTAATGCGTATGGTTTACTTCAATAAAAAATATCAATAAGTATATGAATAATCATACCTTTCCATATTTCGTCTTTTGGCTCTTCTCAATGCAACAATGCCAGCTCTAGCCAACATATCCAAAGAGAATGGATCGATGCCCTAAACAAGCAAATAGTACATCGACACTCTGCAACCAATCAATAAGACAGAGATGTATATAATTTTAAACAAAATCTTCATAAAAAAAAACCACCAGTTTTAAAACTAATCAAAAATTTGCTTGTACGCTTATTTAAAGTTCACTTGAATTCTATTAAAGCGACGATTTGTGTACCTTTTGATTTATAACGACAAATCCTTTCTCGTTTCCATTACACACCTGTTATAAAGCAATGGTTTTGAGGAATATAAGTAAAGACAACTACCGCTGTACATAAATGTTGCTGACACTATAGTTTACCTTCTTTTTCAGTTCGATGACTTTACGAACACGATCGTCGATAAACTTTCTCTCGGACGCTACCAACTTTTCACGTTCTTCAGCACTTTTGTAGAAAAATCCTGAATTCACTTCACTACAAGAAAAAGACTTTTAGCGTGAAATGAAGTTGAAATGATAAAATATTTATCATCTGACAAATTCACTTTAACATTTTCATAGCATTCTGACTTTATATGTAATCATACAGTAACGCAATGACAACGATTTGCATCAATTTGTAAATTGAAACGGAAGTAAGCAATTATAACTTCTTTTTTTAACAGGTGGAAAATAACGAAATTTATAAATTCTTCTGAATGCAAAATATGTGAATTTAAATGGAAATTTGCGAAGTGCATTGAAAATCATCGTTCATCATGAGCTATAAAAGTATTTATTGACTATATCATTTATCACAGCAGACGTTAACAAACATATTGTGAAGATGCTTCAAATGAGTCAATGTGTCATGATGAAAAACATTTGACTGTTTTCCAAATTTATATTATATATTTATATCATTGTCAACCTCGTATAAAACGCATTTCAAATACTGACGTAATTGAACTCAACCAACGAGCTCAATTCAAGGGCACGATGCAAGGTGTTTTGAGATAAATCGATGACCATAGTTGGTAAATGGCAATCGTGGTATTATTTTCAAATTGCATCTACAACCATATATGGATAAATGTGCTACCGTTTCTTATCATCAGAGAGTATTTGGTATGCAAAGAAAGCTATTGTTTCAAACAGATTCTTAAATAACTACATATATGGACACAATGCCATCGTGACTTATGTAATTGTAGACAAGCAAAATTTTGAAAGACCAAAAGGTGGTTTTTCTTAGCACCAGTAATTAGAAATCAGCTCGTTTAATCCCCTGCGCCTGGATCATCACGTTGTAGTCGTGCAGGGGCTTAAGTACTTCACTGAAGGAAAACTAAGAATGATCCAAACCCGGTCTCCAAACTTCGATGTCGAACTCTCGGAACCAAACCTCCAACCTCTGCTGGCTTGATGAGACACACATGGAGGAGTGACTACCATACGAAACTACTAAATGAAGATATGATCTTCGCACTTTGCTGGACAATTTAAGCAATTGTCTCATGAACCTGAAAAATTCAGGTGACTCAACGGGACTCAATTTAGAAAACTACTACTAGCTCGTTTAACATTTCGTTTCAGTTTCCCAACATAACATAAAAAAATATGGATCGCAATGATCCCTATAAGCTTTGACAACGTTGTACACTAGAATTTAGCAAACTAATTTCTGTTTTAGGTATCATGCTGCTAAACAAACGAGCAATAATTAAAGACATGCCGGCACGCACAATGTATGATCGCGTGATCACGTGCAATTGTCGGTTGAATAAAAACGTTTTCAAAGTGAACGATCAAACAAATATGAACATCAACCAGTCAAAATCACATAATTTTAAGAGTTAAGCAATGCTTGAAAAACAAAACTATCGCTAAAAAGCGATTCCTTTGTAAAAAATCGTCAAATGAAATGTCAAATGAATAATTTCTTAGAAGACAATGAACTTATTAGTGCATAAAATTATTGAACCTTTGCAAAATAGTTTCATACAATTCCATAAATGGACGTAGTTTCACACCAGTCCATATATGGACATAGTTTCATACCATATATGGACAGAGCAAGGTAAATAGAAGTCAACCTATGTTTCACGTAAACATTTGTGACTATACAAGGTAATAGAGAGGACAGTTCAGCTCACAAACATCACAGAAGACATCGCAAGATATTGGACCTCAAGGAAATCATTTTTCCAAGGAAGAGAAATTTTCTACATAGAGTTAATGTGAGTTAATTAAATGAACTGTTTATTGCTTTAGTGCATTTAACATGTACAATTTATTTCTATAAAGTGAATTGATGTTAAGCATACAAAACATCATGGAGCAAAGTGAGAAAAATTCATCCATGAAAAATTGAAATAAAATAGTTTTCAATTTGGAGGAAAATTCACTTCAATTTGGCATTTCAAACGTAATAGTAGTATTAAAACCAGCTAATGTTCACTTAAACAGTTTAAAAAGAATTTTTAAAGACTTTTATGAAAGGTTTTATAAGTCGATAATTGAATTCATTTTTGCAAAAACTTTGGATAATACATGACCATATAAGTTGAGAATGGTACTTGTCAAGTGAAATAAATTATACGACAAACGAAAGTCAACAGACACTGCGTTCAAAGATAGAAAAATATTACTTTGAAATGAAATAATTATTGCTATGAGAAAACAATATGAGCATACAACCTTAGTAATATTACAAAAACGTCTAATTCTATGACCATATATGGGAATTATTGCAATACACAAATTATAGAAATGCGCATGCGTAATGTTTTGCATTAGTTTCGTTTTTACAAAATTTTAGCCACTTGCTATTGTGCAATATCCAAAAACCCAAGATTTTTACATATATGGACTTGTACGAAACTAAATTATTTTTGCAGATACGACTAAAAGGAGTTCGTCGGCGCTTGTAAATGAGAAAAAATCCTTTCACATTCATCAGAACAAAAGTTTATAGAACAGTTTTCGCGACAAACGACTATCTTTTGGCTGAAATGCGTGTTGAAATGGAATTCGTTCTTTTAGCAGTAATAATTGGATTTTTTGTGGGTTTAATTAAAGGCCTATTGATAGCAGTGGTAGCTGGAACATTTATTGGTGTAATTATGGGTCTATTGATTGGCGTAAAGATTGCCTTCATGATCACAAATCAGTTTGGTGAAAGCTACGATGATCAGTTTTATTGGCTGCAGCAGCTTGACGAATCAGACAACACAGCAGCAATGCCTCTATGAAAAATTTTTGTTCCTAGAACATGCCCTGATCACGTGGGGGGATTGGTCAAAATAAAATCTTGAATCTTGAAATTCAAAAAAAGAGTTTTAAAGTCACAAGACTGAAAAACTGAGCAAAAACGTTGGTTTGTACGCACGTATTCGTAATGACTCATCATATACCTTAAATGTTTGCAATGTATTTTTTTTTGCATATAATTCAATCAAGACATTCGAATATTACCTAATGAATCGATGTATGGCGAACTCAATACATTTAATATTACAGTACAATGCATGTTTAATTGAAGTACTAAAGAATATTGTTAAGCAAAATCCGTAACACAAATAGTATCGTAAAACTTAACTTCGACAAGGGCTTGTCAACAAGTCTAATAAAGAATATCAACTTCTTCAACGAAACTCACCTTTTTTCATACTCCATAGAGACATTACACGTCAGTATATAAGCATCAGTGACTTTCTTTTTCATATCAGGATGTCTTGCACCATGATCCATTACCAGACCACGAACAAGTCTATAAAACAATGCAGATTTTTTTAGCTTAGTCGACATGGCTCTAACTTTCAATGAAGACACTAGATTGCATGATAGAAACACTTTTGTGTTAACACCAGATCACTCCTGATGAACACACTAGATTGCACGATAGAAAAACTTTTGTGTTAAAACCAGATCACTCCTGATGAACACACTAGATTGCACGATAGAAAAACTTTTGTGTTAAAACCAGATCACTCCTGATGAACACACTAGATTGCACGATAGAAAAACTTTTGTGTTAAAACCAGATCACTCCTGATGAACACACTAGATTGCACGATAGAAAAACTTTTGTGTTAAAACCAGATCACTCCTGATGAACACACTAGATTGCACGATAGAAAAACTTTTGTGTTAACACCAGATCACTCATGATGAACACACTAGATTGCACGATACAAAAACTTTTGTGTTAACACCAGATCACTCCTGATGAACACACCAGATTTGAGTGAACAAGCCATGTTATCAAATCCTATAGTATGCTACCAAATGCGTACTTTGTATCAGCATCAGATTTATGAATCATCTCCATAATTTCTACCATGTGAAGATCAATATCCTCATTTTCTTTACGAATGGCTAACACAGCATCAACAACAGCCTATGAATATGATGCAACATTGAATATTTTCGCCCAACACTTGTTTTCAAATGGTTATTTAGAAAACAAATCCATATATTAATCTTGCCTCAAATATGAAATTGATGTATGTTGAAAAACTTAGTAAATTTCAAGAACACTGTCAACCAACTCATTAGTTCCATTACCAAGCATTCAACTCATGGAATAATGTGTTTTTTTTTTGATATTATCTCTGTCTTTACAAGTCTAGAGATCGATCACGTTTAAAAAATTCGTGTGTGTCAACCTCCTTCGTTTTTTCATGTTTTGACGACAGACAGAAACATCACATTTTAAAGAATAATTGCAACATATCAAACATACCAACACAGCATGAAAACAATATTAGATAAATCTACATATCTTGTAAGTCACTATTCACAATAAAGCAAGATAATAAAACAGACGCGCACTTAGGAATGACTACAGTTACATAAAACTTCTTCAAAAAACAAGAAAATCGCATCCAGAACATTTATAGGTAAATAAATGTGATATAAAAAGTTTGAATTACTTTTGTGGCAGAAAATTTCGAAAATGCTTTTTTGGTTCATTGCGTGTAACTCAGTTTCCGTCTAAAACTTAATTGTTCAGATAAAAACATCCTTGCCAGAAGATAGAGACTTTGACTTTTATCTCTGATATCCACTCCAGTCAACAAGGACGCAGCTAATGTAAGTGACCTGCGATCTAATCAGTCTTATGTGGGAAGACCGTATCAAAGCTGAAAGATGAACTCAGTGTTTTAACCAGTCGACTTGTGCCTCACAATATAAAAGTAAGTCAAACTCATCCTGTGAAGACCTGAACGACGGCAATTAGCGAATATAAGCTCAATATATTATATATATACATACGCACCTCCAAATACTCTACCCCGGTGAATATATACTCTACCTCCATCAATATATATACTCTATCTCCGTCAATATATATAATCTACCTCCGTCAATATATATACTCTTCCTCCGTCAATATATATACTCTACCTCCGTCAATATATATACTCTACCGCCGTCAATATATATACTCTACCTCCGTCAATATATATACTCTACCTCCGTCAATATATATACTCTACCTCCGTCAATATATATACTCTACCTCCATCAATATATATACTCTACCTCCATCAATATATATACTCTATCTCCGTCAATATATATACTCTACCTCCGTCAATATATATACTCTTCCTCAATATATATACTCCTCCGTCATATATATACTTTACCTCCGTCATATATATCTACTCTACCTCCGTCAATATATATACTCTACCTCCGTCAATATATATACTCTACCTCCGTCAATATATATACTCTACCTCCGTCAATATATATACTCTACCTCCGTCAATATATATACTCTACCTCCGTCAATATATATACTCTACTCCGTCAATATATATACTCCCTCCGTCATATATATATACTCCGTCAATATATATACTCTACCCGTCAATATATATACTCTACCTCCGTCAATATATATACTCTACTCCGTCAATATATATACTCTACCTCCGTCAATATATATATACTCTACTCCGTCAATATATATACTCTACCTCCGTCAATATATATATACTCTACCTCCGTCAATATATATACTCTACCTCCAATCATATATATATACTACCTCCGTCAATATATATACTCCCTCAATATATATACTCTACCTCCGTCAATATATATACTCTACCTCCGTCAATATATATACTCTACCTCCGTCAATATATATACTCTACCTCCGTCAATATATATACTCTACCTCCGTCAATATATATACTCTACCCCCATCAATATAGCTATAAAGTCTACCTCTGTCAAAATATCAGCCAGTTTTGTGTGAACTTTTGTCCTTAGAGATGTTTTGGCCACATTTATCAACGTATCTCTGTCCATATCGAATTTGACTTTGACCTTTTCTAAAACCTTGATATGTGAAATACAAAACAAATATTAAGGTTCGTCTAGTTAATATATACAACAATTAAATACTGACTAAAGTAAATGGTTTGAACCCGGGAGTATCGTTACATGTATGTAAATGTAGATCGTCCAGAATGGTATAGTCCTGAGAAGGACTGTTTTTGTCGTTGTTGACTGACGTTTCGACAACCTTAGCGGTAGTCATCTTCAGAGTCAAAAGTTTTTGACTGTTTACAAACATGTAAATACTGACTGTACTAAACAGTCATCGTATATCATACTAGTTAGACAATTTTAACTTTTTTCAACGTTGATGTGATTTGTTAAAATACATTTTCTGTCGTTTACGAGATCGTAAATTATAATTTATTGAATATGCATAAGTACCTCTAACGATTTCTCCTTTGCCAAATCAAATCCTTCTGTAACAATTCTCGGATGAAGACCCTAAATTATGAGTTTAAAAACAAAACATTTGCTTCAACAGATAAAACAACAAAATTATAAAAACTTAAACATGACCTTTTAAACTTGTTCATAAAAAGGTGTTAATGTGAAAAAGATATACAAAAACTCATGAGAGTTTAATTTATCTTCGTTTCGTCATTATCTATTCATTATGGTCACCAATATCTAATGAAAAGTGAATACCAACCTCTGATATGTATAAGTCGGCCTAAAATTTAAAGAAAGATTTGAAGTAAGGCCTTTTACAAGATATATGATATCAAATGAAACAAAATAATAGATTTTGATGATGCCGAGATAAAATTTTAAACATCCCTGATCTATTTAAGGAAAAAACAAAGGGTAAACGTAGAAATAAATGGACATTTCAACTTTACTATATTTAAGGTTTTCAATTGGAAAGAGTACTTATAATATCAAAGTGGATCATCATGGTTATTAATGTACATTCATACAATATGGGGGAATGCAAGGAACAAGTGAAATGATTTTAAATCAAGAAACAAATGAAATGAGTTAAGAGTGTAATGTGTTTTTACTTCTTTATTAAATGAATTTTTCTACCCCCACAAGCAACAAGAACATTAACAATCACGAAGAATATGCTTACAGGATAATCACATGCGATAATCAATAATAATATGTACAAGAAATCTGGTTGAATGTGCCTTTCACTACTAAAACTTTATGATAAAAGCAATGTTTATCTCTATTGATATCGACTTTATTTTGCAGAAAATATTTTATCATTTTGACACCAGTGCTCATACAAGTACAATCACAAAACTCCTTGATGTATACCTGCTTTAATAGATCACCAATAATCAAAACATTTGATGTTGTTCCATCACCTGTAATGTTATCCTACAATTATGATGAACAACAGATTTTGTGATTTAACTGCCAAATCATTATTTACTTTCACATTTCATAAGTTTTACCTGAGCTGTGGCAACTTTGGCAATCAGTGAGGCAGTTGGATGTTGTATTTGCTGCAATTATTTGCCAAACGATGATATTTTATCATAAAGCTGACCAAATGTACATTATTGTCTTGTCATAACAAGATAATTATATAAATTTATGTAGATTATTACCATTTCATGTAAAAGAACATTGCCATCCTTGGTAATTTTGATATCACCAGATCCAGAAACCAACCTGTTCATTATTAACATTATGAAGCTACGTAAACCAGTTTAAGTAGTGCTCAAATGGAAAAATAAATAGAAGAGAGGATCTAGAGGTATTAGTCACATCGCATTGTTGAACTTTATTTCTTCATTACTCATAAATATCCTCTAATATCCTCGGCAACCTATAGTCCCCCTCCCCCATTCGTCCCACCCTTGGGAAGAAAATCGGTTAACTCTTGTGACACTTGACAACATTTGTAATATAAAATATACTGGTCATCAATCATCACAGCATCTCAAGGAGAAGATACAATGAGTATAAAGTTAGCCAAAGACTGGCAGAAATCCTTGTTTGAAGTTCACATCCACACCCTTCAAAATGCCTAATACAATATGCTTTCATTCTTTAACGTATTTGAATTTATCATTCTATAGCTTGTGTGTTTATCATTGAACAGGGACTCGCAGATGACAATCATTATAAACACATTATAAAGACCGTGTTGCTGGCTAACTAAACACTTTAGAATTAAACTGTTTCAACAAAGTAATCCTGACGGCCGAACAAAAGCATGTACAAACACGTGCTGCAATGACGTTACAAAAAAGCTATTTTCCATTCATCTTACATTTTCATTGTGCCTTTGGGACCAAGGTTCGTTTTAAGGACATTTTGTAGACCAACTGCTGCACTTGTGTTAACTTGTAAGGCCGCAGCTGCTCGAGCAAATTCTGCTTTGGGATTTAAAGTTTGAATCGCCGCCATGATGCTAAGTATTCTGTCATGAGAGATACACGTTATGATAATGTAGTATAACAGTAAGCAATTTGGGTCATAATACTGTACATTTGGGGGTAACTAAGTACCACAATAAGATTGTAAAAGATCATCAGAACGCATTGGGAATACATCAATTTGTAAAAATGAGATCTCTTCAAAAAAAACCCTGCTTGGTGATAATAAACTGATTGCAAAGCCTGTCTCCTAAGGAATTTTATTTTAATTTTGTAAATGTATGACCTGACATTGAGCGACAATTGGGAAATCGGGAGTACGTCTAGGGACATTAAGGGATGTCCATAATCGGGCATGCTCGTTATGATGATTCAACAAAATAACTCAGATGGAAACAGGTGCCTATTTATATGCACGAGTCGCGAAGTAGTGCCACTTAGACGAATATCAACCATGGAGTACGTTTGTATTATTAATATCTTGAGCTGTTTTTGCGCTATTGCTATTCTATTTCTACTAGCAAACGAAATTACAGCAACAGGCGAGGTCGTTTTTGCTGTAAATTGTGGGGGTCCGGATCACACAGACCTTAACGGTGTTCATTATCAGGGGGACAAACTGAGCATCGGTACAGCATCGGACTTTGGCAAGCGATTAACGATTAGTCGTGTCGCACAGTTAGATCAAATACTTTATCAAACCGAACGTTACCATTTGTCAAATTTCGCGTACGACATTCCAATAAAGGACGATGGAGATTATGTATTGGTGCTAAAATTTTGCGAGGTTTACTTTCAAGGGCCTAAGTTAAAGGTAACTTTTTCTTTCTCTGACCCCCGTAAAATGTCGACTTAACCTTAAGAACAATCCAGAAGTTGTATTTTTTTGAGCTGGACAATGCCATTTGTTATGCACAAGCCTCTCAACTTTGCCCATCTATAATGATGTTTTAAGTTAGTAAAAAATTTGTTTTTCTTTGCACAAAGGATTTCCAATAGCTTCCTTCCTCTCAGCAACATAATCACCAAGATGGTTGTTTTATAGCTACCATGTCTTTAACATGGTGTTCAATTATTAATCATGGAATTTTTTAGCAGATTTTTGTATGGCATAATTTTTCATTTAACCTTCACTTTACCTGTAACATTTATGGAAATCGGCTTAATGTTAGAAGGCCACATATAGTATACTGCCATAATGTAACTATTTCAAACACCATCATCCATTCATAATGGGGTACAGCACTAGATAATGGGGGACAGCACTAGACAATGGGGGACAGCACTAGACACTGGTTAACTATTCTAAAAGAATTATGGTTTCATTTCTTTCCAATAAAGGTTTTTGATGTACGTGTAAACAATATTTTGGCGGTAAAGCTGTTAGATATTTATGATCGAGTGGGAAAAGCTGTTGCACATGATGAGTACATACCTTTCACCATTACAAAAGGTCAGATTTTGGTAGAGAATCAGATGACACGCTTCACTGGAAATTTACATGTGGAATTTGTTAAGGTAGGAAAGTGTGCTAGACAAAATATAGCGATAATAACAATTATCATTGATAGTGAATTGGCAACCTAGCAGTCAACTTTTTAAATGCCATTTAATCATTATTCACTTTTATACTGCAAGAGTAAATATTACTGACTCAAAATGAGCTCTTAAATGTTGAACATTTCTTTGATATTTAGGGGCATGATAACCCCAAGATAAATGCTATTGTTGTAATGAAAGGAAGTTTAGAAGGTTTGTACCTGTATGTACTGCAATGTACTGCAAATACCATGAAAAATAAAAATGCATGATATCTTTGTCTCTTAATAAAGATGTGCCTAAACTGCCTCCGCTACCTGGACTAAATGAAAACCAACGTGGGAATTTTGAAGAAGAACAGAGTAAATCTGATGATAGACCAGAACGACCAAGAAAGACATCAGGTCCCAGATCAATGGATCCTTATGCATCGGATGAAAGCAGCCTGCTGCTTCCACTTTTAATTGCATTAGGCGTCTTTATACCCACTTTATTTTGCTTGTGTAAACTTTAGTTCTGTTAAGATTGATTTTATCTGTCGCGTTTTTCACACGTAGTAGTCGCATTCACTTAACATTTATTTATTCAAAAATTCTATTGAAAGAAAGAGACGAATATGTAAATCACAGTTAAAAGTTACATGGAAATTTCTCAAAATGTCGTTGCTTTTGAGTTATCTTTCCTTCGTTATTTTCATCTTTAAACTATATTTCTCTTACATGGGTTCGTATGAAAAACGTGACAGGATAACCATATTTTGCCAGTTAATTTATTTGCTTGTAAAATTATTCAGTCAAAAATTACCTCAAAAAATAACGCAGACTACGATTTGCCAAAAATTTGCTTTGTGTTGTTTGGATTTTAGCAATCGCTTTATCGACAAAAAATTGATCGCTAATTTTTAAACGGAATTAACCAACATCAAAGTATGGTTTCATGTTAATTGGGATATTAAGCTTCACTCAGTCTTAAGCAACGTTCCATTGTATTTACAACTGTGGTGTTTTTGGCTGTACCATGTCATGCGATGAGAAGGTAGATTCCAGAAGGTTGATGTACGTTCAATACAAAGTAACCATTAGACATTTCAAATCATCGACGACTTGTTGAAAAGCAAACATGTTTCGGCATACTTTATGCCATCTTTTTGCTTTTAAAAAAATCGTTTATTTGAAATATGAATTTTGTGCTAGAACGAAATTACAAATTAAACAGCACAAAATGAAAGCTACCGTTCTTTTGTATAAAACTGTTAAAGATGTTTTAACGAAGTTATGCTTGCTCGTATAATCTGAGGTTATACCTTGCGCTTCGTAAAAACGACCAGAATATGTTGTTTTAAAATTATAAAAGCTCGGCTGACTATCATCGTAAACCAAATAAGCTGCAGCGTCATCAATCCAAGACAACTCACATTACAAAGTAAAGGAATTTTAAAGGGAACTTGCCAAATTTTTATACCCACATACTGGCCATACTTGTAGTACATGAATGGAAACACAAGAATCCGACCGATGAGAAATGAAATTGCCAAACAGAAACCGTTCAGTTTAAAAATAATATTGTTGTCCATATCAAGCTAAAAACAAATTAGAAAAACAGAATAACTTATTACTAAGTAAAGCACCATGCTTAATGAATAGAGAAATGAAAGGATGGTGGTTAACCTGAAAGGCAATTAAATGAAAAAAACTATTTAAACATGGTACGATGTGTGTGGCTGGCATTGTGCTAAACTCATAGAAGCATCATCTTTTTCACTTTCTTATTTCAACACATTAAAAATATAATGAAGAGAATCACACTTTCTTATTTCAACACACCTTTTTAAAAATATAATGAAGAGAAAGGAATGGTGTGCTTATTTCAGCAATGTAAATACATCCAACGAAGAAATCACCAACGCCTCTCCTGTAAAACTGTCCAGATTAATCCAATTAAATATTAAATATAGATGCACAAAATCTGCTGAAGACGTTAGGACTGATGTACATTAGGTTGAATTTTATTCATTTTAAGTTTATTTCATTTGTTTTAGAAGGAACCAAGATTTAAACAGGCTTTAGATTTAGTTCAGGTTTTAACGCGATTACATGGGTGCTTTATGATGACTGTTCAATTAGCGTTTATCGTAGACAAAAACTGGATGTGTTGAGATTCAATAGAAAACAGACATATCGCTTAAAAGATACTACTTTTAAAAGTTATTGTAAAACAGATTAAAGAAGGAAACACTTTTCGTTTTAGGCGAAGAAACTTCGTTTAAATCAAGCAAGCTTTTTAAAGCTAGCCAAAGAGCAAATATTCATCTTTAAAACAACTTGGTCCTTTTTACAACAATAAAGTTACTAGAAAAAGTATTCAATGAAAGGCAAAATTCCTTACCACTACTATGGGAAATCCAATGACTGGTAAAAATAGATGATGAAAAACGACCAACCATTTCTTTGTAATGAACGTCTCTACAATTGAACGAAGGCTCTGTTTTGGACAATCATGATAATGAACCAGAAACATTGCACCAATGTCGTAGTAAAAATAAGGAAAACCAAACCAAGCATAATAATCAACACGTATGAATCTTAAAGAGAAAATAATGCATGGGATGTTGCAGAAAGGCATTTGATATTTGACAAGTATTTATGAACTAGCTCATTAAACGAAGCTTGACATGTTTGGCTATTGGCTACATCTGTCTGTCAATTGAAGAACTTGACTACAAGTGACAATGACTATGAGTAAAAACGATGACAAGTCAATTACACTTTGGAAAAATTTAGTTGTTGCTATAATCCATTAAGTATGACAAGTTATAGTAATATATTTTCATTCAATTTTTTAAAGGTGACAAAACAATATTTAGGTTGAACAAAAATGCTTCTGATAAAAAAGACGTTTTGAGGGTCAATTGATGGGTTGATGGAATTAAATACTTCTAGAACAAAACATGCAATTGCAATGAAATGGATGTTTAAGAAAATGGTTTGATAGTCGATATCTCACCATCTTTCTCAACTCAGTCCTTTTAAGTTATGCAACTTATGCTAACATGACCCTGTCAAGCAGTCAAATATCGTGATATCTCACTCTTTTATCACAAAAACATATTATAACATAATGAAGATAAAGATGATGTATTTGTTATGTTTTTAGACATAGGGAGATCACTCAATGGTCTAAATGTCTTTGCCAACATACATAATTACCTCTCTTTCATGATATCTTTACAAGAAAGAACAACCGATAAGCCAACACTAGATGCACAAACAGCTTGAAGCAAGGAAACTAACCTATGAATCAATGACAACCAACATTACAAAGTGTAAGAGATAGTACCTCAATATGCAGGTAGTGTGTACTATGAAGTAGATGTACAGAGAAAATGACATTTTTTATTATATAGTGTACATTACCTGGTGCCAATGGCATAATGAGCACCTTTTGATTTTCCAGGAAGTAATTTTGACATCCCATAGACAGATGCACAGTGAAGTGTTGGAAAAATTACACAGCCAGTAAGTAACAATAAAAATTCCATGATTTAGCTACAGCTTAATATTGCCGAACCGTTTTCACTAAAACATTTTTCTCTCTGTGTATAGTAGAATCATTACGATTGTAAATAACTCCGTTTGCCACATCTTACCAGAAAGAGTAAATTTTGTATTGACATTGCAATTTACAAGTCGAAGAAAGTGATTTCGTGTTTTGTCATTTTGAGTGATTGATTTTAGACGATAACAATGGTTGATGTCGCAATCTTCAATACTCGAGTAAATTAAAAAGAAAAATAGAATATTGTCAGAATATTTTCGTAATTTCAATGCGGCGTTCAAAGAGCTCGGCGTTAAGTGGCGTTGGTTCGAATGGAAATGCTGTCCCAAAGTTACTAAGAGAATTACATCAACTCGTACATCAGATCCAGGTTTCACTTTCACAGCATTAATTGAATGTTTATGAAGTAGTGTGTTTGAACATATATATCTTTTCTTTGCAAATTGCACGAGATAAGCTTCTAAAACGAACACAATAATCTTCACTAACACTAATTGTTGATTTGTGTTTCTTGTGTTGTCGTTTAATTAATGAAGGATGAAAGAATTAAGAATGAGCATACACTTACAAATATTTCAAAGACACATGAACGAATGAAATCAGAGGCTAAAGGTAGACTTGATTTTTTCTAATTTCTATGTTTTTTGCAAGTCATCTTAATTGCTTGATTGTTTAAATTTAAAATTCCGAGAATGTTCTTTTCGTGACTGAGGGAAAGTCTGCTGTTTTTCATTAACCAGGCGCTGGGCTTTAAATAAATAACTGAGCAAATATATCTGTGTAGTTGTATTTTATAAAATTTGCAAGACCAACAAGCAGAACAGTGAGTGGAGTTTGCTCACGGCTAAATGATTGCGGTGTCTTCTTGAAACCTAGCTCAAACAATGTGAAAGAAACAGTTAAACATAGAACCCCAACCACATAGTACATCTGAAGCAAAGGAGAAATTCTTCATCAATTTTTGCATGTTTTTAACTTGATCCTTCTAGTGTCATCATATTTTAAAAGTAAACTTAAAGGCCTTTATGGAGCTGCCATTGCTGATTGTGAAGCAGAAGCTGAGTATGATAGTAACAATCCATTTCATTCCTAAGGCATTTTTGTGCCAACAAAAGACATGGTTTTACAAATCATTACATCCATTGAGGCTTTATCATCTATTCAACTTCAGATTGATCCGAAAAGCCACAGATAAAATTGCCAACATTCAGGCTTTGACTAATGAGGGCCAAGGTCAGATACAATCTTCCTAAAAATCAATCATTTTCTTAATATTGTTTTCATTGATTTTTTTTGCTCTCTGGAGAAGTATTGCTTAAGACAACCATTTGAATTTTTCACAATTTCCCAGGACGTAACCATGTTGATGGTGGTAGTGGATTAGACATTGAGCCCACGAGAAAACCAGGAATGAGACGCGGTGTACTCATGAGTATACTGCAGCAAAATGCTGCTCAGTTGCCTATGTTCATGGGAAAAGCTTCAGAAAAGTATTGATTGATATTTTAATCAGATAAAAGTATTACGTCAGAACTTGTGTCGAGTAGAAAGACGTCATTTTGTCACTAAAATCCTCGTAATCACTAGCTACAATGCATTTGGCTGCTGATGTTAGAAACAAGATTATTCAAACAATTTTTTCTTACAAGTTTTCTCCTTACTAAATATCATGCAGAATCATTTTATGAGCGTCTAATTTATGTTAAATTTTCAAATCTTTGTCAGTGTACCTTCTTTGTGTGGTTCGATTCCAGCTTCGTCAAATCACGCTCCTGGCCCTGGAGATCACGTGAGTACAAGATGTAAAACTTAAAATAAAGATAATTACGTCAAAAGTGAAATTATTCAGCGAACGGCGCATATAACATGTAACGTCACCACTAATTAACAATCATCACATTCCTACTTTTGTTTCATGCGCCAAAAGCTGGACACAAAAGCAATTTGAACATTAGAACATGACCAAAACGCGCATTTTCACGTTGCTCAGGTTGCTGCGCGAGTGCGAACACCAGATGGAGAAGAGCAGTGGATTTTGGCTGAGGTTGTTGCGTTTAATTCTTCCACGAACAAGTATCCTTTTATCTTCTTGTGATCAAGATTACGTCTGAACGTTAAATACTTATAAGTGGATATTATCAATTTCTTAACTAAATTTAGATATGACATTGATGATATTGACGAAGAAGGAGGAAATAAGAAAGAGTCAGTGATCTATGTATTTTCACATGATGTCATTCTTTTTTTCACCACGATTCTTTCTCTTTCCTTGTTCTCATCATTTTTCATTTTCTTTATGGCGTCAACTTTTCTCTTTCCAAGCAAAAAGTCGACAGATACTGTTCGAAAATTACGTCCAATTTAAGTTCAACTTCTCGACATTCTCATTCTTAACTTTACAATGTCGTTTTTGCCACCAGGATGTCTTTATCTTTATTCAAATATTTCAGTTTTAATGCTCCTCTCTTTGTCTTAGACGACACCATTTAAGCAGAAGACGATTTATTCCGCTGCCAAAAATGAAAGTTAACCCACTGACACATAAACAAGCTTTATTCCAAAAGCAAGAAGTAAGCGTACAAATGAGTTCATAAAACAAAATTGCAGTGCAACTGTGCAAATGCTGTTAAGTACGGAGTATTGCATCGTAGCCTCTCACATTTTGTATAATTATACACAATGGCTTAACAGTTTCATTTTTCTCTTCATTCAGCTGGTTCTTGCTTTGTATCCACAAACAACATGTTTCTATCGTGCGTTGATTCATGAGCCACCATCGAGGGTAAGGATAATAGGGTTATCGACGGTAGCGCGATAATAGTGTAAGCAAACAAAAAATTGAAAAAAAATTCCAGATTGAAGTCCTTCTGTCCAGATAGTAAAACAGGTTGAGATTTTTTCCTCAAGCCAACCCGTGAACTATCGATAGTTGTTTTTTTTTATTCCAGCCTCAAGATGACTATTCCGTGCTGTTTGAGGACACTTCGTATCCAGATGGCTACTCGCCACCATTATGCGTTCCACAGCGATATGTCGTCACACCGAAAGAGAATAAACGAAGATGAAAAACGACGAATTATAAGCAACGAAATTTATCTAGAGTTTACAAACGCATACTTTAATAATTATATTATTTATTCATGATGTTCTTTAATGAAACGGTATAAAACTTTCAAAAAATGTTGTTTTACATATATTGAACATTTATTCAACATTATTATCACTGCCCTTTTGCAGTTTTTTTCAGAAAACCTGTCGAGTCAGGCATTGTTGTTCTTTAATATAAATAATTGTCAAAACATTTCTTCACGCCAATGCCGGGTAAGAAAAATTCAAATAATAAATTACAAAGTGAATATTTAGGAAAGAAAATTTTAATTCTCTCCATCCATAGTATTTCCTCCTTTATCGTTTATGGAAGTAGCTCGGTAACTTGATAGTCGGTCGATAGCTCTACAGCTACGATGCTTTAATATATAGTTCTTTTAAAAATGATAATTTTACCTCGTAAATACTAGATAACTCTTCTACGGAGGTTTTGTAACTGTTTTGGATCTTTTTCCAAATATCTGTGACAAGAGGGCTGTCGGTCTGTAAGATATCACAATGAAAAATGAAACAAAAAGTGAGAATAATCAAAAAGTGAAACAAAACCGTCAAATTTGATTTTAAATAACGATGATAGTAGAAAACGACTAAATAAATACAAAACTTGAAAGTATAAAAACAACGATATCCTTTTTCATTCAAATATTTCCATCTTACCATTTCATATAACTCTTGGATTTCTAGCGTTGTGATATCTTCAGCCAAATGAAGAATTTTTTTATCCATTAAAACCGTATAAACATCAAACACTAGATTGTGAAGTGATTCCACAAATGACTGGTACGTATCAGAAAATTCGTTCTGTAAACAAAAGACAAGCGAAGACATGTATGACAAAATAAGATTAACGAAGACACGTATTAAATAATTTTTTCAACTATTCACCTGTTTGGGTTGAGCAGACTTCTTTTTCTTTTTACTCTGAGGTGTTTGAATCGTTTTTAAAACAACATGACGAAAATACACAAGAAATGACGACACAACACTGATAGCCTAAAGAAAGTAGCATATTGTTGGTTATCTTTACAGATTAAAACTTCTTTGTAATGACAAACTCCTTATTTAAAATCCATCCTGCGTTCATCTGGCCTTCAAGCTCACAGAATCGCCTTTCTGGGATGAATTTTTGCTTTTTCAAACATCCTCTCACTCTTGCAACATTTTATCCGTCATTAATGAATCATTTCCATTACGATTTTCGTCATCCAACGATGTTTTCATTCATTGTAAACAAACCTCAAGTAAAAGCACTAATGATTCCACAACCAATCCATTGAAAAATCGTTTTTCATTATCTTCTACGGTTAAGGAATTTTTACACAACGCAGCATTATCTAAAGTGTAAAAAGATAGAGAAGATTGTTTGAATAAAAACGACAAAAAATCTCTAACGACAACTATTGTTATACACTTTTGAAAAAGAGCAAAACAACCATCGGTACATTTGAGAAAACAACTATTATTTACCCGTTAAAATTTTCAAAAAAAGAGTATAATCCTCCTTTATGTTACTCAAAGACTTTCTTAATTCTTCGTCTACAATTTCTAAATTCAAAATGATATTACCATAAATGCAGAAGCAACGTGCTCTTTACTAATCAACCCCTCCCCCACTTATAACTCCACGTTTCAACGTCTCAATGGCTTTAAAAACTATTTTGAAAATCATCACAGTACCTGGGCCTGCCACATGTTCAACCTTCTGGTAAATCTTTGCAACAGTTAAAATATTCTTCAATAGTATATCATAAGAACCTTGAAGATAAGAGTTCCAACGAGATGGTAAAGGCCCAAAGAAAGCTGGTCGCTAAAAAAAATTACACTAGAATTACAAGAACATTCAGACTAGACTGATATCTGATCAATCCAAATAAAGAACACTAAACTGGAGTATGTAACAACTAAAATTTCACGAGTAGAAGATCACTTCTGTATTAGATCACTTTTGATAAAGACACAAGAGTGAAGTCTACAGGACCCAAGTTTTAAATTTGATAAACACTTAAGAGGACACTGGACTTGTGAGCATAAGGACGCTTGATAATAAATGTATGTAAAAATTTTATAATGAATAAGAAAATAAAAACAAAGTCAACCTTTTCCTCTTTGGGGTAGTCAACTCGAACCTCTTCCAATAAATCATGTAACTTTTTCGACAAATCATGAAAAGAATTGAAGTCTTCGTTCACTGCAAGTCTTGGTGATGCGTCACAGCCGTTCGTTTGACTCGATAAAGAGTTATGTTCACTAGTTAAATATTCAGCACTAAGAGTAATAGCTTCCATGGTAATAAAGCGAAGTCTCAACCATCGTAACTAAAGAATGGGTAAAAAAGTGTAATGTATAATGAATTGACTAACAAGAATAAAGTAACGTGTTGTACCGTCTACACATCTAAAACACAAATGATGCTAGATCGACTTATTTGTTGGTTACTACAAATATAGATGACTTCGTTAATGCACATTACAAGAATAAGATATTCTAACTTTCAAATAGCTTAACTTCGTTAATTAATTAATGAAGAATACAAGAACAAAATATTTCAACTTTCAATAGCTTGCAAAGCCTCAATTCAACACAATAAATGAGTACTGAAAATGTGCAAACATGAAGTAACACCAATCATTTGTTTTCAATCATCATGAAAACAAATCATATAAATATATGTATACCTCATCGTTGAAAGAACTCTTCTGAAACTTTTCACACAGATCTCTAAAATAATCACCAAAATATGTCTGCAATCAGTCGTCATATTCAGGAGATAGATATTCAACATAAACTGTCATCCCATTTACCTGTCACGTTTCTCCCACGTGATAAGAAGATTTAAGTCTCGCTTATCATTCAGTAGACAAAACCATTTTTCTTAGCAAAATAAAGTGAATGATTACAATAAAATATGCCATATTTTAAAATTAAATTCATAAGCATTTCAAGATTCCTACCAGCATCATCAAAGATTTTCGGTAAACGATTTTTAACTAAAACTTCATTTAATGAGGTTGAACTAAAAGAAACATCACATACGTTACATGAATAAAACTTCTTATTATCTTTAGGCGACAAGTGACCAAGTTACACTGCTATTGAGAAAAATGTGCAACCACTTTATATTAGCTTTTTGAAGATGGTTCCTTTCTTTTCTGAAGAAATTCGCATTAATGATTGCATTTTAAAATCAACAAGGAATGCGAATCAAAACTTTGTTAGGCATGCATCAAAAACACAGGAATTTTGACTATGACCGAAGCGAGGTTACCTGTTGACTTGCATAACGATATCCAGAAATTTTTCTTCAATCACAACAGTCGCATAGAAAGATGAATTCGCTAATGTTTTTTTAAAGTTTAACATCTCAAGAACCTGAATTCAATAAAACACCATTTATTTTATTCCAGCCAATCTCGCTATCCTCGAATATTACCATGTGAACATTGAATATCTTTCATGTTTACCTTCTCAAAAGATCCATACTTATATGATGCAATAATATACTCAGGAATCTGAAATTGAGTCAACATGAGAGAAGTGTCATTCATTCTAACGAAAGGAATGAAAAAATTCGAATAAAAAATATGATGAAACGAAAAGTTTCAGAGAATACATTTTATCTATAAGCCTCGTAAACCAATTTCAGACGAATGAGTTTGAGTAAAGAACTAAACCAATGAGACTCACTGGAGAAACAATATACCCATTGTAATTGAATAATTCAATCGCGTGATTTGTAGTAAAACAACGAACAAAAAACCAAAATAACAGCATATTTTCAAACAGATACAATTTTATATGCGTTCATCGTCTGCCTTAAGTATAAAACTTGAAAAACGAGGCATATGAAAAAATACAAAACAAAACTCACGTCTTTCTTGTTGTTATGATAAAAAGAAGTTACAGAACCGTAGAACTCTTTTGCTGCGTGAAAATGTCCTTGTGGAACAGCGTATCTTGTCACATTAAAACTATGACATCAAATAAAAATAATAATATAAACACAATATAAACGTTTGAGAGAAATGCCACACAGTTAAATATTTCTACGCATTTTTTAAGTCCACTCTTTAGTCCATCTTAGACCCCTAACCGTACCAATTTACGAACTAAAAGTGGACTGAGTTTTAAAGCAAACGCTAATTTAACTTTATGAAACGTGTATCATTGCTAATATCTGGGTAGACAGCAGAGCAGCAACAGTACAAATTACACTCCACGTTCATTCCTTATGTTATGAAGTTTTAATTTATGTTTGAAAAAAACTGATATAAAAAGAATTCGACTATTAGCACAACAACTCGTGACGTAATACGTATTTTGGATTAAAAACATGCGGAGAACTCAAGAATGTCAGTTATCGGATGTATACGAATAATGCAGACTTTCGCCACTCAAAGGGAGTCTTGAAAAAATTCGAAAATTTCACCTACCCTAAAGTTTCATAAAGAACATGTTTTAGTTCCATGCTGTTCATGTATGATAAGCAAGGTTCCACAGCACCTACATACGACAAGAGATAAAAAAAAGCTCACCAAAGTACATGAAAGCAAGCAGAAATAGGTTTTCATCAAGTAACCAACGATTCCAAAGATCGTTATTGAAGAACTAAATCCTATTTATTTATGTACTTAATAGCCAATGATAATATAATACAAATTTTCTTACCCAGTAGACAGTAGAGCCGAGATACAAGTAGCTTCATTTGATAATTACCACAACTAAACTTTATCGCGTTCTCGAGGCAGATCAAAACACGAAGTAGCGAGTATGAAGTACCTTCAAAGAAATCAAACACTGACTATGAACTCCAAACCAGCGTTATTATTGAAGATAGCTGATATAAACTGAAAGGAAACACATACCTATTTCATCAACACAATCTAACAAATAGTGCGCAGCCAAAAGCGCAAATTCATCCGTATTTAGATCACCAGATGAAGAAGCCTTCGGATCTTTAAAATATTGACATGTACCACATCATCACATCCCAGTTTATGACATGTCACTCAATGACATCAAATGTACTACATAGTCCTTATATACTCATGTCTAATGTCTTCATCTGGAGAGACCTAGGGTCGAAACTTTATAAAGACTCCAAGTGCAACATCAGATCACTCTAATATAGACAATAGACTGGAGATTAAACATAAGTGATCTGATAATGAACCTGAATCCTTACATACTCCAGTGTAGTGTATTCATCAGGAGTGATCTGATGTTGAAATTTAAATCCTTATATACCCATGTCCAGTGTCTCTAAGAAGATGATCTGATGATAAAACTTATACAAATAAACTTCTGCTGTTCACATTAATTCGTACCATCATTTTGCAGACTGTCTCTGTGTAAAGACATAAGATACTTGGCATGTTCTATAACATTCTCTTTACTAGATGTTTCATATAATCCAAAGTATCGTGAAAACTTCTCGATGGTTAAAGTCATTGAAATCTATAAACGCACGAAACTTGAATTGATAATCCTGTGAATTGCTTTTATCCTCCTTCCACTTTGAATTCCTCTTCTCATTGTTTTATCTAACCTTTCTCCACTACTCCCTTCTTTATCCTTTTCTATCCTTATATCATCCCTCTTTGACACTCACTACTCCTTTCATTTCATACCTTCTTTTTCATATCCTTATACATCCCTTTCACTCCTTTCATTTCATACCTCCTTTTCATCCCATCATCCTCCTTTGACCTCATCCTCCATTGATCCTTTGACCTCACTTCCTTTATTTCATATCCTTCCATCCTTCCTTCCTTCACTTTCCACCTCCCACTCCTCCATATCATCCTTCCTCATACCTTATCCTCCTCTTATCCATATCCCTTCTTTGACATCCACTCATCTTTTTTCATTTCATATCCTATATCCTTCTTTGACACTCACTACTCCTTTCATTTCATACCTCCTTTTTCATATCCTTATATCATCCTCCTTTGATTATAAAGTTACAATACTCATTAAACAATAGTAATTTTAAGAATCACGTTTCCTCCAGCCCTTAAATCACACTTTTATGAAATTTACTCTTTAACATACTCCAAACATTCCTTAAATCCCATCATCTATAATCCCATGAAATTCATCACCTAACATACATACATCATGAGTGTGTTCCGCGCACGATTTCGACAAGGATTTACACATTTCTACAAACTAAAACAACTATGAATAAATGGAATTTTGAAAAAGATGAAATCACGATTCAGCTACTAACAAGGTCGGTGTGTTCTCAAACATTAAGGGTAAATATTTATAAAAGTATTTTTACAATCGAACCATTGTATAGTTCTTAAAAGTACCAGGCAAAAAAGAGAGAAACAAATATGTATGATGCACCATTCTTGCAAACTAACTCTACGCATACACGTAGAAGACATTACGCTGGAAATATAAGCCCATAGCTTTAAATTGAAAGAAATTCGCATAACTCCTATGCGACACTTTGACGCTACCTATATTTTCAGTTCTATAGCTGTTCGCATAAAACTGTACCAGGGAGAGGAAGGAGAAAATTTTAAAGATGTGCAAACCTTGTTTGCTTTAACACAATCGAGTTCATCCAAATACACTCGTAGATCAGAAAAACAAACAGTTTTGTCGCCAAAATATTTAAAATACTCCAACATGAGATCCAGTAAATTACTCTCTTTACATTCTACATTGAAAGAATTACAATTGAATGTGCTACACAGAAACTATAAGTGATTGTGTCACATGAAACGAAGAAAATAAAACAAGAAGTCATTCTTTACTGAGCTGTCATCCATATATGGCGAGCTTTTACTGTTTCCCTTAAAATATGGAAACGCAAATATGAATTTACCTTCAAAGAAGTTTTCGCCAAGATTTTTTCAATTTTCTTTTCCAATTCCAAGCAAGCTAAGAAAGAAGCTCTTTTTCTTATGTTTTTTGTCTCTGTGCTCTTTTTCATTTCGTCAAAAAGATCGCGAGCCATTGAAACAGTGTAATCTGGTGCGGTGCTGAAGAAAACGGCAAAATTCACTGGTTTCTTACAACTTTACCACAAATACACAGATATTATGATTTCAATACCATGTAATACTATCTTCAATTATTGTAGGCGAATAATCATCTTTTATTAGTTTGATTAAAGATTCCAAATATCCTTGATAAAAACACCATTCGTCAGGTCTAAAATAAAACAAATTTTAATAACGAACAAGTTTAAAGACTTTATAGATTATGCAAGAACTTAAGTTTTTCAACATCAGATCATGCCTGATGTAAATACAAAACTAAAGTATGCAACAAATCAAAACAGTTTTACCAAAAAATTGGGGGGGAGGGGAGAGTGAGGGAGGAGTGCAAAATGTTAAGCATTTATTGCTTGGAATAGTTTCCCTTTTCAGCTCATGTATTATCAATTTGTCAAGTTCAATTCCTTCTCATTTATTACCTTTCTTTAATTAGTTTCCGGTAAGAGAAGTTTACTTCTGACCATCTTTCAAGCTTTGTTAAACAATTTATTTTCTTCTTTTCACATTCGAGCGACGAAAAGTAATTTCCTAAAGTCAAAAACATCAAAATTTTTACGTCAACAAAGAAATCTATCGACATTCGCAACCCGTCCTCTATTCATCACGTGAAAAAATTCTTCGTTCTTACCTTTTCCTACATCATAATCATAAAATTATTCATCAACTATGTGTCATGTTTAGAGTTTTTCAAATGTCTCGATGCCGTTTGTACAAAAATCAGAACAAGCCGACAAATTCCGAAAATACAAAATAAAACAAACTCCGAAAATAGACAAGTAGTTTTCTTGATATTCAAAGTAAGAAACATAAGTTTTGAGAAAGAGTAACTTAATATTCTGTCTCTGACGATGTCTTTGTTGTAAAGAAATAATATTACGTTCGAATTCTTTCTCAAAACTCGTTAAAGTTGAAGTTGTGAAGTTGTTTTATTTTTGTAAATTAAAACTACCAACGTAAGTGTCAACTACCTAATGATCCATTTAAGACTTCCAAGGCTTCGTCATGTTTATTTTGCATGTCAAGCACCATTAAATACAGACGAACTTCAGCCTCACTCTCAATCTTTTTTTCGTCAACGAATTTTGAAATCATTCGCTCAGATAACGATAAAAGCATTGTCTTCTTTGTTTGGTCATCATCACTTTCAATAGCCTAAAGAGATTATTTCATAACATTTATGTTCATATACTCCATTTTTCTTTCTTCATAGGAGTGATGTCATAATGAAATTTACGTCATACACTCCAGTCTGGTGTCTTCATCATAAGCAAAATGTGGTCTTTCCAATATCCTTGAAACATTAATGTTTTTAGTTGCTTATTTACACAAACCTGTAAAAGACAGCTCATAACAGCCCAGAAGTAATATGGATTTTTTTGAAATGTTTTGTATAAATTCATTGCCACCTAAAATCACAACATTTAAAATATTACATTTATCCCTTGCTGATGTATCCCAGTTTTGTACTCTACCCTAAATACCTTGAAACAAGTTGTGTTGCAGAGGGTGACCATAATAAGAGTTGACATAATTAGACCATAATCACAGAGTGATCAATGAATGGGCGTTAACAGAGAATAAGGATAACAAATGCAGAAATAAGCATGCACAGTTGTTGAGACTTTCAGAAGTCATTTCTTTTTCGAAAGAAGTAACAGATTATTGAGCAAGATTATTTGTTTTTTAGCACCAATTGTACAACACTACATATAACATTCATTTATCAGAATCACTCTCTATATTATCAAAGTGAAGTAGAAGGCATAAAGTTTTTCAATATCATCAACTTTTCTAGTACTAATGGCAATACTAAACCAAAAATCTTCATAAAACATTATTTGTGATAATTTTGGGTGATACTACTGAAAGCAAATACAAAACCAATTTTTTACTTGCTGTTGTTTCTTGAATTGTGATGTCCTCACATAAGACATAAAAAGATGCGTATACAACTCCTCATCTTTTGGATTCTTTTTTACAGCAACTTCATATATATTACAGATATCCAAGTCTTTGATGTCAAAAATGTATGAAAAATATGCAAAACACAACATTCATAAAATGCACTTAAAAGGAATACAAATTTTTAAAGAAAATGGTGCAATCCAATATTTCTCAAGTCTAATAAGAAATCTAAAACCAAATCAAATGGGTCATTGACTAGCTCTAAAGTAGTTTGCTTTGAAAACTTACGCTTGTCCATTTCCCTTAAACAAATTGTCATCGCTTGCAATGTGGAATCGTCACATATTTCTAAATTCAATACTTTGTTCATCAACTGCCCACATTCCTCTCGTTTTCCAGACCTCAGAAGAGCAATTGATTTCAAAACCTAAGAATACAAGAGCAACGAATTATCATGAAAACTGCGCAGAACAACAATTTGCTTTTCTGTTAAACATTTCAAGTAAGGAGTAAATCTTAAGTACATTGTCTGCAAAAATTACCAAGATCTAAGCATGTATTCATCACCAGGTAAATAATAAAATAGATGAGAAATACCTTTGCACAATGCAAATCCTTTTGCTTCTTGAGGATTTTATCAGCATGTTGAATAGCTTTTCTGTTGTTTAGGGAGTCAAGTGCATCTGAAAGATATCATGAAATACAAACATAGTGAATATATTCTTGGAAGCGAGAAGTACTGTACGACAATACAGATTACCTACCATAAATTGGTCTTAATCTTCGTTCATTCACTGCACTATTCGACGCCATTTCTATCCATGTGCAGCAGAGTTTTATTTCCCATCTACCAAACTGCCATCGGCCATAACGGTTTCAAAAAATCACTCGTAATGTTTTACAATTTACATCGTGAGGTTTTGCAAGGTAATGACTTCTGCTTACACTGTGCCGTTGACTTATTCTAGTGATGTTGGATTACATGCAAAATGCAAATAAAATCAAAACATCAAAGTCTCCTCAGATCAATAAAAGATTACCAGGATTGAAGAGCGAAGGCTAGTTCCATTCCCTTGCCTTTCAGCACATCAATTCCAAAATGGCGTTCTTGTTACCTTCGAAGCTCAGATTTAGTTCTACATAACAAAGAAACAAAAAACTACAAAGAGGAGTCACCTACACCATTGTATTAAAGAATTGCTGTAATATGGGTGAAAATATTGAGCAAGAGGAAGAGCTCGAGGTCTTGCGTTCAATCTACGATGAGGACGATTGTTTTAGGGAAGTGAATGACACAACCTTTCAATACCGTTTTGGAGACAGCGGTGAAAGCAAGTCCTTTTTGCTGGAAATTAAGTGGCCGGAAAGTTATCCTGAATGCTTACCACACATAAATCTAAATGCCTTCTATAACAGACATATACCCGAAAAGTTAAAGGAAACGATAATTGAGAAAATTTTAACTGAAATGGGGGATAATGTCGGAATGGCTCTCACATTCACCATTATAAATTGGGTCGGAGAGAATTTTGAACAATTGCTTGAGCATATTGAAGAAATGTTAGCCAAGGTAATGCTTCTTGTGTTTCTGTATTTGGATGTTTTTTGGATTTTTTTCAATAAAAAAATGGTGGTTTTTGATCACTGTGGATTCTGCAAAATATCCCTTTAACACCAGCAATTTTCTTTTGATTCTAGTATATCTAACCAGTAGCATTCCTCTGTGGATATTTAACTTATTGAGTAACGAGGAATGCTATACTAAGTTTTGGGTTGCTATGTATGTATTACCCGGTACCTAGTTCAACATGTAAGAAATCTGGATTGGGTGTTTTAACTGGCCACAAAATTTTCTTCACTGCTCGAGTTATGCAATATGAACTTTGTAAACTGGGTTTGAGTACAAAACAAACACTCCTTTTTTGGTGAAAATAAAATGTTTTTAGATTGGTGGGGTTGAAATTTATCTAGCATAAATATGACATGAATTAGTGTTACAAGCCATTGAAAACCTGAAGCTCAGTTTTATATGAATGAAAACACCATTTGTTTTTTTCCATAACAGCAACCTAAGCCTGATAAGGATGTTCCAACTGTTAGTATTAATGTTGAAACAAAACCAGCTAAAGAAAAGAAAATCCAATTGACAAAACAGCAGAAAAGAAAACTGGCCGACAGAACCAATTATAAAGGCGAGCGAGAGCGAGGTTGGAACTGGGTTGACATTGTGAAACATCTTAGTAAAACAGGATAAATTTAATTATTGTATGATATATGAAACAGAAATTTCCCAATCACTCAATATTTGTATTTTATTAATTTTTACACAACTTTCTACATCTATACTTACATTCAATTAAGGATGTGTGGAAAGTTTTGTCCATTTAAAAAATATAATTTTTTTAGTTTTGCATTTAATAAAATATTATCAAGCAGTAACTCTACTTAATGCACAATAAACTCTGGTGTCCCATAGTGTAATTATATTATACATTCTTGCCTGATCATTCTGCTTCATGAAGAACTATGTCTTTTGAAAGGTTATGCCAATATTTACATTCTGTGTCTGGATGTTTTAAGGTCTCAAACCAATGTTTTAACAGCAAATCTTTGGAGCGAATTCCCAAATGAATACCACCTGCAATAGTTATAATAATCAGAGGATTTCCTCTTCCTAAACAAGGAGAATACTATTCATAATTTAACAAGAAAACATACAAACCAATAAAATCATTGGACTTTCCAACATCATGATCCCAAACAGTGACTTCTAAAGTACGACTTGCAAGTTCTTTTAGAGTGACGTTGTAAAAAAATTCCTATATAATTCAATTGAAAGCTAGAAATTAAATTTACTTAAAGTAAAATACGGCGTGATATTAACAATGCGACAATTTAAAATCACGTTAATCACGATATTAGTTCAAAATAAATCATCAAACAATTAATTAGAAAGATTTAATAAGTTCAATCAACTTTATATCGAATCGTTTCTACCTCGCCAAATTCCGGGTTCAAGTTCTTTTTCTTTACTTTAGTACGTCGTTTAGTTTTTTTACCCGGGTCAGGAAGAAGGTAACTTTAAAATGAAAACAAGAGTTAGCCATAATTGTGAGTATTAGTTGCGGAGTGGCGAGATGTGACGGAAAATTTTTTGTTTATAATAATAATATACGACAAAAACATGGCAAAGTATCACTGAACTAGTCGTATGCATCACTGCAACTTGAATTAACTTTTCAAATAACCATGCAGGCTGCATTCCGTGCATAAAAATTCGGAGATCTCCCGTGTGGAGAAATTATCGTCTTGGCGTAAAGGGCGAAATTAGTTATTACTATTCATTATTCACATTTTTTTAATGGTTAAACTAAACATGAATACTTAAGTTTATATTATTTCTTAATTTGGCTTATATTGAGTTGGCGCGAAACTTCAACATTTTGGCGTTAAAAAAAGTTATTTTGAAACCTTCGGCGTGGTGTTTACACGGAATGCACCCTGGTCAAATAATCGACGTTTGAAATAGATCCCGTTTGATTTCAATAACGTCTCTCGATAACATACAGAGAACGTGAATGTTGCAGTAGGTTGTAAAGATGGTTGCCGTCGGCATAGTTCGACGAGAGATTTTGCAGTAATATGTATGAATAGCGACAATTTTAGTCAAAGCATGATGTGCTTTGCAGCCTTATAACGCTCTGAATGTACCAAGATAAAATGAGTTGTGGAGAGAAATGTTGCAATAACATATAAACATAAAAGTTTGCAAAGGTTGCAAGTTAAAAAATGTTGCGGTGTGGAACAGAGATACTGGACAAAGAAGCTTAAATCTGCACTACACACACGTTTCCAAACGAAATATGATAATGTGCAGTCTTACCAGAGAAGATTGCATAACACAGCAACAAAAATAATTTTTTATACATTTAAGGTAGTCACATTCTGTTATCCCCGAAACAATACTCCTACCATTTAACGTAGGGATCAGAGAATCCATTCATATCCATAGCGATCAAGTTAGAACACCTTATGATACCAACCACGAGTATATTACTTTTGGAGTTATAAAGAAGTGATAAATAGATACGACCAGGACAATCGTCTATTTTCTACAAAAACAGGACAAGATTAAAACAAAGTCAATTCATCAACATAAATAACTATCGCTATTTCTGTATCATCATTTAATATTAAGATGACGATATACTTACCATTGTCTCGACCCCAGTCTGTAGTTGTCACATAAATGAAAATAAAAATAATACGTATCAGTCATATAATCATATTCATCGAGGCAAAAAAAATCAAGAACGCACCTCAGACTTCGGTTCCAATGCAATTTTGATTCTTTTCTGGTTGTTTGAAAGAACGGACGTCAAAGGAATGGTTGTTTCGCCTATGAAATTATTCCGACTAAGCTTGTCCTCGTCAAAAACTTGAAGCCTGTGAAGTGTATAAAAACCATGGCAAAGTTTTACACAACTCAATTATAGACAGAAATGAACACACGTTTTATTTACTTCATTTAAACAAACCTTAAGGTTTTATTCTTCATGTCTGTCTCAGTCAGACCGCTGTAGGTCAAAGTCTCGTTAAACACTGGATCCAAAGTGTTTTGTAATGTACGCGTGCGCTTTTTATTGCTCTGCAAAAAATAAAAAGAGAAAATAAGCATATTATACCAACTAATTCGATTGTTAATAAATGTCTTTCACATAGTAACTATTTCATCGATTTTGCAAAAGAAATTCTCCGCTCATAGAGACAGCAAATTAAAAAATATATGAATAAATTACCGAATTACCCCCTCCCCCCCCAAACACCTTCTTGGAATACACTGACAATAATGATATGGCTATAGCAAGCAAAAAGAAGAATATTTCTGATCGAAATGATGTACAAGAGTGATGAAGTTGAACAAATTGTGTCCCTAATTTTTCCCATTCTCACAGTTCATCTTCCTTCATTACAGTAACAAAAAATATACGAAGATTGAGCATTGAAGAATATATTCCCGGGTTCAAACCATTTACTTTATTGAAGAATATATTGACGACACACAAATCTTACCTTCGAAGCTCCGGGCAAAAGATGAGCTTTAACGTACGGATCAGCCAATCCGTTGAAATCCATAGCAGGTAATCCCTTATAAAAAATTATGGCAAAGTTATATTGACAGGATGTCATATTATATCAACGAACAAATAATTTTTTTAAATGTTTATTACCTTAGCATTGTGTATATGAACATCCAGACGTTTCTCATCGTTCGTGTAACTTATCGTAAACTCGATGACACCAAGCGGTCCTTAAAATAAGATTTATTTTTAAATTACAAATCAACTTTAGATGGATTAGTATAAATGTTGCTGAAATGTGCCACCATGGCACGCTAACACCCCAGTGTCCTTACAACATAACAAGAAGTTGATTAGAAAAGCTGTGTAACAATTCTTTTGTGCCAGAAATACACGACTTGCTATCGTAGTAGATCATCGAAGAAGTACATTTTCAACTGCCGTCATAGATGAAGATATACTACTTTTTTGGTAGGATATTTGTAAAATACTATTTTAAATAGTCTCCTTTGAAAATATGGCCAATAAATATTTTCTTTGCCAATATCTTAATCGATGACGATTTTCAAATCTACTTCAACTTTTGTTATCTGCAATAGTCGTAGCCATTGAGAGTTTTATAGAAAATTGAGCCCGCTAGTTTAAACGTGTAATATTCCTTTGTACAATTCAACATTCACATATCTTAACAGGTTGAAAAGAAGGCAGCACACTCGTCTGACATGAAGAAACATTGTATAAGAGTAGTCGCAAGGCTGGTTTGTCAAATATGTGAACTTAAATTAAAAAAACAAACAAACATAAAAGGCCAAAATGAGCAAATCACCTTTTGGATCTTCATTGAGGTCTTTGTTCCCGATTACATTACTTTTTTTAACTCCTGCACGTTGATTGGTCGGTGGTTTAGTTACTACGTTGCTGGTTCGAGTTAATACTGGCGATACGTTACTTGTTCGGCTTCCTAAGCTTTGCTCACTACTCCCTTTGCTTGATGGAGTAAGAGCTCCGTGCTGTTGATTGTTTAGTGGTTGAGATGAAACGTTACTGGATCGCGATACGTCACTAGTCCCACTCCCTATGCTATAATCGCTGCCTCTCTTTTCTGCTGAGAAGAGAGTATTAATATCACCGATTGATGGGCATTTAGGTTAAGTAAAAAACATGCCAAAGCAAGGTTGTACAAAAAGTGGAATAGTTAAATCCTGATGCTTACATAACAGCAAAAAAGTAGAGTAAATTTTCCAACAAAAATATTTTTTAAAGAACAGTATAAAACTTACCCGAATTAGGAACGAGAACGTTTGTTTTAAAAGAGTACGTATCATCGTCAGAAACATTGTGTGAGTCTTGTTCAGACGAACGTCGGCTCGATGATAAAGGACTGGACGTATGCGAGTCAGGTGAACTGGTGTTGTCTATCATGAAACCAGGAATGGGGTTGCTTTCATTTTCTAACGAATCATTGTTATGTTCGTCTTTTCATAACCTTTTGCTACAAGTGTCGAGAGAAAAAACCAAAAATGAAGTTTCAAAGAAAAATCCAAAATAAACTCTACTTATTCGAAATTTACAGTTTTATAGAAATTTGTGTCACTGACCAGGGGCGTAGGGAGAATTTATATAAAAAGATGGGAGGGTTACTTTGAACGCATCGAAAAAGCAACTTATTGCCGTTGTTTGAAATTATCATGAAAATAACATGGCGTTTTTTAAGCATTGTAACTCTGTAAATAAATAGGTAGAAATTCACACGTATCTTTTACAAAAGTTTCATGGATGTTCACGAGCTATAAAACACTTACTTTTTATTTCTGTTAAGTTTTCGCTATAATTTGATTTATTCGTGACAAACCCTCCAGAAACAATCACATCTTCTGCCCCAGATGAAGGATATGAATCCGCTTCTGAATCCGAATACATTTCGGAAACTAAAAAAAGTACCTCACATTGACAATTGTATTTCTCATGCAGAAAATTCAGTAGGACCATCTTTAGATTATGTTAATTTTTTATGCAAACAAATGAATATAGCCCCACAAAAACCGCAATGACACTCTCTTCCAGACTCCTTGAAAGCTCTCAGCTGTACACCCTCTGGTAATGACGTCACATACCATTTTCCTGGCTCAACAAAGTTCCCTTTCTGTTCTTCACTTCAGGAGTGGACACAATAAAACTCTGGAAATTGTGATGAAAAACGTTAAAATGAAGTGAAATTTCATTCGAAGAAAATTCTATCTGTATCTAAACATATGCACGAGTTTAGTGCAAGAACAGTAAACAGAACTACAGATAACCAACTATAGTTCTTTTCGTAACAAATGAAATCAAGTTGTACTTTGCATAACATATGCTAAACACAACTTATACCCGATTCCCCACACTAATTCACTACAACCTTTTTGTTAACATTTTAGGCAACAATACGTCATACTGTACTTCCTCATTTCACACTATGCAGGTACAATATCACTCAACATTTTCTCTTACAACGAAATGTAATCATTGTATCCATTGCATTCCACTCAACAAAATTATGAAACGCCATATGCCAGCCAACAATTGTATTTCACGTTTTTCACGTACCAAAACTATCGTACATCTCTATACCTTTTCATATCTCACTACACACATCTTTAGACCTCTTCGTACCTCTTCATACATCTTCATACCTCTTCGCACCTCTTCATACCTCTCCATATTCAATACCTTTCCTTACCCAAGCCTTTCTATATCTCTTCACGCTTCAATAAAAAATGTCTAAGGAATTTGCTTACGGATGACATCAAATAATTACGATCTCTGACCGAAGGTAACTTATGCTTGGGTAACTGTCGATAGAACCAGGCCCCGGACTTCTTCCAAAACTACACAAACAAATAAAGAAATATATCATTAAAGAGAAATATCACAACGATTATACGAAAGAAACACGAATATTATTGGTATCCAACACGAGAGATTTTGCTTCATTGTATCTTCGTTGTATTTTCACCATTAGAGAATAGTTTAAGCCATACAAACCAACCTTTAGAACAGTTTCTATATGTCTGTTGAAAAATAATGGAACTACTAGACAATATGAAAATAAATCTATTGTACCTCTCTGTGTTCATTACAAAGTTTACAAAGGAATATTGGAGCATTGGCAGAACTTAATGTATCAACACCACATTTTCCACAAGCGGCCTGTTATGAAGAAACACATTGTAAAAATTAAGTTGTTCAGTCTTTTGTTCCAAAAAAGTGTAACTGGTGATTATAATGTTTTACTTCAGCACTTCAGGTCTACTACTTTCATCTTATCTGGTATTGACCTCACAGTCTTCTAGTGTTTATGTCATATAAGCATTCACACTATTCTCATCAGTTACTATGTTCTTGACCATCGCTGGTTTTAGTCAATATATCTTTAAGACCAGTATGAAATATAGAATAGTAATATAACAACATTACCTTTTGACAAATGCTACACTTAACGGGTGCAGCTGTTATCTTTCCAAACTTTTCATTGCATAATAAACATGTTGTTATACCATTGCCTTGGGCATTGTTCTTAATATTTTCAAGACGATCAAGCAACAGTCTAGAACATCCAGTTGATCATAAAAATGAAACTTATATAATTGTCAACAAACACAGATAATCAGAGATTTTTGTTTTTGTGAGAAAAAAAACAACTTATAATGTATTTGGTTTAAACATGGAAGCTAAAAGGATTAAAGGAAGGCTAGCAGTACATATTATATTGACCCAAAGAGCAATAAAAATAAAGTAAAATATACATCAAAATGCAAACATAGAATCAAGCACAGAAGCACTTCAACACCATCACCCATGCAAAGCAGTTTTGATAAATTGTATTATTGTTATTGATGTTATGTATAACGAAGACTAAGTCTACAGATATTAAACATGCATCAAAACATAAATATTCTGCGGATATCGGGTGGCAAGGGCTGGCTTTTTACTGAACTTACCCTATCCTATATTCTTCTTTGTTTCTGGAAACCTCTGCCTTCTTAATTTGTTCTTTAATGATAGAGATCTCATCATCTTTGATAGGTTCCTTTTTCCAAGCTCTGTTTGTATAAAATGACCAACCACTGCCCAACCTGATAATAATTACATAGAAATCACTGCAACTTATCAATATGATTAGATACTTAGTAATAGTAAATGACATCAACAGCACTCTGTCAAAAAATGAAATGCCTATTTCTGTACTGTACATGCAAAATTTGGTTAAATTCCACTTTCCTAGAAAACCTTGCTAACGAAAGGTTTTCATGTTTTCAATCTTGCTGGCAACACAGATCACGAAACAAGAAAATGCTCTACACTGATATTGTGCAGACAGGATGTTATGGTTACATTTTTATGATTAAAAGCATTCGATCAAAGATCAGGAAAAAGAAATATCGTTTTCTGAAACCAACTCACTTATCCTTGAATAAATTTTCACTTTCTTAAGTTGAAAGGCACCAAATGATTTGTAACAGGACTCAATTCATCAGTTGAGACTTTCACGAAACTAGGCCATAGCACCAGATCAACGGATGCCCCATTTAGAAATTATTGAAATTTGAAACGTCATTTTTGTTTAATTCGGTCACGTTACGCGTACCATTTTGTCAAACTTGCTCAGTAATTTGAAGCGAGCTTGGCCTCAAAACCCAGCAAAATAAGAGAAGAAAGAAGTACAACTCATCTAATAGCACAAAATTATGTAAACAAATATTTCACTCGTTTGATATATTTCAACTCACTTCGCTCGAAGTCCTAATTCTCTGTCGTTTGGACAAACCCAAGGATCTTCGTGTTTGAGTGGCAATGAATTGGAATTCATTGCACAGATGATGAACACAGACACGAATCGATAGAACTGTGTGATTAAATTTGGTCAAAACAAGTCAACCAGTTTCATAGTTTTTTATGATTATTATTCTGTCTTCCGGAAACGACGACACTAAAAGCTCTTTTGTCTTCGAGGCTTTTAAAGATGTCCATCAAAATGATAATTGCACTTTTTCTCCCAATTAAGAATACCATTACAAGGAACTCGATGAAGAAAGCATAAAGCCAAAGTATTTAGTTTGCTCTACTTAAGAGAAAAGTTTTCTAATTTCGTAAATAGTTTTGTTTAAAAAAACACAATTAATCATACGATTAATTTATGGGAAAAAATGTTGTTGCAATAACTGTAATAAATGCGTCATAGCTGTAAGTTCCAAGAATTTTAGTGAAAGCAGGTAAATTGTGTATGCATGTGGATGGTCTTTGCCAGTGATGTTAGTGATGTACTCTATATTCCCGTCTCCGAAAGGAAACAAACTCCTAGATACCTACTAAGGGGAATTGGATGAAAGAATAGGAGAGTCCAAACAGCGTCGACTCTTTTTATGTAAAAAAAATTACAAGTTTCAAAATATATAACACATATCTAAAGCATTTCAATGTAAACAGAAAAAGTCAGACAGCTTAGCTGACACAATACACACAAATGATAAGAAAAATGTATTTTACATAGAATGTATCATCAATGTCTATAGTAGTAGCATTAAAAACTTTGGCCGTTAGATTGACAAAAACTTGTTCAAATATTCATGAGAATACTAAAGAAATCGTTCTCAAGGTCAGCGAATACGAAAATAAATGCATTGGGGGAGGAAAAATGTTCTTCTTAAGTGATCAAGATCAGCTTTGGCGTCAATCCTGTCTTAATTGGGGACCATATTCATATATTCTGCTATGCCTGGCTAATTTCTTTTCAAAACAATTTCATTTTCAAAAGAAATCAGCCTGGCATAACTGAATATATGAATATGGCCCTCCCAATTATCGCAGGATTGACGCCCATGAAGATCAGGTTAAACAAATAAAACAATGGTAATCAAAACATTGTCTTGTCCATTTTTTCTCTTCTGAAACAAGCAAATAAATCAATTATTTTGAATCGCCACTCCGGACCTTAAATAACATTGTTGTATAACTTAATTACCAATGGATGACGGTATCCTTCAACTATCTTATGGGTTCAGTCATTCCCTTATTGTTACATCTTCTTGGTTCTGTCATTCTCTAAGTTTTTATGTCAATACATGACAAACAAAAACTTATAATATTTATGGTTTTATAATACTTCAACTTTCCAAACATTGCTACATTTCTTGATTCTGAGAAGTTATTATAAAAACGTGTGGCAGGAATTTTAATTCGATGTGTTTCACAGATTTCAACCCATGCAAGTTTGTACTTTCGCGGAAACTCAAACATCTTCAGGAACAGAAAATTTACTTCAACGAAAATGATTTTTTATAAATGACATTAATAAAAATTAGTTTATTCAAATGACGTAAAAAGACCAAGATGAAATTATTTCGCCTTATTGTTGAGGTTGAATGGGCATGACAGTTTTGACAATATAAGTACTTTCTTGAAGGGAAGGGTACTTCAGAAACACATTTAGGATCATGCAGAAATTTTACATAGAAATTAAAGGGTACGAAGAACGCTTTAGACACAGCAAAACTGGTTTTTATAGATTTAGAAAAATACACCAAACTACTTTGCTGGGTTTTGCTTTTAAATCTTTTGACTATTGCTCTCTAATTTAAAGAGAAATTCTAATTAATGGATTTGCCGTCGTTAATAAGACAGCTGCAAGCTAACATATGTCGTAAAAACATCACGGTATCGATGGAATAAAATTACAGGCAACGGCAGGTTTGTATGCGACAGAAAATAACACATATACCATAAATTCATAAAACAAGCTGTTCTCTTATTCATTTGACTCGTTTGGGAGAATTGAAATTCTTATGTTATCAACTGATCATTCGCGAATAATTTGATGATAAAACTTGAGTATATATTTTTTATCGCATGCACTAAGAAAGTGTTTATATGGAATGACAAGCTAGCGTTGGATGGCATTGCTTCATTTGCATGTGATTGTTTAGAATATGGAAGACTGAGTTTAAAATAAAAGAAAGAACAGCAAAGTTAACGAACACTTTTCTATACATCAGATGTCGCCTTCACAATGGACGTGGATTTTACCAGGAATGCTAGCCAACGAAGAACAACTTCTGGAAAATGCACAACAGGAAAAAGCAGTGTCCATATACTACACATCAACAATGACTGTGGAAAAGCGTCAAAGTTGCTGGAAATTCGTCACTTCTGTACAAAAGCAAATGAATGACACAAAGTCGAAGACACAATGCAAGGCTAAAATAATTTTTTCGAATTTCGCCAAAGAAACGCAGACAGCCAAGAATCCCATTATCACGGTTTCAGAAGACTCATTACAGACATTTTTACGCTACGAGACTTGTATTACTTTATACGAAATAAATAGCAAAAAGCCGACGAAATTTATCTCATCGGTGACATTTGTTCCGAGTCAACTAAAAGTAACCTACAAGTTTAGTTTGAAATTGAAGTATTCAAACGAAAACGCTTTTCGTTTTTAAAGTATAGGATGAAAATGCACCTGTAATTCAATTATTTTACATATGAATAATTGTTGGAAATGTGACCAACTTCAATTTTCTGTTATTGATATGAGAAAATAAATGTGCCTTAGTTAATTTTTGTCCCTTTTTTCTATGACTTTCCTTTTTTCGATAAAATTGAGGATTCATAGCTAACATTCTTTACAGTTCATACAACTTTATTCATAATTAGCGATATTTAAGATCTGTTCAGTCTTGGTAAAGTGTATAAATTGTTTTTTAAGCATAATATCTACTATAGGCGGTTTCTGTTTTGCCTGTACTGTAGTATCTTTCGCGACGTTTGATCTTATAACTTTCGATACGCTGAGCTTCTCTAATCGGATTATCGCAGTAATCTTGCCATCTTATCGTATCTTCATTCAGTTCTGAAATCGAAAACTTGGAGATGGAAAAAGCACTCTTTTCCTCAAAAACATGAGAATGTGAACAATTCACGGCATCCGTTAAAGAGCTCGATGTGAATGCATTCGGCGTGTCTTTTTCGGTCAGCATTTTCTGATCACAAGAATCTGACAACGATTCCTCCATTTCCGTTACGTTTTTCTTGGGTTTGTTTCGTTTGTATGATTTGTTTTTCACAAATCGCCCACGGTTTTTTGTTTTCTTCTCAAGTTTTTTCATTTGGTCATCAAAAACAAAATTTTCATCTTTATTCTTTAATTTAGCGTCATGAAGTAAACAGTTTCCATAGTGACAAATTTAATTTGTCACTATAGCAATTTTCAGAGCTTCCATTTGACGTCTTTAATACTACTCAAAATTGACAGGTCGAGGAATTCTACCAGTCAATGTGTACAGTCTTTTACGTACGACGAGCCATCATATCAATAGAAGGTTAAATCGTGGTTAGAACTGAGTAGTTATTCTGTGAAAGCCAACAAGTAGATTCCAGTCCAAATAAACAAAAAAGGACTTTCGGAATATATCAAAATCCCTTCTGAAGAAAAATATTTTTCAATGAATATGGGGCTATAGTTACCGATTTTTGAAATTCGTTAAGTTTTAGCATTACCACTGCTCATGTCATTAAAGTTTCACCACAACATAAAACAGCGGACATGGCTGCACCAATAGCGGCATTCGTATCAACAAACTTCACAGGTTTGTTACAAAAGATTTCCTGAAGTGTAGCACACAATACATTATTCTTTAAAAGCGCGTTGCCAGTTCCGAAAATACTACGAACTTCATGCTTTTCAAAAAAATCTCCAAACATCCCTCGGACGTTGTACAATATGCCAGAGCATACAGATTTGTATACATTACCCAAAGATAAAGACTCCATTGTTATATCGACAACCGACGCTCTTTTATTGGTTGCATGGCGCTCGCCCCAGAGTATAGGATCTACTTTAAGTTGTGAGACATCTTTTTGAGAAGTGATTGCACATGCAAGAAGTTTGTCGTAAATTTCCTCATGTGAAGGTGGTTCAACTCCCAAATCACGCATCCAATTTTCTAACATATTAACGAAAGTTGCAAGCACGTTCCCACCTGAAATGAAAAGAATAACTATGTAAAGTTGTTTTCAGTAACACATAAGTAACTCACGTAGTTACAATGCAGTGGAAAACGTCAATCCATAAAACGTTCGTAACAATCAAGAACATATTTGTTATTGGTTACTTAAAAATAGTTTATAAATAAAAGATAAAGTCAACCACCGATTAAAAGATGCATTTTCAATTGATTTGCTTTCAAAGTATAAATAAATACAAGATTTCTATTGCATTTATTTTCAACTTCTCAAGAATTTCCCCCCAAACCTTGTTCTGTTAAAGTATTAATAAATCAAAAATGTTTAATAATATAAGCATATAAAATTTTTTTGAAATGATATGATCACATGACTTTGGATTCTTAAATCTAAATTTTAGTTTTAAAAACGTAAAGAAATAAGCGCATTAAGGTCGACAGTAATGTTTTTCTCTCTTACCATTCAACGCAGCAGCAACGATTAAACTGTTGTTGCTAAAATATGGTAGGATTTGCAAGGCTTTTTTTGATTGTATTTCCTTGTAAATCTCAACTTTGAAAGTGTCTGCAATGACTACTGCAAGCTGTGCGGAAGTACCAATGTTAAGAACTAAAAAACATATCAATTTTAATATGAAAATATCTTGTATCTTAAAAAGGAATGAAGCAACACACTTAACTAAAATTACATCGTCAAATCTTGAACAATGGCATCACATAAAATTATGTGAAACACACAAAAAAGAAAATGGACAAATCTTTCTGTGTATTATTTCAAATAACTTAACTTGAATTAAGCAATTTCATTAAGCATTATATAGAACACAAAAAATATAAATATTCCAACCATTAGTCAATTACCAACATCCATATGTTGAGCTTGAGTGGCTAAAATAGAACATTGCATGTCTCCCAAAGCCACAAACACGTTTACACCTTCATGAATTTCATGCCATTTGTGTGAGAGTTTACCAGCAATATGTCCAGGTTCACATATCGTTGGTAAAATATGAACTGGGAAATTGGCTTTGATCAATCTAATAAATAGTGGTTAAAATAAACACTTGATTTATCAGAATCTGAACACATTTAACCTTATATGAAAACAGAATTTTTAAAATTTCACTTCAAAGATGATGAATGGGTATTGAACAAAAGTAAAATCATAGTTTCTACGCATGTATATAAGCTTTACTCTTCGCTTGATTTTTGACTTTACATTTACATCCATACATCTCTTCCCTATAAAGATTATACCCAACATATTTACATCTTCAATATCGCATACACCTACATCTTGATTGTGATAACCCCACACACTATCATCTTCAACACCTCACACATTTACATCTTTAATTTACCACATGATTACATCTTCGATAGGTACCCCCAGGCCTCAGAGACTTACTTTTCAAATTCCCATTGTTTTTCTCTTGATCATAATATCCCCAACTACAGGCATTCTGAGTAGAAATATTTGCAAACTCCGACGCAATTAAATATGAGACGAGAAAATCCATTACAGTCCCTGCACAATCATATTGTTCAAAATAATCCGGCATATGTTGATGTAACCAAAAAATTGTCGCACAACCATATCCTGAGGCAATGTGCAAACTTGAATCAGGCAACGAGCTAAGAAATTCGTCAGAACATCGCTTATCTTCCCATGTAACAAGTGTTGAAATATGATTATTCGTGCAAAGTGAAAAAGGTTTTTCTTTCGTTCTTGTCAAAAACGATTTGCTGTTCCATAACACACAACCATGCATTTGTCCACAAATTACAATATTTTTGACGCACTTTCTTGCCCCTTTTGGTAATTTTTCAATGCAATTGTCGAGTGCATTTAACAATTTTGCAATGTTTTGTTCTCTATGTTGTAAATCAGCTCTCTCTCCCACTGTTAATTCAGCATCATGTTCAAAGTTACTCTGTGAAAACTGGCACTGGCTGGCATTGCAAAAAGCACAGTCTTTACGCTAGTGGTGCCCAAGTCAATGCCTAGAGTTAAAGATTCCGAACTTGAAAGATGTATGTTGGTGGCCATTTTGAATTGCGCGCCACTCATTGGCTTTGTAGAGGTCTGGGACTGTAGCCATAAAAATTAGCAGGAATTAAAAAGGTTCTAAAAATTCACGCAAAAATGAAATTCAGGTTTCTTTATAGATGTACATTTGTAGATGCAGATCATCCAGGTTAGTAGAGTCCTGAGAAAGACTGTTTGTGTTGATGTTGATTGACATTTCGACAACCTTCGAGAGTCAAAAAACCATTCACTTCAATATAGTTATAAAAGTCATAAATAAAATCATTTTATACAATCCGGAGAAACTTTTATTTTTATAGATATAAAAGTATATTTTTTTATCTATAATGGTCGCACTCGTTCATGTACATTTCAGTTATTCAGTATGTCACGGGACTCATGATGAGAAATATGTAATGGTGGCATTCTGAGAAAAAATATAAAGTTGCAATTTCAGTCAAACATTTCAGTTCACTATTTATACTACACCGTATTCTGCTAAAAATTTTACACATGCAAGTTATTAATTTGATTATTTTAAAAGGATTGTGAAGTTGAGATTGAGGTTTGCATTCATGTCGGCCGTCGGACCGCCATGTACAACATCTCCGCACATAAAAATTAACAGCTATTCTAGGCCCTCCCAATTGCTTTATTTCAATGACAATACTCACAATGTTAATTACTATAATTTACTATATAAATTGTCCTCAAATTGGCAAGTGTATCGTCAAATCACCCTGCATTATTTTCAAAATATATAATTTACTTAACAAATGCTCGTACGGCCTTTTGAGCTTCCTCCAATATCGTATTTACAAAGAGAAGGGAATGCGACGCTCCACTCAATAACGTAGGCTGCACGTGAGCCAATAAAAATCCCTGTTTTTTTAACCATTGGGTAATCGTGAACATTTCACGAAGTTCAGTGGCGTTTTTTCTGTTTAGGTCATACTCCAGACTCAGCTGTTTTACATACGTCAAAAGGCTGCCATCTCCTAACATGCTCGACATACCCGGCCAAAGATCCAAGGTTATATCAAGACGCATATGATCAATTGATGACTGTAAAGGAGAAAATGTAAGTCCAAGGCTTTCTATGAATGGTCGCATCAACTTTACTGGGTTTTTAATCATTTATCTGCACTTAACACCGCCTATCGTTTCAAAATTTTTGCATCCCACTTTTCTTTTTCCTAACTTATCAACAACTACTTAAACGGGCAGTTTCATTTAACTTACAAAATCAAAGTGCAGCTCTTTTATCAAGGTTAGAAACCGTCTGTATTTCCAGCCTGGTGGCCCAGGAACCCTGTACTGAGCTTGTTGGTCTTTATATGATAATCTTGCATTGAAAAAACGCAATTTTTTGTATAATAATGATCAATGTGATCCAACGCAGGATCAAAACTGTGTACCAGACAACCAAAATCTTTGTGCATTGTTTCTGCAAACTTCTTCCACTCGTGCTTTATCCTTGACAGTAATTCAAAAGCAATTAGTTAAATATAATTTTAAAGAAAATAAAAGCCAATGGACAGGCAATCTATTATGAAAAAAGAAAATAAACTCACTAAGCAAAGAGCAAACGTTTTTGTGAACGCCAAAGGCAAAACAAACTATTACCTTGTACGAATGTAAATCGGAGGAAGAACACTTGTATTTTTTAATGACAATGAAAACAGTCAGAAAGAAAGAGAAAACAGAGTTTCGTGGTAGGTCAAATTCTATTGAATTTTGGTGCTTAAAAGACATAGGATTGATTGAGCCTTTATTGCAAATTGACGCTAGCTCAATCTTTACAGAGAGAATTCAAACATACATGTTTTCGAACAGACTGAGCTCGTATACAGCGAGGTTAAAGAAAGCTTAGTCTTGGGTCTTCTAGTCACCGCAATTCTAATTCATCGGAAAAACTATAGACCCTTACCCGAACGCATACACCAGACAGTTATGTTTTTGCAAACCGTACTTCCCATCAACGCAAACATACGATTTCCATCGTAGATCTTCACCATTTCTGTCATGACGTGATGAGGTGATCCTGGCAACCCGAGTTGGTCACACGTGACTTGAACGTCGAGAAACGCTTGTGTTAGTCTTTCTGCTTCATCTTCCCTCGAGCCTTTCCCAGCTATCAAAATTGGCGGTTGTTGAAGAAACGTTTGGGCATTTGTATTTGAACCATCGCGCTCCTTTGACGTCTCTATATAAATAAACGATTGACTGTACAATCACGTAGTTATAATACTTCTTCAGTAAAAAACCATTTTTAATTATATATCTAAATGTGCAAACCTGCAAAATAAATATACACAAAAACAATTAAATCAATTGATGATTTGGTCTTAGTTAAGGATTACGTTGGTACATACTGACGTGATTGAGGGATTTGCAAAAAATTTTCTCTGGACCTATTTTATTTAGAGGTCTTGTATTTATAAAAAAACAAAAATTTACCGTACCTTCCTTGTGCATAACTTTTCCATCGGGTAATTCAAGCAGCTAGAACCATGGAAAAAAATCAACATATAAAAATTGTTTTTGAGCACTTTGGTCTTGGTAAATCATTTTCTGGATGGTCATGGGGTTGAATTTCACTTAAGCAAGGCAACAAGATCGTAAATCAGTAAACTTTTCTTTTACTCTTGAGGCTACGTCTCTTTTAGTGCCCTCTCAAATGGTTGCCTTGGTATCGTCTATCACACCCTTAAGACTCCAATACAACATATGTATAATACTCACAGATATATAAACTGGGATAAAAAATACGATAGCAATTGCCATTGACACCGTAGCATTGATAAAGGCGGCCACATAGGATGATTGCATTTTGACAGTTGCAGATACCTCTGCTAAGACAAAAGATTTGACAATTGTAAAGCAATTCGCAATCTTATAGCGCTTGGTTATGGTGAATATGGGGTTTGGAGATTCAGGTGATGATTTAATTAAAACTTCAACATGTCAGAGGTGACACATACAACCAGAAAATGATCTTGACATGACGAAGTAATGTACTGAACAAACATACAAAATCCAAATTTTCATAATTTTTATCTGATATTCGCTAAAGTAACAAGGAGAAAAGTAGAAAAATCACACAATTTCTCGTCGTTGTGTCGTCATTTCCTAGTGTAAACATGACACGTTGCTATTTTGACACATAAACACAAACCACTAACTCAACACTTGAACACAAAAATCAACAATAAATATGGTTGTATTATGTCTAACTGCATCAGTTAAAGTCATATAATTTTGCAATAAAACATTTCATTGCAATATTTGCAGTAACTGAACACAATTTATGATAAGATTTTAAAAATTAACTCGACCGTTATAACGTAGCAATCGCTTAAGTTAATAACTCACTTTCTTTCTAATATCTCCAGAACAATTTTCTCGTTGAAGCTTGTTCAATTACCCAAGAATTGAAACAAACAAATTTCCTACGACTATCACTTGCATGTTCAAAAGCTCTGAGGAAATATAAGCTTACGAATGCTCTTTTCCTAATCGCAACAATAAATAAGACTTCCGCTTAATCTGTTATGTGTGGCCCGGTAAAATATTGCCTCGAAATCATTCAAGCATTTCAACCGTACGTAGTGGAGTGTATCAATGAAAATTGTGACATTTAAATTGCCTCATCACTTTGCTTATCCCACTTGTCTATATACTGCATGGTGTATCAAAACATTTGTACATCTTTGAAATTCGCCAACGTTTAGAAGTTGCATGATTCAGTGTTAAATTTTCCAAAAGAGGCATGTAAAATCATTGAAAGGAATTTCCTGCTGGGTATTGGCAATGTGAAGTTGTCATAATTCGTATGAACTATTGTTTTCCATTGCATTGCTGGTCTTTATGAAATAGCTTAAAACACTTTATGCACATGTGAGCTCAGAATACAGAGTGTCATAAAAAACTGCTCCTCTTTGAAACAAATGCATGACTCAGCAGTAATCGACCCCCATAGACCTGTAAACACAATTTAAAAAAAAATGCATACAAATTGCACCATTGCAAATTTCAAGCATGAAATTCATTTCAATAGCAATTATGCCTCTTTGGAAATTAATTCTATTCGAACAATGCTAATTTGTTATTCTTAATATCTTTGGTTAACTATTTAAAGACCCTTATAAAATTACATAATGTTAAAATTATCAACTACATAAGAATATATATGAAAGCATGATAAATCAGTGGGGGTAATATATGTATGATATAATCTCTGAAAAACAATAGATTTGAATGCAGCAAAAACTTGCATAAAGTAACATTATCCCCTCAGCCACCCTCTTATCAAGTATGTTATGCCACTATACTAAAGATAAAAAATGCAATGCTTCCATTTGCAATGATGTGCAGTAATCATTTCATAGCTCTGGATAATTGCCACTGTAGATTTTTAATATCTTGACAAGCGTAAATGATAAACTTTCTCTGTAAAAATTTGAGAAAAATCCTAATCACTTCAGATATTTCTTTCCCCTGCTCATCATAAAAATTCTCAAATATGCTCATCAGGTGAAGTTCAACACACTTAAATATAAAAAATAAATTTTATGCTATATGTATACATATATGATGTATATATACATATGACTGTACATCTTAAACAGGGCATTTCAAGTTATTTGTTTGCCAGCCAGATGTATCATTGCCAAAAGAGGATACTTAAAGCCATTGCTACACAAAATACAGCAACATAAGGGCTCTTTCTTTCCCCTATGAAAAAATAATGATACGCCATTAAGATATGACATCAAGAGCAAGCTGAAAGTTGTAGTAATTTTTGTACATTACAAACATAAATATTAAAAACATCCAGAATTTTGAAACAAAACAATGTCATCTAAAAAACTTTCATGGTTTCTAATAAGGATGAGCCAATTTATTGGCACTAAAAACTAATCACCAATATTTGGTTGTTTTCAAATAATCGGCAATCATTCTTTCGTTTTGAATTTTTAAAGTCCAAACATTCTAAAATCTGACTATTTGTCTTAGTTTGAATGCTTATACTCAAATCTAAATTTGCTATATATGTATATTTTCTTAGTATTTAAATTTCTTTCTTATTTCTTATACAGTATATTTAACTACAAGTGATTAAGAGATTTTAGCTTTTAAAAGTTTTTCATCAACAATAAATGTTTGACATTTTAAATATGCTTAGTTTTGCAAACTTTATCTTGTTTTGAAATTGACTTGATGTTTTACAATAATAATTGGCTTTGGCCATTAATCTGCTGATCAATAAATGCTCCTAATCGACAACCACTCAATTGAAATGGCTAATTAGCTTTTTATTGTGGTCAGCTCATCCCTAGTTTCTAACATAAAGGAAAATGGACCAAATCATATAAATTTGGTCACAAAATGCATCTGAACAATGAATTAAGAACATTGAAAATGAAATTATCTTTCCTCACCAATTCTAGCCATTTTCCAAAATATTCCAAGTAACCTAAATGCAGAAGCAGGTATCAAAATGTTGGTGAATTTTCACTGGCATCAGAATTTGAGAACAAGATTTTTACAAAAGTTCCACAATTTGGACACAGGTTTTTATCATTTGCATGTCCATATTGCCCATATGACTCACTTGCTATAAGCTTAACTAGTAAACATTTTTTTCTTAAACTAACGAACATGTAAATCTTGTTCAATTAATCTTATGTAATGCTCACACAATAAGATAACTTACCCAGTTTTATTTCTATCAAGAAGAGCAGGAGCAAAACTGCGAATGTACGTGCAGGTACAAATCATCAATAAAACGACAGCCAACAGACTTTGAAAGTTGAACAATGCTGACTGAAATAAATTTAATGAAACAAGTGAAAGAACTCGAACATTTAGTACATGTATAAAACAATACAAAAATCACGTAAGTAGAAAAAACATATTTACCATTGTAGATTTCTAAAATAAACAGAAGTCCTTGGAGCAAAATAAAACAGTCTTGATTATTTGTGTAATTTTCTGAACATTTTCGTGTTTATATAGAAAAGTACAAAGCAACATTGACACATCACATTTCACAAAACGAGTACGCAATCATTAAAAGCTCAGGTCAGCGGAAAAGATTACTTTACATTGTGTACTAAAAATTGCTATTGATTGTTAACCTTTTACTCACAAATCACAACTCGAAGAAGTCTTTCTTGAACTGTCATTTGTAAATCTTTCATCTGTATAGAAATTTACTTTCTCCCTGTTTTGATATGAGGCCGTTAGCCGTCTTCGTTTTTACTGTGTGTTTACAGATTTACAAAACTTGTCACGCTCAGGGATTCAGCAGCAACACTAATTAAAATATGTGTAACTTCCGCCACTTTCATTTGCTAATCAAAAAATTCATTAGTGAAAGAATTTTTACTCAGAACTAAATTGCTAGAAAACTGAACAGAAAAAATGGAGGCAACGGATGAGCTGGCAGTAGTTATTCATGGTGGATGTCACTGTGGCAAAGTACGTTTTCAAGTTTCCACAAAAAAGGTCGTCGATGTTTATAACTGCAAGTAATTTATTAAACAATCAATTATACAAAAAATTATCGTCTGCTATTATATCATTGATTTTGGTACTTATTCAAACTTTTCCTTTGGACCATTTTTTTCTACCACTGAACCTAGGTAGTGAACCACAATAGCAGGAACCAGTAGAGTATAACACCACCCGACGTTAACAGAATCACCCAATAAATTTGTTAAAATATTTGCAACATCAGTTTGATTCGTATAAACCAATCACACATAATATTTCCCATGCTGTATTAAATGATCAAAAAGTACATTATTCATTTATTTCTATGGTATTCAGTTGCAGTATATGCAGAAAAAAACAGAACCTACACTTCATAGTTCCAGATGCTGCTTTCAAAATCCTTAAAGTAAGTTGGAAATATACAGTTATACATACTCTAACATACAATAGTTAAGCTTTGTCAAGAAAATCGTAGATAATTTTACAAATATGCTGTGTACATATATCTGTCATTTATCAGAAATGGTAAAAATTTTTCCAATGATGGCCAGATGAACACACAAGTTCTAATAGTTAAACTGTACTAACTGGTTTATTGTATAACCTATTTTATCAACACAATTTTAACTGACTATTTTACTAGGGAGAAGATAATTTGACATGCTACACATTCAATTTGCACAAAGCAAAGCATTTGTTCTGCAAGTCATGTGGTGTTCAAAGTTTTTATAAGCCTCGTTCAAATCCAAATGGTTATGGCATAATGCCTCATTGTATAGATGAAGATGATGCTCAGAGGCTAAAAACGAACATGAAGTATTTTGATGGGGAAAATTGGGAAAAAGCAATTGTAGTGAATAAAGAAATTCTCACGAAATCAAATGAACCCAATTAATTAAGCACTGAGAAATTTCATTGACAAATAGTCTGAAATAGATAATGTTTCTTAGTTGCCTGAAATGTTTTTATGTATGTGTGCACAATTAAGTACTAAAATGTAAATCATCAGCAATTCATATAGCAATAGAGTAATTAGTAATTAATCAAAAACATATACTGACTTGCCGTATGTAACTGTACATGGGAGTTGTAGCCATAGTATCATTTGGCTACTTTGGAATACTTAAATATACGTGTCAGTGAGGACATATCTCTATTAATTAGAAATAATAATTTTTCAATTATAGGCATTATTATTGTCACTAATCAACCTTTTCATTTTTCAAAAATCTTGTACTGCATGGTAATTTCCTCAACTGATATGTGAATGAACTAAACACAATCACAACAGCAAAAAGAAAAGAGAAAGATGCAATGGTTTTCATAATTATTACGAACAGTTACCGTACAATTTAATTTTGTTCATATATAAATTAATGATAAAATTTTGTTAATTTTTTGGAAGATACTTATCCTCGGCTTGTGTGAGTTCCTTGTCACCTTGAAGACGGAAAATTTCTTTTACTCTAGCAATCTACAAAGAAATTTTTCTAAAAATGAATTTTCCTCACCACAAGGATGAAATTACTCATCCTCCCATTAAGGTAACGAGACAATGTTGAATAAATTTTAAGGAGTGAAGTAAGACACAATCCAATCTTTCTGGAATTTTAAAGATACTAAAATGAAATATAAGGCTCCAGTGGAATGTTCAACAAGTTTTCCACATCACTTCTCTAGTTACTTTAAAACAGCTTCTTGCTAAAAGTATATTCTTACTATACAATATTTTACATAAGTAAACAGTGTGAGAATTAACGGTGCAATGTGCAATTTACACATCGTTTTAGCTAAAATGAAAACAATTGCACATCACTTTTTCAAACGATGTGCAAAAATCAGCAGTTATAACGAAAAACACTGTCGTAAATCATATGAATTTGTTCACGTTTAAAAATGTTAATTTAGCAATTAGCGCTATATAATAATTAAAGTAATATGGATTTGACAATGCTGAACAAATTCGCACACTTTAAGTAAATAGTTTAGACCATAAGTAAAAAAACCAATAAGGGGAATAAGATCAGTGACGGTGGGATGGGAACTCTATGCCCTACTTTTCTTAAGATGCAAAATATGCACAACTCAAATGAGAAAAGTTTAAACATTTTGTTACTACCAACCTTATCTTCGACATTAACTAAAGACTGATCCAGGTAAATTTGTCGTGTAGTCTCCTGCATGGCAGCTATGGATGCTCGCATGTTATGATTTGCCCAAATGATCATTGAAATGCCAAGTTCACGGAAATGATCAGTAGGTACTGTGTAATAGTTTGTTGGCACTATAATCACCGGTCCCTGTATAGCAAAGTAGAATTTAACAAATCCATCTTGTTTCAATGTCATAGTATTGGGATACTGCAACAACTAACCCTAACAATCAACTCACACCTTCCATCACACTTTTCAACCATCACCCTACAATTTAATTGCCATTATCCTTTCAGCCTGATTATTCAGTCCTGCTAAGTAAATACTTGTGTGTTTTCTAACTGTGAAAACAACAGATTTCCAAAGAAATTAATATAAATGATGTGAAGTTTACAGAGCAGGAGTAAAACTTACGGGTTGGCTTTCCACTGCTCAATTCACCCAATCAAAAATAATTAAAACCAATGTAATACAGAAGATCAATTTCAGATCATTTCATTCATTTGCTGGCTGCTTCAAACAGCCAAGAATGAAAAACAGAAAAATGTACATCTCTCTCATGTACAGGTCTCAATAAAATGAAAAAATTGAAAAGTTTGATGGCAATGTTGCAACATTGCCAACAAATATCTTCTTTTAAAAATTTATTGATGCATACAGGACACACTACATACTGAAAAATTATATCATTGAGCATCTAACCTGATTATTCCATGCTTTCATGAAAGCCTCGATGTCTGAAGGATCAGATTTCTTGCTGTGCATAAGAATAGCATCTGCACCTGCATTCATATATGCCTCAGCACGCTTATGAGCTTCATCAAGGTCCCAACCTGCTATAAAAGCCTCAACTCGTGCAACCACCACAAAGTCTGGATCTTCTTGTGTATCTTAAATTCATGCAAAACTAAGTCAAAATAAATCTTTACAGCATGAAAATGACCCTTCACAAAATCATAACGAGCCTTTGCAACAGCAAAATAAATCTTTTTAACATCAAAACAAACCTTAACAACACCAACACATATGTTCACAACATCCAAATAAACCTTTAAAACATCAAGACAAACCTTTACAAGCCTTTATCTTCAGCGAGAATTCTTCAATGTCTGCAAGAGGTTGAGCTCGGCCATCAAGCAAGGAGTTGGTCTTTGGAAATAGTTTATCCTCAAGACATGCACCTGCAACACCTCTTTGCTCCAACTTCTGCACCAATCGTCTAGCATTATTAAAGTTTCCATATCCAGTGTCTGCATCGAGTAAAATAGGAATATCAGTCGCATCACTCATGAACTCCATTACATCAACAACCTGGGTCCAAGATGCCTCATTGCTATCACGTACACCAAGTTGTGCTGAAATGGACAATCCACTACCCCAAATCCCTTTAAAACCTATAAAAGCAAAATTTTTATTTGTTCCATGTTACAAATGTTTGTGCAATTTACATAATGACAAGTCTAAATACTCACCAGCTTCTTGCACAATTTTTGCACTCATGCCATTATGTGCTTCCATGATAAACTCAAGTTCTGATGATTTTAACATCTGTTTGAGCTGAGTTGTTTTCTGAAAGAAATTGATAATGTATTTATGGAGCCCAACAGTTTAAAACCCACACAAGCATGAAACTTCAAACTAAAAAATTGCATCTAATGAAATGAAAATTCATAAAAATGGTGCATAAGGATTTTAGGTTTAATGTTTCTCACTCGTTGAGAACATATCATTTAAGACAGTTGTGAATCCAGCCAATTTTTCTTATACAATGAAAACATTTTTGTTCTTATTCAGTGTGGAAACAATAAACGAAATTCGTTTTCTGAAGAATACATTTCTAAAAATTTGCAGTAGAAATTCATGCTATTTTTATCATTGTCCTCCACTGACATATGAAGACATTGTTTTGAAAAATGAAGCAGAAATTAGAAGTATATTCGCCATTCAACAAATTTAAATTGATACCTTAGTTGCATTATTTGAAAGAAAACGAGAAATTTTCACTACAAAATGGAAAATAAAATCAGATTTTGCTACATCAACTAAAATCTTTAACATAACTAAGTCAATGTAATGTAAAAGATTGATAATAATTTCTAAGCCACATAACAATAAAGATTATTTGTTAGTAAGGGATAGTAAGGGGTTGTTCACTGTTTGCACAAAATAGGTCAGAAGTGTAACAATTCAATGGTTTATTACCTCGAAATGTCATCAACGTACTTTCTGTCTTTGGATACAGAATACCTTGAAGCGATCTCGTAAACATGGCCATCTTATCGTGAATTTTGCAGAAAAAGAAGACAGATTTCACAGTTAAAACATTGACAACGGATTCAAAGTCAAAGATATGCACTCATCTCCCTTTGAAGGTCGCAAAGCAGTTATGAATCGTGGAATCGGATATTCAGAATGCGAATTAGTCAGCTTCTATCAGCGAAGTTTTATTAAATTTTTGTACTAATTTGTGCAAAACAGAAAAGTTCTTTCCACTAGCAATAGCACCATACTAACCTTAATCAGCGGCTGAGTGCATTTGGTGAAGTGATAAAATAAAAATAAAATATATTATTAACTACCGGAACTAAAACAAATTTTATTTTAATCAGGGGGAGAAACGCCACAAACTTGCTTAGTGGACGCATGGGTACAATTACTGTCTGTCAAATGGTACAATAGACATGGGTCCTGCTAAAGAACCCTAGAGAATGCCTGGAGATATTTGATGAATGACCGGGAGTCTAGAAAGAATGCCTGGAGTAAAATCATGTACTATGGGAGAAAACATTTATGCAAACTTTATGTAATACTCTAGTGACATTTGAGAAAAACGACGATTTTTTTGAAAGCAAACATGTTTCGACATTATCAGAATGCCATCTTCAGTGCAGAATGGTTAGTGTTAAGTAATATGATACATAATATGATATGAATAAATTAATTACAATTAATAGGATTATGATTTAGTTAGGAAGTTATAAAATATTTACAAAAAAATTTTGGTTACATTTTATTGGTTACATTTTCAGAGTTCAAAAAAATGTAACCAATAAAATGCTAAAACGTTATCAAAATTAGCCAATGATATCAAGCCACCAAATAATCACATCAATCACTTTTCACAATTCACATTTCGGTTTCACATTCAGTTAGACTAGATGCCCCACAGGATTCGGAAGCTAAAGGTAGGTTGATGAATTTCTTATTAATTATCTAAAAAAGGACTTCAAATATCGATAAATTCGTTGACAAAAGCCTTGTTTGATGTATATAGTTACGTATTGCTTTACTTGCAAATCTTTTTGTCTATTATTTTTGTGCAATTTGGCGTTTAACTTCTTGTCTTTGCCGGTATGTTTGCTTCGCAAGAGCACGTGTCAGAAAAACGACATGTTTGTACTTTTTAATGTCTTTCGTTCAATTTTGCTTTTGTGCGTTGCCTGTTGCAAGTATTTGGAATGTGTCGAGGTGAAATTTTGTTGAATACATTTATTTTCATCGAGTATTGTGTGAACGATATATTTCTAACGGCAAACTTCGCGACCGACAGCTTTTTCGTTTCAACACAAAAACATGAGTAAATTCCTGGTGAAAAGTTACCGTATCGCAAAAGAAGAGATAGGCAGGGTATTTCTTATTTCTTGGGTTGACTTTTGTGGGTAGAAAGGGCTCTTTTAAAGGAAAACTTTAAAGATATTTGAAAAATATGAAGATGTTTATTGAAAAATATGAAGATTCATGTTGGACCATGGGCGGCCCAATAAAGTAATAATACGTAAAAAACAAACAAAAATTCAAAATAATAATCATATTACAAAAAAAATAGGATAATTTTTCTACATGAATCCATGCTTAGCTTTTAAAAAGAGCACAAATATCACGAAAAATATGCGCGAACTTTTCAACTTGTTTGTAAAATTTTTCTGTCTCCATGCTGGATGCGTTAAAGTGGTGCATACGCCATTATTTTCAAAAAGACTCTACTGCCATTGGCTAATTTAATTTTTTGATTTTTTAGCCAATTGCAGTTGAGAGTCTTTTTGAAAATAATGGCGTATGCACACCACTTCAAGGCATACAGCATGGAGACAGAAAAAATTTTACAAACAAGTTTATTTTTAAACAGTATAATGCCTGGATTACCGATCATCAAGCTTATATAATATATATATGTATATACATATACAATCAATTAATACAAAGTTTGTGGCGCACGATCTGTTACGATGGAATGGGGAGAATTATCGTTTCTTTAAACTATTTTAGCTAGCTAAATGATTTTTTGGGCCGCCTATGGTTAGACGTTGGACTTTCAATTAAATTGGCGCCTTCGTTCCGCGTCAAAATGAAGAATACTGGGCACAAATTAAGCAAAACTAACCAGTTTGACTATAAACAATATTTTCACCGAAAACACCAAAATATCTTTGAGTGAAGAAAATTTTATTCACTTTGGAATAAATGAATTTAAAGGGTAAGCCTTGAAGAGTGTTTGTTCCTATAGGCTCTTTTATTGAATAAGTTCGAATAATAGCAATTTCAGTCAGCTCTAATATTAGCTATACAACTTGAGTACAAATTCGAAAAGTTATCATTAAAAAATTATTGACTAATTTTCTCTTGAAATTTAATTTCGAGCAGACATGATAAATGCAACCGCATTCGTATGAAAATAATTGGAAGAGAAGTATAGGGAAGGGAGGTAGAAAAGTAAAAATTATACGTCGTTTAAACTTTCATTGTCTAATTTGTTTTACATGACAACGGTGTTGAAAATTTCTATGATAAAATGAAACGTCAAACGGGTAAAATACAGAAACTCATTTCATTTAATTTCAATTGATAGGATACCCAAACGAAAGGACTATTTGACCGAGAGTATTGTTGTAGATTTACTTGTGCACACATTTCTACTCTTCTCAAAATTTTGCACGAACAAATTTGTAGTAGCATTTTTATTATATAGCTACAATCATTATCTTCACATTTTGCTGCAAGTACTTGAGTATTGTTTTGAAACATAAAGCAGCTAAGTCAAGAGTAAGAATGATTACGCAATAAATGAAAACTATTGTTGTGAACGACTTATCAACGACGTTCGATTGCAGATAAAGAAGTCTATAAGACTTCCTACTTTGAAATGTATAACATATCAAAAGAAACATTGAAAGAATTATTTAAGTTAAAAACTAATTAAGAAAAAACAATTGATGTGAACAATCTATACCAAAAATCAAGTTCCAATGGCATATCAAGAAGTCCATAAGACTTCCTTGTTTTTAAATGTATAAGATATCACAAGAAATTTTCACTAAAACAAATTTACTCATTATACAAAGTAAATGTTGAGTACATTTTTCAAAACCAAATGCCGAGGGGTTGAGGGTAAGGATTATAAGACAATAAGTCAAACTGTTGTTGTGAACGAATGATATGAAATCGACGTTTAAGAGCAAATGAAGATATCTATAGGACTTACTTTGAAATTTATTAGATATTAAAAGAAACATTCATTGGAAGTAATCTATTTATAAAAAAAAGTAAATTTCATACTTATCCATATACCAGCCACTTTGAGTCTTCATTTACCTACTTTGTTCCTTTATTAATTAGACAAGCAAGTGAAAGTATTGTTGTAAAAATTCTCTATGAAAAAAAGTTTAAAATATATATGTAAATATATGCAAAACGTCCAGAACACTTACAAGCGTCTCAAAAGTGTTATCATTATTTCGAAGAGGTCACTCCAGGAACCACAAGTTCCCTATATTTAATCAGAACAAGAGAATTCAAAAATGCAGTATATTTTATAAATTGGGTAAAACGAACAACAGTGTTGAAAGAAAGCTCAGCAAGGGCAGCCCATTTAGATGTTTGGGACGTTTATCACATCGCGATAACACAGTGTCTTTCGTTGTAGAGTCACTTCAATTAACACTTGAAGACGCTGCGCTCGCAAGAATCGATGAAGTCATTTCATCGATTCTTGCGAGCGCAGCGTTTCTGGTGTTGAAGCACTTCATCGATTCTTGTAATGGCAATGTCTTCCATTTTCGAGGCACTTTATCAATTCTTCCAAGTGAAGCGTGTTCAGGTGTTGAAGCAATCTTAGAGGTTTGGGACGTTTATCACAACACGATAGCACGTACAGTGTCTTTCGTTGTATAGTCACTTCAATTAACACTTCAAGACGCTGCGCGCGCAAGAATCGATGAAGTCACTTCATCAATTCTTGCAAGCCCGGCGTTTTCTGGTGTTGAAGCACTTCATCGATTCTTGTAATGGCAGCGTCTTCCATTTTTCAGGCACTAAATCAATTCTTGCAAGTGAAGCGTCTTCGGGTGTTGAAGCACTTTTAGATGTTTGGGGCGTTTATCACATCACGATAACACTTGACGACGCTGAGCTCGCAAAAATCGATAAAGTCATTTCATCGATTCTTGCGAGCGCAGCGTTTTCTGGTGTTGAAGCACTTCATCAATTCCTGTAATGGCAGCGTCTTCCATTTTTCAGGCACTATATCAATTCTTCCAAGTGAAGCGTCTTCAGTTGTTGAAGCAATCTTAAAGGTTTGGGACGTTTATCACATCACGATAGCACGTACAGTGTCTTTCGTTGTAGAGGCACTTCAATTAACACTTAAAGACGCTGCGCTTGCAAGATTCGATGAAGTCACTTCATCAATTCTTGCAAGCGCAGCGTCTTCTGGTGTTGAAGCACTTCATCGATTCTTGTAATGGCAATGTCTTCCATTTTCGAGGCACTTTATCAATTCTTGCAAGTGAAGCGTCTTCAGGTGTTGAAGCAATCTTAGAGGTTTGGGACGTTTATCACATCACGATAGCACGTACAGTGTCTTTCGTTGTAGAGGCACTTCAATTAACACTTCAAGACGCTGCACTTGCAAGAATCGATGAAGTCATTTCATCAATTCTTGCAAGCGCAGCGTCTTCAGGCGTTGAAGTCAGTGGTTGAGGCACTTTTGTTGAAGTGCAACGTCTTTCATTGCATGTGACAATGACGGAGTTGTTAAAAAAAAAAGGAAAAAATAAGATGAAGTGGTGCAAGACAAAGATTTTTTGAACTCCATAACTATACTTGTAAATACATTGCTTATCACTTTAGCACATTCATGATTTTTAAAGACTTTTTGTGGTTGGTGTAATCTTTTTCTACATGTTGCTTTTTCTTCATGGGTGGCTTGTCTAGCGTGTTTGACATGACTTAATTGTCTTGTATAACTTACCTTAACTCAATTAGCTATTGACCAACTTAATTTAGACTAAGATATGAATAACCCAGCCATCGTTAAAAATTTTTTGTTTCCGTTGTTTATCACTTGCACATAAGTTTCGACCTAGTGTGTACACAAGTAAATCTCTAGAAATGCTGGATTTGGCGTAAGATGAAAAATGGATATCAGGTAAAATGACAATTAGATGATGCACGCACATTGTCATTACTAAAACTTTCTTGATGATGTGCCTCATGAATTTTAGCAAAGCAAGCATTTGCAATGAGTAATGGTGTTTTGTCCAACTATGGTTTGTTTTCACATAATGGAAATTTTCTACCCGTGAATGAACGTGAACAAATCCTTCTACAATCTCATCGATAAGCCGCCACATTGTTGGTCCTTGTACTATCCCTCGTCAATAACATTTCTTTGAGTACTCTTCTCACAATAATCCACTGTACATACAAACTTTGCGGAGTAAGCTTTCAACCTTCGCAAATCTCTTTTGGTGATTGCTTCCTTTTCACTTTCGAAATCAGATTCCTCGTACAAAAGGAAAGACGCTGGTAGTTATTTTTACATATTCTCAGCAGGTCCCACTACTACATACCACGAGAGCCAACTGGCTTCCAAACTGTATATGTGATTCATCGATATTTCTTTTGAACATATTTTCAGAAGACTCGGTGTTACTATTTTGAATTGGAACCTCGTCCTCGCTAGAGCTTTATCCTCGTCAACGTGCTAGGAATCATTCGTGTTCTCATTGGTCCACGAGTCCTCGTTCAAAACTCTCGAGCTTCAACTACGCTCAATTTCATAAAGCTATCTTCAACCTGGCGTCTTACTTTCTCCTCTGCCACGCTTAATTTTGTTTCACTGGTGGAAGTTTCATTTCCAGTATTTTTTCTACCTCAATCCACGAATTATAATATCTGTCATAAATATTAGAGCATTGTTTATGCACAAAATATGCAGATACAAAGTTATAGAGAAAAATAAAAACAATACAAACATTGTCACGAATATTACGAGTGGTGCAACACAGTGTTGATGAGTTTGATATGCATTTGTCAAAACAAGCTTAAGAAGACAAAGAGCATGCCAAAATGTGTGATTGAAAATTTGCTAAGCCCATACACAAACACCAATTTCAGAGCTCGCTCCCTCACAAATTAATTGAGAATTAATCTGAGCATGCATAGTTAACTCCACCAACTCTCCAAGGTTATATCAACAGCCAACTGTACGTACTAGTACAGATTAGAGGGGGTAATTAGCTAGCTCAGTCACAAATTTTCAGATAAATCGTCTGCGCATGCGCAGTCGACTTGACCATTTTCCCAAGTTCATGCTCATGGCAACGATGAACTGCATCTACTAGCACCAATTTTGAAGTAAATAGCATGCTTTGTAACAATTTAAGAGAGAAATCATCTGCGCATGCTCCAGCGCATGCGCAGTCCACTTGACTAATTGTTCATAGTCATGGTAACGACTAACTAAATATACTTGCATTACATTTGTTGCAATTGGCTCACTTAGTCGCAAATTATCAAAGAAATAATCTGGGCATGCGCAGTAGTGACATTGATAATACCACAACTTTCGTAACTCTTCGAATTTTTGTATATATATATAAAGCCAATACTAGATATAGTAGATGTCAACTGGCAGTGGAAGCTGGGTGCGATATAGTATGCAGTGGCTTTGGGGCCCACACTTCGGTGGCGACCGCACTCTCCCTGCGTACCCCGAGCAAAGCCTATCGCAGGTGATCTCGGGTCTGATGGGCGTAAGCTTGCTATTGCATCTCCCAAGTAGGATAGCGGTGGAGGGGCCGAAATCTCCTACCGAAACGTTAACATGCGGCGTTCTAGTGCCTTACGCTTGAGAAGGTATCGGGAAGCATGGACCGAAAACGGGGTTTTTTGCTTTCGAATCTTACCTTTTTGTCTAAAAGAAACAAGAATATACTATAAAGATAACAATAATTAATAAGCCGAACAATTTGTATCGTCTAAATTGAACCTCGCTTTCAACCCTTATGTTATAGATTATTCATTTTGGATAGTAAACTTCTTTTTACCTTGCAATATTTTCATGATTCAATCCAGAAAGCAACTTCTCTTCTCGGGTAATTTTGCGATTAAACGGTACACTTTTCGGATTCAAACGAATTCTTTCAGTGATCGCAGAGAGACAGCCGTCCAATTTATTACGTACTTAAGCGTATTTAAAGCATTTTCAAATCACGTACAAAATTTACTTCACAGGACCAAATTACCGTCTATTTAAACGATGTATGTAATAAAAAGTTACATTGATAACTGAAGCAAACCCTCCTTTTTCCAAGCATTTGAAACACCTCAAATTCATTGCGAACTATTGAACTTCTCGTAGCGTAGCCGAAAGGAATAGGCATCAAATCAGAGGACTCATCTCCAACATCACAGCCATTTTGATTTCTCCCTTGATCTGTTTCAGCATCAAGCTTATCTGAAGTGATGTTATTGCATAAACCGTGCGACATGGGATTTGTTGAGATAAAAGGTTGTCCAAGAAGCTGCTGTGCCGAGCATTGGTTACTTTTCTACGGATATAGACATCTATATAAAATATAAAATCATCAATGGAATAAATTCGTTGAAATTAGAGGTGAGTATTGTATTTGATGCTTAAATTTCATTAAAACTACCCTAATAAGATACTGAACTTTTGTTCTAATGACTAAAGTCATCATATCTTAATAATTTAAATTTCAGGGGCCGGTTGCAAGAAGCCTGGACAGCGTTATCCATTGGATAGCACAAATTTTCAAATCTGTGAAAAAGGTGTTTGTATTTGTCTTACGACAAAGAAATTTCGTTACCTTCGAAACAATATTTTATTTCTGTGATTGCTCAGTTCGAATCTTTTATTTTTTGCTTTTTAAAAGTTTTATAAAAGTCTCAAAAAAAAATTGCTATCCAATGGATAACGCTATACAGGCTTCGTGCAACCGGCCCCAGAATTTCAATTTCCACTTGATTTTCCAAGATAACGTTTATTGTTGGAGTATGTTTTATCCTCTGAAGAAACAACTTTATACAACACTGCTGGAAGTTTTGAAGAAGCAGTTGGTTGCTTATGACGACTACTCAATACGTAAGTTATGAGTAACTATTTTATTGAACAATTTTTACAGTTGCTTTTTGGCTGCATTACGAGCAGACGATACTGTCGTAAAATGATGTTTGGAAGGCAAAAAGCAATTACGATTACAGTAAATACGTAACTTTGGAAATATTCATGTCATTTGTCGGCAACGTTTTGCCTTGCAAGAACTTCTTTCAATTGAATGGTATAAAATTACATAGAATTCATAGGTTTTCACAATTAAATTCATGTTATTGGAGTTTGATTATAAGCTCTCGGTCTATCGTTAATAACACTTTTTGTTTCACGTTTTTGTCAAGAACGGTATGCCTTTCGTAAATTTTGAAGAATTTCGTGTTATCTCGAACCTTTCAATTGTTTTGTAATGAATAAATAATGGTGCCACATTATGATCCATATATTACATCATGTCTATCGAGGATTAAATCATAGTTGTCTTCGATAAAAATCATAGTCATCGTAGATTAATTCACCGTTGTCAATGGATTACATCATGGTTATCGTAGATTTACATCATTGTCGTCGTGGACATTGTCAAATCAATCCTGGGTTAATCAGTTATGGATTACGTTAATCTACAAATGAAGGCCGAAGACGACGTTAAGGTTTGATTTTCTATAGTGTTTTACAAAGTTAGTTGTTCGTTTGATTAATGTTAAAGATTTATGCAGTTTTGTGCATGGCGCAGTGGTTTTTAGGGTTAAAACATTTACCTGAAAAAAAACGATGGTACAGCTTATATTGCCGAAAGCCTTTATCTAACTGTTGTGTAATGTACGATTGTTATTGTACAAAGCAAAACAACCAAAAGGATCAGTGGCACGAAGGCAAAACAGTCTCATCTGTTGTTTTACTATCTTCTACTTTATCATATTGCACATAACCTTTTTCGAGACCTGCGATCTAAAGGTTTTTCTAACTAAAGAAATAACTAAAATGCATCAAAAATATTTACAAATTTATACAACACTTTTAGACCATCACCAACAATGTTTGAAGTTGCTATTTACAAAGTGTATGTATGATACAAAAGATGTAAGTCACTCTTTAGTTTTTTTCATATTTATAAGTGAGTCTGTTGATTTATCATTATTTTCGAGATTTGTTCCATCAGACAAACTCGAGACAGATGAAACGTTATTCAACAAATACTCTCTATTTTCTGTTGTTCGTTGCTGAATGCCATTCACATGATGTTGGTACTGGTGAGAACGTTTGTGATCTCTCAATCTATTAGAACGTGTAAAACCACGCCCACAAATATCACAAACGTGCGGTTTGTCTTCGCAATGTATGTGCATATGTTGTTTTAGGTTGCCCTGGTGACCAAAGCAACGACCACAAACATTACAACGAAAGGGTTTTTCCCCGGTATGCGTTCTCTCGTGATTATAATATGCACTACGACATGCGAAGTACTTCTTGCAAAGGTAACATTGCCATTTTTTTCTCAATGGTCGATTTCTCATCACCTAAAAACGAAACACACACGACTAAGCTTTTAGGAATATTGAAAACACCTTTTCTCAAGAATGTGATACTCATTCAGTAAATTTCAATGATGTTTTATGACTGTGTATTTTCTAACACTCAACGTCTACTTTCCAAAAGTGTTGTCAAGTCGTACATTATGATTCGTTAAACAATATGAGCTACCTGACTCGGTGAACTATGACCAGAATCACCAACGCTTTCAGCACTTTCCACGCTTGACGATACGCTTATCGAAGGAGAAATGGGCCCAGATTGTGTGGTTGTGCTGTCTTCTGGAGGAGACGAAGATCGCACATCGTCCCTGCGACAAGTAGCCTTTTGAAGCTCGTTTATCTTTACAGTGAAATTTTTTTCAACCCGCGGCACTTGGTTGTTACTTGGAGGTAACACTTCGGCGTCCTTGAAAAATGGTGGGCTTTTTTGGCTTAAAGAAATAGATCTATTTCCAACATGTCGCCCTTCCGTTAATCTGACCGAATTTTCGGTCTCCTTGTTCCAAACGATTTGCCCACGCGGAGAATACGATCCAGAAGGCCAAGCTTCGTAGTTAGACTGAACAGTAATACAGGTATTGACGCATTTATCTTGGTAATTTGGCGCAATAGATAGTGCATATCTATCGTCAGCTTTTTCTTCAGACAAGAAACAAAAAGAGGAAGTTAACAAATATTGAGAAATAAACTCCTGACAATTTTCATGGCTTCTTCAGTTTCGTCACGGCGTACACAAAGTTTCACTTTGTATGGGTATAATACATTGCATTTGGTTGAATCAAAATCCAACAAGGTTTTTCCAACTACGAATTACGAAATGATAAGATAGGAAATGAACTGTTTTGTCAAGTTACCTTATAATGTGCTAATACATTTTGAATTTTCTTTGCCCCTCCCAAAAAGAACGTTGACGACAGCACTTGACATATTGAGTGCACAGACAGTTTAAAAACAGACATTTGTAGTTGGTTAAGTAAAATTTTTCCTGTTTACTTAAATTACAACGTGAACTATTCTTACCACGCAATATTATGTCATACTCCGGGTCAGTCAAAGCTGTCTGCTCTTGTGTGATAATAAAGGCTACCCCACTCTTTCGTTTTCTTAAACCAATCATTTTCCCCCGGCCTCCTGTAGATTCATAAAGCAGTTTTGCCAATCCAAACGTTGTTCCTCTTTCGACATTCAATATAGGTCGATTGTATAGACAAAGTATCACCTATTATTTATATAAGACAACGTTAAGGATGTTGAGAATTGGTGATTACGGAGCAAAGCATCTGTGGGCACGATGATTAGTCATTTAGTTCATTATTGCAATCAGAAAATTCCAGCAAATATCAAGATTTTTAGATGTCTATAATGCATATGTATAAGTTCTTTCAAATGATCCCCAATAACATTGCAGAACAAGCCAGTTATAATAAGCACTGCACTATAAAGTTACCCCACAAACAAATGTCAGTTATTATTTCTAGATTAAGATTAACGCCCAAGTATTTACACAGTAAACTGACTATTTGATTGATTTTTCAAATTGATCTATCGTCACCCATGTGCACAAGCAGACAAGCTTAGTTCGATACAAATTCCGAGAATGCATCAGACGAAAACCGAGTAACCTTTACGAAAAGATCAGATAAAAAGTCCATCTATTTGTAACAAAACGTTGCATTAACAGTTTTCGTCCATTTAGAGAATAACTTCTTATGAGCTTTGCATGGTCGTCCCACAAGGGATTATGCAAAACCATCGAATATTAACACTGGCAAAAACTGAAAAAAACTATTTCAATTCTGTCCACATCACAAATAACTATGCATTCAAATTTGGAGAAAATGTACAATTTTCCCAATATGTCAAACTTGAAATCGGAGCACGAATCGATTGAACTTTTAAGCTATGTTTAGTTGAAAAATATGTGTATTTTACAATGTAATGCACATAACGTCAGCCATGTCGTTTATCGCTTGTGTGCTTTCAAACATACATTTTCAGGAAGCTGAAAACGATTAGCTAGCAAACGAAGTACTCCAGCAAAACTACAGAACAAAGCTGTGCTTAATTCATACAACATGGTGATCTGGTATTTGGCAGTTCCTCGAGAGAGAGAAAAAAGAGAGAAATATTTACATATGTCGAAGTCATAAACATGCTGAGTATAAGCATCGTTGTACATCATGTACAGTGAAGACATATTTCTGAATCATCCACTTCAGCAGTTTTACCCGAACACTAAATTTGTTTGGGAATTTCTTACTTGACGTTGATGCACAGATCAAAAACACAAAGTTGCCGATTATTTGAAAAAAATCTTCAGACGTTCTTCGCGAATGTTCGTTCATATTTACAAAAGAAACTCTGACGGTTAGCTGCTCATGCAGGCAGCTCCAAAAATCGTTTCACAAAGCCTCATAGTTCTTTTGGAAGCAAAAGACAAATCATCGAGGTCTATGATGTATGAAAAAATATCAGCACAAAATTTTAGCAAACATTTTTGGAATTCTGTAAATCATTATGTCGACCATATTCACCGTGTGTGATACATATAAGGCATTGCAAAGAAACATTCTAATTATCAAGCTATTTTTGATTTTTGAAACTTCCAATGTTCGTTAAGGTTATCGCTAACCTTCTTTTTGAATTTGGAAATCGTGATTTGAAAGCAACTTTTGTCCAAATTACATTACTCATTTAGCAGCAGGTACAAAAATCTTCAATGGAGATCGTCTTCCATGCATTAATTATGGCGAAAACAACAACTCAAATGCTGTAATATAAATCAAAAATACTTTATTTAGTCTCAACAAATGCCATCGATTATTATGTCATTTTTAAGTTCACAAACTTAAAAAGCATATAGTGGCCTTTCTCACTTACGCGTGGTAGAACATATAAGCTTGCGTGAGCCATCGGAAAGATAAATATTTATATAACTTTGAAATATTACTTTGCTTTGCCTAAATTTCTTTTGTTAAAATACATACATAGGAGGACTTTGAGTCAACGCGCTGCATTCTCTTCTGTTCATGTTCCAACCACGTAGATGAACTATCGGTCATTCTTCTCATAAATCAGTACACGTATTTCTCAGAAAACTATTTAACCTTGGTCTCACACAAATAACAATGTCATCCAAATTTAACAGACCCGTTGGACACAATTGAAATGCCACGTTAGTCCAACTAATTTTGAAGCAACATGCTTTTCATCGACATATACTAATCATTGTGCATCAAGCTGAAACAATATATCTTGCTTGTTGTTTCAACAAAGATGTCTAACATGGCCGATTGGCAAAGACTTTGTATTGCTTTGTCGAAAATAGCAGAACTTCCTGTCGGTTTAGCATCCGGTCGCCCACGTGAACAACATTCAATAGACTTCCGAGAAATACGTACAATAAACGTTTTAAACATTTTGCATGCTATATGGTTTATAACATAATAAGAAAAGTCAAAACAGCGAACACGAAGACTGAAGATGCGAGGCAACGTATTGCGAACTTTTGCTGCTGGGGTGTAATGTCCTGAGATCAACAATATATTATTAAAACGTTTTGCTTTCGTACGAAGAAAGATACTACACATTAGCAATTAGAAAACATGTTAAAATCAATAATTTGTAACGTAATTTAACATATTGTGACATTGATGCATCAGAGGATGACGATTCCTTCAAAACACATGTATATAGACAAATGACAATAAGTTACATCGAATTACAACATTAATACGAACAATTGTATGCAATTTTATACAAAATGCAATTCTTTCTCGTGAAAAGTGAGAAAGTATGCTTGTTACGGTGTACAAACACACCGTAACATTTTACAATTAACTTGCTGAATGTCAGACGTTTTTGCTCGTGAAAGTAACCTTTAGGCTTTAGCTAATAATTACTTTTAGAAAAATGATGAACTGAATTGTATATCATTAGGACACAGACAGGTGCCACATTAATAAACGGCAAGCCCAACTTACGATTATAGCCTAAAACGATTAACTGCTAGTATTGTTTTTCCTAGTTGTTTAAAATCAAAAACATTTAAGAGTAAAATTTAAAAATTATGTACTGTAGTCTACGGGTGAAATCACCCAAAGGTATTTCAATTTGTTTGTCTAAACTTCATATCAATTACCGAGGGAATTTCTGGTAATTTCGTTCGCCCAAAAAGCAAAAGAATTAATCAAATAAAACCGATTGTAAAATATTTGAAAGACTTAACATATGTAACACATAAAATGTAGCGAAAGATATGTACAGGCATTGTACATGATGTTAAAATACACCTTTTGTTTTACTTACATTTCCATCCTGATTGAAATGACTAATATCTCGTTGACGCGTTTGTAATTCATTTCCATTATACATGATCGAATGGCTAAAACAACTTTGCCAATAGTTCATATGCAGAAATCAAGACGACGTGACAACCGAATGAACACTATTTTGAAGACAACACATCAAATGAGTAAACATGCAGTTGAAACGAACGATCTAACAAGTGACGAAAGTGTCTACATACCTATCACCTTTTGAAGTCAACATACATCAAAACCGATCATTCACTGTTCAATGTTTTTTTTACTATCACAACTGACTGGAAATGACAAAGCTCTCACAACATGTGTTCGTTTGGTAATTTATGTAAACACTACGAATTCAACTTCCTTTTGACTTTGTTATACGGTAATTGCCCGAGTAAAGTTCCTACATCCCAAGTGTAATCGTGGATTGTGATTTTAGGCTTCGTTTCATTCAAATTCAGATTGTCCCAAATGGCATACATAAAAATGGGAAATCAGTTGGAGTAAGGATTACAGAGATTAGGTGAGAATCTAAGACACATTAAATGCATACTTCAACCACATGCTAGTGAATAGTGCGATCTCAAGAAACAAATAATGGAATCTTCTAGCAATGTTGTTTTACAAGAACAACATCAAAGGTCAAGTTCGTGAGATTTTGTTTCAAAAGATTTTTGTTCTTCTAATCGTTCGTAAAACCAAAAATTTACAGTGTCGTAAGTCCCTTTCCTTCTCTCAGGAAGAAAACTTTTCCAATGCCATAAGTTAACACAAATCAATTTTTTATTATATTTGATTCATTGACCCAGATCTTCCTGAAATGTCCCCAAAACCTGTTTACAGCATTATTTCCAGGCATTCGAGTTATTTTACACTTTACTCGCATCCTCTAGCCGAGAGTCAGAATAGAATTCAGTTATTACATCAAAAGTAGATTTAAGTTCGTTCACAAATACCCTCATCTCTGTCAACACATCACTTTCGTCAAGACCATTCCCCAATTTCTTAATGAAATCTTTACGATAAGGAACAGCTTTCATAGCTAACTGTTAAAAAATTGTATTTTGCTCGAATTTAAAATACTCATAACAAAAATTGTTTGAAATAGTTGAATACTGAATAAGGGATAAATTTCGTAACTTCACAGTAGGTTCATGTTTCCAGGAAGAACAGAACGGCTTCTTACCGAGAATATACTTTGAACCATCCATCCATGATATTTCTTCAAAGTTGACTCGTATGCCTTTTTCGCACACTTGGTAAGATCTTGTTCTCCAGTGAGAACCTCTTCAAGAAACACCAGAATAAATGAAAGTGCCCTGAAAACATGTATGCAACGATGAGAGAGTGAATCAATGGACTAGGAAAGAAAACGACTTCAACAAATAAACATAAGAATGTGTAGATTTACATTGCAACATGCACAAAGATCCGTCTAGAATATGCAAAAGCCTCGACAAGACTTTTTCAGAGCTCATGGGTGTCTGAAATAATTGATATTATATGTCTTCCTTTTTCTGACGTTGAAGTCAAGGAAGAGGGAAATTATTCCTGCTTGCTAAGAGTTCAATATTGAATTAAAGAAAAGAATTATGACTTGATGTCTTTCATCTCATGCGCTTTTCAATACAGCTAGCTGCATGGGATCACTCGTTTCATACAATCAGTTCCTAAATCACGTTTAAATAAGTTTATCTTTAACGCGCGTTTAAAAACTCATATCTAGCCATAAAAAATAACATTTGCTGATTTCATGTTGCAATTATCGAGAAACAACATCTCTTAGCGATGTCGGAAACAAATTAAGTTAGGGAGTAGGCGGTGATCCAAATACATGAGTACGTTTCAATTAATTATTAAGTTTAGGGTAGGGCAGTGATCCAAATACATGAGTACGTTTCAATTAATTATTAAGTTTAGGGTAGGGCAGTGATCCAAATACAAGAGTACGTTTCAATTATTTCTTTATTCGCATTTATTTTCACAGTTTTAATAAATTATTGGGCGTTGCCTGCATACCCTTCTCCCAACAAGCTCTATTTCGAGTGACATTGATTTATATAAGCGTCATCATTTAAAACAAGATCGACACTACAAATCTTGCTCGTAATTCTGGCAAAACGACGGTAAATTTGCTCTTTACGACGACCAAACTTCTAAATGACATTTACGTAAAATGCAAATAAAACGACAACAATCAGCTCAGGAAATTTTCTATGCATGAGATCTTAATTCTGAAAACAATCAAGACGTTGCTATATTTCTCGAAAAACACTTTATATGTCATAGTCTACATAAAACCTTTTCAACCAGAGAAGAGCATCTGTGGATGAATTTTTAGCCTTGGTAGTTCCAGCATCCATTTCACTACGAACCATGTCTTGAAGAATTTTGTACTTCACTGTATCTTCTTGATATTTTTTGGACAATTTCTGTTAAGTAAGAAAGAAAAACCAACAGTGTCGATTTTTTAATAAACTATGCAGTGAATTGAGTTAAACACAGTAGTAACAAAACAAAAAAAGAAGCTCTCAACAGAATCTTTTCACTTAAACTTTAAACCAAGTATTGTTGCTAAATTATCCTCAAAACATACATTTTTACATTCAAAAAGGTGAGAGTATATTGGGAAGCATTACACACAAGTTTGGATGTCAAACTGATAATGCTTTGAAAAAAGATTTATGAAACATCTTGCTCCTCTGTACTCTCTGAGCATTAGCTTTTAATAAGAAACATGTTTGAATGAGTTGAATGAGAAATCATTTCCAAATCACATAGTATTGAAAAATAGATTACAGCTTGTCTGCCTAATGATAATATTTGAAAACATAAGTGTTTTAATAAAATGTGCTTGTAAATGACTTGAAGGTGAGAAACACACAAAAACTCAACAACTTTTGCAGAAGTCCTGCCCTGTTCTCATCCCTGCATTCTTTATTATTTATTCAAGCACACTAAAATATTCTGACAACGCCTATGTGTTTGTGTTCCATTGAATATAAATAAAGCCATTAAACGACATTTTGAATTGTTCCAAACTATTTTAATCAATGTTGGTTGACTTTTTATTGAGAATGTTTAGTGGACATTTTACAAACCTCTATGTTACCATTGATGTCACTTTTAACAGGAGCAAATGCTGTTGGTCCAAGAATATCTAAAAGTTATTCGTTGAATACAGAAATTGTAAGAACAAACTGATCACAAAATATGCTATTGTTGCTACACCACAAAAACCATGAAGTTAATGAGATATAAAATATGCCACTTAAAATGATTTTAACATGTCTATTTTATACAGGATATTTCTAGTAGCTAATTATTGATAATCAAATTGGGTAGGAGGGAGTGAGGATAGCAGACTTCTCAAAAATAAGCATGGGGAAACACCCACAAAATGTCATTTACATATTTTACCCATTGTTTTATATAACTGGCATTTTTAGTTATATACATAAAGACCTTAAACTGAAAAATATTTGGGGGAATTTACCCCCCTCCCCTTCGCAAGCACCTCTAAAAGAAAGGTGGGTGCACACCAACAGACTGAATATAAACATGTATGTGTGCAGAGGTAGGGATGACCACCCCAAATATCCCCCACTATGGCACCACTAACCCATTCAGACACCATTATGTACCAATAATGTACAAAAAGTATGATATTTTATGGCAAATATGGAACATCAACTGATAATAAAGATGTTTTCTTGGCTTCCTAGCCTGACTGGAAAGTTTGCAAAATGGGTGGCCAAGATTTATAAATGTCAATGTTTCAACACCCATTTTCTTTACTGTGGCATCTTTCGGAGGTGGCATCAACACAATGTCGGTTGCCAATAACGATGGAAGAAGGAAATTAAGGAAATTCGTTAAAGGGAATTAAGGGCTTAACATGAGCTGGACTTGAGATTACTCACCAAAAAAAGGAACGATTTCGCGACAAGCCTGTAAGAATGGAAGCGTTTCAATTGCCTTATCTTCCGTAATTGGTTGAAAACGATGTTTCGCCAGCGAGAAGAAAGTCATTTTGTGATAACTTACGCAATGATCTATGTAGAAATTATATTTTTATTTTGTTTCATTATCTTTAGCTATATGATATCCCCATTCATCTACAGCAGGTGAGTTTGAGACCGCGATCGTTATCGCAAAACTTCATTTAATATATGCTATGGTAGCCCACAAAGCAATGAAGTACATTTCCCTATATCTGATTGGCTGGACATACGTTATTTGCTAAAGTTTTAAAGAACACGGTATACCACACATACCACAAGATAAGCTGGCTGGCAACTGATCTGGTAATACGAATCTGATCGGGTTTATATCAATTTAAGTTTTCAAAAGCTTTTAGATCGATTTTTTGATCTAGAATTGCTTCACAGACAGTCGGCATTTCTTTAATATGAAACAAAACTAAAAAATATTCACATAGTAAAACATTGTAAATACACAAAACTGGCTCTAATTTCAATGGTGTAAGTATTTTCCAAACTTTCTGGACATGCGTGAACTTGTATTCATTCTTATAAGCTCGCGAATACAAAAATTTGAAATGACGCTACTTTTAGTACTTTTTCAATAATCGTTTTTATACAACTGTTGGAAAGTCAAATATAAATATAAGAAATTGACGAGCAAGTAAGTCTAAATGGCAAAGCATTATCATAAGTTATTTGGATAACTGTTGCTGCAGCCACAGAAAGCAATGTAAATAAGTATGTACACAATAAAAACTCCTTCGAAAGTATTCGTCAAAATCATTACTTCCTATGGTTGTAGCTGACAATGATAAACAAACAGACGTCTTAAATTTTCAAAGACTTGCGCTGTACATAGCAACATTGCCATACAGTGGCATATTTCTAAACGACAGTTTCTAGTGACCTAGGAATGGAAGGGTTGCTAAATTCATTTACCAGATACATCTGTATCATGTCGCCAAGATCCTTTCTTTCCATTTTCTCAAAGATTTCTTTGAGATGTTTCAGAGCATCTACCGGCGACATTCCTACATTGCATTGCCATTCTTTGAGAACTAAAACTGTGGGACTAGTGACTAAAGGATTATGAGATTGAAGGGAAGCCAAATGTTCTATTTCATTTCGATTGAAGCCTAAATGGTTAGCAAGGTTTTTCCAGTTTTGAAGAATTGGTGAATTTTGATCTAACTTTTGTTTCAACTTTGTCTCAAGATCGTACGAAATGAACAGTGAATCATAATATTGTGCATTTTCCGTCCGCTGTTTTGGTTGGTTACTCATTTGAAGTCTTTTTCTCTAGTAAAGAAATAATTATTGAGAAAACAAGTAAAGAAATATTTGAATGAACATACTCTAAAATCACTTGAAATATATTTTCAAAGCAAATTAAAATAACAGCAATATAATTATATAATACATAATCTGTTTGTTGTTATTTTTTGCCAAAATATTACCTCAGCTTCAAATGTTACTGACAAATTTACAGCCACTGATGAATCATGCTTGCAGTTTTCTTGTCTTATGATAAAATCACAGGAGATTCTATCTGGTTGCTGCTCAAACAGTTGTTCAAATGGAAATGTAGTGCATAGAGCATTCGTTTCGCATGCTCTGCAGGTGTTGTAACTCTGGCTCTATAAGAAACAAGCTTAGCTAAAATATAACAAGAAGATCTTTTCGCGACCATGAAGATGCAAGCAAATTCTAAAATCAACGTACACGTAAAATCTTTTCAGAAATGAAAACCTTACTTGTGTAATACCACGTGACGATTTCCATCCTTCAGTTAAGTCACGAACATCAATTGTGAGATTGCCACCTTTCTTATAAAAAATCATCAGCTTAGTACCGTCACAGAGAGCCCCTTTCAACTTTTCTTCGTCGCTTTCAATTTTCTAATGCAAAATAGAAAACGCTGTACGTGAAAAACACAACAGCATTTAGATATTCCCTCTGTCTCCTAGGGTGAAGAACATCAGCATTTAGTTATTGTTAATATTTACCTTCTGCGCTACCAATGAACCTGAAAGACTTGGAATGAGGTACAACCTCACAGTAAAATCTTCTTTGGGTTGATGGAGAAAGGTGCGATACGCAACTACGTTGAACTTTTTAGCCTTTACTTTACCGGAAATTGTGTACCACGAAAAATGGTTCACATAAAGTTTGAAATAACTGCTTCCCATGGAACAGAATATGTCATCATTCTTTGTCTCTTTCTTGTTATTGAAAACATCTTTCCAATCTGGAGGATCACATGGGGATGTATGGCTACACAGGACTATGTAGAAATGAAGAAAAATTAGGAAATATCAGAAAAGGAATTTTGTGCAAAATTCTTACGTGGTAAATTACAGCTTAAAATGGGTAAATAATATTCCAATGTCCGTGATTGTCCATTATCAAAAAAGAGAACTGATTTTCAAAACAATTACATTAAACGCTCCGGTTGTGAATAAAAATATTTACACTGTAGCTACTTCCAGAACATAGCCTACCGAACAAATTTATGAGGAAATGTTATTTAAACCTCTAAAATTCTCCTGCATGTCATCGTCATCAAACTTAACAACACTGTGAGGTAATACAAGAATGACGGGAAGGTTGAAGATAAATCCATGAGGACCACAAGCAACAACATGAGAAAGCAAACTTTCTCCATCCTTTAAATTTTTTGGTTTGTATTCTTCGTTATCCAATAAACCAATGTACACAGTCCTAGAATCACCAACATTAATGGCACCTCGAGGTATGATCAGCTTTACTCCTGTGTCGTTCAAAAATATCGTACCACCATTGTGGTCAATTACACAGCTCTTGAAATACCTGGAAAAAACATATTTTGAAATGTGCACTTGATCTTTCTTGTCTTATACATTGCATCATTACTTGCTGTGTATAGGTATGGATACGATAGTCATTACCTTCTGTCAATGTTGTGAGGTTCACGCGGTTGTTCGTATCCAGGACATGGTATCTGAGTCTGGCCTACAAGAGATGCGTCTAAATGATCACGTGAAAAGGAGTGTGCGAATTGTTTATGTACTTCGATGTCGGTCAATGGATCTTTGTCAAATCTTTCCTCGTTCTCATATTCGTATGTTGTATGTCTGAGTACATCGTGTCGTGTAGGATATTGGAGCATTTCAGGATTTGGAGACGTCGGTGAGTGTTCAGAATCTCGAGAGTGACGAGGACAACAGCCATGACATCTATGACGTCCTGTACGACAGCTACTTCCTATAAGATGGATTTTGTTCAATATATTTGTGGTATATTTATTCATTAGCTAAATATGGTTCTTTATTGTGTGTGTGCAGAACACTCATCAACAACATCTTTTTTTGAAACTTAAATGTTTTTCTCCTTCTGTAAATATAAGATCATTGTACGGTTTTTTGAAGAAATGTGTCTATTAATTTTATACTTTCAAAGTTTTATTTTGACGATGAAACATTTAAAACAGATTTGCATAAGTATAAATAAAAGAAATTCGAATATGAAGCTGCAAGTTGACTTTTCTTTCGACTATTTATTGCCAATAATAAGTAGTTAACATTTGGTACATTTACATTTACTACATTATCAACTCACGAAGCACAACTGTCGAACATTCACAACGATTCCTTTTGGACTTGAAAACTCTGCGAATCAGATAACTGATTATAACGACAATGATGGAGAAAACGACAGCAATGCAAACTGAAATCAGAAGAAGAAGAAAAAATTCTTGTTAATTGCAATCAACTTGCACTTGAGTGTTTTATTGAAAATTCTATACGTCAATTAACAATCACTCAAACAGGCAAATGTTTCATTATAATACAGTAATAGAAAAAGCGTGAACTTGCAACAAAAGAAAACTATGGCAAATATAATTTCAGTTTGACAATTTGAAAAAATAATTAACATTTATTATTAAATTTTATTGCATGCTTTCGTTTAAAGTGCTTGTACACCAAAGACCAGAGTTTCCACTTCAAAATTCTAAAAAAAATTCTTTCCCGGAGAACGACTATGGACTGTAGCAAGGATCTGCAAGTGGCTCTAAGGTTTTGACATCAAATGACACTGTCTGAGATTTCAGCATTGGCAATACGCAAATTTTATAAGCTAGTTCTTTTGTTATTTAATTTAATGAGTTTATGACGCTAATCTTAATCATGCATCCAGTGTCTAAAAACGTATCAGTGGCACGGTATATATACGTATAAAGTCTAAATTCATTTATAAAAACATCCAATTACCAAAGAACTTTGTTCCAAAGATTTGTTTCCTTTTACGCCAATTTTTTTTATTTATTTCGTCTGAAAAATAGCAATCCACGTTTAATAAGTAAATACTTTCTATATAAAAGCAATAATTTTGAAGCAATTTTCAAAACCAAGTGATTTCAATAGTTCAACCTTCGTCATTGAAATAATCATATGTTGAGTTCCCAAATAGTGCTCCTAAAACAATGAGATAAATAATGTCAAGAAAAAATATGAAACAGCGATAGTAGTCTCTATTTTTTACCGGGTTGTCTCTCATTTTTCACTTTGCAATTCTCGCACACTTCTACGAGAAAAGATAAAAAAAGGAATTCTCAATAGAAACTGGATTTGAATTATGAAAGTTTGCACGTTTCATATTTCAAAACTCACCAGTAAGTATAACTTTGTACAAACGGCCTTTTCCTTCACCAGCAATGTTTGTAGCAACGCATTGATAAATTCCTGAGCCATTGACATTATTTCTACTTACATACAATACAGAGCCTATCATTTTGTACGTTACATTTCCAATAAGCACCTGACTTCTATCACCAATATTAAGTGGCACGCCATTTTTGTACCATAATACAGCAGGCAAAGGAAAGCCATTGACGCGGCAATGTAGTTGAATAAATTGTCCAATTGCAACTTGACTATAAACTTTATTGACTTGATGGTAACCCTCTAAGAGAAGAAAGTTACAAATAAAATAATTTAAGTAAAACAGTAAGCTAATATAAGAATTGATGTTCATTGACGATTATGGTTAACAAATGACTTTAACCTCTTTCTAACACGTTTCAATTTTTTATTGAATGTTACAATGTTCCTCTCTTTTCATGTTATGCACAGAAAATTTTCCTCTCTCTTATGAACTGAAATTAAGTCATACAACATTTACAAAGTACGCTCCTTCACAAATCTTAAAGAAATTCTTTGTCTAGTCGTTACGAAATCTAAAGTCAATTGCTGTAGTTTATTAAAATTTAGCACCAACACGTCAAAGAAAGAAAAGATGAACACACAAGATACTTCAAATCAATTACATTTTTAGCACTCAAAAGTCACAAGAAAGTGCCTTTCGTCTAACAAAAAGCAATTTCACTAAGTTTAGTGAAATACTTTTACATAATCCACCCTTGCATGCAGTCACCATTAAAAATATTAATAATAAGTATAATAAAGAGAGGCAGCACATACCATGAAATATATCATTATTTAAAACCGTCATTGATTCCCCACGAGGTCTCGTTTCTAGTTCACGGTTGCCAACACAACAGCACGTAAAATTATTGTAATTTTTCACATCTCTCCAAAACAGTCTGCGTACAGTATAGATGCATGTAAATGAGCGTCTGCAATCGGAGTGTTGTGAGTCCAGACTATTTTCTTCAAAAGGTATTGTCGCTCCGTCTATTTCGCACCGCATTTGCAAATGAGCAACACTAGCTTCGAGAGAACAGTATAATTCATATGCCGAAAGACTTGGTTTTGCAATGTAAGCCATATGTAATGGTTGCCTTTCGTTTTCTGAATGTATATTTATACCTAGATTAAATATAAAAATCAAAGAATAATGCTCAATTGTGGATATCATTAATCATTGTTCGAGTATAGAGAATTGTTGAGTGGTGATAAGTGTTTTCGCATAAAAAAATCCATTTCAACTAACACATTTCGAAAAATCCGATGCGTAAAAGAGTTTTGTGTTAAATGATAAAGTAAAATATGTATCAATAAAATTCAATGGCTGCTTTGAGATTTGGCTGAGGTTTTTCTACTGAGAGGCAAGATAATTGGCTTTATGCATCTGGACTAGTACGATCAAAAGACAATCTTCAATGATATATTTATACACACAAGACTCACAATGAGAACTTTAGAGTTAAGAAATGAATTAATTTTATTAATTTTAGATCGAAAGCACTTGCCAACAATTGTACTGAATGCTATAGCTTGAGCCGGTATATACTATTCGAAAAAGGGTCGAAATTACTACATAATATTTCATCATTATACCACACACAAACTTCCAAATCAACATTCAGTGGTCTGGTTATCTTACAGTTACGTTAGCAATAATTGAGGAAACTAATATTAATATATATGCAAGTTATAATAATCCTTAAATGAACAATGGATTTCAGAGAAACTTAACCGGGCAGAAAACATGCAGTCAGTGATGATGATCGTTTAACGTTTCAATTGTATGAAAACCATGTTTTTGATAGAATGCATGGTTTGTAAAGGAGAGTATGAAGAAAACAGTTGTTCAAACAACAGCGTCAAACATCCGTTAATACAAACCATTGCATGACAGCGAACACAAAGATCACGGCGATTATATGAAAACCACGCAATATTTTTTGTTCGATACTAATACAAATAACTAATGATATTATTACAATATCTTTCTTCAACTTAGAATACAACACGATAAGGTAATACTTTTCTATTCTATTAAACTTTGTTAGCAGTTTAAAAAAAAACTCACATCACCAAGGAAAACATTCCATCATAAAAATAATTAAGTCACGCGAAGTAAAATTTAAAATGAAACTAATCCCATCTTCGACAAACCAAATTACAGCCTAGTAAATTGTAATCGCTTTCTATTTCATTCTCGACAATATCCGAGTTAGTCGATAACATTACCTTTGTGGTGACTAACGAGAGTGAAGAAATAAACGAGGAAATGTGAGTAACGTAAAATATATTGCCATAATTGGGTAGAGAAGACAAGAAATTACCGACGTTTGCAATTTTTAAAACATATAGAAAGATACCAAAGACCTTTTCTCCAGACGTATAAATCTTTGCCTTGTATCTTATAGTATTTCAGTTCTTACCAAATTCAAATATGTCGTAAAGATAATGAAAATGTCAAGTTTAATATTCACTTACAACACATAAATGGTACAGTTACATATACCTGTACTAATATATTCGCATTTCACAAGTTCAGCATACAAATTCCAAATATGAATAAAGGATAACAACACAAGGGTTGTAGAATCCATTGAATTGAATGTTCGACTTGCCGTATTTAAAAGTTGTCTATCTGTAGATTTTTTATGACACACAATGTAAATATGCTTTGTGTGGATCCACTTACAATTCAAATTTAAAAGTGATTCCTCGAATATACGAAATTCGATACAATGCTTGGCAACGGGAAATGTGCTCAGCAGGCAGTGACCAAAATGTATTATAAAAACATAAAAAACACATGACTTCAAACATATTTCCATAACTATGAATTATGAAAATGAAGAAAAAGTGAAGTACCGTCATGAGCGTTGATAAGTTTGTTTATATATAAAACAAGCATTTTTATAAGCAAGCTCTATTTGAACATGCTACATATTTGATAATTGGCAGGTGCATTTTGCCAAAAGTTGTATGCCAGCTTTCTCGCAACTTTGATCGTTTCTCGGAATCTACTTACGTCACTTCAATAGAACCAGGCCCCACACTACCTGTATACCGGGTTTCTTCTCTGTGATAATTTCGTCCAACTACCTCTCAGCTTAGTTTGCTAAGCGCTGGCCCAATGAGAACTAAGCAGTTTCAATGGATTTATCTACCGATGAAGTACATCCTGGACATACGTGTAATGTTTCATGTATAAACAGGTCACATTCAAAGCAAAAGCGTTTACAGCACTCTGGGCATTCGTATATCTACAGAGAAAAAGAAATAAAAACTATATTTTAGCCTTGATCCATGCAAATGTATTCAAATTTATATTGACCAATGCAAATGTATTCAAATTTATATTGACCATGCATATGTAATTATTAGGTGACCAAATAATGTATTTGTTACAGATAAACAACAAATGTTTTCAGAGAAGAAATCTAAGGACAAGTTGATCTATCACCGAGGCATTTTTTAAGGAATTTTTACAACTGGTTGTAATCTCAATAAGTCTGTGTGTATTTCATGAAACCAATTCAAATATCGATGTATTACAACTAATAATAATCAAAAATTAATCCTTTACAATGACAATAAGGGCCATATTCTTTCTACCAAGTAATCAAAGTTCGCTGTTGCGGGAAGCTTGGAGCCGACTGAAATAATGATTGTAAACGTTGTAAGAAATAATTAAGTGTAGAATGATCAGGAAAATTCTTCAGGGGCAAGATCAAAACTTTCATTCTTTCCAAAATATTGCACGTTTTGTAATCGATCTCAAACGTTTCTCGAGTTATTGAAAAAACTCTGGCTCAAACAAATGGATATTAAACTTACTAAATTTTTGCCCAATGGTGAATCACAACCAGAACAATTCCTGAAAAAAAATACGAATACATCTAAGAAAACGGTTAACATACTTATACAAGGCAGATTTCCAAGAAACGGTTTGGAAAAACCGAACGTTTTTAACCAAGCTATTTTGTTGTGTAGTTGCTAGCTATTTTTTAGTTAAATGTAAAACTAAAACTACATCGTTTCATAAACTCACTTTTGCATCGACTGTTCGTCCGCTGTAACTTCTGTGAATTGAGGCAGAGGAAAAAGATGTTGAAAAGATCTTGCCAAATGTGGAGCAGAAACGAGAGTTAAACCTGCAAAATTTAAAAATTGTTCCTCTGTTCAGAATGCAATTTGAGGTTGCGACACTGATGACAGACTGTAAAATATTACTTTAAAAAAACACGACTATTTCAAATGGAAATGTTCCCTGAGATTAAACGATATGTACAACGTCTTTTTCATACGAATTTATAAAATTGAAAACGGCACAAACTGTAAAACAAAAGTGGAGTAAGACGGTGTAGTCTAAATGATAAATCGCAGTTACTTTTCACTGTTATTGGAGTGGACGATAATAAATGAATCAAAGAGCAGGCGGGCTTATTACACGAAAAATAGGTACACACGCGTACGTATGGGTAGCCATTACAATGAATATATCGTCCCAAAATGGTTGGGTGGAATGATGTGCACAGTTCAAATTAGATATTTCATGTAAGTTTTTCAGCATAATACAGTTGTAGAGGCTGATTACAATCTCCAGCACTGTCGACACTGCGACTTCATATTAAGACTTTCTACCCTCGAATAAGTGCAGAAATTTTAACATAAAAGAGCCACACTTACCACAAGTTTTGCATTGAACAGGAAGCTCACAAAATTTACTGTCGCACTGTAAAACACACATGAACAATTCATCACGATTATCACGATTTTATTACTGTCAGCCTTTGGTGTACATGTTAGATACAACGACGCTGTTGTAAACAGTTGTACTTGTATGTACATGTTAGATACAACGTGTACATGTTAGATACAACGACGCTGTTGTAAACAGTTGTACTTGTATGTACATATTAGATACAACGTGTACATGTTAGATACAACGACGCTGTTGTAAACAGTTGTACTTGTATTTGATTTTATGACTTAACCTGTGGACAAAAGTAGCCAGAACGATTGACATCCTTACTCCATTCACCATCAACATGACTACAGAAACGAGAAAAAAAACGAAGTCACACAATAAATTAAGATTGTAAGATTTGTGCATGAATGTCCTCTTCAATCTGTCCGCATTCAAAATATAATCAAAATTCTTTCAATGAGATACATATGGATATTTTTTATCTACATAATTGTTCTTCTTAATTTCTCGTAATACTTAAACATATACCATAAACACAGTGACGGTGTTGGGCTCATAATATGCCGAGGAAAGCCTACAAAATAAAAAAAAAACACTTGAAAGTTGCTAACATGCTCGGCTACAGAGGTACGCACCAGCATAAGTACTTACCCATTTTTATAAGAGCAGCTTCTACGTCAACCTATGGGAAAGAACATGTTACAAAAAACCATAAAGACTGAGCTCACCAAGTCACCATTGTCAAATTACAAAAAAGCCCAGTGTTAAAAATATTTTACCCATTGTCAAAAAATACTGGAGCCGCAACAAATAGAAAACAGAGGTCAAATCTGTGGGTAGTTTTTTTTAGCCAGTGCTCATTCATCCCTATTTCTATGCTATCAAACTTTCATGATATTTTACACATGCAGCAAAAGGGCCGCATTTGAAACAAGTTTTAAGCACATTTTCTGGTATAATTTACAAGATGCCAATTCACATATCATAATAAACGAATGATACCATACAATTTTATTTCGGTACGCAAGACGCACGATGAAAACCTACTACAAGTCCATAAATACCATACAATTTCATATCGGTACGCAAGACGCACGATGAAAACCTACAACAAGTCCATAAATACCATACAATTTCATATCGGTACGCAAGACGCACGATGAAAACCTACTACAAAGTCCATAAATACCATACAATTTTATATCGGTACGCAAGACGCACGATGAAAACCTACTACAAGTCCATAAATACCATACAATTTTATTTCGGTACGCAAGACGCACGATGAAAACCTACTACAAGTCCATAAATACCATACAATTTTATTTCGGTACGCAAGACGCACGATGAAAACCTACTACAAAGTCCATAAATACCATACAATTTTATTTCGGTACGCAAGACGCACGATGAAAACCTACTACAAGTCCATAAATACCATACAATTTTATATCGGTACGCAAGACGCACGATGAAAACCTACTACAAAGTCCATAAATACCATACAATTTCATATCGGTACGCAAGACGCACGATGAAAACCTACTACAAAGTCCATAAATACCATACAATTTTATTTCGGTACGCAAGACGCACGATGAAAACCTACTACAAGTCCATAAATACCATACAATTTTATACCGGTACGCAAGACGCACGATGAAAACCTACTACAAAGTCCATAAATACCATACAATTTTTATTTCGGTACGCAAGACGCACGATGTAAACCTACTACAAAGTCCATAAATACCATACAATTTTATTTCGGTACGCAAGACGCACGATGAAAACCTACTACAAAGTCCATAAATACCATACAATTTCATATCGGTACGCAAGACGCACGATGAAAACCTACTACAAGTCCATAAATACCATACAATTTCATATCGGTACGCAAGACGCACGATGAAAACCTACTACAAAGTCCATAAATACCATACAATTTTATTTCGGTACGCAAGACGCACGATGAAAACCTACTACAAGTCCATAAATACCATACAATTTTATTTCGGTACGCAAGACGCACGATGAAAACCTACTACAAAGTCCATAAATACCATACAATTTTATTTCGGTACGCAAGACGCACGATGAAAACCTACTACAAGTCCATAAATACCATACAATTTCATATCGGTACGCAAGACGCACGATGAAAACCTACTACAAAGTCCATAAATACCATACAATTTTATTTCGGTACGCAAGACGCACGATGAAAACCTACTACAAAGTCCATAAATACCATACAATTTTATTTCGGTACGCAAGACGCACGATGAAAACCTACTACAAAGTCCATAAATACCATACAATTTTATTTCGGTACGCAAGACGCACGATGAAAACCTACTACAAGTCCATAAATACCATACAATTTTATTTCGGTACGCAAGACGCACGATGAAAACCTACTACAAAGTCCATAAATACCATACAATTTCATATCGGTACGCAAGACGCACGATGAAAACCTACTACAAAGTCCATAAATACCATACAATTTTATATCGGTACGCAAGACGCACGATGAAAACCTACTACAAGTCCATAAATACCATACAATTTTATTTCGGTACGCAAGACGCACGATGAAAACCTACTACAAAGTCCATAAATACCATACAATTTTATTTCGGTACGCAAGACGCACGATGAAAACCTACTACAAGTCCATAAATACCATACAATTTCATATCGGTACGCAAGACGCACGATGAAAACCTACTACAAAGTCCATAAATACCATACAATTTCATATCGGTACGCAAGACGCACGATGAAAACCTACTACAAAGTCCATAAATACCATACAATTTTATTTCGGTACGCAAGACGCACGATGAAAACCTACTACAAAGTCCATAAATACCATACAATTTTATATCGGTACGCAAGACGCACGATGAAAACCTACTACAAAGTCCATAAATACCATACAATTTTATTTCGGTACGCAAGACGCACGATGAAAACCTACTACAAGTCCATAAATACCATACAATTTTATTTCGGTACGCAAGACGCACGATGAAAACCTACTACAAGTCCATAAATACCATACAATTTTATATCGGTACGCAAGACGCACGATGAAAACCTACTACAAAGTCCATAAATACCATACAATTTCATATCGGTACGCAAGACGCACGATGAAAACCTACTACAAAGTCCATAAATACCATACAATTTTATTTCGGTACGCAAGACGCACGATGAAAACCTACTACAAAGTCCATAAATACCATACAATTTTATATCGGTACGCAAGACGCACGATGAAAACCTACTACAAAGTCCATAAATACCATACAATTTTATTTCGGTACGCAAGACGCACGATGAAAACCTACTACAAAGTCCATAAATACCATACAATTTCATATCGGTACGCAAGACGCACGATGAAAACCTACTACAAGTCCATAAATGTTGCACTTAAAGTTAAATGTGTAAAAGTTACAAAGCATAAAGAGACTAAAATGCAGACGAGACAAAAAAATTTGTAGCAAAAGGATGAAGCTCAGGAGATGACGGTAACAAAGCTAAATATTCTTAAGCAAAACTGCTTACAATATTCTGTTTTTTTCTTCTAATTATTTATCTTTGGAAATGTACATTTTTATTTGTGAATAATACTCTGTAGCATAGTGTTTTGTGGCAGCGTGTACGACAAAAAATTTTTTATAAGAACTAACCTTTGCAGCGGGAGGTATGACATGTTGCATTAACACATCTCGATAGTGTTTTTCGTCCAAAATTACATCGTAAGTTCCTAAATCAAAAATAAGAAATCAGCAAATCATTTTAAAACAGCGCTTTGTGATTAAATGAACAAAAACGTAGTTAAAAAAAAATAAAAGAAAGATGGAACAATCTTTATAAACAATTATATAATGAAACAATTATATGACGTAAATGGAATTTGAAACAACAAAAAATCCATTCAAAAGTCTTTATGGGTGCAAAAGTATTACTATTGGCGTAGATTTAGTAAAATTCCTGGGCATTTTATGACCATCCATGTCATTTTTCAACAAAGTATTTCAACATACCTATCTATAGTCAGTAAGTTACGTGTAAGGGCAAGGGGTAGTGCAAGGATTATTGGGATTTGGTTCAAAACATTTCAGTTAAGCATTTCATTATTAAGAATTCCTATGTTTGTACCATCAGTTGTCGCCGAAAGCTTTTTGCAAACTTTTACTTCGGCAGCAAGCCCGATAATAGAACAACGTATCTTGAATTCTTTAAGTGACTAGTAAAAAGATAACACAGAATTTCATTATCTGGCTAATTCAACACACGACTTATGATGAGACAATATATATAAGTGATAATTCTGCTTTAAGTAACGCACTAGAGATGGATCTAGTGTAAGTCAAAATTAATTAAAACAACTCGTGTTCTAACCAATTTGCAAAGAATGAAAATTCACGAATCGAAATGCTTTTTATGTTTTTCAAATGGAAATAGAAGGAATGTGCAGTAGTAATTCTTTTTCCGCTACATGCAACGCTGTGACCGATCATTCAGAAAATGTCTTGGCTATTTATTAATAAACAAGAATGGCATTTGATGTCTAATCTAATTAAAAAAAGGAAAAGAAGCTCCCTCCGAGAATAAAAGTTACTTTTTCTAACAAAATTTGGTCAAATGAGCTCAAACACTTCTCTGAGGGATGAGAGACTCTAAGCTTATCAGACCAAACCTAAAAATGAAAAATTTAGTTATGACAAACACAATGATTGTCACCTCAAACGTTTCCATGACGTCACCCGGATCACAAGTGGTCAAACTACCAAATACTACGAGAATTTCACGGCTCGCATGCCCGGGAAGATGCCTAGAAAAAATATATATTCGAATTAGTACATGCTCATAAGTGACAACGACAGTAATCTCTTTCTACAACATATACCATAGGTCCAGTTTGTTGAATAATTTCGCTAAAACAGTGCTGCTGGCATTTATCTAATCAGACAAATGCCCAGGTGAAGAATAACAGACTGCCTTATGATGGCTTAAATTAAAGAGCTTTTTCTTTTTTGACATGGTGTATAATCAGAATTTGAGGGTGTTCTTCGTAAAACTTTTCTAGTTTCCTTCAGCGAAAAGCTTTAAAAAAGGCAATTTGTAATCCAACAGGAGATGAGTATAAGACGCAATTATATGTAGCTACCTTAAAGACTTCTTCGCTGTTTCCAAAGCATTTTGTAGGGAAGGTTGACCTTGGCAAACGTTTGGTTTTTCTTTCTTTAATAGAGCTGACGTATGTAGACGAGGATTACCTATAGTAATTATTCGTGGTCACGGAAAGGATGGAATTATTATAGGTTTAAAACAACGGTACACATTAAATCTTCGCGATTATGCCAGGGAAAGAGTTAATATAAAGTAACTACAATGATATTCATCACCATGGAAATGACGTTTCTCATCACCATGGAAATGACGTTTCCCGACGAATAGAAGTAATACGAGAAAAGACATCAGAATTTAATTCAAAAAAACTGAAGTATGTGAAAGTTACATACGTATGAAGATAAAAGTTAAAACCCTGCAAGAAAATGTCATTTAAATAAAATTTGCAATCTTTCTACAAAAATCATTTGACCATAATAGATTTATTTCACCAAGACTATTCTTCCTGGAAGATTACTTTTTAAAATAGACACGTAAATTTGAGAGCAAAAACAACAAAATTTGGGCATTTTTATACCTGAAGACACTCAACTAGCTATTCACTAACTTACCACTTAGTTCAGTCAGTTTCTCAGCCCTCTTGTTAAATGTCACTATAATACCTAACTAAAAGGAAACAAGTACCTTGAATAAAGCCAATGTAAAAGGAATTTTAATTTCTTTCAAAATTCTCACCTGTGATATAGGATTCTGATCAAAGTACTCCACAATAAAATTTTGCAAAAGCTATAAGAGAGTGGAAACAAATATCTTCCCAAATTTCCTGGATCTCCTTGTACTGCTCTGGACGTGAATACCTCACTCAGTCATAAATTATTAGAAAAAAATCATGGCAACAACCAACTGGATCAACATGCACCGCTCAGTTTAAAATTATCAGGAAATCATCTGAGCATGCACAGTCTGCTCAAGCATTTGTAGTCCTCTTGACCATTTGCTTGAGTTCATATTTATGCTATGACCAAATGCTTGAATTTACAATGCTTTTGGGATAACTGGCTCCCTTCGACTCAACCAGCTATTCGAGCTCATGGTCGTGGCAAAAATACAGAAACTCAATTTAAATCACAAAACCCTTAAACACCTTAATAAAATGCAAAATCTTCATGCTAATTTTCAGTGAGAGCATAGAAAAAATTTGCAACATATTCCGAGAACCTTTCATGAAAGCTCAACATGAAATAGTTGACAAAAATTTTCTAAATAAACATACCTTGATGGTACACACGATCCTAGATGGTTTAAGATCAGCTTCCTCCATTGCTTTTGATAGGTCAAGAATAACATAAAGATGCCGCATCTTAAATAAGTAAATATTGAATACTCTCTTTCTTCAAATATAAAATCAATATTTCTTTGTCAGCAATAATCTTTGATTTTTAAGAGAATGCACTAACCATACCAAGACGGATATTCCCTGGTTTGGCCAAGAACCTAAAAAACATACAATATAATAAGACATCCTAAAGACAAACTAGACAAAATCACAACCAGTGGCGTATCCAGCCGCAAATTTGGTCCTGCTATGTAAATTTTTCTGTGTTCACTAACTCTAGAAACAATAGATTTCTAAAGAAATGAATAATGTTAATGATCTAAAATTTACATAGCAGGACCAAAACTTGTTGGCTGGATACACCACTGATCACAACTAAATAGAAATGTAGATCATCTGTGTAATGAGCCAACTGCTTACCTTCGCCTTTTGGCCCGCTGAATAAAATCATCATCAACAAACTGTAACCCACCCTGAGCATCTTCCTGAATAGCTTCCCTAAATATAAAATTTGGTTTAGTACCCCAACATATAAGAGAAACCATATTTGAAATAGCATCATCATGTAAACTCAAGAATAGAGTTTAGCAAGATGACAAAATTTTAGCTTTTCTGAACATAATATGTGAAAAAAAAATCTTGAGTTGACAAGATAATGCAATTTGGGAATTGGAATTGGATAATGCAATTTGAAAATGGTTTTTGTACTGTACCATGACTGATGACACACTTCAAGATTATAGGGAAAAACTTATTTTAGATATCAAATGTGACAAGATATAACCAGCTAATATTGAGAAAATTTATTTATTTTGTGTATGTATGTTTCCTCATGGAGTCATGGTTGGGAATCAAAAATTTAAGTAAAAAACGACAATATTTATAGCACAAACTAATCTTAAGTATCACACAAACAAACCATGTTTTTTCATATTGATTCAGCCATCTATAACCAGCTTCTTCCTCGTCGTCGTGAGCCATAATTTCTTAAATATCCAAGAGATGGAAACTTTTATCTTCTCCTCGTGTAGTATTACGTCAAAGTTCACACAAACGACAAAAAGTTCATATTATTACTATAATTATATGCTATGTGTAATTTTTAAGATCGGAAATTTGACGGAAGACCTCGTTACAACTCGGAAGTTACCGAAATTACTTGTGAATTTATGTACAGTTCATTATTCTCAAGTACTTTCTATCGTTCATTTATATTTTGCCCATCTGAAGGTTGTGCACAGACTTTGAAGAAAGTCACGAAAACACACAATTTTGTGTATTTTCTTTTAAGTAAAATTTTCGATTTTGGCAAAGAATGTTTTCCAACAAAGCTTCAATTGTTCGTATCCATTTTCGTGAACAACCAAAATGTCCAAAAAGGGTAGAACATTGACTGAGCAAACACGCAATGCATCGTGTAAAAACACAGGTTACACAACTGATATAGTTCTCATTTTCTTGATGGTTCTGATGATTTTTTGCTGAAACTTATCATTTTATTTCAGCACATTATAGCCTTTGAATACATGATAATAATGATCACAATCAACGTCATAAAAATGTCGAAATGTTTTGACCAACATAGAGATATTGTTCGTATGAATTTTGAAGTGGACCTGAACTAACAGTAACATGTCGTAAGATTACATTGACAGTTGAAAAAGTAAATTTCGAGGTGCTATCTAACAACAAAACTGTAACAAAAAATTATAATTATAAATTTCCATAATGAAGCATCAAGTCAAGATCACCGCGTAAGTATTTGAACTTCATGTTATAACGAGCGTCCATTTAAGATTAGCAGCCAACATCACTCTTTAAATGATCAAGATATTGACAAAATTCTTGGCACATGTCTGAGAGAGATGGCAGTTCGTCGCAACTTGGAACATTAAGAAACGTGTCGAATAATTTGTTCCATAATGACCTGTTCCACGAACTGTAAATGTTAAAAAAATTCATTACTTAAAGTAAACGTTATCTAGTATAAAATGATGTTAAAAGTAGTTTTGCAATACTCTAAATGTATATAAAGCACATCTCTGCAAATAGAATCAACAAATTAATTGCAATTTATTAGAAACAAAACAAAAACTTTGGAACGATATATATATGTTCATCATTATTCCAAGTTGAGTATTAGATTCCCGTTTATGTTATACCATTTTTGCAGCGTTATAGGATTAGGAGTTACAGCCATATTTTGTCTAAAAACATCAGCGCATGTTTGACAATGAAAGTGCATCAGAAATTCTTATTGCGTTCAACTGTACTTAGTTTCAATGCAAAAGAACTAAGCTTAACGTATGCTCTGTACTCTTGAGTTGAACTGTTTATGTATTTTGAGGTTAATGAACGACAGTTACTAACCGTTGGAAACTTTTAACTATATTCCATTTTCCTGATCTTTTGTCCTTAAGCACCTTCATGTACTGTCCAAAAATACAGCAGTGTAAACTGCACAGCATACCGTACGTATCAACCTAATTAGTCAAATAAATCAAATTAAATATTGGTTGTTCTTCGTGAACGATCTGCATTCTAACGATTTAAAAATTTGCTTAGATGTATCCGTTTCATTGGCTGAGGATTGTAAGTCGCGTGGCCAAATGCTTTTCTTTAATTTCCTAGAAAGTAGCATAATTAATGACAGTAACTACAAACGAACCTGCGTTGTCCACGGTCGCCCCGTTTTCATCTCTATACATTCGAAGGAGTCCGTGTTGTTATCGACAGAAAAACGCGTGCCAGGAGGAAAAAGACGCATATCTATCGAGCGTCCAAAATCGATCAAACATAGCCTGTGTAAGTTTATATTGAAGAAATAGGAAATTAATAACACAGTAAGAAAGACACATGCATGTAAGTCGTTGTATTAAAAAAGCTATGAATATTCTATGTACTTCACTATAACTTGCTCAGTATCCCCATCATCAGAGAGAATTATAAAGTTATCGGGCTTAACGTCTCCATGAATTATTCCACAATCATGGACAGTATTAAGAACTCTCATCATCTCCACGGCGTAATGTAACGCAACTTCTTCTGTAATCAAATTTTCTTCTTTATACTTGTTCACAAAATCCTAAAATAATCAATTGAATTGATTTGAATTGAATTAGCTATAATATGCGACATAAAGTAAAACAAACAAGACAACTGGGAGATAGGCCATACATATATAAAACGAAACGTCGAGACAAGTCAAGCCTGTCACAACAACTAACCAGAAACGTCCCTTTTTCGTGATATGACATAATGCTGCAGCTTCCATCAGATAAAGAGTAATGATTATTTATTTCATGACGGAAGATACCTGAAAAAGAAATTTATTTCACGCGGATTATAATAAATCGTAGAAAATATATCATGCATGTCTTCATTTGTTTGTCTTATGTTTGGGTCATACATTTTACTCGTACCTCTAGGTGAGAAGTATTGCTAGCCGTCAAACGTGTATGAAGCGTAGAACAAATGTAAAACTCCCAATCGTTTGCAGGTCGTTGCACCTAAATGAAACAAAAAGTATTCATAGCATATCTTTTGCAACGCCTTAATGTGTACATTGCAATAATCAGACACACAGATGGTATACCTTCAAAGCAACTGTGCCAGAAATTGTAACAGTTGGATCGTTTTCATTTAATCTGTTGGCCGTGAAAACTTTACCATGGGCACCACTGCCAACAACAGCTTTCACTTTGAACAAATTATCACCTAAAATACAAGAAATTGTGAAGAAAAGGAAAGCTAAATACAAGCGAAAAAAGGTAAGTAAGAAATGAAGTTTTAATAACACAAAGGAGCGGATTATTCAACAGGCTAAGTAGTTGAAGCCCAGAGGCCCAGAATTCGAGAAGCCCTGTCATCTAGACACGTGTTTACTATACTATACCATTATTCCATTTATTTATGTTTTACGACTACTGTTTAGACATCACTTTAAGGCCCACAATTTGTCTTAGCCTATAGGCCTCGTAACTATAATCCGCCACTGATACATCACACAAATACATGTACCCACGTAGTTCACCCTCTCCATCATCACATAAATACATGTACCCACGTAGTTCACCCTCTCCATCATCACATAAATACATGTACCCACGTAGTTCACCCTCTCCATCATCACATAAATACATGTACCCACGTAGTTCACCCTCTCCATCATCACATAAATACATGTACCCACGTAGTTCACCCTCTCCATCATCACATAAATACATGTACCCATAGTTCACCCTCCATCATCACATAAATACATGTACCCACGTAGTTCACCCTCTCCATCATCACATAAATACATGTACCCACGTAGTTCACCCTCTCCATCATCACATAAATACATGTACCCACGTAGTTCACCCTCTCCATCATCACATAAATACATGTACCCACGTAGTTCACCCTCTCCATCATCACATAAATACATGTACCCATTAGTTCCATCCATCTCTCCATCCATCATCCATGTAGTTCACCCTCCTTCACATTACATCACCCACGTAGTTCCCTCTCCATCCATCCATACATCCACGTAGTTCACCCTCCATCCATCCCATAGTTCACCCCTCCATCATCACCATGTACCCATAGTTCATCCCTCCATCCACATAAATACATGTAGTTCACCCTCCATCATCACATAAATACATGTACCCATAGTTCACCCTCTCCATCATCACATAAATACATGTACCCACGTAGTTCACCCTCTCCATCATCACATAAATACATGTACCCACATAGTTCACCCTCTCCATCCATCACATAAATACATGTACCCACGTAGTTCACCCTCTCCATCATCACATAAATACATCTACCCACGTAGTTCACCCTCTCCATCATCACATAAATACATGTACCCACATAGTTCACCCTCTCCATCATCACATAAATACATGTACCCACATAGTTCACCCTCTCATCCATCACATAAATACATGTACCCACGTAGTTCACCCTCTCCATCATCACATAAATACATGTACCCACGTAGTTCACCCTCTCCATCATCACATAAATACATCTACCCACGTAGTTCACCCTCTTCATCATAACAGAAAATGCAATTCTCCCTCATATTTTAGCCACGTAATGTCTCACCTATTTTGACAGTCTTGTTGGAGTTAAATTTTTCTAGAGTGTCATCAATAAGCGAGAAATAGCCAGGAAACGAAGAGACAGGTTGTGGTAGTCGTGACAGTAGTTCATTACATACTACTGGGTCGAATGGATTTATTTTAGTCAACACGCTACCATTAATGTTATGAACAGTGATGTCGCTTGTCTTGCTGACTGTCGCCTACAAGAAACATCGTATGGAAAAACATTTTGCCTGAAAACATCATTTTTCTTCAAACAGAAACACAAAGTTCAATGAACATAAAAAACACACACAATTTCTAACTGATTTGTTGATGTCATCTAAAAATATTGAGCCTGCCTATTGTCCTTTAAGCAAAATTAAGTGAAATTGCAAGATCTCTATTTTGACAGAAAACTCAAGTACACAAATATTGGGGACACTGATATCCTTAGATGAACGAAAAACTGAAAAACACAATTCAATCTTCAAATTTTTGTAATTAACGTTCGAGTGAGCAAATACTACAGGAGGTATGAATAAATTGAGTCCCCCATACCTCGCTCATTAATGGATCTTCAACACATGTATTCGATCCTTTAGATGATGACGTTTTTGAATGTTCATCACTTCGTTCAAGTATGGGACTAAGACCCTTGGTACAATTATTATTGTACAAAACAACTTCTCCACCCTGTTCTGATCCGACGGCCGTCAATTTATTGTCTGGTGGCGGTATATGGCTACAATTGATATGATCCCATTCCGGTTGTTGGGTGCTATTCTTTATAAAAGGTGTAGATGCAAGCCGTGCAGAGATGGTAAATTCAGAATGACTCAACGCAGTGTCACACGTCGTATCCTCATCAAATATATTCTTAGATTCTTTTTCCAACACTACAGCGTCAACTTCAAAGGCTCTTTGTCATTTTCGAACGATGGATCATCGCACTGTTCGAATTCTTCCAAAGGTTCAAATGGTATTCCTATGGATGGTTGTAATATTCCAACAATAGGACGTTCAACCTTTGACTGAACATAATCCAATGGTGGTCTATGGATTGCAAAGTAAAACTACGTTAGTTCGTTCATCGTTTTTGTGGTAATTTTATTAAACAAACAGTGGTATATTGTGAGTATCGAGTGTTTTTCATAATCAAAATTTGATAACAACATCAATAATATGTTCTATACTTACACATTCTCGTCATTTTCATGAAGAAATTCCTCGTTACGGGGAAAATCATCTCGTGTAAATGGAATAACTCCACGACCTACGACATAAACACAAAGAAAATCATAATAAATGACAAAGTGTGTAAAAATTCGGATCATACAACACAAAAGCTAAAGTGATACACATTTCATCCAATTCAGCAAAGCACATTTTCATGCTTTCTGAGTACATGTATAGTTAACATTTATTTATCAAGAGGTATCCTACAATATACACTACACCGACCAAATGGATCACCGCCCCATTCTATATCTTCATCTTGATCGTCCTCTTCTTTTTTTCTAAATTGGTTCTCAAATTCATCTTCACTATTGTTTAGTCCCACAGTAGTGTTGAACCATGGCATGACGTCAGCATATGCTTGCTTTGTCGTCAGCGTTGGCGAAGGGCCTGCATGAATAGATAAAATGAAATTGAATTCTTGTTGGTGTTGGAGCCTTGTTGTTGCCGTTGAAATAAACAGTGGTGAAAGTAAATGGCTTCGCCATACATAAAATATTGATCATTATCAAAATAAAGAAAGCGTTTACATTAGATATATCAGAGTTCTTGAATATCATTGCGTTGATAACTGCAGACTCTGAAAAACTTTCATACAGAAGATTACATACTTTATATGAAAACATATTTACACAGATACTACATTAAATGTTTACAGTCACGGACCAGTGTTGTGTTATAGAAAAACTGTACCTGTCATGTCTGGTTTGAAAAACGTGTGCTTTGGTGTCGCCATACAACTGCTTCTACTAAAAAAAACCCAACAACAACAATTAAACCATAAGTTTGACTTTTACTATTTACTAACAACATTTGCCATAATACTGTTGAACAAGGTTTGCACATCTCATTTGCAATTGGCTTTTCTAAAGGTTTGGGGTAAAAAAAGGGAAATACATAATCGTACCGTGTTTGATTCCTAATTTCATCCACAACCTTTCTTCCAGTGGCACACAACCCATTTTTTATTTCGTTCTGTTCATCCCATAAACTGTCATAATCATCTGTCTTTAATGGAGGACAGTTGTTTTCTTCAGGAAAACTACTGCTGACCATAGAAGCAGCACCGCAGTCAAGGTTTAGTGCCTCAAAATTTGATAATTCTTCATTTGTATCAACAGCCGCCATAATTGGCGCGGACAAACTACATTCATTTTTCACTCCCAACTCTGCATTATTTTCTCCGTTTATGTCTGATATATCATTAGACTGAGCAATAGCCCTGACCGGGTTGCTCAAAGCGTACTTTGAATCCCAGGAGGAATATTTTCATCATTAGGAACGTTAGTGGGAAGTGGGTTGCTCAAAAGCGTACTTTGAATCCCAGGAGGAATATTTTCATCATTAGGAACGTTAGTGGGAAGTGGGTTGCTCAAAAGCGTACTTTGAATCCCAGGAGGAATATTTTCATCATTAGGAACGTTAGTGGGAAGTGGGTTGCTCAAAAGCGTACTTTGAATCCCAGGAGGAATATTTTCATCATTAGGAACGTTAGTGGGAGGTGGGTTGCTCAAAAGCGTACTTTGAACACCAGGAGGAATATTTTCATCATTAGGAACGTTAGTGGGAAGTGGGTTGCTCAAAAGCGTACTTTGAATCCCAGGAGGAATATTTTCATCATTAGGAACGTTAGTGGGAAGTGGGTTGCTCAAAAGCGTACTTTGAATTCCAGGAGGAATATTTTCATCATTAGGAGCGTTAGTGGGAGGTGGGTTGCTCAAAAGCGTACTTTGAATCCCAGGAGGAATATTTTCATCATTAGGAGCGTTAGTGGGAGGTGGGTTGCTCAAAGGCGTACATTGACTACCAGGAGGAATATTTTCATCATTAGGAACGTTAGTGGGAGGTGGTATGTTTTTAATCTGGTTACAAGTCGAGTTCCTAGCACTAAAAACCATGTTCTCTTTATCCATACACGGGAGATCATTAGTAGGAAAATTTTTTTCTACATCTTTTCTTCCACAAGAAGTAAGAGAAGGCAAAACATTCTGTGACAGCAACGAAGATTCATGATGATCAGAAGGCTGCGTGACGTTCTTAGAAGCATGTAGAACAGTTTCTTCGTTATCTTCATAAATTTGGATTTTTTGTTTCGAGTTGGGCAAAATAAGGGCACATTTTTGATCATAGCTAATAATATTGCAATTCTCATTCTCACTTGGTGGTAAATCGTCAGAAATGTGCGGCGTAGGGAGATCACTTTCATGTCGAAGGTCACTCCTCCTTGGGATTTCAGACACGAACTCAACATTTACATCGTTTTCGCAATCATTTTGAATTTTGACTGACCGTCGGCATGTGTTTGATACGAAGCGTCCATCTAAATATATATAATAACACGCGAGACATGAATGAAAGACAAACATGAAAAAATTAGTAACACATATTTTATCTTTAAAAGAAAAACGAGCAAAAATCTGGATTTTTTTTACCTAAGTAAGCTCACGATATAATAAAGAATAAACTTAAATACTTTGTGCTGTGTACTTTTCTATCACCCCTGCAACACATTATTGAACCATACCACGTTTGTAATAAAGCCTTGCCCTTAATTCCTCCGGTTGGAATTCACCTTCGTAAGCGTAGACCGCCTGTTTTGGGTACATAACGCGTTCCATCTTTACAGGTTTTGAAGGTTGGTTCATTTCGCGTTTGGATTTGTTAATGTCCTTGATCAACATTTGCCCTCGCCTCAATTTTTCAAAGTACTTCGCGGCACGAATCTCCTCAAACTGAAATTCTCCTGCACCAGTGTATACTTTAGACTTGTCGTATCTACATCTCTCCATTGTAGAGTTAGAATTTTCAGAAGACTGTAACGAAAAACAACATTTTGTGAGAAATTCAAACATGTTTCAAAAAACCGTGTTCTTTTGTAAAAACAGCTCACAAACTCAGAAAACAGGCTTAATGCCCGTTCCCACGATCCGATTTTATCCGTTCCTAAAAAACAGATCGTGTGAACACATATAAAGCTGGCCTCCGACAGCCGGATCCGGACAGTTTAGAATTTGCTCTAATTTCATCCGACAAGATCAAAGGAAGTCGACTTGTCAAATTACATAGATTTGAAAGTCTTGGAAACAAGAACAAATGGCTGTTCACACGACTATAAATATCTAAACAAAACATATAAATTAATAAAAATAAAATAAATAATATCATGCAATCATTTACTACACAGTGTTCCACGCCTTACGGCGATCATCAGTTGAATAAAAATAATATAACTATAGTTCTGTTAACTTATGATCGTCATAAGGCGTAAAACACTGTTTTGGGAATGATTTCATGACATTATTCATGTCTGTTTTTATAAATTTGTATTTGTCTCTATCCAAAAACATATTGAGCACACTTTTATTTAATTTTCTAATATATATATGTATATATATATATACACAAAATTACCGGACCGTCTGAAAAAGCAACCAAAAGTCGGAACCGAAACAATCAGATCCGAAAATCGAATCGTGTGAACGGGTCTTTACAGGTCGGCAATAAATTTTAGCAACCATAGTTCGTAGAAAGGCGAACACATCATAATTTTAAATACAGTTAACGCCAAATTATGTTCATTATCATTGTGATTAAAGTAACAATTATGTTCATTAACTAATTAGATGTTCGAAAGTAGTTAAAATAGGTAAAAAAAAGAAAAAACCGACTAAGAATCGATAAAAGTCATGTATGTAAGACTCTTCAATTCGACATCTATCGTTGTGTATTAAAACGTATCATTGAAAATATGTTTGTAACTTATCACTCACGTTTGAAATTGCCTTTAGTGGATCGTTGGATGTTTCCACATCAGACTTTCTTTCTGATAAAACTTTTGTACCAAAAACAGTCTGAGGAACTTGACCAACTTGATCAGCATTATCCTCCACATGAATATGAAATGGTGGTTTCGTCGAAGTAGGACAAACAAAGGAAGATACTTTACTTGGTGGTTTTCTACGTAACTATAAGAAATACTTCTTTTTATTTCAGCTTTCTGCATTTCTAGCATTTGAAATCGTAACAAGCATTCTCTAAAATTTACCTGGCGGTCCCCGCTCCATTTTCCTGGCTTAGCAAAATTTTCTTTACTCGTTATACTGTGTGTTGGAGCTTCCTTCCAGTCATTAGCACAACCGTCAGGAAGTAAAGATGTCGGAGCTTCGTTTTCTTGAAGTACAGTAAAGCCAAGACCTTTCTTTTCCGTTTTATTACCATTATATTTTAGCTGCTCAGCTACAAAATACCGAAAACTTAGTTCAGAAAAAACAAATATATGCCTAAACTTTAAACGTAAACATCTTCCTACAAGAGGATCGAGAAAATTTTGATAGTTATAGGATATTATCCAAATCTATAAAATTATTGATTCACATAACGGGAGTGTTTCCTAGTAAGAAAATTATGTTATTTTGACCCAGTGATTACACATACATGACTAAAGGTTAACTAATCCTAGGTTTCATACTGACATCTCATATATTCATTACTTTTTTGAGATGATTGTCCGCGATTCACTATCGTCGTACGTTTTTTGTCAGCCGTCTTTAGGAAACCTAAAATTTTCCTTGACTCGTTATTTTGCCCGAACGCATTTGATTCTCCGTCTTCTGATAAATTGTTGATATACGCAGCAAGTCTATATTGAAATCCACTGAAACAAAAAAAATGTTTTAAACACATGCAACTGATAAAAATACCCAAGTCAACAACTTAACAACAAGCCCAATCATGATAATTGTTCAAAAACTGAAAAAGTTTACTGTGTTTTCACAGGCTTATGCAAACCGAAGAGACCTTTGGGAGAGCTCAAGAGCAGATCAGTGCAAGCAGACATTTTGATTTTTCCTCTAAAATGTATTCATGATCCATTTGCAAATTCTCTTTGACTGATTGATTGCTTTGATTGATTTGATTGGTTGAGCTAAAATGTGCTTTGCACTGGCTAATACAAACACAGCTCTAGACCAATCAGCGCACACATTTCATTGTGTACGCTCAAGCAAGTTCTCCCGAAGGCCTCCTCAGTTTGCATAAGCTCATGCAAACTCAGTAAAAAAACCATGACCAGCCGACAATTTAAAGAAGTATAGTATAAAACAAATTCCGAAAAAGCAAGACATCTTGAGATTGCAAAATATGAATCAAAACAAGACGAGAAGTAAACTGTAAATTTTCGACTTTATTTCAAAGTCATCCTCAGACAGAATGATATTTAAAACCATACATACACATATATATTTACAACGCATGAAATAAGTAAACGGAAATAAGCAATAGAAGTTAAATAGTGTGATATTTACAATGAGTTGGAAGAGGTGTAGTATTTCAAAAGGATGAATTGAAACTGCCGACCCGACTGGTAGAATGAGTGTGTTATAACTTAAGAAAAGAGTTGTAATTCTTTGCTAGCCTTAAGTCCCGTGTTAAGAAAAGGTTTGTTATTTTTAATGAGTAGTGCTTCAAGAAAAGCAAGAATGTGGTAGTTGTTAGATTTGGTTGAGTGAAGTATTTTATAGTTGTTGAATACAAGGTTTTCTATAGGAGAGGGAGTTCTGGGAGGTGGAGGGAGATCATTGAGTTGTGAGAACTGGTTTTGTAGAGTCGCCAGGAATTGAGCATTTTCGCACTCAGAGAAATGCTGGCCAACTGCACTAGAAGAGAGTCTGATTGCATGTTCTCTGAGCCGTACAGACAGGCATCTTTGTGTCATGCCGATGTAGGTTTTACCACAGCCAGGGCAAGTTATTTCGTATATAAGATTACTGCGAGAAAGTGAAGGAAGTTTGTCCTTGTTAGAGACAAAATAGGACAGTTTTTTAGTGTCATAAATAGTAATAAATTTCACCGGTTGAGAAAGATGTTTTTGTATTTTCTTAAAACAGGATTTTAAGAGGAAATCGCCACGCATGCCAAGATAAGGAATACGAACCCAGATTTTAGGTAGATTATCATCTATAGAAGAGCAGTTGTCAATGGGAATAGAATCATTGTATTTGGATTTTAGTTTTTTAAACAAAAAGTTTTTAACGCTGTTAGGATAACCGTTCCAAGACATGTAAGATTTGATTATTTCAATTTGATTGTTGAAAAGTGTTTTATTGCTACAAATTTTGAAGGCACGGTGGTAAAGAGATTTTACCCATGCAATTTTACGATGAAAAGGTTCGAAGTTAGAGAAATGTGAGTACTGACCAGTGTGGGTGTCTTTTCGGTAAATGTCAGTTCCGTCAACCGAAATTTTTATATCTAGAAAGTGAATTATGCCATCGTGAAATGTATCAACTGTGAATGTGAGATTGGCATCAAAACTATTAAATTTCGATAAGACAGCGGAAATATTGGAGGGTTTGATCAAAACAAGCGTGTCATCAACGTAACGGTTGTAGAATTTTATTGTGCCATCATTAATGAGATCGAAAACTATTAATTTTTCAAATTCGGTAAACCATGTGCTCTACCAAATTGTGCTGTAACAGGTTTAAAAGAGTCAAATTGTTCGTCAGTAATTTCACCACATTTGTTAAGTTTACGAAGGTAGTTTTGAAGAGAATGAAGTCTGGTTAGTGTCGGGTCGTGATTTAATTTCTTAAACTTAGAGGGGTTAGAGAAGAGGGATTCAACAGAAGATATATAATCAGAGCGGTTTATAAGTACAATGCCATTTCCCTTGTCAGGCTTGAGAATGGCAAATGTTTCGGTTAATTTGTGCAGAATATTTCTCCTCATGCGCCCTAACTTAAATTCTTTTAGGTCTAAATCAATATAATTGTATGTAAAAGAGCGAAGTGAGTTTTTAACCTTATCTTCAACATATCGTCCTTATGTTCAACGATGACCACATTATTTCAACAACTTTAAAAAAGTCTACATTAAAAAAACTCATATTAGATTGCTGCAACAAAACTGCCTTTTCTTTTAATAACACCATTTACACCCAAAAAGACGGCGTTTCTATGGGTTCCTCATTAGGACCTGTCCTTGCTAATATAATTTTAACCGAATTTGAAAAATTAATAGTTTCCGATCTCATTAATGATGGCACAATAAAATTCTACAACCGTTACGTTGATGACACGCTTGTTTTGATCAAACCCTCCAATATTTCCGCTGTCTTATCGAAATTTAATAGTTTTGATGCCAATCTCACATTCACAGTTGATACATTTCACGATGGCATAATTCACTTTCTAGATATAAAAATTTCGGTTGACGGAACTGACATTTACCGAAAAGACACCCACACTGGTCAGTACTCACATTTCTCTAGCTTCGAACCTTTTCATCGTAAAATTGCATGGGTAAAATCTCTTTACCACCGTGCCTTCAAAATTTGTAGCAATAAAACACTTTTCAACAATCAAATTGAAATAATCAAATCTTACATGTCTTGGAACGGTTATCCTAACAGCGTTAAAAACTTTTTGTTTAAAAAACTAAAATCCAAATACAATGATTCTATTCCCATCGACAACTGCTCTTCTATAGATGATAATCTACCTAAAATCTGGGTTCGTATTCCTTATCTTGGCATGCGTGGCGATTTCCTCTTAAAATTCTGTTTTAAGAAAATACAAAAACATCTTTCTCAACGGTGAAATTTATTACTATTTATGACACTAAAAAACTGTCCTATTTTGTCTCTAACAAGGACAAACTTCCTTCACTTTCTCGCAGTAATCTTATATACGAAATAACTTGCCCTGGCTGTGGTAAAACCTACATCAGCATGACACAAAGATGCCTGTCTGTATGGCTCAGAGAACATGCAACCAGACTCTCTTCTAGTGCAGTTGGCCAGCATTTCTCTGAGTGCGAAAATGCTCAATTCCTGGCGACTCTACAAAACCAGTTCTCACAACTCAATGATCTCCCTCCACCTCCCAGAACTCCCTCTCCTATAGAAAACCTTGTATTCAACAACTATAAAATACTTCACTCAACCAAATCTAACAACTACCACATTCTTGCTTTTCTTGAAGCACTACTCATTAAAAATAACAAACCTTTTCTCAACACAGGACTTAAGGCTAGCAAAGAATTACAACTCTTTTCTTAAGTTATTTAACACACTCATTCTACCAGTCGGGTCAGCAGTTTCAATTCATCCTTTTGAAATACTACACCTCTTCCAACTCATTGTAAATATCACACTATTTAATTTCTATTGCTTATTTACGTTTACTTATTTCATGCGTTGTAAATATATATGTGTATGTATGGTTTTAAATATCATTCTGTCTGAGGATGACTTTGAAATAAAGTCGAAAATTTACAGTTTACTTCTCGTCTTGTTTTGATTCATATTTTGCAATCTCAAGATGTCTTGCTTCTTCTGAATTTGTTTTATACTAAACTCAGTAAACATCTTTTATTTCTTAATTAACACAGAGAATGATTCATTTGTGTACACAATACTTACTTGTGATATTTTTGAAGCATTTCTTGTGGTTGAGCAGCTCTTTCAATGCCAAGGATTAATACTTGATCAGCCTTTTGAAAGTTCTCCATGTTCTCGCATGTTGATGCCCAGGAAACATACAACAGTGCTTGACGAGAAAACATTTGTTTTGTGTGAAGATAGTTGAATATGTCACATGGATCTGTGCTATAATCAATCTGAATTAAACAATGGATAAGTATGTATATTAATGATCTTATATGGATCAAAGGTAAATCAATCTAAACTAAACAATGGATAAGTTTGTATGCTGAAGATCTTATATGGATCAAAGGTAAATCAATCTAAACCAAACAATGGAGAAGTATGTATGTTGAAGATCTTAAATATATCAAAGGTATGAGTGTAAATTAAACAATGAACATTTTTTGTAATAAATGCTTACATATTTTAACCAAATGTTCAGAAAGCGTTCATCATTGTGATATTTGTTTTCTTCTTGAAAATTTCTGATACATCTCTCAAGAAGTATTGGTATTTCACGTCCACCTTTTGGTTGGTGCTCCTCAGTCCACAAAATGTACCTGATTTGGAGTGGTAAACATAACTGAATGAAGAGGATTTTTGCCATTCAAACCTGAATTCCTTTAATTTTTCATTACCTACCTATACCATACATCCAAAAAATCCTCTCCTTCATATGTTCGAATTTCAGCTTCAAAACTTCTATGAGTTGAAATAATGTAGTATTAATTAAGTTGTAATGACTACTGATCTGAAAGTGATTGCGACGGATGTATACAATGATATATTTTGCATTGCTTGACCAAAAAAGCTTGCCTAAAGAAAACTAATTATGATAATGTCAAACTTAACAGAATGTTGTTGTAAAGTTGTCTGTTGTGACTTGTGAATGATACTTACTGCTTGTCTTTTTGCATCTTCCAGTACAAAGGGTCTGATATATTTGAACCACTTGGCGTCAACGCCATAGTTAAGTTAGGAAGTTTTCGGCCCTGCTTTATAGGTTGTACGTTTTCTTTGCTTAATTCCCACTCGCTTGAGTTCATAGCCATGTTTTCTTCTTATTTCTTATACGTCTTTCATCAAGCTGAAACGTTCAAAAGTTCAAAACAGACTAAAATCATTTTATCAAAGAAAATTTCAAATTACATAAATATTTTAACCGCGCCAAATTTTGAATGTGTTGACTCCTTGCGCCCGCACATCGTGCTTCTCACATTTCTATTACGCCATGTAAGATTAGCAAGTCCACAGAATATGAGAAATGCAATGATGCAAACTACCCAAGTCTAAAATTTCAATGCATTTTTCCTTGTGAATTTTTGTTTGAAAACAGCAAAGATGGTTAAATTTCGACTTTCACAAAACATTAACATACACAAAAACTTCGTCGTGATTTAATTCAAAAGCTGGGGTAAGCATCTTCGCTCGCAGCTCGCAAACTGTTCATTTTTGATTCCCAGAGATAGAAAGATTTTACCTCAAAGACGTAATAGGGAAAGTAGGAGCTCAAGAAAAATCAAGAACATGTTCTTGAGACAAAACAAAACACATCTCCAAGATAACTTCCTTATCCGGTATGATGTTGGTGAAACGACTTCCGTCTTTCTTGTATGTAAATAAAACAAGTCATCAGAAAACTGAACGAGGAATTATCATAAATCTCGAAGAAGTAATGACTAGTGAAAATATTCCTCAATACATTTTATTTTTGTAATCTTAAGTATTTTTAAAAGTGTTTTGATGACAGATCAAATGCCAAAGCCTTTCACCCGAGTACTGCGAATTTCTACTCCTCAGCAATCAGGTACAATCACTAATGTTTAACAATTTCATCTAATGCACGCAAAGACTTCAATTAAATACAAATAAAAGGTAGCTGATATTATTAAACTCTTCGGTGTCTAATTTTGTTGTCATTTTGTACAATTTTCATACTAGTTAGATAAGGAAGTAGAGTTTGCTGTTATTTTCTGCTTACAATTTGTCAAACGTGTCGTCTTTGGCAGACAGCAATTCTTGCCATCTATTCATTGCCAGTCAACATTTGATGCTCAATGGGACAACAAACAATATTGTAGCTCTAGTTCAACAAAAATTTTTACTACAAATTTTTGTACGTTTTTTGAAATATTCTCTTTAGGGAAAGACGTGGTAATTCTACAAAATCTTTTAACAAGATCTGAATTTGTCAAAATCAAAGTTATACCCACTGGAGTATATGACAAGCAAACTGCAAAGGCAGTATCTGAGTATAAGATAGGAAATTCTTTAAAAAGGTAGTTCTCAACTGACAATGCTTCATGACCCAACATAAACATCCAGCCCTGATAGGTTTTTTACAATTATGAACTATCAAATATGTTTTTGACAATGTGATACAATGTTCGTGAAAATACAATGTTTACCGTGTTTAAACTCTCTCTATTTAACAAAGCATGTTAATATCCTCTTCTCGTCACAGTTGATTAATTTTACAGCAATATCACAGTATTTGACAACATTACTGCTGCATTGGTTCTATATCAACTGTCTTATGATCGCTACAAAGATGATGGCTTCATACCAAGTGGTTATAAATTCAAGGTGACATGAAGTTTAATGCATTACTGCTCCAATGTGTTGGGGCACATATTAGGTACGGGTGACACCCTGCATCTTTAATGAAATATGTCAAAAAGTCATGCCATAAGCTGTTAGAGGACAAAAAAGTATGTCAAGCAAAAATTGTGAGCTTTTCACCACAAATATAGTCTCTAAAAAGTGTATTTCTTAATCACAGAAAGTTGAAAACCCCAATTTTTTTAATATACCCCTGTACCTATGTGTCATGTTTTTGTTGACATATGAAGTTCATTTAATAAAGCAGACTTCAATTTCATATATGTCACTAGCGAAAACTTTGAAATATTGAATTTTTTACAGTTGAAATTTCCTGGCAAATATTTTAGTAAGCAAAAGACGATTACTCTAGTATTAACCAAAACATGTGATCTATGTATTTAAAACTACTGAAATCAAAAACCAAACTACTGAAAAGTAAACCATTCTTTCATGGTATTTTGTCAATTTTATGATATTACAATTTTAGTTTTATTGTGGAATTTAAATAGATCTATGTACCAGTACACAGAAACAGAAACATTGAAACTGATGGGATTTTGATGAATTCTAAGGGTCTAGTAAGTAAAACATCATCAGGCAACAAATTAGCTACATAAAATTACAAACAGTCAAACACAACTCACAATTTAGTGAAGCTTTTAATTACTTATTCGTATTCAATACCTGCTATGACTCAAATATTTTTACTTTTGAATGTTGCTCATATTTGTCACCTAAATTGCCACTTTAAATTGTTAATTGACAAGTCAATTTTTCCATGTCAGGTACTGTATAAATTTCGAGTACGAGCGCATGGTGCTGTGGACTCCAGTGGTCATACACTGAATCAGCTGACCACCAATGGCAATACACCAACTGGACTGGTGGTAAGAATAATGTCAACGCTGGAATTGCGATATCGTTGACCTGAACCAATGCTCCAAAACTTTGTTTCTATTGTTCTTAGGAATGTGATTTGAATACAAAAGAACCAGATGAGAAAGCCTTTGGACCGTAAGTGAGCACCTTGCATATATGCATATTAGAAATAATTAGACAGCCCAGTGCAAAGTAACCTGACAGATGGGAACCAGGATCCTTCTCCCAACAGAAGAAAATTAGCTGTTAAATAATGATAATGCTAGGTGAAACACTAAGACCAAATTCACAAAACCTCAATTCTAGGAGACACCTTATCTGACCAAAAGGATAATATTCACATAGTTAAACATACTTAGCCTTTGTTTAGGTATCCAGTTGTGCGTGCAGTTAAAGGTTTGAAAGGTGAACAAAATTTTTTACTGCAATGTTTTGTTCTCTATAGACAACAACTATTGTTGGTTTGGTTCAAACTACTTATCATATGCCTTAATTGTAATTTCATCCAAATTTACAAAAGCATAGTTTACATTTTTTAATTGGTTGACTAATGTTCAATGACTTAGATTCGTATTACATACAACTTGAACTACAACACTTTATAGACATAACTATAGTTGATGATATCTTTTTAAAACTTTATATATATATTGTAGTGTTTGTAAAATTTTTATTTAAATATTTAGTGATATTTTTGAATATATTTTGAGATTAGTTTTCCTTTGAAGGCAATGCTGCAATAGGCAAGAACGAAAATGACACATTCTTAAGTAACTACAGGTTTGGCATTCTCATTCACACTGGTGAATGGAAGCATTGGAACACAACTATGAACATGCCAAACAGGTAAGAAACATAAAGATAAGAAAATTAAAAAATAGCAAAAACAACATCTAATCATTTAAATATTGACATATTGACCATGACTAAAATTACATATGGAATGACAAAACTTATAAAAACACATAGCAATTGAAATGTTTACATTTTTCAGTAATGGCTGTATGCATGTCCATCCAGATGATATGAAGAAAATTGATGACATATTAATCAGAGAATTAAATGTAAAAGCTAACGAAAATCCATTTGGTAAAATGCCATATCCCTATCCTTGCCAAGGTATCTTATCCATAGAACAAATTGATTAAATTAGTGGCCTTTTTAACAAACAGTCAAAGCTTGTTTCACATGTTTTTGAATAATTATTTTGTAATATGTAGTTGCTTTGAAACTGATCTAATAATTAATCAAATGTGATATAATTACGATTATGAATGAGTTAATAATTGTTGAAGTTTATAGTTAGGATATTTAACATGTAACTTTGCTGTAATTTTATAAATAAACTCATCATTTTTTTTAAATTACATCAAATTATTCCAATTAACACATCACATGTAACTGCTATGTATGATTCAACTCAACAGTTTGCAAGAAATGTTTAAGTTGTGTATATTGTTTGTGTACATTGTTTATGTTGTTGCCCCGATCTTTTACATTTGTAGAGTAATTAACAAAAACAATTTCAAAACCCAACACGTACCATGTTTTTATTTTGGTCACTTCTTCAATTATGGTAACCATGGATACCATCATCTGAGGTAGTAGTCTATAGCAGTAGAGAATGCTGCAAAACCAGCACAACCAAACAAGGCGGCTTTACCACCAGCTACATGAAAGAAAAATTTAAATGGACTAAATATGACAGTTTTTTTTTGACCTCTCTTCCTGTTAGTCATCCAAATTATTGACACCATGTTGTGTGTTGGAAGGAAGGAAATTTTTGCTTTTTGTAATGTCATCACACTACCCTCTAATATTCATTTTGTACATTCTACAAATGTTATTTGATTCTTCAAATAATTGAAAAAGTGTGATAGAAATGAACCTCTAAGGCCAATAGCTCCACCAGTAATACAACCAGATAATGTTCCATTTTTCCAATCACTTTTGCCACGATACTATATGGAAAAAGATACAAGAAATTTTCCAATCAACTACAAAAAATGATGTGCTTTTTATACTCTTTCTCAAAGCAATAAGTATACAAAAAGTGCAATACACTTCCTCACTTACTGACTCCACAACACACTCAGTTCCTGAAAACATTGCACCAACAACACCAAAGTTCTTGCCATATGAAGAGGCACGTTGACCCATCTCTCGCATTACAGCCCTTGCAGATGAATCAACTTGACCACTAATGCTTGTTGGCATTGAGGTGTCTAGACCAGCTGTAAATATACCAAAACCAGCCCCCAATACGTAACCTTAACAAAACAACGTCAAAGTATTACATTGAAGACTCCATCAAGATTTGTGGTATGCCACGCATTACTATATAAGGTTTTTAGAAGATATTATGATTTAAATGCATTGAGTATAATACTCTTACCTAAGACGCCAGCCAATACTGACTTAAAAATACAACTTTCCATCATTCGCTCTATTTTTATTTGTTGAGCGGGTCGTGGTACATGAGGAAGACCGGGGAAAACATCTACAGGTCCCTTTTGACGTCTTAATTCTTTCATCATCGGAATGACAGAACTGAACGGTGTGTTTTGAGCATAAAAGCGCTGTCCCATCTCTTCGTCTCGCTCATTTGTGTCTGCCATTTTGATAACATACACCTGATCGCTGATTGGACAAATTCAAGAAAACTGGTGATTTTCTTAGAGCGGTTGGTTGATGGTGGGTCCTAGTCATTCATCATCATCATCATATCTTTTCGCGCCAATGGGTGATCCAAACTCGGGCTGTTTCGTTGCATTCCCTGAGATCTTGATCTGTACAGCGGGGACCTTGTGGGCATTCAGAGAGGATATGGTCCATGGTTTGATTGGGATGGCCGCAAGGGCAGGCACCGGTTGGAGTGAGGTTCCATTTGAGCAGAGTTTCAGCTGTTTTTCCCACTTTGGCTCGGGCTCTGTTGAGGGCTACCCATTCTTTCCTTTGCAGGTCGGTTCCTGTTGGTAGTTGTTCACCAGGGGCTTTGGTGGCCTCGTTGGGGTGATCATCCCATTCCCTCCATGCTTGGAGTCGGCTGGTGGCCGATATGTTTGGATCCAGGCTGTCCACTGTTCTGAAGCTCTTCCTTGATTTCAGTCTACTGTTTGGGTATCCGTGGCCAAACATTGGATGCCTCTCGTCGGGTTCTTGTACATATTTGTACATATTTGTTTCTTGTTTCTTTTCTTGTTTCATATTTTGGGGACAAGTAGCAAGGCTTCACATGCCGTCCCTGATGTCGACTGATTTCTACAACACGCGCAACACTTCCAAACTTCCAAGGGTGGTAAAAGGATAGCCCCTCGACCCGAAGAAACATGGAGACCTTCAAAGTAATTGCATTCAACACGGAAGGATTAACACGCACCAAATGTGACACTTCCCAATCACTGACCTGTATAGTCCAATGGTCTGCGTTCGGTCCATTAATCCCAATGGTTGGTCCGGTAATTTGAAGGTAATGTTTGGACTACTGTTATGTCTTTATGGTCTTTGAATTGCTACGCGACTCTATCTTGTAAAATTGACAGGCATATCTACTTTTATTTTTTTTGATCAACTTATTTTCTTATGGTTCAGTCCACTTCTCAACACAATAATCCGTTCATGTTGAGCAGAAAAAGTTTTTTTCTACGAAAGTGGACAAAAAACTTTAACTTTCCGAATTTTCTAAAGTGTTGACAGGTTTTGAATTTGATTCAATGAAAATTCGCTCGCTTTCTGTAACTCAAATGAAATATCAAATACTACTAAGTACAAAAAAGAATATATTTGATTATTTTACGTTAAATGCTATGTCACAAGAAAAACAATAAACAAATAAGCATTCAAGCGACTGATTTTACCACATATTACTGATTATCTATACAAATAATCTGCTTTGATATTGCCAGCAATCTCCGCTTCCCATTTGTCACCATTTTCCAAAAGCTTTTCCTTGTTATACAACAATTCTTCGTGGGTCTCGGTAGAGAATTCAAAATTAGGTCCCTAAAATATTCCATAGTACATATACTATCTATTTTTTATAAAAAACTAACAATGCTTAACTGAAAAGAATGAGAAGGCTATGCCCACGGTTGTTTGAAACAGGAATGAAACAGGCATACACTAGCATCGGAAAGTTTCACATTACAAACCTCAACAATAGCATCGACTGGACAGGCTTCTTGACAAAATCCACAATATATACATTTTGTCATATCAATATCATATCTCGTTGTTCGTCGACTACCGTCAGCTCGTGGTTCTGCTTCAATAGTTATCGCCTAAAATAGAAAATGCATTGAGGATTATTGCCTCTCTTAGTTTGAAGTCATGGCCTAACGCTTCCTTGCATACTGTTGTATTGGATTGGATCAAGTATGACTTTGGTTTGTACGATGTTTGTTCACTCACAGATTAAATATTACTTGGTGAATCATGGCTTGGTAGAACTAATACTTGAACTTGATTAAATTTTGATCAAATATCTCAAGCCAACTCTACCTTGTATTGTGTAAAAACAGCACGATTCTTGGCCCATTTGAACAAGCATTAATACTTTCATAACTAACCTGTGCAGGACATATTGCTTCGCAAAGCTTGCATGCAATACATCTCTCTTCTCCAGAAGGATAACGTCGAAGAGCATGCTCACCCCGAAACCTGGGGCTGAGAGGTCCTTTTTCAAATGGGTAGTTGATGGTAGCTGGCTCACGGAACATCATACTCAGTGTCATTGCCAATCCTTAAACATTAAAAATCATTACAACATTAGTATTGCTAGATACTGGCAAATTTCTTTGCATTATATTCTGTGCCAGAGCTATGGTACTGTAATTCCTTTTGTATTAGGGTTTTCAAGGATAAAATTAACTATTCATTTCAACAGTATAGGTTAATAAAGCGTGGAAGAAGGTAATCTTGCACATCAAAAATGTTCATGTTGAAAACCATGGTTTAAACTTCAATTGAAATACTCTACCTATAAGTAATATTGTTTTACTATATGGAAATACCATTGTAGATATGCTTTCTCAGCAATAAAATGATCTCTGAACAACTCTGGATGATTTGGAGAATCACCACTTGCTTTAGGTTTTGCATTCAATCTTATTCAAGATAAACACAATACCTCGGAATAATTCTGTAAAAAACAACGTGGAGGCATTCCTTTCAAATGTAGCCTCACTGCTCATATCTATGTCATAAGCTTCATGAGTCACCTGTTCTAAAATAGCAAAATTATTATTTATCAGAATGAAAATGCTTGGACAAAAATATCTTGAAATTGAAACTTACTGTAAGCTGTACGCTTAATGGTAATTTTGGGTAGTTGCGTTCTTGAATGATGCAAACTGGCTGATATGCCAGGCAGCCCTAATGGATAAATGATGATTGACATGGTTTTCCTGTGATTGATTTAGCAAGGAAGTGTGATAAACATTTTAAATTTAGGAAAACGTCATTGACAGATGAATCATGAATGACAATGATTCAATGATAGTAATTGAGAGTCGCAGTCCGATAGAGTAGACAGACGGAGATATTTTGTGGAGTGTTTCAGGTTTGACACTTGCTGAATACTAAGATAATGAACTAAGTGTTTTTACAAGACATTGCAATTCTCACCTTCAATCATGCATGCAAACAGACCTGCTAATATAGAAATTCTTACCGGTAATCTTTGATTTTCTCACCAAGGCAGACATCTTTTCTTTTTGCCTCAATCTCTCTGATGCCCGATCATTTCTGGGTTTTAGGTAAACAAGTATTTTACATTCAGCAAAAGGCAGTTATTGACCCAGGCCAATTTGATTGATTAGAATGAAAAACCAACTAGTATATGATCAATCAAGGGCTATTCTATGCTCTTTCAAAACTGAAGATATTTTGATTGGTATGCAAGAACCATGGGAACAAATATCTTTCGATAGTATTTGCACAGCTCATGTACCTGGCTCGTATTAGTCGTTATGTCCACATTTCTTGTTGTACATAATTTTACAGAGTAAACTACATCTTGGACGAAACAAAATGGTGAAGGAACAAACTAGAAGTAATTCTTTGATGTGATCAAATTAATATTGGGTTCACGACTCGGTCGAGCCATGGAATAACAAAATCTAAAATTGATAACAATTGGACGGATGGAAAATGACAGGAACACAAACTTCATCGTACGTGAGAAATAAAGATCAAATGATGTAAATTGGAGAAGTGACGTAACCAAAATGGCTAGTGGTGCTACCAGGAACGAAAGTATTTCTGAAAACGACAATCCACCAACGACATCGAAGGAAAATACCTACAATGATTCAAACAATTCTTTTTATGAATGCAATATATGCCTTGACACAGCAAAAGAAGCGGTCGTTAGCATGTGTGGCCATCTATTTTGGTGAGCAAAAGTTCGATGTTGGTACATCAAAATATCCGAACTATTTAATCTAGTCTCGCGGATGTTGTAACATTTGCAGATTTGTACAAGTCCGCATTTATTTTTGATAATTTCATTGAAACTTTGCTGAATGCATTCAAATGTTTCAAATGTCTTTCATTTAAAGTGTCCAGCTGTTTGGTATAAGAATTATAACGATGTTACGATGTAAGATTTATAGTTTGTAAAATCGCGTGATCATAAATTACGCGTGACAATCCTACAATGTTTAAAGCCCGCGAAATTTGTTGGTTGTTTTTACGTCTTACAGTGATTTTCTTTTCATATTTTTTCTAGTTGGCCTTGTCTTTCTAGGGTGAGTATATTGTAATGTGCATTTGAACTTTAAAATATCGGGTAACATGATTTTGTTCCATTTACTGCTGTAAATAACCATAAAAGAGCTGTATTCTATGTCAGTGCTATTGTCTGAATAAGCCACTAGAACCAAACAAGTCTTTTATCACTATATTTGACTCAAAATTTTGAGCACAGTGCCTCATAGGTATCTCTTTGGTCCATTGCTAATATGTTTTTCATTTCACCTGAAATATGAGTTAAATGGGTTTCAATAAATCAACATTATATAAGAGGTGCTATAGTACGAATACTCAAGATATTGTACAAGATTTGCATAGCTATGAATGCCATTTCTGAGAGAGGTCTGGAGCAATCTTACCTTCAAAGTTTATGAAAAATGCACCTGAGACAACAAATTAAACAGCTCATTAAAAAGCCAGCAAGATTTTTTTATTTAACCCTATACTTTGCTCTAGTGGTTAGAAACTCGACCAAATCGACCCTCTTGTCCTGTGTGCAAGGCTGGCATTAGTCGAGACAAAGTAATTCCATTGTACGGTCGAGGAGGAGACAATCAATCCGATCCAAGAGACAAAACTCCACCAAGACCCCAAGGACAACGATCAGAGCCAGAAAACAGAGGGGTTGTTAATATTTATATAATTATAGTTTTCTGTTTGCTTTTCTCTCTTTAGAACAACGCCATTGTTGACTTCATCATTTAAGTGTTACTTCAGTACTTTATTGTGTGTGGACTCTCTTAAGGAACGTTGAAACTCACAAGTTACTGAATATAGTCAGTCAACAGTATTGTCAAGATAACTAACATTATCTGGATAGTTCCGTTATATAAATCAGTTCCATAAAGTTGGTTTTACATAACTTAAGCGATATACTTTGCACAGACACGTACACGTTGAAGTTTTATACGAATTGCGAACTTCAAAGTAAGATGACGATGTCAAGATGGCGATCATTTGATGATCAATTAAATCTTATTCTTTATGTCTAATATTTTAAATATTATACGTACGAAGTTGCCATTTTTGACGTTCACGAAAATAGAATGGTTGACATTTAATTTCAAGTTCGTCAATTTACGTATATGAATACATTCTGAAGTTTTAAACTTTCAGGTGTTTCCTGGTTTCGATTTGGGTCCAGGTTTCCACATGTCGGTCGGCATTGGAGCGTTTCCTTTTTCGTTCTTTACAGCAGTAAGTACAGCATTTTGCATCGATTTTCTTTTTTCTTTATTTATAAGATTTTGAAATCCTCTGCTTTGATCACAATAATTTTTTTTTCCTTTAGAATATCAATGGTTTTGGACCGAGTAAGTAAACACTAATTGTAAACAAGGTTCACATATGTAACGTCATGTCGCTCGAATTCGAGACTCTCACCACCCACCCCCCCGGGCATCTTGTCAAGTTCAAGTTTTTGTATATTTAGACCCAGCAGTTGGGACGCCTGAAGCCGCTCAAGAACAATTTATGTCCAAACTCTTTTTCTGGGTAGCACTCGTGTTCATATTTTGGCTTTTTGTTGCCTGAACAAAATATATTAAATTGACCTCATTCTTTCGATCAAAGTAGAAATCAATTGCTAATTAAAAATAGAGATATTTACGGCACGTACAGTAATTTTAAAATTACAAAAAGTGTAATTTTTCGCTTTACACTTTTTATGCGAAATTTACGTAGCAGGACCAATTTTGCAGACTGATTATGGCAAATAATTTGAATAACTGTAAAATGACATCAAAATTACAAATAAATTAATTTTTCAAAGTACTAAGACTACGTAAAAACTAATTTTCAAACAGTTTTTGACCGCATTCATAAACGATGTACAAAAGTGTTTTAGTTTAATCTCTTTCTCTCTCTAACTATACTTTTTCTTCTCAGTCTAACCACACTGCTTCTCCTTCCATTAAAAGTATGATTAAAAGGAAGGTCGCTCATCACATGTCTTCTCATTTCGTTTTTCCGCCAACCAAAGGTAAGCTGGTAAGACAACGAGAAAAAGCGACAACACCAAAAGACCGACATTGACCTGCATGTGAATAAAATCGAAACTTATGTAGCTTAGTTAATCTCTTGGCCTTAGTGCAAAGAATATAAAAAAGATTTTCAGATACAATACCCAAAATGGATCTTTGTCAAGTATGTCTTCCGTAATGACGAATAGTCCATGCTGAATTGAACCAGTAACGGTGGCCGATATCAGATGAGTTGCACCAAAAAGTTTGCCGAAATGTGACAGTGGAAATCTGATGAAAAGGCATCGAATGTCATTGAAACTGACTTTCAAAAAACTGTGAATATTTCCCTTTGGTTAATATGACCATACTAATCTCCTTCAATCTGGTCAATAAGTGTAATCATGTTCCAGCTCATGTTGGAAATCATCTCGTTCACCTTCGTAATACATTGCAAGCAAGGCTGAAATCCTCTCATTAATAAAAAGCATAAAATAAACATACTTGTGTACCAGGAAAGCAGCAAACGAAGCGTAAATGAAGGCTCGCAACACCACACAAACGACAAATGACGCAAACTAAACAAACATAAGATCATTTCCGATGAAATTCACGACATGCTTATCTAAGCGTAGTAAATGTGATATTTCAGAACAAGGATACGTCGAGCAGTTTCAAATACGCCTTTCAACACCGAAGTACGTTATGTAATAAAAATAAGAAATTTGCAAGTACATTTGGAACACGACGTTCCTTTACCTGTATGGGAAGACTGGGCACTAGAACAAGAACATTGAAGATACAGGCAATGACCAAAATCAGCGTAAAAGCAGCAACATAGCCAAGATCTGTCACCATATTCCTCTTGCTTTTGGGCTTCCAATCCATGACAAAACCAACAAAGGGAGCAAACAACAAGCCAGCAAACTGAATGATCCCAAACCAGTTTGTGTAATGACTCACTGACATTAAAACAACGACTCAATGAATTTTAAATTCTTCAATATACCAAATTAGGTGTGACACATAGCATTGCTTGGATATGTTATTAAATAATGCCACAATTTCCAAGAGAGCACAACTTACCTGTGTCTTCATTGTTGTCCGACATAAATTCCAAATATGAATTCAAACTGCCAACATAGAACCAAAGACGTAAATTGACGATCATAAGGAATAAAGTAATCAACCAATAATCAGTTCTCCTCATTAAATTGATCAAACGAGCTTTTGATGTGCTTCCTTCAATGATAATTTTAACAAAATTCACTCCTGAATTCTAACTTGTTCAAATCTAACAATCTCCTCCCCCCCCCCCAAAAAAGTCGAATTTTTTAACTTAAGGAACCAAAATGATTTTGTTTTTACAATCAAAAAAGGTTTGTGCGCATTTCACTGCGTTTTAAAGTAAGAATTGAACTGGAGAATTATGATCGATTTTCAAAATGGACAAAAGTAGGAAACAATAGGAAATACAAGTGCAAATTAGATTTTAACCTTGCCATAGGATTAAACCGAGAAAACAAAGGATTATTTCTCACAGCGTTACCGTGAAACCGTGTATCCCTTTATGGGACATCATGAGTAAATATTAAACGCTAAGCAAAACCAGGAGAGATTTGCTCAAGACATAAAAAAGTCAATTTACCTTCAGTCGATTTTCCTTCGTTACTTTCAGAGGATAACAGCGAAAGTTTATGAGCATCACGGGTTTCGATGCAATCAGTTCTAGACTGTTCGATAGAGGAATCACTCTTCATTATCATTTCATTGTTGGCCCCATTAAAGTCATTCTCTGAAACCTACGAATGTGACGTTAACTCCTCATCATGACTCTAGTATAGGAGATTGCTTACATTGATGTCTTAAGCACCATCCTTAGTATGATAGAAATATAAGGAGGTCAAGCATATTGATTTTTCATGCACCATCTTTACATTGACATAGATATAAGATGGTGAAGTACATTGATTTTTTATGTACCATCTTTACTTTGACATAACTCACATAAGTATTTAAGGAAATCAAGTATACCGATTCCTTCTATACAATCCTCAACATGTTAGACATATTAAACATGCTTTGACGCCAAAAACCTACCTCAAGAGCTGTCGAAAATTCCCGACACTCTTTCGTCACGAGAGAAAAATCCTCGTTGCCATCAACAGCTTTGCGAGTTAAGGTGACGACGTTCGGAGGAAGGAGGAACGTAAATATGAAAATGGTAATAGTTGCAAACGTGAAGTAGAATATGAACACAGATCGTAAAGAAATACCACTGTCATAGACCAACTAAATATGAGAACATAGTAAAGATACAGGAACATATATTAAGGATGTGAAAATGATATCAATAGATATGGAAGAACACTATGGAAATAACAATACAGATTGTACCATCTACCAAAACATAACCTTGAAAAACAGCAACACAATGGCAGATGAATCAACACTTCCATTGTAAAGACTTATCACAGATGACGTCCATCCATCGAACAAATTAGCGATCTGCGAAAATAATCAGATGCAACATTAAGCTTTATGATTAATAGAGATTGGATGTTCCCCGTGAGCAGCCAAAAATATACGGGCCTTTTAAGGAAAAGACTGGCTTTATGAGTTATGACTAAGTTTTCATAAGCCAAATTTGCAAATTAACGGCAAATAACAATAACGACCTTCGAATATTTGAATAACTAGACAAGTTAAGAATAATAGAAATGATAGAGACTAACAATTACAAAAATTGTAGTTTTGACAAAATGTTCATTAGTGAAAATTCGATTGTACTACGACCTAAACGTTACCTGAAATACGGATAACAGGAGAGCTATCCCTGAAGCTGACAACGTCACTACCCCAGGAAAAAGTAAGTAGGATCTCTCTGTAATTACATCCATGAAAATTACGTAGGAAAATTAGTTGTTAAACCAAAGCAATCATTTATCAATATGTTAGTTTTTCGAGCGAAATCGTTTTAAAGTTGTATGTGTGATACTATTTAATAAAAGGACAAACATTCTTGGAATTCAAATACCTTTACTAACAGCAACAAAGAACAACGAAGAAAGGAAGATCAAAGCGCTATAAACAAATTGGAAAAAATATAAACAAATAAAAAAATCGATAAAAAACTTTTACATTAATTTTATAATCTAAAAAGCTTTCCTGACTATTATAATACCATATTGAAAAGAGAAAGCCAACTTATTGACCTTGAAGGCCCTCTCAACAAAACACAAAAATTTTAATTCCCAATACTTTCATATATTTCTTGGGGTATACACTCCCCCCGGTATGTTCAAGGGTGACCTAGCACTTGGTGCAAACGGTCAAACAATGAAATTCATAACATACACGTGCACGTACACGCATCACGCGTGTGTACCAATCACAAGAGGTGGCGGCAGTGATGTTGGGGCCGCAGTGATGTTGGGGCCGCAGTGATGGGGTGGCGTTTGGTTTACAATATTAGGCATTTTTCTGATACTCAACAAATCTTTGTTTTCAACGCTTAACGCAAATACTTCATTTGGCGGCTAATGTACAGTTCTTTTAAGCAAAGCTTTTTCCTTTCATAAAACCACCTCGGTTTTATTTTACCACAAAACTTTATTATGAAATAGAACTTTTAATTTACAATACAGCTCAGCCATGGATAATATAAACAAGAGAAACTTGCAAACTCATTGATCGATAAATATTGACTTTTATTTATTATCAAAATTCAGGGTCTTCAGTGTTAGTCGTTTGTTCCATGAAACTTGAAAATATTCGCTGGAAAGCGCAAAGTGCCATCACAGCCATAGTGAGATAGGCCATAGGTAATAGTAAGATTCTCTACATTATATATTTTAATTAAATTAAAAAATATGTGCATATTATAAACCAACCAACCATGCCATAAGTCGTGTCTTCCTAAGTCCAAAACGATCGAGGAATGCTCCGAGAAAGAGGCCACTCCCCGAGAAAGAGATGATGCCAGACAAAAATACTAAATTTAGTCGTTCGTCTTGTTGCGTGCACGACAGATTATCCTGAAGTGATGTCGAGTTTTGTTTTCTTTCCTTTACTCTTTCGCATAAGTCATAGAAAAAGCCTTCTTGTTTCAAGACAACAACTAAAGATGCCCATCCGTAAACTATCCCCGAAAACAGTAAAATTTCCATTGCACTCCATACAAGAATTAAAAAGCGAAATTTTTGCACGTAGACTATATTAGCCATTTCTAGCATTCACGCTATCGAAGTACTTTCTTGTATTATATTATTCTTGTAATGTTGTACTTACGCTTGACTTCACAATTTGCATTATATTTGCATTAGGAAATAACAAAGACGAGAATATTTGGTGAAGTCATAAGTAATAAGCCTCTTGCAAACGGCAAATTTTAAGTCGAGTAATTGATCCGTCACAGTAAGTCACATGGGTCATACCAACGTCAAGGCTCCGACAAAACACAAATTGGTAATTTTAAAACAAATGAAACTTATATCGGCGGTCTTTGACAATTCCAGATTGATTATTGGCATTATTGTATTTCATAATCTCAATAGAAAATTACATGATGCCCGGACACGAGATCCACGATTAACATGACAATATCTGCCACGGGAATTTTCGATGAACTGTTTTTACCTACTTTAGGTTTGTTGTTTATTTCAAGTTTAGCCGTTGTGTCGCTTGCACATTTTAAATCGAATTCGTTGAGATCGACGCTACAGACAGTTGAAGTGACTACTTTCTATATGTTAGCAGCAATTTCCTTTTTGTTGCAAGTAAAGTCATCATGGTTTGTCGATTTCTTAAGTCAATTTCAGTTGGTTGAACAACCTATTCTATGGCAAAGAACTTTGGGTGATTTCTTGCTGGTAGGTGCAAGGACGTATTTTGTTGTCTTTCATGTGCATTTTGCCTTGATGTCTTAAAGACCTGTGTTGCTCATATTATTAAATATGTATGAGAAGTGAAGACATGTCTGTCTGAAACATAAGACAAGATAAAACAAATGCAGACATGAGACATGTGTGACTATGACATAAACAAATGAAGTCATTTATGGTTAATTTAAAGTGAGCAATTGTGAAGAAAGACATGACATAAGCATCTAAGATAATTTTGGTTCTGAAAGCAACTAAGATCTAAAAGAGTTGTATTTATAAATAAGTGAAAAGGATTTTCGTTGGCAGTGTTAAAATTTTGGTTTCATATTAAATTTTTGGATTAGAACAAAATAATTAATGAATATATTTATGGCAAAAATATATAAATTCTGTTTTGTGCATGATAAAATGCTTTTTGGCTTATTTTCTGCAAGTGATGTACATGTTAATAGTATGAGTTTTTTATATTTAATAGGCACACAAGCTGACACTCGACACTACTGAAAATTTTTGGATAACATCACAACTCTTGTTTTTCACCATTGCTCTTGTAATGTACATATTTTTATATCATACAAGCATACAATTGCAATCTCTTCACGTTCATGGTTACATTACCCTCGCTGTCACCAGCTCTTCAGCAGCTGCAATGGCCCTATTTATTGCTCAGATTACCAATGCTAAGGATAGATCGCAGTCGCTAGTCAACTTGGGTTTCCATCAAACTTTAGCACAACTCATATCAACAGTTACTTGTTGTAGCATAGTTGTGTTTTTGTCTGATGCAACACTATTTCAAGTTAAAGTAGCCTTCATTTTTCTTGCTGTGGTCATTTACTTGACACCCTTTCAGTGGTATACTACTTCCAAGGAAATTAAAGACTGGCCAAAATCTTGGTTTATTTTGTTTTTAGTTTTTGTGGGTACTTTCATGATGTTTCATCATTTTTATTTGACATTTTCTTTGTTGATGGAATGGATGAACCTAAAGACAATATCTTTGGTTGCATTTGGTTATCCTCACCAGTTCTCAGTCACAGTTGATTTAATTTGCTGTATTGCTACCTTGGCTGTGTTTATGTTGTTTGAATTTTGCATCGAAAATCTAAAGTTTTCATTTACCATGACATTACTGGCTCTTTTCATGTTTCCATTAATAATTTTAATGGCATTTTTGGTTTCACCAGGAGCCTTGTTTATATACTTCCTTGCTTATAAAGAAAACACATCACCATCTGACATCAAACTGTAAAATGTTGGCAGCAGTTCTGAAAAAAGATCCTAATCATAGATCATAATTCAGGAGACTCCACAAAAGTATGCTCTTTTGAGCAACTGAATGGCAAGTGAATATTATCACTTGCCTAAGAAGCATACTGTTAAAAGGTCACTTACTGGTGACATGCTCTATTAGTAAACTTTATAAGCTTATAGCGTTCCACTGCTAGTTCTAGTTTTTTTAGTAAATTTCAGAACATTAGCAGTTTCTTTGATTTTTCTAGCATTAGCATGTAAAGGACTTTTTCTTTTTCATATGACGAATGAAATAGTGAAACACGTTTTAAGTGGTTTCAGTCACGAGTGACTTTTAAAGTATTGTGAGGCCTGTTTTAATATCGATTGATTAATAATGCATATACTTGAGCAAAAACAGTGATTTATATTTACTTGAGCGAAATACTTTTCGAGTATTGTTGAGTATGTTTTACCGGTTTTACAATGTAAGGGGGTGTTTACATGAATCCGGAATGACTTTCAATCCCGATCGAAACGTGATGTCAATCCGCGTTTACATGAAACTAATTGTTGTTTTTCTTCGCACTCATTTTAACCCATTTAGCCTCTTTATTTGCTTACGAGCTTCAATTTGCCGGAAGACAATACCCATGCCACATGCGCGTGCTTCGTCATTAATCACAATATCATTCCAGAATGAAATTCAATTCGCGTTTACATGAGATAACAAGTAAATTTCGATCCGGAATGAAATTTCGATCCGGAATGAAACTAGGAATGAACTCGATCCGGATCGAGTTGTGACTCATTCCGGATTCATGTAAACATGCAATAGGATTTCTTTTAAAGTGGAATGAGTTCATTCCGGATCGAAACTCATTCCGGATTCATGTAAACACCCCCTAAGAGCTTTAAATGTTGACCTATGTGACCATTGAACCTTCAAAGTTCGAAACAACCTGCAAAGTTATCGCTGCCTTCACGTCATATTTGTTTGTATCGTTGACAACAATGTGGATATGCAAAGGATGATATATTACAAATATTTCCGCTCAAATGAAACAGTACTTGTACTTCTTTTTTTCCATAGGATCAATCGTTTTTGTGTCAGTGATATTTGCAATTATTACTTCTCACGTAAGCTTAATGAAAAATGTTAACGTCAAGAAAAGCTATATCCCAAAGAGCATCGTTGCAGGTAGTCTGAGAAAACCGAATTCGTCAATCCTAGTGTTGTATTGGTCTAAAGTTTTCGATGACCATGTACAAATTACTTCCCCGGAGAAACGACACAATTTTCCATTTTTCTCGGCTGTCAAAGATTGTCCTGTGAATGTGAACTTACGACAAATAAAAGTCGTATCGGTCATGTGTCTGCCTTAGTTATACATGGCGGAAATACTGAAGAAATGCCAAATTCACCAGAATACGACTCAATACCCTGGATATTTCATACGAACGAAAATCCTGTGTTTAACAAGGCAACTCCTAATGAAAAAATTATGGCTAAGTTTACATATACGGCTACCTATCGCTTGGATTCGGATTTTCCATGTCCTCAATTCACCCAGCCTAGCTTGTCGAAGCCTTTTCCTTTCGAGAAGAAAACAGGTTTTGTTATAGCCATCTACAGTCATTGCGAAAACGTTCGCACTTTATACATGCATCGGTTAATGAAGCATATTCGTGTGGACTCGTATGGGAAATGTCTAAGAAATAAGCCAAGATTACCAGAAGGATTTGATAAAATACAACCGCTTATCGGAAAATATAAATTTACATTGGTTTTTCCAAATTCCGACTGCGATTATTACACAACTGAAAAAATGTTCAATGCGCTATCGTCCGGGTCTGTTCCTGTATGGATGGGTACCGACAAAATAGACGAGATTTTAAAATGGGGTAATCTAAAGAATGCTGTTATAATGGTACGGGACTTTAAATCTCCACGTAAATTGGGTGATTACCTCACCTGGCTCGGCAACAACAAGAGAGCTTATAACAAATTTTTGAGTTGGAAATATGAAGGGTTCGCATTTCCAAAGAACTACCTTAACTCCCCTATTGGACTGTGGTGGGAAGGCTGGCCCCTCTATTGTCAGGTTTGCATGAGATTGTCAAACGACAAGGGATTGAAGAGGCAGTTACCTGCGGACAGGTGTGACGGCAAACAAAGACGGACTCTTGAAAAATGGATTAGAGAGTAATACCTTCTTTATCATAAGGTATTATGGAGGAAACTTGTGACTTAGTGAGGATTCAAAACACAAGCATGTCATACTATGTAGGCAATGCAATTATCATTAGTTACTACAATCATTCTTGCAGTTGCCTTCGCCTTAATGAAGGAGGTTCACATGATGAATAATACAAACCACTCGCTCTTGCAAGGGAGGTTATGTGCAAGGAAGGATATGTTGGAATTAGTTTCATTTGATACTTGCTAGGGTATCATATCATGATTCCAACATTTGCAAACAACAATGAGATGGTACCTTTTTTGTGTTTCTTAGGTGAACTAAAGAGATTTATAACTTTTGACGTTAAAAACATTAAAACAAGTACATTTTTATCGCAAAAAAACACGTATGTTTTAATGTAAACATTTTAAACCACCATCATGTTGGGTAGCGTTCATCTAATGAGTTGTATTCAGGAACTTTAAAACCAAACAACTCGTGATCTCGTTTATATATAGCCAACAATAGCTCGAAATAAGAACGCGGTAACTCTTTTAGAAAGGCAGCTGTGCTGCTCTTTGACTTGACCAGTGGTTTGCCCTTCATTCGTATCATGTAATACTTCGTTTCGTTCGCTTGTACCTGTTTCATCACGTGACTTACGTCACGGTCTATAGTTTCTATAGAGCCAATGAAATCATAATTAACTTCGCACGGCCTGCACAGGCGTTCGTATGTCATCCAATGTTCATTAACTCGCCAAGGTTCAGAATCAATCAGAAAGCGTGAGTACTCCAAGAAAGTGACGTCATCACCTGTTTCCACTTCCCTATTGTAGTTAAAACGGTATTTCTCAACAATTTGTTTGCCCAATGTTCTGTGCAAGTAAGTATTTGCCTTATTTTGCCATTTGTTGCGATAGGCCGACACAAGTCGCTCAAACGGATCGCGTACTATTAAAAATTTGAAGTAATTCTTCAGCATATACTCTCTCTGCTGCATGCTATACTTTTGTCATCTAAGCGTGTAGTTTTACGCATACTATCTCCGTCTACTTTCTCAATACGTGAAAAGAGACCCTGCATCACCAAAAATATTCTTTTGATATTCGAGCAGCCAACTTTGGGGATATAACAGTACAAAATTTTGTGTTCATCATTCACGATGATATGGCGAAGAACGCTTCGCCTTTGCATGTCCATTTTTATTTGACTTTTAGGATCAACAGGTTGTAAAAGATCAACGATTTCTCCCTTATTTCTTTTACACACTTTCTCAACAGCTTGCCGCCTAATTTCGCTTGCTTCGTAAACCTTAAATATATATCATTGGATAATTCACTAGATGACATATACATAAACTCAACCTATTTGTAAAATAACCAGTTTATTTGCTATTCTCTCCCCCACCAGCGCCGACCCCATGCTAAAGACCCAATTGATATACCTCTTCATCAAATACAGTTGGCAATGGTTCCTTTCTTAAAGGTGACCCGTTTTCTTCGTCATTATTTGTAAAGGCAGGCTGCTCGAGTGGAGTGATTTGGTTTGGTTGATAAAGCTCGTCTTGTTCATCATCTAAAAGAATAATGTTCACCGCAAATGTTGTTTTGAAAACCTGAATAGTTAGGTTTTTAAAAGATTTTTTATTTTCATATCTAGTGAACGTGAACATTGTTGCCTTGAAGTCGTTTCAATATGGCAAATGCAACCTATTTCTAAAATGTATTTAATTCATCAAAACCATTTTTTACACTTCATGCATGAAGTGTAAAAGAAGATAAAACTGAGAACTAGAAGCCACGAAAGAAAAAAGAAAATCGTTCAAGTTAGATTCAAAAACGTCGCCAGCTCAAAAGTTTTGCTGCTATTCAATTCACTTCCTTAGAAATCATTGTGTTTATCCTTAATTACGTTAGCACATTCTTCGACCCTGCAAATTCCACGTTAACGCGTGGCAAAATACAAGTGACTTTGAATGTCTTCATGAACTCAACTCCCTACAAGCCTTTGTCATGAAATTTTTTCTACTCCAGATGAAATTGCAATATTAGAAATGAAATACTCCGGCGATTTAAAACGTTTATTTGGCTTCAGAAAAACGTTAGTGATCACTAATTGTATAATTGTATCATAACATTGACTTGCATGTTTTGTAAACAAAACTAACGAGAAGTACATATAAATTTATGTAATATGTAGAAAATAGGCTATTGAAGACTTACAATTAAAAATGACACTTTTTTCATCTGTAGAAGACAATGTGTTTGTCGCATCATAATCAAAATACAAACCAACAAGGATAATACAAACCACGGCAATAAGTACAATCTTCGTATTCTTTTTCATCCTCCGAATCAGGAGATTTTCAAGCTTCATCAAATGGAGATGTCATGTCGATTAGTAATAATTTTCCCAAAATTATTCGATGTCAGTAAATAAAGGTTTTGATGAGTCCACGTCAAAGGCAACTGTACACGGAGATGTCGTACAAAATCATTAGTGCATAACGAAAACGATCTACATATTGAATATTATTTTCTATTTATACAATTGTATCTTTTGATTTCCCGTAATTTGATTGGCTGTAGCATCAGGCGGGAATTTTAACGATATCCTGATCGTGGACCAAAGTGCTATTTTTGCAATAGTTTACAATCTAAAATTCAGAATTTTTAAAATTGATTTAAAAAGCCATGTGAGTTGTTCGAGAAGAAAGCACAATGTATTCGGATGGTAGCAAGTTATCATAGCAAGAGTGTATTTTACTATCCAAACGAAGTGAAATTTTTAGGAAAAATCCTGTTTCGTCAATAATCTACATCGACCATTTTACAACGTGAATTGCTTCATTATAAAAACATAAAAAACTTATTTGTTTAGGTTGGTCCTGACTTAAGAATTATTATCATTCGACATCAGAAGCGTCTCTCGGCCTCGGGTCGATTCTGACACGAACTTTATGACCTCGTAATATTTTCAATACGAACCTCCCAGTCAACAACACACATATATATATTTATACTTACAATTGGATGCTTCCAAAATGTGATATTTTAATGTGATGAATCGTGTTTTGAATTATTTTCCAATTGTCCAAAACTCCAAATCGTAGAGCTGTATGCTGTTTCGTTCGTGAAACATGTGTGCTGGTCTAGTAATAAGATTTTAATTTTGATTTGGGTTTACTTTTTACGATGAGATCAACGTTTCAATAAGTTGTAAGCCTTTACATGAATACTTACCATTATGATCTCGATTTCGCTCGTAAAAAAATAACAGTCACTTATGTACTGAAGCTCTTCAACATCTGATAGAGCAATCTTTTAGTTGGAAGACCAAACTCTAGAAACATATCAATAAGCTACGGGATAACTTTAAGCATTTTGATGTCATCTGCAATGATGAAATTTCTAAAACACACTAGAAGAAAAACAAATTCACAGTGATTAGAATATCAATTCAATGAATGGCTGAAACATGAAAGATTAATTCAGAGCCGTCCCAAGACGCTACTTGGGAAGGGAGGGGGGGAGTGGTGCTTATTCACAAATTCAGCTGTGCCCTACTGATTTCTTTTGAACGTAAATTGTTTAATTCTTTTAGTGAATTGCTCAAAAGAAATCAGTCGGCCACAACTGAATATATGAAATCCCTTCCCCCCTCCAAGCCTCGTAACCAGGCGCTTTGAATGTCACATTGCGTACTTGCGCGGGACGACACGCGCGAGCAAAAAATGGGAAAATCGCAGGGAAGCACACGTAGTCGGCTTGTTACAGCCACGCAAATGCGCGATGCCCACGCACGCCACGTGAAGCGTCTGGGTACGAGGCTGCCCCCCTCCTCAGAGACAAGATTTCAAGTTCAACAGAAAACTGACGGTCAGGTTTGTTGACAGCATTCCAGATCAATTGTAAAATTACAGTCAGATTAATTCTCACCAACGGAAAGTGGAGCTATAAAATTGGATAGGTTTTATGTGCAAACTTCCCATTCAAATATCTTAAAAGTGAAAAATACACTGTTTTTGATATTATTTACAGCGATAGATGAGAAAGAGAGTGGCCAAAACAACATTTAGAGAAATAAAATATCTCAAAAAATTTGAAGCATTGTTGTTGTTATAAAATAATTCTAACCATATAATACTCATTTCCAATGTTTGAGCTTTCAGTGAAATATAATGTGCGAATGTGTACAAACGGTATGTTCGTTTAACAAACAACAAAAATTTGAAGTATTGTTGTTGTTATAAAATAATTCTAACCATATAATACTCATTTCCAATGTTTGAGCTTTCAGTGAAATATAATGTGCGAATGTGTACAAACAGTATGTTCGTTTCACAAATAACAAAAATTTGATCTTTTTTCGTCTTCCAAATGTAACATTTTACCCAGGCTATTGAGACCAAGATACTGAACCACTCTTGTCCAATAAATACGATTGTTCATCACAGTTCGGTATTTCTCTCAAAATTAACGATGAAAATCTTCAATAAAAACTTCAAAAGCATACCTTACTTGTGTGCAAATGAAAACCAGAGGTGGAGAAAAATAAATTACCATACAACAAACATCTAAATTTTGATACGTCACGTCATTTGAAGATCACCTACTATACACTAAACCCATGTCATATTCTATGGAAGTCCTGAAATGCTCATCATCCATTCCGTTAATAATTTCGGTTTTCGGACGGTTTTCGAACAATGCCCCTCTATTCTGAATGTCGTCACGTTTCCGCTGTACCCAATGGCCGTAGATTCTAAACGCGCAACTGTCGATGTGTTTCCTGAAAGCCTTAACTTTATACGGTGAATTTTTTGCCATTTGAATGGTGATAAGTTGTTTTTCTAATATCGACTGACGTAGGGCAAGACAAGCTCGCACAGCAATTAAGGCTCCCTAGAAATATGTGTCAACGTTTATTATAAAGCAACAACAATCTGAAAGACGCTTTTTATTGCAAAAAGTATGCGATGTATAATTAAACACAGCAAATATGCATTATCAATCCTCACATGACTGCCGTCTCTGATGAGGCCATCTAAACTCAAACAGTAATTTTAATTGACAAGTAAAAAAATTCAAGACGAAAATTTGGAATATATCGAAACCTCAAATTTGATTGACAAATAGAGCATTTGAAGTTCGTAAACAAGTAAAAACTGTCAGAAATTCTGAAGGCAGTTTTCCATAATAGTGAGGTTTTTAAGATCCTAAATTTTACACATCTAATAAGAAACCACGCACTTAAAAAAGAATTTTTGACAGTAGCCATGTGGGCAGTAAAAATTGTTGACTCACTCGTAATTTTATTCGACCAACAAAAGCAATAGGCCTCGATATCTACAGAAAATAATATAGAAAGATAACAGCTAAACTAATAAGTAATAACAAAAAATACTATCATGAGACATCGTTATGCTTGACACCAGTTTCATTATTTGTTGACTTTGCGGTTTCAAACCTTCGCTAAAATGACGAATTGTACTTACTTGAACACCTTCCAACCAAGGATGCTTCAGACAATCTTCGGCCGAATATCTGCCTTCTGGTTCTGACACGAGAAGTTTTGAAATCTGAAAGTATTTAACCGTTTAACAATTAGTCCACTCTGAAACACACACTACAAAACCCGAACATAACTATTACTAAATCCTTTTTCTCCTTTTCAATAAAATTTCATATATTGTTCATAAATCAATGAAGTAATACCTATAGAACGGTATATAAAATCCGCGCTTACAAACAATCAACTAGTCATTTTGTATTTTTCTATGACATTAGTGAATGTCATTTACCAATGTTTGTATGACAAGTATCTAAAATATGATCTTCGGTAAAATTACCAGATCTTTGGCTGAGTCGGATATATCAGACCATTCTGCACCAGTGAATTGATAACGACCTTCCATAATGGAACGAATCAAAACAGCTTGTCGACGATGCCAAAATGGCGGACATCCAGATAACCTTAAAAATTACATCCCCTTTATAAGACCCCAACCCTAACCCCAATTCAGTGTCCAGGCCATCGAGATGAAATAGTAAGTTAAAGATTCACACTTACAATGTATACATTATCACACCACAAGCCCACCTAAAACAAAAAAGAAATATTTAGTTCATGAGAAAGTACGTTAGATGGATGATCCTAAGAAAGAAACAAACATTGCAAACGTAAATGTTTGTAAATTGCAAACATTGAAACTTTTCCTTTAATTAAAAATTCCTTTAATACTCACAAATCCACTTTGAAGCCATATCCTGGATGATCGTCGTACATACTAGCACGAAGAACTTCCGGAGAGAGATAGCCAAGCGTACCACAAAGATCTAATGTGTGAGATAAGAAAAATTAATATATATTTTGCAACTTTAATCGTTATAGGATTTGAAATGATTTGAGTTCTCATATGCTCCAGTCTAGTGTCTTTATTAGGAGTGATTAGATGTCAACTCTTTAGTCTTTATATGCTCCAGTCAATTGTCTTTATCTGGAGTAAACTGATGTTGAAACCAAATTCCTTATACTCCACTGTACGTAGAACAATTCTCCCATCACGTGTGGGATATTTACACTGTAATTATGTAGTAATTCCTGGAGCTATGTATAGATGAAGTATAGGTTATCTATTGTACAGAAGGGTGACTTTATTTGAAAACATACGCTGCTACATTTTTTCACAATTTTTCTCTGAGATACAAAGTAAAATGTGCTGCGTGCGTGAACCACAAAAATTGACGTTTCCAAAGGACTTTTTGACCACTGCACCCTTGGTGAACATTGACATGCCCAAGTAATGAAAAATACATGAAATAGTACTAATTTACACTTACATTAACATTATACAACACATCATACAGATTAGCTTTAAAATGTTCTCATGCAGGCTCAATTTCAAAGAATTGCCTCAGTGTAGTGTCTTCATCATGAGTGATCACAATAACGCTGTAATCCACAATACAAAAAGAAAACAACAGGACACATACCAGTCAAAGTCTCTCCATCATTTAACACCTTAGCAAATCCAAAGTCAGACAATTTTATCCTCATCTTATCATTCAAAAGAATATTTTCAGGCTGGAAATAAAAGAAATAGTGATCAAAAAGCGAGTTTGAGATTTTGGATAATCTTTATAAAACAGTATATTATCACAGATTACCATTCGTGAGTAATAATCTCACCTTCAAATCCCTGTGAACTATGTTCTTGGAATGCATGTACTTCACAGCAGTGAGTATTTCATACATCACATTACTGAAATTACAATAATCGGAAACTCAGGAATGATAAGAAAAATGGTCATAAAAAATGTAACAAGTTTCACACGCAACAAAGTTGATAAGTTTCTATGGAAACACACTCATCATTCAATCAAGGTCTTTGTACATCAACCATTAAAGTATTTTTTTGCATGCACTTATATTGTCAACAGTACTCCCATATGAATTAATTCTAAAATACAGTAACTGCCCCTTCTGCACGACTAATATTCAATCCTAAAAGACCTAGTCTGTTTGTGGAATATGATTGATAAGACCGTCAACCATCAATTGATAAATTGTAATGGTAAAATGATATGCGTATCAATGAAATTTGGTAGGCAGCATTGGATCAGCTTGTTTAAACACACCATAGCATTACTACTACTTTGATGAATGGTAATAAATAATCAATGAAATGAATAATCAAAAACTTAAAATATTTTTGGTAACGATAAAGCAAAAATTAAAACTGTTTGGTGCATTAAATTACACCTAAAATCACAGAACGTGGTTTTTCAAAGTCACATGTAAAAGAGTAGCCTTGAGTGCAAAAAAGGGAAGGAATATTGTCCTCCTTTTGAAGCATTCATATGTTTCATTACTTTATGTATAATATATACACAGAATCTTCCACACAGACCTTTTTCCACTCTAAGAGGGTGTGGTAAATTGTAGTGGTCTGCAATAATGTATTACTCTGACAATGCATTACTAATGCATTATTCTGACAATTCCCACCATATTAGAATACATAGCAGTAACAAAAAAATTTTAAATACTGAGATTTTTATGCAGAGAGGAAAAAAATCATCTTAGTAAGGATAGCAACTGGCCTGTCTTCAAAGGTGTATATTACTAAATACAAAGAACAAACCGAGTTCGTTTTTCAGAGAATGTGACAGCTTTGGTTAGTTCATCAAACAATTCGCCACCAACAGCACTAAAGATGAAAGTAAAAAAGCTTTTCTCAAGCCTTGCCTTGACAGAACAAATATTGATGAATGAAAATCACCAATCAGTAATTTTTATACAACCATACACAAGATTAAACATTATGCAACAAAAGTTGTGCACAAGGAAATGCTATAAGCATTTTAAACAACAAATAAAATACAAACAAATAATGGGATAGCAAGTATATCACACTTACAGTTCAAAAATCAGAAAGAAAAATGTAGGCGACTCAAAGAAATCCACCAAAGATACTAGACAAAATCAAAAAACTTGAATTAAGTTAATTCTATCATTTAATTGGTGAAATATAAATCAGTTTCAAAAAACAAACATATTTTTTCAAAAAGGTTTCTTCTTAAAAAGGCCATAAACTATGGTGGGGGAAATAAACAAAAATTCAAAAGGAGAAAGCAAATGTTGATTTTTGATCCACTACATTAAAATGTAACTTAGCATCAAATCTTCCCACATCGAAATATTTCAACTTTCAATTGAAGTCATGGCTTTCAATATATCACTTACTGATGTTTTTATGTCCACACAAAAGTTTTAAAAGTTCAGCTTCATTTTTTGTCACCTCACTGATGTTTGCTCCCCATGATTACCAAGTTTATCCACAATTTTCACCGCATATTCTTGACCTGATGCCTTGTGAACACATTTACGTACTACACTTGACACCCCCCTGGAAAAACCTTTTTCAACACAGTTGAAGAAACCTTCGGCCTGACATTGCCACCACTTATTGAAGACTAAAAACATTTATTCCTTACATACATAAGCATATGAGCTAGGAATGGCAGCAGGGTAGGCAGCAGCAACTTCCTCCCCTCAAAAATTTGAAAACTTTATAAAATTCAGGCAAAATAGTCAAGGAAATCAACAAAAAAATTTTATAAAGACGTGCAACTTTATAGAAGTAAATAAAGCCTGTATATATATGAACTACAAATTTTTTTGTGAAGTACGCCTACGTTATATAAACGATTTTTTAAAACAAAATGTTTTGGTAGAAACTTCAAGGCAGGAAGGCTTGCATTTATCATCTCCCCCTTTAAATTATGAAGTGTGTTTATCAGGGTTTTATCTAAGTCAAATAGGAATTTTAATTTTACGCATGCTGATCAAAACTTGAGGAAAAACTAAAGAAAACGTCAAACATGTCCACAGTTTTAATAAACAATGTAACTTGACCACAACGGCGTCTTAATTCATCAAAAATACACGAAAACAACCGAAGAACAACATGAATAAACTTACGCTCCAAGCTTTTCCTTTGGTTTGTATTTTGTGTGAAAGATTTCGGTGGCCTCGTTTTCCTCAAAGATTGCCCCGTCTACATCCTCCATCTGATGATGTATGACAGTTCACAGACAACTTTCTGTTATAAGACAGCAAAATTTAAACATAGCCCAAAACTTAGACATTTTACAAAAATCTTCAAGTCGTATGGTAGACTAAACTGCGGCTTGTTAAGCAAAAAAGTTATTCTAGGTATAACATCAAATGTTTGTTAATGCTTGAAGTCTTGAAGTTGAACAACTTGAAGGAAGACTGAAGACCTCGTGTGGCGATCTCGTACCACTCCCCCCGGAAACATGTATATTACTTATTCAGTTTTCAATTTCAAAAAACGACGAAAATAACAGTAAAGATAATAAAAGAAAAATTAAAGACCTAACAATTACACACCATCGAAAGCGTTATTTCGACATATTTTCAAACAGAGCATATGTACTTGCATCAATCTCTTGGCTGTCTCAATCCACAAGATAAGGAAGTGTTAGTCGTGAAAAGTGGGCACGTTGTTATAAATGTATTAGTCGAGGTGGATAAATGGTTTCATACTGATACTGCAAAGTAGTTATAGAGACGTATGTTTTTTACGTGGAATGCTGCTTTTGCAGTCACTCATAATACTTAAAATTTAGATAATTTAGACTACATTTCCAACGCTACACCAAAACATCAATATTTCATCTACTTCGCTCTCTATCATGGACATACAATGCCGTGTATGGTCCTGAGGAGTATCCGCCCCGATTATCAAAACCGTTCCGCCCACACTCGCAGGGATCACGAAGTTCAACAATACCCCACTTCTTGGAAAGCAGTGAATGCACAGTCTGATCATGTCGGTTTCCAAGAAAACCAGGAAAATTTGGTTTACCCATTACATTATCTTTGTCGTTGACGATTCGAAAGTCCATCGTGTAGGCAAGATATTCCATGAAGTACTGTATAGTTTCACAGTTTTTCATTGCTACAATAAAATTGGCTAAACGCTGATGTTGGTGCTCACCATACACAATTGGATCATCCATTCCCATTAGCACAAAAGCGTCTCGCTTCGAAAAAAAACGCTCGTAATACGTCATAGAGAATGCAAGCACATTGGGCTTTACATCTTGACATAACTTGAGCAATGGTCCCACATCACGTGATAAATACATACCGGAGTCATGATATACGAATAAGTCGCCATCATTTAATTTGTACAACAGAGCATGGAGGATTAAATATGGTTTCCATAACCAGTAACCAGCACCCTTTCGCATTCGTAGTTGTGCATGATGTGATACCTGAAAAGGTATGGACAAAGATAAAACATCGTGAGCTTCTGCGTAATCCATTCGTCCTGCCTTGATCGCTTGCTCAACTGCCCTGGCTTTCGAAGCATTGCAACAATTATGGCCGTATGTCAGCATGATTTTACGTCGTTTGATATTTACCGCTGACACGTTGTAACGTCGTAATAATTCACGAGTTCTATTCGACTGTGAGTTCTTCTTGTTCCATGGATGATTCCAGCGTAAATGAGTTTCTTTGAGTTTTTTCAGATCGACTCGCTCACGAAATTTCCAACGTGTGTTATTAGTCTCGTACGGCAACTTTACTTTCAATCCTTGCAATAAATCACGAGCAATTGTGTACAATTCTGGACATCGCGCCTCATCTTGTGACGTGTCCACTTCGATAGGCTCGTGAAAATTGTCTGCTCTTTTACGATAGAGAAGTTTTCGGAGGACTTTCTGACGACTTTGCTGATGGGCAACAACATTCTTTAATTTCTGTAAATCAAATGTGATCGGTTCTTTATCTGTTGATGCATCATTTTGTGTATTGAAACTTGTAATTACGTTTGAGCACGGATTTCTTAAAAACACCGCTAAAATCGTTAACGAAAACCATATTATTAGACTAGACGCTAAAATCTGCTTCATATGTCGAGTTCTAGCAAAATGCAAGCGATAGATATTCAACAAAAAGCGCATCGTTATATCGACAAAGTCATAATCATCCTTTCTCGTTTACAAATGCGACGAAATGGTGCAAAGACAAAGACCAAAACATAAATTAATCGCTTGGCTAAATAATTACTCAATGAAAAATTGTGTATTGTGGATAGAAAGATTAGTTACGTATAAATACATAGCAAAGATAAGAGGAATGAAAAGAATTTGAATAACGGTAAACGTGTTCAGCAAAATGTCACGTATTAAAAAGAAGTTGAAGCACGTTTCAAATACAGTAATCAACACATTACAAACATTAGCAATTAGGGTGACTTGTTTTGTTAATTTTGTTCTCCTATCATCATGTGTTTAGAATTGTTATTTTTCATCTTAAGAAAAAATTATAACTGTTTGTTTGTGCTGAAGAGCTGCCATGTGTCCTGAAATTCCACACTTGCACAATAAGAATCAAATTGAAATAATAAATTTGTTTATTATTCATTTTCACCTGCTATCAGTGGGAGAACAATCTACAGATTTTATTCTAATTTCTGTTTAACACATCATTTAAAATGTTCGATATTCTGACATTCTTGAACAGGACGAGGCTTTCTGTATTCTTAATTTGTACACGATGGAATTGTTGTAGCTCTCATAGAAAGACTCTTCATGAGGTTCGTCTGGATTAAAGTTTATAATATTATCCAGTGTCACTAATAACTATCAAAAAACAACTTTTCACGACCATCAACGCATAAAAACATCAATGTCTATTTACTTCTATTTCTGTCCTGGACATACAATGCCTTGAATGGTCCTGACGCGTATCCAACCCCGCCAATCAAAACCGTTGCGCCCGCAAGTGCAGGGATCACGTACTTCAACAATACCCCACTTCTTGGAAAGCAGTGAATGCACAGTCTGATCATGTCGGGTTCCAAGAAAACCAGGAAAATTTGGTTTACCCATTACATTATCTTCATCGCTTGCAATTCGAAAATCCATCGTGTAGGCAAGATATTCCATGAAGTACTGTATAGTTTCACAGTTTTTCATTGCTACAATAAGATTGCCTAAACGCTGGCCTTGTCCTTCTTTATAGACAATTGGATCGTCCATTCCCATAAGCACAAAAGCGTCACGTTTAGAATATAGACGTTCATGATACGTCATAGAGAATGCAAGCACATTGGGCTTTACATCTTGACAAACTTTGAGCAATGGTCCCATGTCACCTGTTAAATACACACCGGAGTCATGATATACGAATAAGTCGCCATCATTTAATTTGTACAACAGAGCATGGAGGATTATATAAGGTTTCCATAACCTGCACCTTTCCGCAATCGTAGAAGTGCATGATGTGATACCTGAAAAGGTATGGACAAAGATGAAAGATCGTGAGCTTCTGCGTAATCCATTCGTCCTGTCTTGATCGCTTGCTCAACTGCCCTGGCTTTCGAAGCATTGCAACAATTATGGCCGTATGTCAGCATGATTTTACGTCGTTTGATATTTACCGCTGACACGTTGTAACGTCGTAATAGTTCACGAGTTCTATTCGACTGTGAGTTCTCCTTGTTCCATGGATGATTCCAGCGCAAATGAGTTTCTTTGAGTTTATTCAGATCGACTCGCTCACGAAATTTCCAACGTGTATTATTAGTCTCGTACGGCAACTTTACTTTCAATCCTTGCAATAAATCACGAGCAATTGTGTACAATTCAGGACATCGCGCCTCATCTTGTGACGTGTCCACTTCGATAGGCTCGTGAAAATTGTCTGCTCTTTTACAATAGAGAAGTTTTCGGAGGACTTTCTGACGACTTTGCTCATCGGCAACAACTTTAATTTCTGTAAATAAAATGTGATCTGTTCTTTGTCTGTTGATGTATCATCCTGTTTATTTAAATCAGTATTTAATGTTGAGCGCCGCCTTGTTAAAAACATACTTAAACTCGTCAGTAAGAGCCATATTAAAAGACTAAAAGCTGAAATCTGTTTCAACTGTCGAGTTTTCTGAAAATTTAAGCGATAGATATTTCCTAAAAAGCGCATCGTTTATTCTTCTATATACAAACGTGGACGAAATAGAGCAAATGTAAAGTCCAATACATAAGTTGCTCACTTGACTAATCACTCATTAAATAATAAAGAATTGTTTATAGTGGTGATAAAGATTCGTTCTTATCTACGACACAGGAGGGATGAGCTCTTACTTTAGCTGTAGATATTAGAAAACTTTAAGTGTATAAAAGTTTGTTTTTTCTTCAAAACTATGGTAAAAATGTTCCAGCATTTTTTCAAAATCATTTCGCGCTTTTCATAATAATTTTGGCTGGATAAGTTCCTGTCATTATAGTAATTCTATTTAATCTATCATTCACCTTATTCTCTTCAGATAAATTTGTATACGTTTATTTGTGACAGACATAATCACATTTTATATATTTCGAAATTTTCAATGACTAAACGTTTGTATTTTACAGTATTTTTCAAGAAGAGATCAGAGAAGTAAAGAGGCAAACTATTTCCCATTAAATATGTTATTGTAACATTCACATACCAAATTCATCGCCGGAGATGTCATGAACATGACGTCATTCACATACCAAATTCATCAGCCGGAGTGATGTCATGAACATGACGTCATTCACATACCAAATTCATCAGCCGGAGTGATGTCATGAACATGACGTAAAAAATTTTTTTGAAAAAAAACATCACGAAAGTTCGAAACCAGCATTTGATTGGATCGCATAACGGAGTTTCTCCCTCAAAATTTCCTTTTTGTTATAGTTGGGTAATTTTAAAAGATTGAAACAAGTTGATGATGTTGGAAGTCGTTCTGTAGAAACCTTCCTACGTCCGATGTTAAAAAATCCACGTACAACACTACCAACTGAATCACCTTCGTCCTAAAATAGATCATGACGTGAAGAAAGTTGAAGATCTTTCACTATGGATTAAACAATTAAATTGCTTATATATCATGTTTTTGCATTCATGCCATTTTGATTGTTCAGACAACATCAAATCTTGTGCAATAGATTTTAAAGCTCGAAAGTATTATTTTGCTTGAGTTTTCGCACTGAAAGTTTAAAAATTGACCATGTTGACCGCCAGCATAAAAACACTGGTAACTAATGTTATTTTTAACGTCAAAACGGGAATTCGTCTGTTGTATATTTATTATTAAAATTCATTATATAAAATGCCAAACACATGTGCTGTGCAACAATATTAAACAAAATAGTCAAGCTTTTAAAGAGATTATGGGTAAAATACAATGTTTTCATAAAGCGTGTTCCCAATATGACGTCACATCTGGGCTTTCGCCCTAGTTTTTTATAATGTCACGGTCAATCAAGCAGTCCGACAGACATTGAGCTCCAAAAAACGCACTGAGATCAAATTTTCGAATTATAAAACATATTGCCAATATGTTTAGAATCATCTAAACTATTTACATAGCCCAACTGAATGACATAGGCATTTCGAACTTTTTAGCCTTCATTAAACTCTTCGTATTTTAAACTTCTTTAAAATCTATTGGAGGTACAGCATGGCTAATGCCAAGCATAAATGCTCAAAATTTCTGAAGTATCTAAAGCCTTTTCAACAATCACATTTTGGGCTTTGGCACTTTCACACACATCCTACGTACAGAAGGGACATTTGTATCCACCGGATTTACAAAATCTTTGTTAATGGAAGCTTTTAGCCAGTCAACATGCCTGTCATATTACTTTACTATGTTCTTTTGGGAATATACATCAACCAGGTTAGTGCAGTCCCGAGAAGGCCTGGTGACATTGCTGTGGTTATTGACTGACGTTTCGACATCCTTAACCGTCGTCATCTTTGTAGTCATCTTGAAAATGACTCACACATATCTTGTCAAAATGTTAGTCTATACTAACATCAACATTCTTTCTCAGGTCTGTACTAACCAGGAGATTTATTCCCCCAAACCTGTCACTATGTTTTTTCTTACCTCATCGTCAGTCGCAACAACACAACGCACAGTAAATTCTGGACGTAAATGGGCGAAGCCTAGTAAAGGTGGCTTTGAGCAGCTGGTGACGAACTAAAAACATGATAAAACTAAATCACAATGAATTATTAATGGCTAAAAGTAAGTCAAAACAGAAATTGAAAAGAAAGATATTTTATTTACACATTAGCAGCATGAAACGTACGAAATTCATGTTTTAGAAAAACATGCTGTTCTGTAACTAAAACAATCCTGCAATATTTGAAACAATGCTGCAACCTCAATACACTTTGCAACATCACAACATACACTATCCAGAGCTCGTTACCACGTAGTTACAACAAAAGATCAAATACATATATGTACAACATCACAACATACTTTATCCAGAGCTCGTTACCACGTAGTTACAACAAAAGATCAAATACATATATGTACAACATCACAACATACTTTATCCGGAGCTCGTTACCACGTAGTCACAACAAAAGATCAAATACATATATGTACAACATCACAACATACACTATCCAGAGCTCGTTACCACGTAGTCAACAAAAGATCAAATACATATATGTACAACATCACAACATACTTTATCCAGAGCTCGTTACCACGTAGTTACAACAAAAGATCAAATACATATATGTACAACATCACAACATACTTTATCCAGAGCTCGTTACCACGTAGTTACAACAAAAGATCAAATACATATATGTACAACATCACAACATACACTATCCAGAGCTCGTTACCATGTAGTCACAACACAAGATCAAATACATATATATACAACATCACAACATACTTTATCCAGAGCTCGTTACCATGTAGTCACAACACAAGATCAAATACATATATGTACAACATCACAACATACTTTATCCAGAGCCCGTTACCACGTAGTCACAACACAAGATCAAATACATGTATGTACAACATCACAACATACAACATAAAGATCTCGTAACAATTTAGCAGCACCACAACCTTCAATACCAACATCTGACATTTTGCAGTAAAACAAACTAAATCACATGACATAAATATTATGACCTTATGACGTCACAATATAAAACAGCTAATCATCAACATCTATAACCTCAAATACAAAATGCTAGTATCAAAAAGTTAGCATTAAAACTCCTCAAATACAAAATGCTAGTATCAAAAAGTTAGCATTAAAACTCCTCAAATACAAAGAAAACGTCATATTTAAGACAGGGTCCCATGCTGCATTTTAAACACCTAAAAGTTAAATACGTACCTTTAAAAAAGCGGCCTTTTCCTTTTCGTTAAAGTCTTTCTCCACAACTTCCCAAAGCCAGTTGACAACGCGATGTTTGTTGTGATAACCACCATAATACGTCGTGTTAGCCCTAAATATAAGGAATTTTTAGCCATGCAGCGGAATTCAAATCGTTATCTTTAATCATTCAGCAATGCATCAAAATTATTGTAGGTAAATATTTCAATATTTTGATAACCACGAAAATTTCTTCTACAGACAACAAATTTAATCTTGAGAAAATGTACATCAGAAAATCTACCACAATTGTTACTAAATTAAAGGAAAAATTTCACATGAAATTCGAGGTCAAACAAGATTTCGTATACCGAGCTAACAAAAGTCCTTTGCAGTGCCTCCCCTCCCTCCTCAAATATGAACATTCTTCCTCTTTTCCATCAATAACATTGAGAACATTAAAACTGTTCTTTTTCCGCTCAGATAGCTTTGATAATTCGTAAAAAACCTTAAGTCTGCCACATCCAGCGTAGTGCTGTCACCAGAAATGAGTTTCTGGAGTTCTGGACCAGAGAACATATTAAGCCAATCGTGTTGGATGAACTCGCGAAAACCGCGGAAGAAGGCTCGACTCTGATCTCGTAACTGAACACACATCTTGTAGTTCGCCATAAGGTGGATGTAGCTTATTCTAAACAAAATCATGCACCATAAATCAGCAAGGCATTTATTCGGTCAGGGGGAGGAGTGAACCAACCTCGTTCCCAGACTCTTCACTTTGACGCTCGTCAGAGCAAAGGGCCTGGGAACGAGGTTGACGGTGAACATTTAAAAAGCAAAACTCACTTGTTTTCATTAGACACATCTATTGTTCTTCCGCCAGGTTTTAATTCGTGAGTGATGATCTTAAAAATAAAAGAAAATTAAACTGTAGAATGTTATGAAATGACCGTAAAATTTGAAATACTTAACAATAAAAGATGTAAATGGCATTTTCAAACATGCATATATGATGTACAATTATATACAATAAAGTATATATGATGTATAAATGACGTATACATGATTTAAAATCAGTAGAAATGATGTACATGATGCATTGAAAAAGATATCGAAACTCAAGAAGTAATTCTCGGAGTTTAACAAGTCCTAGTTCCCAAGGACATGATCCCCATTGTGATGTTTTTAGAATACATAGTTTTTTACTGTCTTTCTTACCTTGCCTAAAACTTCTTCGTCAAAAGAAAACGTCAATCCCAAATCTATAACATCACCTTCATATTTCTAAAATGTGAGATAATACAGAAAAAAATTAATAAAAACGATCATATTTTTCAAAGTAGAAAAGAAAACACTAAACCGAAGAGAGATGTCTAAAAATGTGCATTTTGCTGTATAAGTTTAATGATTTTTGGTAGCAAATTTTTTCAATCAACAGGCCACTTCAGCAATTAAATAATGCTCAAAGGAAAGATAGAAAATATAAAAGTTTATTCAAAAACTGGAATTGCGTATAAAATTTTGCTGCAGATATTCTTGTAAAGACATTTACAGAAAGATTTTTTTGGTCATGTCACCTCACCTTAACGTAATTTAGATTCTTATAAAGATCTGGATCCATTGACGGTAGTTCATCAATAGAACTGTAAAATGCATTATGTCGTCGTGACAGCATAAGACTTAGAAAGAATGGTGCAAACGGTACATCAACGACAATGCCCTAAAAAATTCAGACAAACAGACACATCGATTATTCTTGTAACTATCAACTTAACTCAGTTCCTGATCAAACACATTCAGCTACCAGACTACAGACTTATACTTAGTACAAGACAAATGCTTTGAATTATAAATAAAAGGAGATTCACCCTCACTCCACAAGTTAGAATTAAACCTCTGGTATAGTTATCAGCTATGTTTTTCTTCAAAGTGAACAAAATGTGCTTCTACATCTTACTTCATAAACGGCTTTCCCAACATTTTGCCAACAAACTCAAACAAATCAAGATGATTGTCATGGATACATGAGGTTGGTGATGGATAAAGTCGCTGATCTTGAGTTAACTAGAAAAATACAAGTACTAATTGAAACACAAAGCAAGAAGAGCAACTGAGAAAGTCGGTAGCTGAAAGTTGATCCAAACGAATTTCGTGGATAGAATACTAAAATACATTGATAGAATACCAAAATTTATATTTTTGGCAAAAGTACGCCTCCTCCCGGATTTTTCGTTTTTGTTTACAAAATTACACTTGAAAAATATTCATGTAGCAGCAGCCTGTCTATACACAATAAAAACTTAATGAGTAAATCCATTTTTCTCACCTTAAACAAATTAAGATGAGGATTGAATGCCTGTTTACTCGTTTCTTCCAGGAACTCTTTAAAAACGCCATCCTGATCAATACCAGCTTCGTCCAAACCCTAAAAATGAAAATCAAACAAAAACTATCTAGATCCTAAACCATCGCAGGAGCTGTGTAATGATTAAACAATCGTTACGAAATAACTCAATTATATCAATATAGACAACATTCCTTGAAACAGAATTGAAAATTCCACGAAATAACTCAATTATATCAAGATAGACAGCATTCCTTGAAACAGAATTGAAAATTCCACGAAATAACTCAATTATATCAAGATAGACAGCATTCCTTGAAACAGAATTGAAAATTCCACGAAATAACTCAATTATATCAAGATAGACAGCATTCCTTGAAACAAAATTGAAAGTTCCACGAAATAACTCAATTATATCAAGATAGACAGCATTCCTTGAAACAGAATTGAAAATTCCACGAAATAACTCAATTATATCAAGATAGACAGCATTCTTTGAAACAAAATTGAAAATTCCACGAAACAAAGAAGAAATAAAGCATTTGTAAATATTATTGTACTGTTGTAATAACATAATAAAGCAACTTGTGTCATGAAGCCATCGAAGAACAAAGCAGTCACCTACATATTCGTTTACAAATTTTATCTTGATCGTTCCTTTCAATTTTTGTATTGGAATTTTTGACAGCTGCTTGTATCCATCCTTAAGAAGAAAAACAGAGTTTTTTCATTGCATTTTGCAGAAGCACTCAAATAAGATGCTTCAAAACGAATCATGCAAGATTTTTGTAACTGTAGCAACGTGTAAGATAAAATACGATTGATTAAATGCAGAGAAATATTAATTTTACAAACTTTCATCATTTTTCAACAACTGATATGATGACTATACGTCAATCTAATTTACCTCCAAAAGAGCATTTCTCCGAACTTTTACAAACATACAGCTTGAACTGAAGTCATTATGATCGATTGATAGTCCCAGCAAATTTTTATCTTCTTCAACGAAACCACGAAAGATCTTTACACGCTGTGTTACAGAAAATAGAGACATGACAAAAATCGTTTAAAAAACAAACGACGCTCTCAACATCTTCATTGCACAAATAAAAACAGCGTGAAAAATATACAAAATAAGCACTATACTTTCTGAAATTTCAACGAGAAATTTTTGAGTTAAACAATTAATATGACGGGAATATTCCTGATTTTGTACATTGACTGAAATTACCAGCTAGCATTCAATTCAATTCAATTCAATTCAATTCAATTCAATTCAAACTAAAGGCTCCATTCCACTCATCGCAAAATGCTCTCGCTGCGAGCTTGAGAGTCTGTTCGCGCGATCAACAAATTTTGTTCAAATATTTTAACTATGCTGCAATTCATTGTCAGCTCGCTGCGAGTTACTCGCAGGCACTCGCAGTGAGCTTGCGAGTACGTTTCGCGATGAGTGAAAAAGAGCTTTAAGCCCACGCACTTTCATTGAGAACATATGTAAGACAAACATCACATCACATCACCTCATGATGGGAGATTACATGAGGAATCCTTTTAAGTATTTCAACAGCTCTGGGTTTCTTTGAAGACAAATTCGACTTGAATGTACTCATTTTTAATTCCCTGGCCGATAAACAATACAAAAAGAGAAATCATTTAATCTAAATATGATATGTCTAAATATGATTCTTCACCAATGAAAAAATGAAAAAAAGTTAGTGCTGTTGAAGACATTAAACTTAAATACATGGAACGCTAGCTGAAGCAAATAATTGAAGCCAAATCTTACACCCAGACACGCGTGTTTACACCCAGACATGCGTGTTTAGGGTTTCGAGATGCTCTCGCGGAGTGAAAATTGATTGATTGCACATGCGTGTCTGGGTGTAATCTCGCGTGTCTGGGTGTAAGATTTGGCTTCAAAAAAATTATTAAGGTTTTGTATTGCAGGTAGCGTTTCATGTATTTTAGTTCAATGGTTGAGGAAGATCATGAACAGTGTCACCATAAATGTAGTTTCTTATTAGACTTGAACAGAAATGTGTCCACCATAGTGATGTGTAAGTAGAGCGATGTCAATGATGCGAATACAGAGGAAAGCCAAATATCTTTACTTTCGAGTGGATGGTTAAATACAAGCTAAAATAGTTTTTAAGCATATTTAAACTTACTTTATCAACCAATGGTTCTCAGGTGTGAACTGCCTTCTTGAGTCTCTATCATAAATCAACATGAGAAGAGTGTAGACTGAAGACAGGAGACATTCCGAGGTATCAAGTGCATTCATTGACTCGGAATTTTCTAAAGAGAATTTTAATAAAATTGCAACTTAAATTAAAGAGTAATTGAGAAATAAAGCAGAAAATTTTACACGGTGTAAACTGATTAATTTAACTATAACAATCATATCATGCCAAGAAGAGTACAGTAATTGTATGTATAGAGAAGGATGGAAATGAACAAGATTGAATAGAAAGGAATCTGATGGGAAATGTGATGTATAGAGAAGGATGAAAATGAGCAAGATTGAATAGAAAGGAATCTGATGGGAAATGTGATGTATAAAGAAGGATGGAAATGAACAAGATTGAATAGAAAGGAATCTGATGGGAAATGTGATGTATAAAGAAGGATGGAAATGAACAAGATTGAATAGAAAGGAATCTGATGGGAAATGTGATGTATAGAGAAAGATGGAAATGAACAAGATTGAATAGAAAGGAATCTGATGGGAAATGTGATGTATAGAGAAGGATGGAAATGAACAAGATTGAATAGAAAGGAATCTGATGGGAAATGTGATGACAAAAACGATATCAAATGTGGTAGACAGAACTAATATAATGTGCTAGATAGTGAATGAATTGAAATAGATCGAAGCAATCATTTAACGGGAGGTAAGATGCGATTGTAAACGAAATGAAACAAAACAAACTCTCGCATCGCGAATAAAAAGAAAAGAAAGAGAAATTAAGAAAATATTTTGAAATCGATGACTTTAAATGAATGAATATCTCACGTTTATTCATAGACTTGTTCCAAAGTAATTTGTAGGTAAGTGTGTTTAAAAATCCCGACAAAGCCGTGAGATCTTCAAGACTGAACGGTTTTTGTTGATCATACATTTCAAAGTCGTCTACAAGACTACGAAAATCCATCAATCAGTACAAAAATAAATTTATCATTACATCCACCCCACCCCCCGATATATAAGTTCTATGCAGACGTCATTAGACAAAAGCAACAGATACATATATATATATAAACTCACGGTAGTAGATGACTGCAGCAATCACAAAACAGGATGAGCAATGATTGAATGGATGTTGATATTTTACCATGTTCGGACGAGACAAAATTGAGTATCAAGTTGAGGCCGCCATCGGGACCCAACTCTTGAAGGAACTTTAATAAACGCAGTAGGAATTCCTCATTGAAACTAAGGCCTGATGTATAACAGTAAAATACATTGATTCGAATACAAGAAATTTCAACAAATAATATTTAGATATTCTTTTGTAAGACAGAATGTTCTACACGCATAGATAGCCATAACCAATATTAGTTATTGGGCGGTTGTTTTGGGTGATTTAAAAAACATACGTACCAGTAAGAATATCCATTTTTAACTGGCATAAAGAATTCAATAGTAGTTCAAACATGAAACACGTATTACGTATTTGAACAACTGAAGGCGAGGAAAGATTTGCTTCTTGTCTTGATGTAAACTTGCCAGATATAAGTCGAGCTAGAAGTTTCCTTCTACCATCTAAAAAGAAGCTTTTTTGACTAACTCAACAACTTGTTTAATGATTGTACTTTTAGAGATAGAAAGAACAGACTTCCATAAAAGAATTTACATTTATTACCACATTACTTCCATGCAGTAACTACCTTAACATAACTACCTTTGTTTTTCACTGTTTGTTTTTCCGACTCCATTTGCAAGGGTGGAAGAGATTGAAACAGGATTTCAATAGTACTTCGTTTCCAAAGAACTTGAAGTTCTTTATTTACGTGAAGAATGGATACATTCAAGAGTGAATCACAGTTCTCTTTATACCAACCAAAGATAGGATGCCATGTAGCCAGAGAAGATTTGTCTTTAGAAATTAGAGACCGTACATCGATCAGAATTTTCGTAACTACAGTCTGGAAAAAAAAACATATGCAAAATGAATCCTCCATAGACTTTCTCATGTGTACAAATTTATTAGTCTCTCTTTTTTGTTTTCTTATTTAGGAGATTATATCATCTGTATAATCGTTCATACTATGAAATAGGACATAGAACGAAAATTGATTTGATAGTTACGTAGTACAGTAAAATAAGTTCAAGGAAGACAATGATGAAAAATAAAGTAAAAAAAGATCAGTAAAGACTACGTAAAACATACCAAAAATTCAGGAATGTTTGAGCTGAACGCCTATAACACAGAAAATAAAAGGTAGGGAGAAACTTTTCATGATGCAAAACAATTTTGTTTAATAAAAAAGTCTTAATAAAGTTGCATCATCAGTTTAATTTGGATGAACACCAGTATGATTTTCTCAAACGACAATGTGAACGTATAATTTTCCCGATATTAAAGTATAACTATCGTTGTGTGCATCGTTATCGGACGCATTTTACAAACAGATGTATTTGTATTCAATTTTATCAGAATGCTAAAAATTTCTTTATAATTCTTAATCTCCCTTATTCTATATTTAGTGTGGATCGCTTTCCAAACTTTATTGGTAAAGGTAAAGATTCTTACGAGGCCTCAGAAACTGAATACAATATTGTGGACAGAATTGGAAACAATGAACTGAAACTTCATAACAGAAATTTAACAGTAACCAAGAAATGAAGTTTTTAACCAACTATTCTTCGATAGCATTTCTTTGTAATATATGATCGTTGCTTCATTTCGTACCTCCTTATCCACATCAATTAAGAAAATAAGATTCGCTGAAAAATTATAACAAATTAAAATGTTAACAACATTAATACTATATATATAATAGACGTTAGAGATAAACGACAATATTTAATTGTCGACATTATGTAAACATGTTTCTAAAATATTTAGTGTAAAGTAATTATTGAACTACATCTGAGGAAACACGTCGATATTCTTTTGAACAAAACCGTCAACCTCATTCAAAATAAAACTTAAACAATTTCAAACACCAACAAAGCCCAAACTGCAATCCAAACTCTCTCATGCTTCACAATCTTAGACAACGCAAACAAGCTCTTTTCGCTAAAACCCAGACATAAACAAACAAATTCAATGCTTCTGTACTATTTTCGTGCTTTAAATACTTTCACCCTCATTACGCCTTTAATGCATGCCATGCATTTATCACGTGATCTACTCCAGTTTGTTGCACATTTTATATGGAAAGCATCACCTCACATGCATCAAACATATGTTTAGATTTCTATTTAACATCTAGAACGACAAACTCGTCAATTTTTGAGAACCCTTAACAAGTTTTTTGATATCCTGCTGCTAAACTTACCAAGAAGACACAGAGAATAGTTTCCCCGTAATAATTCAAAAATATCACTCCAGTTATTGCCAGAGTTCAAAAACGTTAAGATACGATTCAATATATTGCACTCCTTTAAAAGGTCCAAAGTCTACACAAGACGATACAAGAAGATGAAATAAGAGTTTGTTGCTACGACATGACTAGCAACATGTTTTACTAGAAAGGATTCCACAGAAGTCCTAATCTTTTCACACACGGCCCATGGAAAGTTCATTACAACAATAAGCTAAAGCGAGACTTTCAGTGTCTTGAGATAAAACTGGGCTTCAAGAAACTACAGGCATCCTCACTTTCATGTCGCCTTTCAATAAAAAATTTAATTCAACGATACAAACAGGATAGCTTTTCTATTTTAGTAAATATCAACTTTGATACACTATGTCACTCTCCAAATCAATCAAGTTCTAAGGAGAAAGATATCTACCTAGTTAAACTGTTAAGAAAACTCTATCCCATATTCTTGTATGATAAAGTACATCGAATATTTGAAACTCGAGCAAGATGAAAATCATTTAGCAGGAAAAAAATTTCCCACAGATTATCAACGGATACCTAAAATGCTATCATAATGTCGTGGTAACAATGTCAAGATAGTGATACTAAAGATAACGTAGCTACAATTTTTAAAACATAATGATCAATACCTGTGGAGATATGCTCGAACAGTGCAAAAATAACCCAGGAACACTCACGATTTTAATAAGAAACAATTTCATTGTTTTATCATTAAAACTAGCTCCTTCTGCAACTCTAATAAACATAACACGAAAAAGTGAAACACGTCATGATTACGTCAAACACGTCACCATTACGTCAAACACGTGATTACTACTTCATTGGGAAATACTTTTGCAAATATAGTATAAAGATATTTAACACAGACCTCAGCATTTCTACTTCGTTTAACAGTAAAAATTAAAAAATTTGAATTAATCTCGGAATCAATTTGGTACATAGTATATTGTTTGTACATAAATACATTAAAGTCTCCCTCTTTTACCTCAACGATAAAGTTAAGATGGCGGAAAGCTGTGTCGGCCTAAGGACTAGATCATTGCAACATAAACCTTGCATCAGAACTTCCTATAAAGTAAAAAAAAAAATAAAATAAGATGAACATTCATTGACTTTATGACGAACAAAAACATTTTTCAATAAAACCTATCAAAAGCTATAGTCTAAATAATGGTGGTATTGTAGTCAAAAATTTACCTTCAAGGAAGAATATAGACCATTGTTTTCTAAATGATTCAATAGATTCTTGCACAGTAGGTAAAGAGTAGGCTTCCATTTTTCACCTAGGGAAATAATTGACAAATAATTAAAGTTTCTTTTTATCGTTTTTTAAATTATTTTTCAAAGTTTGTAAGCGAACTTGACTCTGCACAAACACCTGAACAATAAAAACTAGAACAAACTAAAACTGTAAAAATGTCGAGTTTATGGAACAATAAAAACTAGAACGAACTAAAACTGTAACAATGTCGAGTTTATGGAACAATAAAAACTAGAACAAACTAAAGCTACAACAATATCGAGTTTAATGATGACAACTGTAAGTACGGAAAAATTTATTTAAAATTCACTTTCATGTCAGGAAAGATCCTCATACCTCCTTTTAGTAAGAAAATGTTCCATGATTTACAATCAGTAAATTTAGCAATCTGATGAAAAATAGAAATTAATACGTTGTAAAACAATAGCAAACAGAAGCAGCTAGTTTAGACAATAAATATGAAAAATAGAAATTAATACGTTGTAAAACAATAGCAAACAGAAGCAGCTAGTTTAGACAATAAATACATCATTTGAGCATCGATCTTCTACGGCGCACATTCAGGCTTTGATGAACTATCTCATTAAAGCTTCCATTTTACGACGAATAAAAGAGAAATGTACATATTTCGAGGGCGAAGTTTAGAAAAGTTTGACTCCTTTATATTTTAAAAATGATAATTCATTACTTCAGTCAATTTTCAAATACAAATTGCTAATCCTTCATAGAAATTTATCTTCATTTCACAGAACTGATAACGAATGTGCAAACTCATTCTTTCTTCCCAAACACCACTGTAAGTTTGAGTTATGAAAATTGTCTTATGAGCAATAATCTTTATGTGAAGATATGGGAATAAAACATTTCTTTTACTGAAAGTTCATGCAACATACTATCAACATTTTTCAAATGAATAGTTGAAAATAAATTAGCTTCTCCATATGATATTATTTAATGATAATCCCATTATAAACCTACCATGCTTAAATAGATGTTGATAAGTTTGCTATCGCTTCCTGATCTGGGCTGAAAATACAAAATTCAACTGAAAAAGAATGCAAAGTTGACAAAATAGCAAATGGCGATGGGTTGCACAACATAATAACATGAATAAATTTTAGAGAACATGTACAAACATGGATAATCATGGATAATCGTCATGGTACGATGAACATATCATATTTGGTTGACTATTAGAACTAAAATCGACCTTTATCAACTAAACAGACTTGTTAAATGACCAAACGGCTCACCTTGAGCTTTTTAAGATAATTAGAACAGACGACAAGAATTTTCTGCACTTGTCTAATCCAAAGTTGAGCCCAATCTTTAGTAAATGTTGGATAAATATACCACAACTAAAAAATCATGACAAAAAGGGAAAGATTTCAAAATCACATGATGTTGTGTGTACTACGTCCATTGATAAGTAATATGTGCACATTTTAAGACTTTATGAAATAAGATTGAATAAAAGAAAAGAAGGAAAACGTTTCACTGCAGAGAAATACATTTGCACATTTAGTTAGAAAACTGCCCGTCTGGCTAGTAAGAATCCCGCCCATCCAGTAAAACTTTTTCACAACTAATAAGACCTGTGTGCTCCTGGTAAGAACTCTGTGCATTTAAGAAGACATCAAATGTTATCTTCTGTAGCTGTAATTTGTATGAATAATGGGAGTCTGAATAACTAGTGAGACCTCTGTACACTACGTAACTATAGCGAGACCTCTCCAAAAAAGATTTTTAAGTCTTACTTGGGTGCATTTAAATGCGAGATATATTTCTCTCGATAATGCGCAAAAGCACATGTTCCATACAAAGTAAAATTGCGTCACGGAAAGTGGAGACTGAACTCAAGGAATTTTATTTCTCATTTATTGCACAAGTGACACACTCAATAAAACCCTTGGAAAGTTTAAAGTTTAACAAAACTATACAAACAAACCTTGGGATTTTGTTCATCCATACTTTCCACATATGTTTTACAAAATAACTGAAATCTCTGGAATAAACACAATAATAAATCTGGTGGCGAATTCAACTAGTCAAAATATCCTGTTGTTTGTCATAGTTGAATCCCACCAGGAATGTTCATGTTCAAGTTATTACTGTGAAGTATTTTTATCAGCAGTCATATTAATGTGCCAATTACAAGTTTAAAGAAATGTTCACGTTTAATTGTTATTGTATTCAACCATTAGGCAATAGTCAATTTTACACTCTGAGTTTGCCGCACCGTAATAACTGAGTATCAAAAATGTAGTAATGAGAAAATCAAATTTTCGATAAGAAGTACTTTCACTAAAAACAAACGATGATGTAAGAGTCAACAAAACAATAAAATAAACACCTCTTTATCTTTTTCTTCATTAAAAACAAACATGGCTTTCCTTGTTAAGTGAAAAATTTCCAGGCCTGAAATAGAAAATAAAAGTTGATGCACACTACATATTACGTGACAAGTATTCTGACAGAACATTAATTGCACAACAACTACCCTTTAACTGACATTTATGGTGATGGGATGGTAAATTGGGATTGAAGCAGATACAAATTCTCACATATTTTGTGTTCAGCTTAAATGAAACAAGAATAAGTTTCACCTGATCTTGTCTAAGAACTGGAGTGATTTATACTCAAATAAACATATAGTAGGCGATTAATTCTGTCTTCTTTTACATAAAGTAATCATTTAAAAGTAATCAATCAAAGCAATGGTTTCAACTAGCTTTGCCATATACCTGAAAACTCAAAAATACTGTAAAGAAACAACATGAAACAGTTAATGTGTTGATAATGGCAATTACCTGTTGGTTTTGTCTTTCTTGAACTATTAAAAAACTCATCTATTTCATTGCTAAAATGGTAAAAGATTTAAAAAGAATATTGAACAAAGAAGAAGTTTCATGGAGGATTTAAACTCTTTAAAATAGATTGAAACAAAATTATAACAATCATTCATAAAGATTGAAGCAATTCAACATGGATTGAACCAACTACGGTGTTTATTAATGCAAAATTGAAATCTTCAACCACAACAAAAACTTATTACAGTATAATAATACACACCAATATTGCAGTCTTAGCTTCATTTTCACCAAAAAACATCTTGCAACAGCCTTTAAACAAATAAACACGATAAACTAGTAAATTTCAGATACAATATTGCAGTTTATGCTAAAGAATGATTGAAATACAAAGTATTGAGGGTTTGATTTTGAAGCCAATCATTTTCTGACTACACATAGACCCTGTTGACAGGTGCAATTTTTTCCAAATATTCAAAACAAAATAGAAAAGGAGCTGCAGTTAGTATCATCAACAAAACTGAGCAATAAATGAAATAATATGATAACGCATATAAAGGTAAGAATAACGAAATATAACGCTTCATGGAAAGAGAGTTTGCTAAATGAATAATTTATTATACTTGAATTTGGACGGCAGCTTTCTCTTTCTGCCTCTCCAAATTTCTGTTATCACGCGCAGCCTTACTACGATTGACAAATTCATTTTTCTTTCCTTTTTCATTAGAGGTGAACATCTGGTTCCGAATCTTTGGTTAATAGCCGTAAAATACTTAATATAAATATCATAAATTTTAGTTTGTTATAAAATCGCCATTGTTTTTCCATTAGAAAGAACTTGATGTAATGTTAATGTCCATTATCAAAACCATATGCACATTAAAATAGGTACGCGTAGCGTCATTTCGAATATTCGGTTTGGCTTCGGTTTATTATGTAAGAAAGAGCAATACAAATACATCAACTCAAGTATCAGCATGACAACAAAATTTATTCTCTTCAGCATAAGCCGTTTGGTTCTTTTGATCTTTTAAAATATTAGTCACATAGCCATATTTTGCGCTTATTGCTTTGAATGACCAAAAGGAACAAAAGTATTTGTTCTCCCGACAAATTGTTTCTGCCTGCAATAGTGCAGTCACTTTGCAGCCATTAAACGAAAGCACAACTGAAACTATCGGTTCTTTGGCATCAAAAAGGCCGAAAGAGCTGATTTTTTCCGTTTTACTCTAAAGTGTTCATTTCATACCAGAAACTGTTAATCAGACACAGACTCGAAGTCCGTGCCTTGTATGAGATGGACCATAAATAGATCTACGTCTACGACATTTTTGTCTTTACATGAATAGACAGCAGTTCGAAAGTGGGCTTTAAGAGCCGTATAAAGGAAAGAATAATACTAATCGCAAAACGCAGCATATTATCTCTACTTGCACTTCGCCACCACTACTAAAAAAAGTACCAACATGACAATGCTTGCAAAGATTGTATTTAGAACCGACACAACATTTAACAGAATTTCTTCACATGGTTGTGGAGCATTGATAAAAAAATGCAGATTGATGAATTACTGTCATGAATGGAGCTTTTCAAGTTTGATACAAAGCAGTAATTTGAAGTGAAATTTATAGTTCAGCAACTGCTGTAAGTCATGACCAGTCTATCGCACCATATCTGCTTTCAACTGTTCTCGTATCCTGCCAAGCTCTTTTATAACTTCATCCAGTTTACTTTCCAGGAAACTCTTAATAACATAATTAAACAGCAAAGAATGAATAGTGTTTTATCAATGCAGCTCATACATACCAAACTCAACATTTGGTCAGGTTTGTCATTGGTCAGGTTTGTCATTGGTCAGGTTCGTCATTGGTCAGGTTTGTCATTGGTCAGGTTTGTCATTGGTCAGTTTTTATTGTTATAAATGTTGAAAATGTACGCATGCGTGAGTCAAGCGACAAATATTTCTACAAGGTAAGTCAATTTCTTGTTCAAGGTAAAGTCTCGTTTTCGTTCAGAATTTTAGTTTGATTTGTCTTCTTCTGTTTGTAAGATTCTTAATAACAAGAAATGAAAAAAATCAAAAAAAATATCAACCTTGTCTTCTTTATCTTGCTCTGACATTCTAGACCAACACATTTTTCTCAGATTTGATTCCAGCTGGGAAATAAAATATTTAGATAATAATCTCAGAATGCGAAGGAACATGAACGTATATTGATCACTTTTAACATTACATTCAATGATAGATATTTTATGTTTGTAGCTTCATGACTAAAATCATGAAACTAAAATCTTACTGTAATTGTACACACTAGTAGTAGTTGACTATCAGACAAAGACAACGAAAGATCCCCTTTATGAAAATTGCTGTATCTACCTCGACACAAATTGCTCTTGCAAAAATATTCATGTGCATTTGTTTTAAGTTAACTTAAGTTTTGTATTTCCCTTCCTTTAGTATCTGAAATTCTTTCCTCATTTAAACTGCACAAGAACAGACCAGGTATCCCGGTACAATTAGACTCCAGTAACTTGTAACAGAATAGTTTAAATGCGTTGGTTCTTCAAACATTTACAGATGATAATTTAGTTTTATTTTCAAATTACTTACGCGCCTTCGCTGTTCGGATAATTCGAGAAAGTTTTTCTCCGCGGAAATCATGATTGCACGACGGTCAATGGGGTCAATCTGAAAAGATACGATGAACAAAGAAAAAAAGATTACATGTGTATTTTTAACAACATACACAGAGTATGTGATACAAGAAACTCTCTGAAGTTAGAACTTAAGACGTAAATGTAGAGTTGAACGACTTAAACAAAGCCATATTTTAACGGTGTAGAGTTTAAAAGTGATTTTCCCTCTTTTTGTCAAGCAAAAGCACGAGTCTCTTCATTTAGGTCAACATATCGTAAAAATTGTTACCTCTGCTCCTCCCTTGTCGTAAACTGTAACAGAAAACAAAAAAACATTTTAGCTCGCACATTATTTTGAGCAATGTCTGTTATTGATCAAGGCCAAAACCAAGGCACACTGTCTTATTCGAGTTTGACTTTATGATCAACAAAACCAAATTTTGAAAATTTACGAATTATTTACTTACCTCTTTTGTAAATTTGATTACAATAATTGTAAGCCAAACTGTTTTCTTCATCTTTACTACCAGCTGATAATCTTTTTGCATCGCCATATTTGTTATATCCACCGCTCGCATCGTAAGCTGGACTTGAAAAACGATCCAATGTCTTGTTTCTGCACAGATTACTTTTTTACTTTTTCGCTCACAAATAAAACCGTTAAAAGTGACCCCTGCAATCTAATTGTTCGGGTGCCGTAGCTCTGCCCTCCTAAGACTCATAACAGTTATGCAACTGAACTCTTCCCAAATCAACATTTAAATATGTACTAAATATCATTACTATCCCAGCATAAATATGTCGATCTATCTCACAGGAATATGCCCATCTTACCGAAAAAGGTCTGAGCTCTCCTTGTGATTTATTGATCCCAATCTTCGAAAACTTTTTTCGTCATTTAAATCATAACGTGTGAACGTGGGACTTGCAGGCTGTTCCCAAGTTTTTCTTGATGATCTTTCGGCAATTCTTCGGCTATTAAAATTCATAGCAAAAATCATTACCTATTCTTTAAGTACGTTAAAGCCATAGATTTCCTTTGTGAAGATGAACTTAGTGATTTATTTTCACCTCAATTTGCTATTTAAAACATCTTGCAATGACTTTTCAAGATTTCGGTTTGTGATATTGACTTCTGACAATTCCCTTGGTTCAATAAAGCAGTTCATTCAGTCATTATAGTGGAAATGTTTTAGTACAATTTTAGTATACTTATTGCCAACACAGTCAATTATTCAAAAACAGTCTGCTTCGAACATAATTTATATAAGATACAAGTAAACCACAAAATATGAAAATTGTTTCTTTAGCAACTTTGAAGAAAAGCATAACAAGTTGTTGCAAATCGAGCAAATCAAAATGTAAAAAATATGAACTGTGTGAAAACAAATAAAAAAAAAAGCATTCAATCATTTTCCTTAAGTGTATACAACCATCAAACGTGCACTTACTTCCTTAAGCTTAGTCCTTCTCCTTTGCTTTCAGCGAGTTTTCCTTCCAAATTCAAGATGTGTTCCTAGAAAAGAAAAACTTGTTATCCGCCCAGACTTATTTGTACATCGAGGAAAGTAAAACAAATATCCTTCATAGCAAGTTTGGGGAACAACATGGCAATGAAACATAGAAAAACGAACCCTGCTTTTCTCATGTTTTTCATTAAGAGAGTCATAATCGTGAAGAACCTAAAAATGTAAAATTTTCGAGGATGATACTACAACATCTTGGCAAAACTATAATTTCTCATAAAACTGAGAGCATACTCGTTTTAGAAGTTCTTTGTCTCTCTTAATACTTTCTCTTATTTCACTCTGTAGGGAAAATAAAATTGTTAAAGAGGTGACAACAGGATTTCTAATGATATAAATTGAGATGAAAACATGGAAAGAGCAGAGAATGATAAATTGAGAATCCCAAATACTTCGTAAAAATTTAGTTACATTTTCTTTTTACACTCAGATATGATAAAAAAAATTATCATGTTTAAGTGTAGTTCACACGACAATCTCATTACTTTATGGTAGCAGATAACAGCGGATAAAACACGTTGTGATCATTTATGTGATATAATGTACTATAACACTTCGACAATTAAGGACATTGACTTCGTTAGTGACAAAACTTACCAAACCAGCTTTGGCCGAGTTGATATTGACATCTTTGACTGTTTTTTCGAGCGATTTCACTTTAATTTCAAGATCTTCGATGATTGAATCTTTGTCACGATTTTGCAGAAGCAGACGTTCAAGTCGTTGTTGTGTTACATTGTACAAACTTTTGTCAACCTCACATTTTACTTTACTGTCTTCCTAAAGCGCACAAAATATTTCAAATGATCACGATTTTCAAAATGATTACGATTTTCAAAATGATCACGATTTTCAATGCTGCACTTAGATAGCGAAAAATCCATTTATAAGACACATTATAAAAATGAGCCTGTGATCATAAAATTTTTAACATGATATTTCGTTTTTTTTTTATGTTGTAACATTGGTTGTTTATGGAAAACAAGAAAATATTGTCAGATTTAAACCGTAATACTGCAGCTGCGGTAGAAATTTGTGTAATTAAGCCTATGTTGTAGCTGTAATGCTTTGCTATGAAGTGAACGTGACATAAATCATAAAGTCAAGTTTTTTTAAATAAAATACGTACCAATTCTCTCTTTAAAGTTTCAATTAATGATTCCAATTCGCGCTCATTCCTGAAAAGAAATCATTAAAATAAATTAATTTTGTAAAAAGTAGGTTGAACATGTCTTGGCACAATAAAATTTCTTTAATATGTATTTACTTCTTTGTCTTTTCAACAACGCTTTCCTGAACTTTACTTCGATCACGATACATCTTGCTTTCATCTTTTATTTTGTAATATTTCGTCGAAAGTTTGTCGTAATTTTCTTGTAAACGGTTGTACTTTCGCTCAAGATCATCTCTTGATAGATTCAGAGTAACTAAGTGAAAATTTAATCAATTGTAAAACATATTAATTCTAAGTTCACTATCTTGCATCATGGAAAAGATTTCAGAATAATAAAACCTCACAATATACTGCTGTGTTTTTGATTATGTTGTGTTGAGAACATGCTTTAACAAAAATCTACCATATATCTACTCTTCAACAAGTAGCTGGTGATGCTACCAATCAAGTTATTCACTGAAAAAGTCGAAATTTTTTTGGTAATGATTTCTTTTTTCGTTTAGAACTTGATTGGTGACTGTCGACAGTGTAATTTCACTTCTTCACGCTTACTATTTGCTTGTTTCAACTGATCCTGGAGACTCTCTTTTGCGCTTTCTAAGGCGTCGCATCGACTGCTCAATTCAATATTGGTCTGGGACATGATTTCAAATTCTTTTTGGATCTCACTTTTCACTGAATTCTCGTTCAATTTGCTTTGTTGAATGATATTTTTCATGTCTGCAAGCTGCTTTTTCAGTGCATTTATTTCCCTTTCGTAATAGAGCCTCGTTTCTTCCATTTGTTTCGCGTGCTGATCGCGCAGACAAAAATTTCTATGAAAAATAATTCGATCTTTAAAGGCTAAAATAAATATTGAAGGGCTGTGATATTGCAATCTAGTTACGTTGAAATCTTGTTTCTTTCAAGTTAAAACTATATAGTAAGCATGTAAGTTATGAAGTATAGTATATTCATCAATATATAGTGATGATTTGACGTTGAAAGTTATCTTGCAAGATGTGATAAGGTGTATGTATACGGTGGACAAATGGTCATTGTTTGACGGTACTGTTGGGAAAAGAGTCTCAACGATAAGACATTACATCAAAGTACAAAAGTTCACAAATAGTCTAATTAATGATATCAAACAAAACGTACTGATTTTGTAACGTCATTGACTGATCAAACTTCTCAAATATCTTTTGATTTTGTTCGCACTGATTTTTCCACAATTTGTCAAGACGATCATTTTGTTGTTTTTGTAGTTCTTCGGCAATTTCCACCCTGGAAACATCAAGAAGGTTTTCCAAGGGACCGTTGTGGTTCATTTCATAGCTATGACTCATTGGAGTGGATTGACCAATAAAATCGTCGTGTAATGTATTGATGATAGATGATTTTTCTCCTTCCACTTTGACAACTGAAGATATTTATGAAACAGATAAGCATAAAATAATATAAAAGTAGTGCGTTTCAATATGCAGTGGATAACAAAATGCAATATGCAATTTGTTTGTATGTCAATTGGCTGCCAGACTTTGTACAAACCTGATTAAGATGGGTTTATTAAACAATCATAAAAGAAATATCAAAAGAAAAGATCGCCGTGAAATTATTTTTCCTTGAAAAAAAGGAAGTTTTCTTCTCGCAACGACTTCTTTTGAAAATCTCCTTTCGCAAAAAGTTCTTTTCTGATAATTTGATCTCGCTGAACAGTTTTTTGAGCAACACCAGCAGCTTGCAGCCAGGCAGGAAACGAAGAAGGAAGGTATAATTCATGACGTCATAATGCTAATTAATGTTTCACGAATCAAAAACTAACAGCAAGCCTCCCGGATGTAATCGTATCCAAAAATAAGAGGATTTTTGAAGTATATCGTCACAGTATAGAGAACAAACAGAAGTCTCAATTTATTCAAAGATTTTGTTTGATGCACATCTAAATACGCGCATGACTAGGAAGATGATAGCCAGTAAATTGCCTTTTTTGACCAATAGGAATGATGAAATGGCTAACCGCAGCCAGTAATGTAATTAAATACCAAGTTACACAGTTAAGTGCTACTGATTTTGTTTTCTATACTGTGATTTTGTTAGGACATCTACGATACATCTGATACTCAACGGCAAAACATTACATGCAAGGTGGTACGCCAGATGGAAAATAAGCAAAGGTTAAAATAGCTGGTTAAAACCAACAATAAAGTAGAATGGTTTACGTCTCGAGCTCAAATGATTCTAAAAACGTTTTTAACTCGTCGTTTGAAATGCTATTCACGTCATATAATTGATATATTGAACTAAATATATCTGGACGGTTACTTCCCGCCAGTTATCAGACAGTTATCTAGCCATAATTTTTCCCCGCACGGCCTGCACTTCTAGAATTTAAGCTTTTCTATCACGAGAATCAACGATTCAAATCAAACTTTTGTCAAAAACAAAACCAATTTACATTTACCCTAAGGAGTTCAGTCAGAATCATAAAAAACTTCAAGGTCCAAAACACATCCATAATTTTCCTCTATTATCCGCCAAAAAATGACATACATTCTTTAAATCTTTATAATTCGTATATAAATATAGTTAAATATCAAAAGCACTATGATTACAATTATATTTTACATCATATATAGTTATTGTGTGGATAAAAATTTTCGATTTACATGAGTGTTTTGTCGTTCCTAAATTTTCTAGGTGAAATCTATAACTTTGCATCATTCAATAAATAATCTTTAAAAGAATATATTTGCTCTCTACGTACTAAAATTCATCGAAAGTGCCATTTAAGTAGTTTGGTAAATGAAATGTTCCATGAAGTATAAGAAACTAAATGAATAGATGAATGACAATAAATGTTGACTAAAATGGCACAAAATACCTTTAAAAATGTTCATCTTGATGCTTTGTTCAGCAACGCAGTTGAACTGATCTATGAAAAGAATGTATATACATGTTTTTAAACAACCATTAATGGCATCAAAATGAAATTTTAGTAAATATCGCAGCAATTGTGAAGATAAAATTTACTCTCAGAGGTAAATTCACCTTGTTAGCAAATGGTGATCGTTACTTAAAAGCTTTCTTAAATATTTTCTTCCCCTTTGTGAAAAGATTTTTTCTCTTTTTCGCCTGGGTTTTGAATTCGTCTGACTTGAGTGTCGAAGGCGAGCTCTAAAATGACACAGTATTATGAGCACACCGAAGAACAGTAAATACAAAACTCAGTTTTCAATACGAGATCATTGTATAAAGACTCGTCATAACAAGGACACGAGACTGAAGAAGTCTCAAATTTCAAAATCTTCCATCTGATGAAGAAAGGAGTCTTTTTATGAAAGACAGCCTTCATAAAAGAAGCAACCAAAGTTTACATAAGCAAACATCTTGATTTGTCTAGATGATAAAGTTTGAAGTATTCACTAACCTGCACAGATTCTCCGTCGAAAGAAGATGAGCGATTATCTGGTAGCTCAGGGTCATGAATGAAAAGGCTGTTTTGAGTGTTATTGTTGACAGGTTCAAGAAAATTCGATGGTGCAAGACCCCGAACACCATTCAACTCTCCCTATAAAATATGAAATAGAAATAATGCGATAATTAAATAAATATGACATACAAACACGATGTATGAAACAAAGTTTGACAATTCATCGTAACACATCAAGAAAACAAGCACTGTATTAAAATTCCCGGCATTATATACTTCTATTTATAAATCACAGCATTATTCTTCTATTTTAATCTGTGCTATATGTGCAGAACAATTTCAAACGATGTAAACTATGAAATATGACTCCATCACTTATTTATAGATCAACATGCATAACATATACAATGACAATAGGCTAAAAACGAAACAAAAAAAATGTGGAAATACTAGTGCACACGTACTTAAAAAGGAAAATTTTCTGTACCTTAAAGAATCCGTCTACATCCATTTCACCGAAGGTATTGATAATATCACCAGCTTTGAAGCACAGCTCAATCTGCAGAATTTATGTGAAAATTAAAGAGATTATTTTAAGGCTGTATACAGATGTATATAGCACTGTATGGAACGGCTACAGTACAGAGAAATTATGTGGTTGTTTCAAAGGTCACTTATGTTGCTGGATGTGATCTACATGTTCGATACCATCTTTAATGTGCTCATTTTATACTGAAAAATAAGTTAGTTAATAACTGTCTAAAACTGAAATGAATCTCGCTGTGCCAACCTATTCCTCAAAAAAGTTTACATGCTACTTTTTTAAATGCTCCAGCTAATTAAAGTATAACTTTATACGTGGCCAATTGTACGTTACATAGTTTAAACCAGAAATTTAAAAGTTTTAAGCAAGCTCATAAACATGTTTTGTAATCAAGCGAAACATGCAGTAGTCATATGAAAATCTACCTCACTATCCACATTTGGAGAATCTCTGTGTGGATCATAATCGTACAAAGCTTTCATCTCCCGAGATCGTAATGTTTCAAAATCTATATTTTCACCAAGTCTCACGTGATTGGCAATAACGTGCTCAGGACCAGGATTCTCCGATGCCCCATCGACATGAAGTTCACCACTGACAGTTTCGTGCAAGATGAATGCATTATTCAACATGGAATCACCATTTGGTTGATTAAATAAGTTCATAGCTTCGTTGACTTTTGTTTCAACGATCATATTGGAAGGGACATAACCCTTTAGTTTCTTACATTCACCCCAATAAAAACCATCCATATCTTTCTCACCGAATACCTAAACCATCGATAAATGACACTGTATGAGTTATGACATATTACTGGTAGCAATCAGCCAATCACAGCCTTTACTGATCTCAAGTTAATTGTACTGTAGAAACATAGAAATCAAATATTCCAATGTCATGTTCAATATTACAGTCAAAATCAATGAAAATCATTGTGCTGATTGAAAAAAACATCGTTATAAAATGTTTTTGCTCACAAATACCCGCTGAAGCCATTTAAAAACACTTCCATACTCACTTTAATTACATCTCCTTTATTGAAAGGCAATTCTTCATCGGCGCCATTGTCGTTCGGTGATTGTAACAACGGATCATAACTATATAACGCAATAAAATATCGAACTTCTTCCAAACTATTCTGTTTCTGTTCATAATCAAATTGAGAAGATTTCAAACTAACTCCAGAAACGCATTCAGAGATTTTATGTGAAGTCATTTTCCCGTCGCTAGGCAAAGACAATGAATTCATGATTGTTTGAATAGCGAGATCTGCAGATGGAGGATCTTGTGATATTGAACTATCCGATTTTGAGAAGTCCGAGGAATAGGTCGATTCACTTAAATTATTTGATGAAGCGTTGTCAGTCATTTCGATATCGCTTTCCAAATTCCCATCGACAGAAGAAGCGATATTTTTCTTTAAAGACATGTTGGTGTGATTATTAGTCATTTTATTTCCGTTAGGCAAATCATTTTGAACACCAATTGGATCATTCTTTTTATTGTTATCAACTTCATGTAAACTCAATTCACCATCATTTATCTTTGTGCTACGGTTTCCATTGTCTGCTACTTCATTTCTATTTTCACAAACATCATCAAGTTCGTCATGCAGCAAGTCCAATACGTCATCTTCAGTTCGAAAACCCTCGTCATCCGAAGATATGCTTCGGCTAAGATTTTTCCCGGAAACATCGGAGCTATGCGGCAGATTTTTCTGAGACATGTTTTCCGAAATATGCTTCGAAGGAGCCTTATCCGTGAGATTATCTTCGTCTACTTCATGTATGACAGACAACAACGGACCATTTTCAGTTTCACTTTCTGTGTGCGAAGTGCCTGTATCAAAGCTATATGCGGGCATATTTTTAATTTTTAACATAGCAGAGTCCATTAAAGTTTGAAAATTTTTAGTATGCATTGACTCCTCATTTATATCGCTGCCGTTATCTGAACGACTGCTCTCTGAATCAGAAATTGGAGATAATTCATGTTCGGAAAGCGAGTTAGTATCTTGAAGTTGATCAATACAGACTTTCTCGTTATTATTTGATAAATTCAAATCTAGTGTTTCACTTTCACCACAAAAGATTGCACCACATTTCAAATTTGACATTTCCCCACAAGTGTTATTGCTAAAATTTACGTCAATTTTGGGTTGCTCGCCGTCTATCTTCGACATCTCTCCGTTATTTAACACTTCAGTGTTAAGACAAGGTTCTCCATTATTAACTTCCATATCATTGTCCAAGGCCTTGTTTTGAAGATTCTCAATTCGTAGCGAGTGTTGATTCGTAGTTGGATTAGAGTCCATTTTCATGTACATTCCATCGCTAAATTCCTTGTTAAAAACCAAAAGAATGTTGAAAATGATTTGATTAAAGCGTTAATAGTTAACAGGAATTGCATTTTAAATTATGAGTGCAAATTCTATTATAACAAAAACTACAATACTTCAACAAGTGACAAACCCATCAAAAGTATGCCCTTAACTACAACGTACTAAAAATGTTGCTTGTTGATTCTGATTTATTACCGAAATACACGAAACAACGGATAAATTTACCTGCAGTTGCAACTGTTCAAATCTTTCGATTAATTCATCTTCAGTATCTTCTGTCTTTGTTTCCGTTGAACAGCTCTCGCTTTCTGTTTCTGCATTTTCGTATTGTGTAACAATTGGAGGCTTTCGTACCAACACTTTGGGTGATGACGTAACGTTTTTTTGTTCATCCAAAGTTGTTAAATTAGCAGTAACGTTATTTTCACAATCCTGGTCTTTCGCTTGTTTTGTATCTCTACCAAACTTTGAAAGATCCTCATCACTGCAACGGAGTCCATTATATTCCGAAACGTCAACAGAACAATCTACGCGTAATTGGACGGTTTCTGTTTGGTTAGGAACAGTATTTCCAGTGTTACTAAACATTGATGGCTTATCCTCACCATTGACATGATTAATTTTCTTTTCTGAACTATTAGGTAAAATGCAGTCAGTGCTCTCTTCATAAAAACTGTTAACATCAGCAACACTTTCATTATCAAGCTTTAATGGTGCATGAATAACATTAGATTCCATCGCGACTATGACACCTTCCCTGTCTAAGCTTGGTTCTTTCACGTCAGGATTAATATTCCTGTCAATTGTGTCCCTAACATTATTCCAGTCTAACTCCACGATATTTGAGTCTGTTGATTCTCCCATTACCGACAGCGTTCTTAACACAAAGCGCATGCGCGACATGTCAAGCCGTTTTCCAAGATTTTGTAACGTTTCAAGAGGTATCACTAGATGACCAAGACAAGCTGAAACAGTTTCAGCGCAGTATATACCACTGACGTAAAGTTTGTAGCCGCTGACACGGTAGCCATTTGAGTAACCGTCCTCGGATAAAGTTACGGGAAGCCACATTAAAGAAATGCTAGAAGACGTCAGCTGACCGATCTGCAAGTCAACAGGCGGCTCGGGTAAACCTGCAGATTTCAAAAAACACTGAATTACTTACAAGAACTAAGTAAAAATCAAAAGAAAACAAACACACACGTTAAATGTCCGTAAATAAAGTAAGCATTCTTACGTATATTACACTAACTTTTCCTAAAAACGTGTTTGTAAGGTTTTTTCCTGTTACTACGAGATTAAAAATATTTATAATCATCGTAGTGAACAAAAGACGGATGATTTCCACCTGAATAATTCTGCGGGCTAAGCTTTCGCCCAATGACCAATCAGGAAATGCGACATACATAATACTGTTGGTTTTTCCATTTTTAAATAATAGAAACTTACCACCATCTCCTGTAGTAAATTCAATTGATTTACAAATATTTTCTTCAATATTCTTTCCCAAACTTAACTTTACAGAGTCAGGTAAGACAGTTTTCACTTGTAACGTATACAATGTTGATGGTATGAGATCTTTTAATGTAAAGAACGAGCAACTTGGACGTACACACACAAGTAGCATGTCGTTTAAACTGATCTCATGTTGATAGTTGCTGTGTGCTGGTGTCCATTGTACTAATCCAGATGTTGCCGTCAACTTTGTGATGCACACATTACTAGGCGAGTACGTCGCTTCTAAAAGATTGAAAACAGTCAATGAAGCTTGATGCAAAACCTTAAAGATGAAATGATTTCCAACAGACTCTTTATCGTCAAAACCAGTTTCACCGAGCACTAAACTATTGCATAATGACATAGATGACTCCTCTTGTTACTCATTCCTATTCTTCCTCAACAATATTTACAGAGGCTTAAAAATCTAAAATTTAGTTCTTCATTAAAAGAGATCAGATGCTAACACACCAGTTCTAGTATACTATGGTCTAGTGTCTACATCCACATCAAAACTGGTATATTTATCTACATATTTCAATTCATTGTTTTTATCAATAGTTAACCTATTCTTATACTTGAGACATGTAATCTTACTGTTGACAATATAGAAAAACCTACCTGGTCCAAATACCATTGTTGCCTGACTGTCGGGAGACTCGATACCACTCACAGCTCTTGTTCGGACGGATAAACGGTAAGTCTGTTAACATGAAAAAGAAGTCGTTTACGCAAAGGAAGAAAATACTTGAACAACAACGAAATAAATTTAGTTTACTACTTAACATAGGAGTCTTGTGCTGTTTTGGCATTAAAGAAATCAATTCAGTCAATTCAAATAGCCAATTCAGTCAACATTTTCGCACAGAATAAACAAAATCTCAGGGTAACGTAAAGCTTTGAAACAGTTAACCTGAGTAGGATCGATGTTTTCAATAAACAAAATCTCAGGATAACGTAAAGCTTTGAAACAGTTAACCTGAGTAGGATCGATGTTTTCAGTAAACAAAATCTCAGGGTAACGTAAAGCTTTGAAACAGTTAACCTGAGTAGGATCGATGTTTTCAATAACAGCATTCGTTTTTTGGTTTCCTTTAATGCGAGTCGTTAGTTGTCCATCAACGTAGATGTTGTATCCAAGAATGTCTTCATTTGCCATTTGAACACCACGCCAACTTATCAACGCACTATTAGTAAACTGTTCGTCGAGAGAAAGCTTGGTTGGTGAAGGTACACCTGAATATGAAATATGAGGATATTGTACAAAGAATAGACATGCTACATAAAACATAAAACTTGAAAAAACATAATATTGCACTTTCATAGTAATTTGGATTGTTTGTGAGCACAGGACAAAGTTCTTAAACTTCATGGCAAAAGAGAAAAAATCACCAAATAGCATTCAAGAAGAAGGATTTCTGTCTTTCAAATACTTTAAACAATTCAGAAAAGACAACACAGTTTTTACGTGATTCATTGCACTCTGAGTCCATGGAGTCAAAGCCTTGATCTGCTTCAGCTTTGCTGCTAGCCGTCCTGTCCTCACTGTCACAACATGCGTCGAAATCATCTTCGTCTGACTCATGAATATCAGCAAGTTTATCGTCCAACACGTGATCGAGAGATGATCTGAACTTTTGGTGACGACGCTCTGTAAACATAAGGCAAATGAAGACATGTATGACATAAACATAAGACAAATGAAGACATGTATGACATACACATAAGACAAATGAAGACATGTTTGACATAAACATAATACAAGACAAATGAAGACATGTATGACATAAACATAAGACAAATGAAGACATGTATGACATAAACATAAGACAAATGAAGACATGTATGACATAAACATAACACAAATGAAAACATGTATGACATAAACATAAGACAAATGAAGACATGTATGACATAAACATAAGACAAATGAAGACATGTTTGACATAAACATAAGACAAATGAAGACCTGTTTAACATAAACATAATACAAATTAAGACATGTATGACATAAACATAAGACAAATGAAGACATGTATGACATAAACATAAAACAAATGAAGACATGTATGACATAAACATAAGACAAATGAAGACATGTTAGACATAAACATAAGACAAATGAAGACATGTTAGACATAAACATAAAACAAGTGAAGACATGTATGACATAAACATAAGACAAATGAAGACATGTATGATATAAACATAAGACAAATGAAGACATGTTAGACATAAACATAAAACAAGTGAAGACATGTATGACATAAACATAAGACAAATGAAGACATGTATGATATAAACATAAGACAAATGAAGACATGTTAGACATAAACATAAAACAAGTGAAGACATGTATGACATAAACATAAGACAAATGAAGACATGTATGATATAAACATAAGACAAATGAAGACATGTTAGACATAAACATAAAACAAGTGAAGACATGTATGACATAAACATAAGACAAATGAAGACATGTATGACATAAACATAAGACAAATGAAGACATGTATGATATAAACATAAGACAAATGAAGACATGTTAGACATAAACATAAAACAAGTGAAGACATGTATGACATAAACATAAGACAAATGAAGACATAACATAAGACAAATGAAGACATGTATGATATAAACATAAGACAAATGAAGACATGTATGACATAAACATAAGACAAATGAAGACATGTTAGACATAAACACAAGACAAATGAAGACATGTCAGACATAAACATAAGACAAATGAAGACATGTATGACATAAACATAAGACAAATGAAGACATGTATGACATAAACATAAGACAAATGAAGACATGTTAGACATAAACACAAGACAAATGAAGACATGTTTGACATAAACACAAGACAAATGAAGACATGTATGACATAAACATAAGACAAATGAACACATGTATGACATAAACATAAGACAAATGAAGACATGTATGACCTAAACATAAGACAAATGAAGACATGTATGACATAAATAATAAGACATAAAATGAAAACATGTATGACCTAAACATAAGACAAATGAAGACATGTATGATATAAACATAAGACAAATGAAGACATGTATGACATAAACATAAGACAAATTAAGACATGTATGATATAAACATAAGACAAATGAAGACATGTATGACATAAACATAAGACAAATGAAGACATGTATGACATAAACATACGACAAATGAAGACATGTATGACATAAACATACGACAAATGAAGACATGTATGACCTAAACATAAGACAAATGAAAACATGTATGATATAAACATAACACAAATGAAGACATGTATGACATAAACATAACACAAATGAAGACATGTATGACATAAAGAGGAAATAATAGTATTTCTTTAAGCTTCATCACACTTACAAGGATGTGCCTGCGCATATTAAAAACTAGTTTATTTAGATAAACAACAATCGTTAAAAAATTAAATTCTTAATATATGTTTAATTGACTTGACAATAACATAGCTTTTTTTACAAATTTACTGTTATTTCGACATCAGAAAGAAGTAAAGATGGTTAATATTTACCAGAAAAAGCTCTTGGTTTAACTACCCTCTTCTTTCCATTTTCATCTTTTAACGTTATTTCTTCATCAGAACTGCTATCTTTATAGCGTACAATCGATAATATATATATATGGCTTTAAAACAAGCTTTGAAACATTTTATTGCAATTACTTGATATAGTTATTATATAATATATTTATTGAAATGTCATGTGAGTCATTTAAAGTGGGACAGATATTGTTCATTATCAAGGTAAAATTTTCAATTAAGTTTATTCCACTGTTATTTATTTAATAGTATCTGAAATTCATTCTTACGTTAGCAGGGAAATTTATGATTAACAAGAGTTTATCAACAATTTGCACGTCGTAAATGATACAGTAAAACCAATCATATTAGCTGTTATGTCATTGCAAGTCATGCGCACAAGCAGATAAGCCTAAAAATAGTTCAAAGAAGATATGATTACCCTCACTTCCATCATTGTTGTCATCATCTGGAAAAAGAAAAAAATACAAAAATATAAAAATGGTTGATCACATTCGAAAATCCAACGCCATAATAGTAACAATAAACTGAACAATTACGACTTGTATAAGAAGAGAGTTGTAAAAGAAATTTCCGCTGACAAGGATAATAAACACTCGATGAGTATACAAGGATTTGCGAGTTATTTCAACGCAAGTACCCAGTCGTTCATGATTGTCATGACAATAAGCCATCGGATGTTGGTATTTGCTTCCCAAATCCTTAAACATGAAATTACTCAATACGCATGTGGTAACAAAAGAATATAGAGTCGGTTACATTTTTCCAAAAAGGCTTCATCTTCGATGATTCGTTCAATAAAATTTGAAGGAACAAGTCCTCGCTTTCCGTTCATCAATTCACCAATGTAAAAACCATCCTGCAATTAGAAACAATAAAATTATACACATACATGCAGTCGTCGTGTGCTTGTTGGATCATTGCGCATGTTCTAGAAATCATAACATCAAATTATAGTACAATTCATGGAAATTTTCTGAATTAAGTTCTGACACCGATGAAAGATCTCTTAAAACGAATTTCTGAAAATCCTTATTATAATTCGAAAGCATTTCAAGTGCCTTTCAGAGACTGACGGGACTACATTTCCGGACTTTGACCTATTTATCACGATCCTAGTTACAGCAGGAAAATTTATATGATGCTCAAACGAGTTTACATTCCAAGAAAACATTAATATAACTACCAACCTCATCAATATCGCCAAAGACGTACACATAGTCACCGGCTTGAAAAGCCAACTCCAATTCAGGTTTCTCGTTAGGTGAGTATAAAATGGGATCATAGCTGTATTTTGCTTTGAATATGGATAATCTGTTCTCAACCTCAAGTAGGTCAAAAGCATAACCTCCAACGCAGTAATCTACATGACGTAGAACCAAAGTAAACAATTCATAATTCACATATATAAGTTTACATAAATCATAACATAATTATTATAATAAAATAATAAGACGCACACTCAGCACATAGAGATAAAATTACCACGTTTTGTTTCATACCATGTGTATGATCATCGTCCAAATCATCACCCTCTTGTATTTTACCATCGTCCTCTTGTACTCCATCATCACCGACCTGTACCACATCATCACCTTCTTGTACTCTTTCCTCATTTCGTATCTCTGACCCATTTTCACTGGCGATTTGACTGACATCAGCACTGTAGCTACTCATTGCACTATTTAGTGCTTCTTCATCACTACTTTGCGCCAGATTTTCATTCATCTCAGATACTATATATAACCACAAATACACTATGACAACAGTTTTTAACATACCATTCTAACCACCACTTTTGTGTTTGGTAATGAATGAAGACTGCTAACAATTAGGTATGCCGTTTGAAATTGATCAAAGTTCATTAGTTAAAAATCACTAAGAATTCAACACGAAGCTAGGAACACTGACATGAATTAAAAAATAATAAATAGACATACGCGCAGATTCGTCTTGTCCGCTATCAACTCGGTTGCAACTGATTTCGTCTGAGTCACAGACAGCCAATTCTCTTATACGAAATCCGAGATTATCTACATCAAAACTAGTCGAAGAACTAGTTTCACTACAATGTCCGTTCGGCAAGTTGTGGTCATCGACTGGTGTTTCATCCTCATCTATCAAAGTATGTACCACAACAATGAGCTCATTAGTTCAATTTGACCATTTATACATATATCAAAAATATATATTGTCCTCACGACGTGAACAAACGACTTTAGGGAGTCACCCCCCACCCCCTTGAGACATTCTTTTTTATTTTTAAGTAAATTTGGTGTAGCACTGGGGGACAAAAAATGACTAACACAAAAATTTCTTCATGTCCAAGATGACGGCTGTATGTTGTTCAGCATGGAAACCATTTTAACTCAAGAACAAATGGTCAAAACAAAAATGAAAAATAGTTTTGAGAAGTTTTAGTTATCTGACAATCTTCAATTTCCTGGTAATATATTTAGTAATTTTTTCTTCAGAAAATTATCAATATTCAGTTCACGAGAAGGTATTGCCATGCTAAATATTGCTAGCAAATTGAAAAGATTTGCCAAGTTATGAAGTGCACAATTGATAATAAAGTTTTGTAATTAATTGTAAAATGATGATACCTCGTGGTACATCTTCCTCGTTGTTTTTTATATGTAGGATTGGCGATACATCTGGGGAAAACAACTGCGATGTTTGTGTAGATTTGTTTTCTTTTGGAGTGGAGTTTAACACATCGTTCTGAATAAATCCTCCATCACTCGGAGAAGAAGAACAACCTGTTATCTCTTGTAGCCTGCCGTCCTCACTGTCTTTATCAAAAAAATGCATCTAAAATAGACGTAGTAAAAAGACCATTCAACTAAGAACAGTATAAAAAATCTTAAAGTAAATGGTTTGAACCCGGGAGTATCGTTAAATGTTTGTAAATATAGATCGTCCAGGTTGTAATGTAGAACGTCAGTCAACAACAACAAAAACAGTCCTTCTCAGGACTATACCAACCTGGACGATCTACATTTACAAACATATAAAAAATCTTACTAATAGATTTTGGTAATCAATAAAGAACACAAAAGAAAAAGTTAGAGGGTATGGTTTAAATAAGCAAAAAATCAAAAGAAAATTGAAATAGATTGCGAGAGGCACATTGAGTAATATATACGCAGTGGAATATCCATACCCCAATGATTAACCTTACTATATAAATTTCAAAAACATCATTCATTTCATTAGAATATGATTATTGCAGGGACTAAATGCATCATCAAAAAATTTGCACAGGGGTACCAAGTAAGTTGGCTGGATACGTCACTGTTTCTACTTTCTAAGCATTGAGGAATGAGGACTGGGAAAATAAATGGTCAACCAAAACTTAGCTCGTTATTCATTGACAATAAAATTAAAATTGCAAGGTTCTTAAAACGAATATTTACGAACCAACATCTTGTCTACGAACAGTTTAAGGGATGTAACCGGGGGGTGACGAAACCATAATATATTGCCATCGCCTTACTATTGTATATCTTAGTATGGAATAATTTATAAACACAACCTTTCTGAAACAGCTAAGGTTTTCTTAGAAAAACACATTCCAACCATTTAAAGCACAAAAAAGCTGTTGACGATTATGTAAAATACATAAAAATAATTAAATTCGTTGATAAGAGCTTCATCCTAGCTGAAATTTGTGTGTGCATGTATTTCGTGGGAGTAGAGATGGTGACGTTCAAGAATGTGTGTGGAATCTGAGTTGAATGAAGCAAATAAATATCAACATAAAACAAAAATTCTCGTACATTTTATGTGTAGTATTTGAAATAAGTCTTTACCCTAAATAGTTTCAAATTCATAATATGTGAGAGCAACAATGATAAAATAATTACACATAATCATAAGATCACACGAGAGTTGGAAATGTGGTCAAGATATCGTTATCTTCAAATGACGAAGCAATAAGAAAAACAAACTTTGAACACATATATTATTTATTTTCATAAGATCCACTTGTCGTATTTGAAAAGGCGATAAAATACATTTCTCGGCTGTTCTCACTCAACAACGCAAGATATAGTATGCTTGTAGCTGCAATTTTACCATGTCTTAAAAAGCATGTAAAACATTTTTATTGCTCTCGATACTAAACATTGTGATAATTTCATAACTGAAATAATGAAGTGTCGTAGAACTTTTTTCTTGTTTTTTTGAATTTTCAAACAAATCATTCAATAAAGGCATTTATAACTAACTTACTGGTATACTTAAGCAACAATTAGACGTCTGTCCTAAATGTCTATGAAATACCAAAGCTAGCCTATTTTAAAATAAGGTTAAAGCAAGTTGCCGATTATATTTCAAACACAATTAAACATATGTAAACAGCATTAAACACAATCACTCTCCACGCTCTCAAAGTGAGGGGTTTTATCATTGCCAAGTCACATCACATATGTAAGATATGTTAAATTTAGAAACATGTGAATATGAAATTACACGATCTTAATCATTGTTTCTGGAAAATTTTCAACGATCGTCAAATAAACTCATCAAGCAGCAAAAAAATAATAAGGGGATTGGAAACAAAATAACGACAAAAACGACAAATTTGTGGACAAAATAAAGCGAATACGGCCTAAAATGAAAAAGTTCTCGCAGTTTTGGTACATTAAAAAAAATGATTTAGTTATACGAGCGATTATTTAACATAGTTTAACGTTTTTTAAAAGTCATGAAAGTTTTTTAGTAAACATGCAATTTTTGCCAAGTATCCTCAATTGCAGTGCACAGTAACATACAATGTTTATTTTTTGTTTAAAAGACCAATATAGTTCGGCATGTTAAGCTCTGACCAAAGCAATTGAACTATATCAGACAGGCAGTGACCTTAACCCATTTTTTAGCTGAAAGATAAAGACAACAAGATAAAGCCTCGGTTTGCATCAAGCTGTGCAAAAGGGAAACGCCATCGTAAAATTTTAACAACGCACAAAAAACCGAAGATAAAATGTGTTTATTTAAGCCACGTTAGAAGTATATGTAAACATCTAATATAGGTTGCCATGTCACGTGTTACATGTCACGTGTTACTTACTGGATGAGTATATAAAGCCAGGAGATTTCTTAAAAACTCATCAAACATTTTCAAGTTGTTTCATCAAACGAAAGAAATTTCAGCACAAGTTTACGTAAGTAAAGGTGAGTTTTAGTTTTTTCGTTAATCGTCCTATTAACTAAAAATTACCTATGAAACGTGGACGCACCCACCCCTCCCCCAAGAAAACAAACACATCAACATGAGGTGGAGAGTGCGTGTTCAAGTCATTTATAAATGAATATGAAAGTAAATTCTCAGAAAAACCCCAGATTGGTCTCCCATACTAACTCCGCCTGACTAGCAAACACATAACTTACACACATTACGCAAAATTATGTCAAATTCTGTAAAATTGTGCAACGCCTTGCACAAATGCTTAATGGTACGATTAGTGAAACGATAAAATTTGTGAAACGACAAATGGTATGATTTATAAATTTATATCCTCCAATATTTAGCAAAAGGATGTCAAATACATGGAAATACAATTTTCTTCTCATCGTCACTATCGCAGTAAGCATGGCGACGTCAAAATATAAAATTCCGAGAGATTGTAAACATAAAGTTAACCCAAAGTGTTCAGATTGTTGCCTTCGAGCATCCAGAACCTGCCGCTATGGGTGTGGTAGGATCAAACCAGCCCCATCAAAGAATTGTTATTGTAAAGTAAGCGATAGCAATAAAAATTTCATGTCATTTTTTCAAAGTAAAAAATGTCATGAGAAATGTAATGAGATATACAAGAGCAATGACATGCCTTATATTGGAAAGATAGCTATCGAAGACAAACTTGGCTGGGACGGAAACGACGCAAGAAATAAAGAAATGGTCTTTGACTACTAAACATTGGAAGAATTTCACTTTAGGCTATATTCACGTTACATAAAGTTTAAGATGATACAGTGTATCTCTGTTATTGTTATTTTGTATTATAGCATTATAATGTAGTTTTAGGCGAACATGATGTAATAAAATGAAATAAAGAATGCATTCATTGAAAATTTTAGATAGTATATTGCTGACCACGAACAAAATGGAAACCACCAAGACCCAGTAATCTAGCGCTAAGTTTATCTCAAAGAAAAATTGAGGTAGCAAATTTTTTCTCCTCCATAACTGTTGTTGAAAAAAATCCCCAATGATAAATTGAATCCTTACCTTCTCTAGCCGTTTAATTTCATTTCTAAGTTCATTATTTTTATCATTTAGCAAACAGTTGTTGCTTTCCAACTTTTCAACGCACACCTTCAAGTTTATGCACTCGCGATCTAGCTGTAGCAATATAAATCGGAAAAAAAAGAATTACAAACGACAAAGAAAGCATAAACCAAAGTCAAATCTTAAACATGTAGATATTTTTGTCTTTTCATACATTAAACTGCGTGGAATGAATAGACACAAGAATGCATCCTGTCGCTAAAAACTAATATATGAAACAACTTTCTCTTTTCCATACAAATGAAAGTATGTTAAATAATACAAAATTCACCCTATTGCTTGAAAATAGATGTATATGGCTTAGAACAGCGCAATCTATTTTAAAAATTTCTTAAGGGGCTGTCACTTTGCATCAAATATAGTGACTAAATAAAGATTTCAACTAACGTTTTTAAATTGTTGTCTGAAACATTAAATACAGCTGATAACATTTTTGCGCGTAAACTAGAAAGTTGAACGAAATTCTGCGCTTATCCATTTGTTCATTTTTATGATGCGTGAATCGAAATTATTTGAACATGTCATGGCATTACAGAAAACAGGAAAGTATATTTGCAGACTTGTTGAGAGAATTGAACGAAACGGGAGTTTAATTTTTTTTTGTATTCCATGAGTCCACACAGGCACACTTTACTTTTTCGACATAAAGAGATAACTTCGAAGTTCCAAAACGATAAAAACATCTATACGTAGATACCTTGATGCTCATTTAAATGATCAAACAATAGAAAGCATTTATACATACCTCATTCAAACGATCAATTTTCTTCATCAGTTCCGCGTTCCTTGTTTGTAGTTCGCCCATTTGATTCACAAGCATTTCCTTCTCACGTTCCTGTGAATTTAAATGTTCACATTTGTTGTCGTTCACAAGACTGAACATACAATGGATGTGATCTCTACGTTTAAAACAGTGGCGCCAGCAGGGTTAGGAAGGGGGCAAAAAATTTCCCAAAATGGTGCGCTTATATTTTGCTTATTTTTTAATTGTAGAAATGAAGAATAATACAGTTTTGAAAATCTTATTGGGGGAGGAAAGTTGTGGTGGCGATTGCTGCAAAACTGCTTTTTTGGATATTTTCATCAGCATATTAATGAGATTGATTTGAATTGATCTTGCATGTTATTACTCTAGTTATGATAAGCAACACAAAACTCTTTGGAGAACATGTACTTACCAGCTTTTTAAGTAAGTCATCTTTCTCTAAACATGTCTCCTCTAGTTTTTCTTTTCGTTGAAGTAATAATTCCACCTCTTCAGACTGTAAAGTGTTAAAAAAAATTGAATCGCAAATCTCGTATAACAGCTTGTTTATGAGAGTAAGTTTTACTGATGTCACCATCATTAACGGGTTCAATATACACACCAGTTTTTCATGTTCACATTCAACTTCGGAAAGTTTTGAAACCTGATCTTTGAGAACATCGTTATCGTCGGACAGTCTTTTGTTTTTGGCATTCAGCTGTTTGATTTCCCCGAGAAAATGCTGTAAATCATATATAATCAAGTTACGAGCGGAATTTGTGGAGAAAGAATGCAAAATTTGTTTGGGAAAGGAACAGTTCTCTTTGGCACATGAAGTTCTCCAAACAGAGAACTCACTGGCCGACAAAAATTATTCATGCGTTTTAAAAAGGACCGTACACCAACGACAAAATTGGTATGAAATGAAATGCATACAACCACTTAGTAACCACATCAAGTTCACTAGTTCACAATCAATGCCACCAATTTTACTTTGATGTAACTAGGCCCAGACCCCTATTTGACTTCTCAAGCTTCAACTTACCTCTGTCTTCAATGAAACCTGTCTTTCAAAAAGAAGGCGTTCTTTAATATTTTGATTTATGATTTTCTCCATGTCTTCATGAAAACCATTCTAAGACGAAAGCGACAAATTGTAAATTTTTTGGCCTGGTGATGAAACAGCTTTTTATACATAAAATATCACCAAAGTCTGTTAAGTTTACATCAGGAAAATGAAATAATTTTAATAATTAGTTTGGTAAAAAATTTATTACCGTATGTTGTTGATTGCATCTATAAAAATGTTATAACCATGTTCTAAAAGGAGAACTTGAATGAAGAGTAACATACTCACTTCAATTATTCCTTTTTGAAAAATGCTTTCAGTTTTTTGCTTCAGAGTCTTGATTTCTTTATCTTTATTCATTACCAGCGATGCACGTTCAGCAAGATCTTTCGCTCGCTGCTTTGCAAATGCCTTTTTGAGATTATTTATCAATGGATTGTTTACCTCCTTTGATTTCTGAGAAAAAAAAAGTGACATGCTCAATTTAGGCCATGCTTTGCCTGATAGACTTATGTAGAGGTCGGCAAGAGAAGATGGGAGAATGGGAGAAGTTGGGTTTTTGAAGTTTGTATTGTGAACGTAATAATTAAATGCTGAAAAGCAGTCATGAAAATGTTAAGTGAATAAAAGCAATAAATTTTGTCACAATTTATCTCTGCTACATCAATGTGACAAATCAATGTGACAAATGTGATGGTTTCTGTAACCATCAAATAAGTTTATTTGTTCATAGAACAAACCATAATCAAGCTTCAGTGGCAGATTACTAATTACAGGGCCTGTATGCTATGACAAAGTTGTTGGACATTAAGTCCGACATCTATTTCTCCCACTAAGTTCAGTCTCCTGATGACATTTGTATTCCTTATGCTCTTTGCCTTTGCATTTCCCAGCTTGTTTTTGTAACTCATAGTATCAACAATAAGGAATAAATTTAAAGTTCTAACTTCATGAGTTGTGAGCATCGTGCATTTCAACAGTAGATCATATGGTTTTTAACAACATAAATGGTCTAAATTAAGAACATTTAAATGGTCCAGAATGACAAAAAGAAAAACTGATTATGTCTAGATAAAGCGGGCCACTTGAAAGCCTGGGCCTATAGGCTTCAGCCTATTTAGCCTACTTGGTAATATGCCCCTGATTCCACAATGGTTCTAAACTGATCTACTGTTAAGACAAAAGCATAGCTTTAGGAAAGAAATGTATCAGTACTAATACTGTTAGGCAAACCTCAAGCTTTTTCTTTTCTTCTTGTATCTGTTTAACTTTCTCTTCCAATTTACTTGCTATTGCCACCAATTCTGAATTTCGAAGTTTCAGCTGTCGTATCTTCTCCCTAGTAGCAGGGTCCAAATTGGCCTCAGACATTTTAGACATAGCTAAACCTTTCATTTTCTAAAAAGTATAAAAATAATTGATCAACAATCGTTTGCCAGATAAAATAGTTCACAAGCATACGAACTAATTTAGTTCAAAATAGATAAGGAATATTCACACAAAATATAAGGATATTCTAACTTTGTGTAAAAAGGCAATACATTTTCTTTGGCAATGAAGTGACTTAAATCGTTAAGAAAAAGCGTGGCGTGACTAATAAATTTCCGCATTTTACTGCAGCTGCTTTAAAACATAAACCGCTCATACTAAAGAAACAATTAAAAAACAAAATAAATATTGAATTACATCTCACGCTATCGACATAAGCGAAACTGAGCTTATCACCGTAAATAAGTTATTTTGATAGAAGCACCTGCGAATCGAGAGTGTTATTATTCATTCCATTATGAGACCGTTCTAGTAATTTTTTTCCAAGATCATTTTTCTCTTGTTGCAATCGACGTAAATTTTCTTCTTTAGAAGCCAGCTGCTGGTTCTTCAATTCGATATCTCGCGACACGGCTTTCAGCTGTCGTAGGTCTTTCAGAGAACTTTGTTTCGATTCTCTTGTTACTCGTTTCATTTCAGATTCATGTTCGTCTTTCATCTGTCGTATAAGCTCTGCTTTTTCATTATCAGATTCCGTTCTAATCCGAAGATTGTCTTCGAGACGCCTGTTGTCGTTCCGCAAATTACTTATTTCGCTTTTCCACCGTTTTTCGTTTTCGTTGCCATCGTTCCGGGACTTTTCGTAACTAATTCGTTTATATTCATCTTCTAATATCTTGTTGTTGTTTCTACTTTCTTGCAACTCCAACTTTAAAGCACGTAATTCCTCGTCTTTTAGTCGCACAGCTTGACGAAACTCGTGATCCTTTTGCTTGACCACAGACTCTCTCATTTTTTTCAATTCATACGCTTTGTCGCTCTCAAACTTCTTAGACACATTCTCTACAGCTCTTTGCTTCTCGTTTGTCAAACTCTCTTGTAGCCTCTTAATCTCCTCAGTCTTATTACGATGTGCTAATTTTACTCGACTTTTCTGCTCAGCTAGTTCAGATTTGAGTTTAGAAATGTAACGTTTCATTTCATTCTGGTTTGCCCACAAGGAGCTTGAAGAAGCATGATGGTGTTGTGTAGGTCTGTCGGGTCTAGGGGATTCCAGCTTCGCCATTCAGCTACTAGACAGCACAAAAATTAGTGAAGGTATCAAAAACAAAATTTCCAGAATGGACATGCCATCCCAAATCGTGAGAACCGCATAGAAGGTAATTAGCTAGCTTTTACGTCATATTTATGTCAAAATTTCCAGCTTCTTCATTTATTTCATCCAAATTTAAGATTCACAAAATTAACTGCGCCATCATTTCACTTTGTTCGTTGAAAGACAAATAACTATAGCATGAATGAAACTCATTGTATGAAGATACAAATGATTGCCTAAATAGATCAATGTTTACAAATTGTAATTACAAATTACACGGACAGCATTTCGGAATGGCGCTCTGTTTGATTTGTGACACGTATTCCTTATTAGGTAAACATTACCATATATGGAACAGAGTAATGAAGCGAATGATCTTGAGGCATTAAATAGAGGCAATACTTCATGTAATTGAGGCAAGTCATCAACCATCAGGTTTCTTCGCAAGGATTCTTTGGATTCTTCATATTCGGGTGAATTTTTCCAAAAGATTGTTAGTTACAATGGCTGAAAATGTGTTCTTGTTTGTTCCCAATTTGATTGGTAAGCAGAAAATAGATTTTGAGTGATATGTATATATATATATATATTTGTGATTTACAAAGCCGACGTGACAACGACTGACAACAACGAAACAAAAACTTATATAGGTGTTACTGCATGCGCTTTTAAGACAAGATACCGAAATCACAATAAATTAATTACGAACATCAAATACCGCAACGAGACAGAACTTTCTAAACACACCTGGACACTGAAAATACAACATTAAATGAAACGAAACTACAACATTAAATGGGACTTCATCAAACAACTTCCACCTCCGAAAAACCCCAAAAACCTGCCGTCTTTGCCTTGAAGGAAGACTATTTATACTAAAAGGACGTAAAAAGAACATTTTAAATAAACTTTCCGATATCTTTAGTGCATGTCGTCATGTAACTTAACACCTTCTAATCAATGTATATACTCAGCGAATATTAAATTATCTGTCAGTTGCCTGAAGATCGCCCTATGGCGTGAAACTCCGAGCAGCGACAGCAAAACTTGATATATATATATATATATATATATATAATGAAAGAAAGGTCTATTTACCATTTTGGGTGCAAATCAAAAGTGAAATAACCTTTGCTGATTACATATTTTATTCAAAGTCTTTGCTTTTTCATAAATATAAAACATATGAGTGCATAAAACAATTGAAAGAATTTTATTCAAACAATAATTACTTAACAATGTTTCAGTTATAAGTTTATCAGAAAAGTGTTACTCAGTTATCAGTTATACCTCTTTTATCTTTAAATCCTAGGATATGCTCGTATAATCTTTGCATTTGTTTCCTTCCACTACATGGCTGACAGACCCATCCTATTTTTTGTTCTCTACTTGATAAGTTCCCTGTTGGATGCTTTTGATGGTCATTTTGCAAGACTTTTAGGACAGGGTAAAGATTTTTATCATACTATGTAACCATTATAATTCAATTTATAACCACTGTAATGAACTTTACTGCTTCATAACATTTTATTATTAGAAAAATTGTAAAAGGTTCTAAAGTTCATTGTACTGTATAATGGTTATACAATTCATTATAAGAGTGATAAATTTCAGTATAATGGTTCTAAAGTATATTCTAATTGTCTAAAGTTCATTATTATGCATAATGTTTATACAATTCATTATAAGAGTTAATAAATTTCATTATAATGATTCTTAAGTATATTATAAATGTTCTAAAGTTCATTATGATGGTCAAAAAGTTCATTATAATGGTTCTAAAGCTCATTATAATCTTTATACAGTCCATTATAGTGGTTGTAAATTTCATTGGAATGGTGTTATAATTCATATAGAAAGCAGTCATTAGCTTATGTGCCAAGAACTTTTAAAGGAAGAACCCATGAATAGTTGAAGAAGATTTTTAGTTTGTATGTGGGATTTAAATTGTTATATTGTAATAACCATTGCAGCTTCAAAGTTTGGAGCCATGTTAGATATGCTGACTGACAGGTAAATAAATTCATGTCAATATAATTTTATATTGCCAAGTGCATGTGATCATCTTTTGTATAAAAATTTCAAAATATTATTTTGAAGGTACATGAAGTGAATTTGACCTTCATAAAACTATACCTACTAAATATAAACTATTTCTCATAAAACTATACCTCCCTTGTCTGATAAAGATATTTATTTCGAAATTTTTAGATGTGCGAGTGCTTGTCTAATTTTGATGCTCAGTAACTTTTACCCAACTTATCGTGTTGTGTTTCAATTTCTTATCTCACTGGACATCAGCAGTCATTGGTTGCACATGTATAGGTAAGTCTTGTTTTAGCTCATTGTCAATAATCTCACCCAGTTTGTGTGATCATGCTATTAAAAATCACATATTTTAGTTTAGATGTACCTTTGTGAAGGAACAGCTTTCTGTATCAGTGTCATATATTTTCTAACATGTTCTCAATAGGATTTATGAAAAAAAACATGGAAAGATTACAACAGTGTTAAAATGTTTCGTTTTCTATTTAGTTCACTTATCAAAGGAGATCAAACTCATAAAACATCTTCAAATTTCTTTCTCAAACTGTATTATACATCAAGGGTAAGCAAGCTGTTATCTATTAAGTAAATTCATGACTGTATCAACAATCAACAATAGCTAAATAAACACTTATAACAACAAAACATCAATATCAACCTTTAACAATTTCTAGCCTGTCTTGTTCATCATGTGTGCTGGGAATGAACTTTTCCTTTTGTTCTTATACCTTTTACACTTTTCTAATGGACCAAACGGTAATTATCATAAAGTATCATCATGTGACGTCATGAGAAACGTCAGCAAATTTCCGTAAATGCATAATATCAATTCAAGAAATTTCAACTTTTCTTTAGTTTTCGAAATAAACGCAACACCAATTGGTTTGTGGTCATTGTTGGCGTACATTAACTTTCCTATATTTTTTGTCAAACAATTGATAAGTTTGTTGCACTTAGTTACTGCTGCACAAGACATCGTCGCTTACGATGTGGCAGAACGAAGGAAGTCGAGCAGTTGACTAGAAGAGGAAGAATTGTAATTTTGATATTTGAAAGCTTTTGACTCGCGATCAGAACGAGAACGACGACTTTCAAATGAGGAAAAATCTTTTCATTTGCATTACTAGAAGTTTCATGATTTTTTCTTTAAAACTACTCAAGCATAAAGACATGGTTACCATTCGTGACGAAACCTCGCCCACTTTATCGTTCTCGTCCTGTCGCTGTATAAACTAGTAGAAAAGAAAACATCATTAGTCAATTTGTGAAAGATTTAGGTTTTGATTGATGGAATCACTTAAATAAGAGCATGGCTATTCTTAGCATAAATCAAGCTCATTGTGTGAAGGTACAAACGATTGTTAAGAAGTGGTACTTCATTTTAGTACATTTATTATAGCTATAGTTTATTATAGTTGTTGCACCACATGAGCATTGGATTGCACGTTCAGTAAATTACATTATGTAATTTGTGATATTGTGTTCGTGTGTTTCATTTGTATCGGTAATGTAGTAGCATGGTTTCGATTGCAATTTAGAAAAAAACGTGCACGAGGGAATTTTTCAAAGAGTCCGAAGGACGAAAAGTATTTGAAGTCTTTGAAAAACTTACGAGTGCTTGTTTTTCCCAAATTGCACAAGAAGCTATGCTATTACTTATTAATAATATACTTTAAAAATTTTCTCAATTCCGTTGATATTTGACTTCAGGGTACGTACATTTTAGCCGGCAAGTTATTAACATTGATCGACCGGGTCGTATTTTTCTATTCCTTCCGTCAGATGTTACTTTTCACAACACCATAACTTCCACACAAGTAGCTAGAACAAGGTATCTACTTTTAGCAGTGTTCTTATTTTCATCCAGAAACACTTTGCAAACTGTGAACTGTAAACTCGTTCGCGAAAGAAAATATACTTAAAACCTACGCTAGCCATTGTAATTGCTCCGTTTCTTAGAACACTTCTTTTTATCACTAATCAATCAGGAGCGCATTTTTCAAAAATAAATTGCACTGTATTTATTTTTTTGCACTGTGTTTCCTTTTTTTGCTCTGTGTTTCCTATTTTTGCTCTATGTTTCCTATTTTTGCCCTGGTATCTACGATAAATTGCACTCCTCTAAACCAGGGGTCTCCAAACTACGGCCCGCGGGCCAGATGTGGCCCGTTGGGCCTCTCAATCCGGCCCGCAGAGACACTTAAGAAAGCCAATTTCACCACTCACATTGAGAAAACTGAACAGACTAATTGTGATTTTGTTATGATATTACACTTGGTTGAAATTTAACCTTTACATTTTGAATAAATATTTTCTTAACTAATGAAGCTTGTGTTATGTACTTCGTTTTATTAAAATATTCGCTCTTTGACCAGCGGTATACGGTTCGTCGGCCCTCAACATGCTGGATAGCGCTCTGTTTGACTTGAAACGTTTTCCTTATTAGGTAATTGCTACTATATATGGAACAAAGTTATGAATTAAAGGTATTCAATGGTAAAACGAAGGTATTAAAATAATTAAATGTGTAATTGAAGCGAATCATCGACCTCAATTAAAGATTTCTCCACTGGGATTCTTTGGATTCTTATTCCAGTGAATTTTTCCGTAAAGAAGTTATAATGACTGAAAATGTGTTCTTGTTTGTTCCCAATTTGATTGGTAAGCAGAAAAATATTTTGAGTGATATATATTTTGCATATGTCCTTGTGAATGTTACGGTTCACCTGTTTCGCTCAAATCTACTTTGTATAAATACTGTCAGATTGGTCGTCAGGTTAAATATTTAGTGGCCACATTACTTATCTCACCCAATCTGGGGAATCTGGATGAATACTAGTTTCAGTCCACCGTTTTTTTAAATCACGCATTCAAAATTGTGATCAAATAACATTTGATATTTTAATTAAATTTATTGATTGTCAAATGGCAATGAACGGCGTTATATTTGGAATATATGCTATTCATACAAATTATATATAACAGAATAATATATTGTGTTCTACGAGTTCCGTTAGTGGACAGTCTTCTTATCTAGAGCAGGGGTCTCCAAACTACGGCCCGCGGCCAGATGTGGCCCGTTAGGCCTCTCAATCCGGCCCGCAGAGACACTTGAGAAAAAAAAACTATTAAACAAAATAAACTTTGTGCAGAAATTTCACGTTATGACGCAAGCCAACTAGCTAGAGTTTTATTAAAACATTCGCTCTTTGACCAGAGGTATACGGTTCGTCGGCCCTCAACATGCTGAATGAAAGTTCATGTGGCCCTCTGGCTGTAAAGTTTGGAGACCCCTGATCTAGAGCATATGTTCAAAGAAAATGTTATAACTTAACTTACAAGCGATAGGTATATTATATCACCCGAATGAAAAGACTGGGGATATGGTGGTGTTTTTAAAATACCTTAGAATGATATTTGTTCAGATCATTGGCCGTTTTTATGCTTAACACGGTTAGTACGTCTGGACGACTTATGACGAATTTCTTTTAATGCGTCTCTCTTAAATCGTCGTAAGGATAAAGACGACCATAAGAGAATTAACCGTCTAGACGACTTTAGCGTTTAATTCGTCTTGACGGACGAACTAAAGTTATTAACTAGTCTCGATCAATTTTGCCGTTTAGTTTTGAGTTAAGCCGACCCGTCTTTATGCTGGACGGATTTAAAACGTCCAGACGTATAACTCGTCCAGACGTATTATCCGTCTTAAGCATAAAAACGGCCATTCCTTGCTCTATACTTCACCATTGTTTTTGTTAGTGTAATAAAGTATATTCATTACTAGAACATACTATGCCCCCGACGTAAACAATTGAAACAATAACGTATTGTGATATTGATACGAAAGCGAACTTAGTCTAACGCTATTTATCTCTTATCATATAAAAGATATGACTGCGATTTGTAAATCTAATCTTGCGCCATTTTTACTATAAAAGATTGGAATGTGATCTCATCTCCGTAACGTTATCTGCTTTCATCTGCTTTCATGTACTGTCACCTACTGTTTTTTAACATATAATAGGTTGTAAAGTAAATGGTTTGAACCCGGAGTATCGTTACATATTTGTAGATGTAGATCGTCCAGGTTGGTATAGTCCTGAGAAGGAGTGTTTTGTTGTTGTTGACTGACGTTTCGACAACCTTGTGAAAATATTTAATAATTTTCAATTATTTTTAGTTAGCTTGAGTTCTTTTAAGAAAATTGATATTTACGCATAAAATGAAGTTGTAGTACTTGTCAGTCCTATTGCAACTCGCAATTTTCCTCCACGTGTCATAGTTCGTTCAGTTTCGTCTTTATTTTTGACCTAATAATTGCGTTTAATAATTGTACGTGCTATAACTCACCAAGAGACGTTTTAAAAGTTAATCGAAAGTTAATCCAAAAAAAATCGTTGTAATAGTGAAAGGACCACTTTGGAGTTAGAAAAGGTTTTTGAAGCTTTGAAGAAGTGATAGTTTTTTGTCAAAAGTCAACGATAACCGTTAAGGCTACTTTGTACGAAACATGTTAAATGCCATACCGTTCTGGTCGTTAAACATGCATCAATTCAGATCTGGTGACATGATCAGGTGAAAATAATCCACTACGTAGAAAAAGCTGCATTTAATGGCTAATTTTTTATTTTAACAGCTTATTTGAACAAAAATTTGAAAATTTCATGTTTATTATATGAAAGATAGCGTTAGACCACTAAGTTTGCTTTCGTATCAATATGTAATCGTCTCAACTGTTTACATCGCAAGGCATACTGCATAGTATGTTCTAATAATGAATAAAATTGCTTGATTTTATGGGACGTTAACTTTCGTATTTTTATCACCCTTAATGAACTTTGAACTTTAATGACTAACAATAGGTACTCCCTATAGGGCTTTTCAGTAGCTATTTACAAAATTGAATACATATACATATTTGACTTATAAATGTATGTAAAAAAGACCATTATTAAAAGGATTTTAAAGATAAAAGTAACATTACAAGATAACCTTATAAATGCAACGGCGAAAAGGAGAGCAAACGACCTTAACAATTATAAGACATCACCATATCCCCAGTCTTTTCATTCAGGTGATATAGTATACATAACGCTTATAAGTTAAGTTATAACATTTTCTTTGAGCATATGCTCTAGATAACTAAATTAAGAAGGCTGTCCACTAACGAACTCAAAGAACACAATATATTATTCTGTTACATATTATCTGTACAAATAGCATATATTCTAAATATAATCATTGCCATTTGACAGTCAGTAAATTTATTAAAGCATCAAAGGTTATTTGATCACCATTTTAACTGGGTGATTTACTAAACAAGTGGACTAAAAAGTGGATATTCATTTAGATTCCACAGATTGGCAAGATTAGTAATCTCGCCGCTAAAAATACTGGACCTGCCGACCAATCTGACTACATGTAGATTTGAGCGAATCGCCTCTTCGGTTATAAGTGTATCTCAGTTATCAGTTATACCTTTTTTTTATCTTTAAATCCTAGGGTATGCTCGTATAATCTTTGCGTTTGTTTCCTTCAACTACATGGCTGACAGACCCATCCTATTTTTTGTTTTCTACATGATAAGTTTCCTGTTGGACGAATTTGATGGTCATTTTGCAAGACTTTTAGGACAGAGTAAAGATTTTTATCACACTATATAACTGTTATAATTCAATTTATAACCACTGTAATGAACTTTACTGCTTCATAACACTTTATTGTTAGAAAAATTGTAAAAGGTTCTAAAGTTCATTGTACTGTATAATGGTTATACGATTGAATGTAAGAGTTAAAAATTTCGTTATAGTGGTTCTAAAGTATATTATAATTGTTCAAAAGTTCATTATATTGGTGAAAAAGTTCATTATATTGGTTCTAAAGTTCATTATACTGTTTATACAGTCCATTATAGTGGTCGTAAATTTCATTGTAATGGTGATAAAATTCATATGTAAAGGCAGTCATCAGCTTATCTGCCAAAAACATTTAAAGGAAGAATTCACGAATAGTTGAAGAAGATTTTTAGTTTGGATGTGGGATTTAAATTATTTTATTGTAATAATCATTGCAGCTTCAAAGTTTGGAGCCATGTTAGATATGCTGACTGACAGGTAAATAAATTCATATCAATATAATTTTATATTGCCAAGTGCATGTGATCATCTTTTGTATAAAAATTTCAAAATATTATTTTGAAGGTACATAAAGTGAATTTGACCTTCATAAAACTATACCTACTAAATATAAACGATATCTCATAAAACTATACCTCCCTTGTCTGATAAAGATATTTATTTCGAAATTTTTAGATGTGCGAGTGCTTGTCTAATTTTGATGCTCAGTAACTTTTACCCAACTTATCGTGTTGTGTTTCAATTTCTTATCTCACTGGACATCAGCAGTCACTGGTTGCACATGTATAGGTAAGTCTTGTTTTAGCTCATTGTCAATAATCTCTCCCAGTTTAGATGTACCTTTGTGCAGGAACATGTACCTTTTTGTATCATATATATTCTAATATGTTCTCAATTGGATTTAAGAAAAAACATGGAAAAGATTACAACAGTGTTAAAATGTTTTGTTTTCTATTTAGTTCACTTATCAAAGGAGATCAAACTCATAAAAAATCGTCAAATTTCATTCTCAAGCTGTATTATATATCAAGGGTAAGCAAGCTGTTATCTATTAAGTAAATTCATGACTGCATCAACGATAGCGAAGAGACAACACTAAATAAACACTTATAAAAACAATATCAACCTTTCACAATTTCTAGCCTTTCTTGTTCTTCATGTGTGCTGGGAATGAACTTTTCCTTTTGCTCTTATACCTCTTACACTTTTCTAATGGACCAAAAGGTAATTATCATCAAGTATTATTATGTGACGTCATGAGAAACGTCAGCAAATTTCCGTAAATGCATAATATCAATTCAAGAAATATCAACTTTTCTTTAGTTTTCGAAATAAACGCAACACCAATTGGTTTGTGGTCATTGTTGGCGTACATTAACTTTCCTATATTTTTTGTCAAACAATTGGTAAGTGTGGTGCAATTAGTTACTGCTGCACAAGACATCGTCGCTTACGATGTGGCGCAACGAAGGAAGTCGAGCAGTTGACTAGAAGAGGAAGAATTGTCATTTTGATATTTTAGAGTTTTTGACTCGCGACCAGAACGAGAACGACTTTCGAATGAGAAAAAGTCTTTTCACTTGCATTACTAGAATTTTTATGAGTTGTCTTTAAAACTACTCAAGCAAAAAATGATGGAATCTCTTTAATAATAGCAATAGCCATTCTCTCTCATTTTTTATTAGAATATAACATTCCCGTCTGTAGTTAGTAATAAACAAATGTGCAATGTTTTGACGCAACTATTTACAAAAAATATATTGTTTATGCCAGTGATCTAAGTTTGGTTGAAAGACTTCGATGTAATCCACAGACCTTATTGTAATCCACGGATCATATTGTAATCCACAGACCTTATTGTTACCCACAGATCTTATTGTAATCCACAGACCTTATTGTAATCCACAGACCTTATTGTAATCCACAGACCTTATTGTAATCCACAGACCTTATTGTAATCCACAGACCTTATTGTAGTCCACAGACCTTATTGTAATCCACAGACGTATTTTGAGCAAATATTCGACATGATATTATATTATAGATACGACTTCAATGAATGAAAAATTGGTATTCTTAATGTTATCATTGACATTCACTGTAGTTAGTGATGTCTCCCACACACGAAACATTCTCATGCCACCTGTTCAAATAACTTTGACCAAAGATTTCTACATTATGTACTGTTTATTTACAAAATATTGGCACAATTGTACTGTTAATAAACAGTGCATATTTCAATCACATTTTCCTCAGAACTTAAACTGTGCAAAACTAAACTATACATCTTACACAACCATATTAATAAGAAGAATCATTCCACAAGAGCAAGCTTAACAAATTTTATTGTGACCAACACTCTATTGTGATAAGATAAGTCATTAAAAATGATGCTATCATAGAAGAGATAGCTGCCTTTAGTGGGTAATTCATAATGTTATACGAATAGCCAAGAATGCTCCAGGTTTAATCTCGAAATACACACCACTTTTGCTACATAATCTTACATAAAGTCTACATGTTATTTCAGAGTTCACTTGGCTTCTGCACTGTTTCCATCTTGAGGCATCATTACATCTGGGGGGTCGGGTGGTGTTGATAGATCTGCAATGTTAAGGGTCTCCCAATCATCAGTACCTAAATACAATGAATGATGCGAACATTTATACCCATCTAACTATAGTTTCAGCCAGAAAAAGTCATTTAACAGTAACATTTACAGACATAAAACACAAACAGAAAAATCAGGGATGAAATGTGAAAAGAACATAACTTAAGAGAGAACATTAACCAATCTGTCACTAACAAAATGAAAAACATCCAAGAAATCTAACTTTGCTATCTCATGATCTCTGAACAAAAATTCCAAACTTTACCTTGCCTAATTATGATAACCTAAAAACTAACAGTATTCTACTCTTCCATTACAGTATATGATGTTGTAAGTTTAAAAAAGGCAATTGTACTTTGCAATTTTATAGTTCTAAGTTACAATTGTGTATGTATGCATAAAACCAGAAAAAATTAAACAATGTCAATCTCTGATAGATACTGTTAACCCAATCAAACAAATATTATTGTCCTGTTGATACCATTGGTTGATACAGTTAACCATATCCAAGACACTACCTTCAATTTTACAGGCTAAGCCAATCATGGCAGGACTTTGAGGTCTTGCTGTCACACTGGTGAAACCATAATCTCCCAATGTTTTAGTATCATCAAGTGGTTGCTCATCTTTGTATAGTCTCTGATCTTCAGGCGACATCTTTGTAATGCCCTCAACCATTTTCTTTAACTCAGAAACAGTCGTAGATTCAGTGCAATCAAGAAACATTGTCAACTTGGCTCGTCGAACCATTACAAAAATCTCCTGTTTAAATTATACAATTATTGCATATAAATGACATCAAACATGTGTGAAATGAAGCATTAATTAAAATACCATATTTTCTATTTTCAATAGCTACAAAAGCGAACCAAATAAACGCTTTATTGTGGATTATAAGTATAGAACAAACTGTTGGTCACAATGATTTGTGATTTAAGTTGAGAACTTTCACTAATGGTCAGCGTCTATCAGCTTCTATCTTGAAACGTCATACTTCATGTTAGATATACATTGGTATAGGCTCTTTTCATCGCTTGGGAGCAAGTGAGTCTGCATCACTGATCTGCATGCGAATACCGAACGTAAATCAATTGTTAAGCGTTCTTTGCTTTTAATATACTTGCTTTCGACTTCCAGTGAATACGGAGTGTAAATAAAAAATATAAGATAATATTTACAAATGAGAAATAATGTATACATAATAAGGAATTGTTCACTCCATAACAAGAAACTATTGGTAAAACATTGTCATGATTTATTATTGGTCAAAACTGCACGAATGCCCTCCCTCCCCATTAGCAGCTATGCCTACACCTATAATGCTAAATGAAAACAATTACTATTCATTTCCTTTGTAATTTAGAGGAAGCTTTGATCACTGTCATTGTTTTTGAAAATTTTCCCAAAATTTGATAACATCGCACATATTTCTTCTTTTTTCGGGTTCTTCTTGCACTGCATTAATCACCATCTCTCTTATTTTGGCATCGGGTATTTTTTGAATGCAGTTGACACGTTCGTTGTGGGTGGTTTCAGGTGCTTTGCACAAACACATCTCACATACAAGAACGCCATAACTGTAAACATCCAGCTATACAAAAAACGTTATTTACTTTTGATTAAAATTTTTACTTTAAGTTTGGTATGTTTAGCAGAAATTTCAATCCAGACTGTTCTCTTTGCCTTCTATAGAAAAGTACGTGATCTTAATTTTTTATTTTTTGATTTAAATCTGAAGGGCAGGCTATTTTCTTTTCTTTTTGCGTTAATTATTTTTCGTTGAATTAGCAAATAATGTTAAGATAGTGTTACTGAAAAATAAAGATAAACGTTGAAATCGTTATCCAATATTAAGGGGATTAAAAAAATAGTGTTGCAGGAATATATATGGTTTATATGATTTTTAAAGCTGTTTCTGTACTGTTGCAATAAAGCAGATACAATCATCTTTGTTTCCTGGAATACAAAACTGAGTGAAAGAATGACCAATAAATGACAAGGTTCTATTCTGTCAATTGTATTCATTGTTATAAAGATATTTTGAACTTTAAATATACAGCTACTACTTATTTAGCGAATCCCTTGGTCTCTTATTGCATGCAAAATATTGTAAATTCTGAAAGAGTCAAATTCACTTGAAAAAATCAACTTTTTTCCCATGAAAAGTTACCTTAGTATTCTGCTTTGAGGATGATGCTTCAGGGGCACTGTAAGATATACAGCCAGGATTATGTGTAACGCTAAATGACTTGAAGTTTGCTGAACCATAATCAGCTATTTTAGCTTTTCTAACATGAACTCTGTCATTGTGCATTTCCAGTAAGACGTTTGCACTGCTGAGATCTCGATGAATGATTGGTTTTGGAATTTTAGAATGTAGGTAGCTTAATCCTTGTGCCACATCCAATGCAATTAATTTCACCTCAATGCGTGAATGTTCAACATTTTCTTCCAGTAGTTGTCGCAAAGATTTGTCCATCAACTCGGTTACAATCATTAGCTTGTTGTCTTCATTTTTTGTTGCGCAGATAAATTGCAGTACGTTGCGATGAAAACATTGTGAAGCTATTGTTATTTCACGTTCAAATAGATTTCTGTTGTAAGAACTGTACAGAATATCATGAAACTGTTTTACAGCAACTTCATTTCCACGATAATGGCCAATGTAAACAGCACCATACGCACCATTACCTAATTTTTTGTCTGTAATGGTCACGTCACCACTCTCAACAAATCCTTTTTTAATCTGGCTTATTTGGTCTTGAAGTTGAGAATTTTCGTTTTTCAGATCACTGCCATCTTCCTGTAGTTTCTGGTTATCAAGTTGTAACTGACTATTATGCTCTTGGAGTTGCTCATTTTCCTTTTTGACTTGATCAAAATCTTGTTGTGCTATTCTTTGCATTAGACGATGTAGGCGTATCTCTCTTTGCAGCTCGTCACAACGTTGTTTTCCCTTTTCTTCTAGCTGTCTTTTTTCCTTCTCGTGCTCTTCTTTTTCTTTAAATAAAGTTTCTATTTGCATTTTAAGTTGTTCACTCTCCTTCTCATATTTTTGATCATTTTCTTTAATATTATGCTCGTGCATCTGAATAATCTCGCTCAAAGCTATTTTGTCTTCCTCATGTTTTTGAATTATTGATTCCATTTCGGCGTTATGATGTTCAATTTGAAGCAGCTTTAGACGCAATTCTTCAACTTGGTTGAAGAGAACCGCAGAATTAAACTTAAGAGATTGTGTTTCTTCTTCATAAGAGTTCCATAGAGACAAACTCATTTCTTTATGAAGTTCGATGCTCTCTTTATGATTATTTACTTCAATCTCTAACCGACATTGTGTAGTTTTAAGATTTTCGTTTTCTGTCTTCAACACATTTAATTCATGTAAAAGTTGGTCTCTTTCTTTCTTTATCTCAATATAATTGTCACGATTATCCATTCGCTCAATTACATGAAGTCATCCACTATCTTCTATATCTTGTCTCGACTTTGTAACTAAGATTTAAAAATACAAGTGTAACTACAATGAAAATTCAAAACTAATGAAAAGACATGAATGACCATAAATACTTTCCCCTCACTTATTGAGCTGGCGACGCCATAATATTACAAATTAAAACGTTTTAATGCAACTTAGAAGTCTTTATTTTTTGATCACCCTGTATATTACATTTTAAGATAATTGTAATATCCTGAGTCAGAGTGCGATGATACTCAATCACTTCTATGCAAAGCAATTGCTTTTCATCGAAGCGTCTCCGGCTTAAGCGATGCAGCGTCTACAGAGAAAACAACTATGTTTTTCTAAACTTTTGACACAAAGATGAAGAGAATTGAAGCGCAAATTATCAGTAAAATATTGCAACTTTGCATTATAAATGAAAAGCGTATTATTTTCATATTTATACCTTGAACACTTCCTTTAAAAAATAAAAAGTGTTTTTCGATTTGTGTTTGCACAGACTTATGCAAACGTACATGATTTTCGGGAGAACTCAAGAGAAGACCAGTAGATGGATCGATGCTAATAAAAATCTAAAATTCATATATTTGGCAGGAGTGGCCGGCGAATATTGTTTTGCCAATTATTGAGTTTTCCATTTTATTTTCAAAACTACAGCACTAATCAAGCAATGTATGGTTTCCTCTCACTTTTGATATTCAGATGAACAGTCGGTTAAAAACATTTCATTCTGATTAAAATCTTCGTGTTTAGTGATGTACAATGAAACATATAAATAATTAAATGTAAACAAATTTTCTAAATCGAAAGTTCATATTTTCACAGATAACTGGTTTTTCGCTACTAAAACTTTAAGAACACTTACCTCAAGTGCCTAAAGAAAATATTTGCGAAAAGGAATGGAAAGTAACTTCGTAAAGCTTCAAAAACGTTCAAGATGTTTTATTTGTTTCTGCGAAGTGGCAATGATTAAAATTAAACCACAGAATAAAGAGTCTTTCTCGTGATTGTCATGTCAATTGCTGGAATGTGTGTGACTACGTGGCTTTACTAAAAATAAGTAAATAATGAAACGAGAAATTTCGATTTCCTACAAAATGTCTAAACTTTCACAACCATCCACACTATTGTTTACCAAAGTTATGTGTTAGTGGCTAAAGGTTTTGCAACATTTTTTCAAATATGTACTTATATAAATATAGATATAATATAAATATTAGTATAGCCAGCTTGACTTTAGCTCTCTCTGTGTAAATAGTGTAGTGTTCACTAACTGTGAAAACAATTATCTTTTAAAGTAATGAATGACAATAATATCATGAGCTGTTGTGTAACGAGCCAGCCAGCGGCTCCAACTAACTCAATTCACACGTAATTTGTGCTAATGATTCTCTGTAAGTTGGTAATTGTCGGCTAGTTCCATTAGAAAATCTTTTTAAGCATTTCAATAGTCTGGCATCAAATTAACTGAAATATAATGTAGACTTAATGTAATGTATGCTCCCGAGGGAAATAGTGAGTTTCCTAGAGTCACAATGTTTCTCGAGACAAACCATTGGACAACAAACTCACTATTTCCCTCGGGAGCATACATTAAGAGTATATTAATACCTTTGGAATAGATTATCTTGCATATTATCAAGAAACACTGTGCAAAATATGTAAGTCCTCGTTTTGTGTAAAACGTCATAAAGACGTATGCACGAATCGATAAAAATAGGTACGAGGTGCGTACAAACGGGTAACTGACTATAATGAACGAAAATCAATATCAAACAACCGTTTCCATCAAATTTAATACCCTCTACAACCACATAACCTGGAAGAATGAACAAATTGTAATTAAATTAATATTGATTTAGGATATACTTGAATGTTTCATATATTTGCTTTTTATTTCAATGCAGTCATAATCCAACTCAAGCACACTTTATAAAAACATACAGAATCTTATTTTAATTACAAAGAATTGATAAGATAATCTAATCATTCTAATGTACGCCTTTCGTGAAATTTTGTGCAAAAGTATTCCAAAATAGTTGGCAGAAGTCTATTTTGGATTACATCGACTTTTTGCTGAACTTCTTTCCTAAATTAGAGAGCGAGGGAACTCTCTAATTTAGTTAGAATATCGCAAATACCCATTTATTTGTATATTTTTGTGTTAGTGTGTTTAGATGTGATTTTGCTCTAGATATTTATGTTTTTGGCATGATCAAAATCTTCAACTGATCATCTGCAAACACCGATCGAAGAATTGAAGTCAAAAATTTTGTCTTTCTAAAAATGCTATCTTCAAATGATAGTACTTAGTCTAAAAACAAGTAAAAATAATTACCTTCAATTGAGGTACGAAACGTTAATCGACCACGGATGGCTACGCTGTTCTAAAAGAGACTAAAGCAATATAATTTTTAGATTTGATAAATGATAGAATAACTTACAGCCCTGACTTCTACTTCTTTCATCTTCTCGTCCTCCGCATCTGAAAAATACTGAATAACAAGTTAGTGGGATGACAAAACAAATAAACACACAAACAAACACATACCGCAGTTTTATCTGGAACTGTTGCCACGAAAGAACAACTGTAAGAATAATTGCAAAAACAATTAAGAAAAACTTTTAAAGCTCATATATTTTGTAAAACCAGTGTTTGCAGATGATCTGTTAAAATTTCTGTCGAAACTCTTTCTTTACAAAATTTGCATGGAAGACATACTTCGATGTTAGCATGAAATTGCTGTCAGATATTTCAAATAACTTTGCAGTAAATGATTGTATCCACTTCACGACTTTTTAACTGCTTCGAAGACACTGTTATAACATCCCTCAATGTTTTAACATGCCAATAATAGATACAATAAAGCGACTAATTAAATATTTAATGTCGATAGCTTGTTGACTGATACGGTAATCACTTCAAGTTCAAAATGACCAAATATAATGTAGAGATTTTGCAATACTCTGCCAGCGTATTGCAACTTCTTTTGGTACCTTCCATAAATCAATTATATATTAAATTATATTTTAATCTTACATTCAAGGTCCGAACATTGAACGTTCACAAGAAGCACCTCCATATTAACATGTCAATTAGCATGTTTAATGATTTGTGCTAACTTCTATAACATTACTCAATGGTATAGAAATGCCAGTCAGTTAACATTATCGAAACACATCCCTTTCATCCCAAAGTTCACAGTGTTGCTGATATCGAAAGCAAGATATACAAATCGACTTTGAAATATAAAATGAGAGCGTCATTTCATGAAGGCACAATTCTCTGCTAGTCAGTCCGAAGGAATTGATATCGAGAGTGAAGAAGGATGTTTTTTGTCGAAGGATAATCTATTTCTTTCATCTGCGCCATCTTTACGAAGACTTTATAGTCTATAAATATAAAATAATAGAGTTATTAACGCATTAACGACTAAATATGTCCGTTATAAATGCATTAACCGTCTGTATTTCATACAGATTCTTGACTTGCAATTCAGCCATGATGGTGGTCTGATACAAAAGAATATTTTATCAGAGTTATTGTTGGCACCAGCCGGCGTGGGCGAGCAACATTGTTTGGCAAATCTAAAGAGAATGGTTGCACGTCAAGAATATTCTTGGTACTTTAAGATGGAATTTTCATCCGATATTTCAGTATGTATGTCAAACGACAGAGTTTTTTTTCTTATTTTAAAAGTTGTTGTGATATCACTTACTTCGCTGCCTTCTTTACTCTTTATCTTCTGCGATTCTCAAACCACTCCTTGTGATATTTACTTTTCAAATGATTTGAGTTGATCCATTGAAAGCATTGACATCCAAAGTATGATTTAGATGTCTATAGAGCAGTTTTCACGCAATGCCAAAGTTACACAAGGAGGTGTTGTCCTTGTCTGACTGGTCCTACAAACACTCATGGTAATACCAGTTCTTATACCAAAGTAAAATATTTACATTCACAAAATGAGGCCTGTTTCAAACGTCGAACGCATAAAGACAAAAGAAAATGAGATGAACATCCTCATTATCTTTTATTTTAAATGTGATTGGCTCATCTAAAGTTTGATGTTTGAAAGGGCCTAAAGCACCAGCTACGTGCCGATAAAGTATTAATTAAAGACAATAAATAAAGCATGGTAAACTAGCTTTGACATTAGCACAAGAATAAATAACACTTAGAATAAATTGAATGATGAGCAAAAGAAAATACCGTTTTTTTTGTCTTTTTAAGTCTCACGAGAATGAAAAAACTTAAGGCTAACTAGTGGAAGCCATGCATTGATGACCCCAGTTTTTAACGATAGAACATTATAGACATTGCAATCTTAATAATTTACAAATACCAATAACGTAGTGTATAAATAGTGAACTCTGTGCAAATTCTACTTAAAACGAGGAGTGTTTGCTAGTCTGGCTTAAAATATGAATACTTTGCATTCAAATGAAATGCACCCATGTATATAGTTACTTCAAAATACAGGGAGCAAATCTCCATCTTGCTCAGTTGATGTGGGTGAAATTGCTTTGCAGTAGTAAAGTTATTCTGTTTTGCAACTCAACAATAGTAATAAGTGCATGCAAATCAGTTATTTTAAACGAAACTCGAGAACTGTAGTTTGAAATCATTTTTATGGAAGTTGTGGATCATTTTGCGACGGGAAAATGTTAATGATAAACGGTTTAGACTGGAACATTGAAAAAGTTTGTAATATTTTCACAAAGGCATGGTTGCAAGTTTCAAGCATTGCAGAATTTTTCGTTTGATTCTCTAATCAATTATACGATGACCATCGTCTCTGATTTAAATAATACAAAGGTAAAGTTATTTTATGGGATAAGCAGTGTTTACGTCGACAAAGAACCAAGCTTCAGATTTTTCCTGAGCATTATGCAATGAACAAAACTATTTCAACAGGAAGTTGCATGACGCTCAGAATTTTGTTTGATCATTTGATTTTCATTCAGTAAAATGTTTTACTTGAATTTCATGAAAAAATCGTAAACTGCTTTTTCGAAAAGCTGAAGAGCTATTTTAACTTCCAGTCACGTAATGCTTTCGTACATTGAAAACAGCTTTATACTACAAGCTTCATGCGTTAAAAACTTTAGTTCCTATATTTTTCTGAATAGTGACATCTAGATAACGAGACGTTTCTAATATTTCATGGAAAATCATAAAAACGTTAATTGCAATGATTTGCTTTCATATTTATCATAGAGTTTGAGCAAAGGTCAGTGAGATATATACTAGCCTAATATTTTGCTCATATTAGGTATTGCTAGATCGATAGTCGTCAGCGTTTCAGTTGATTTTAATAAATTTACGAAAAATTTTCGGTAAGTTTAGATGAATAGTATTTGTGAATGAAAAGCAAACGTTTACATGATGATTTTACTTTATATGTAAATGGGTAAATACTTCTAGTATAAAGACTGATGAAAGACGTGTAATACATCTAGTATTGGTTTTTGAAATGAAATTTTACAGATATTATGACTTCAATAACTGATGGGGTTTTTACAAATTTATCAATACTTAAGATGGCCTTTAATGAGCATAAATCTATCAGTAAAAATTCCAACTTCTTGACCTACTTACACGTCAATAATAGCCTGCAATTAGGTCTGGTATTTTGTGGATGCATAAAATACAACTAGTTGTTTTCAAAACAAAAATAAAACCACCAAAACAGTAATAATTTCTGACTTCATCAATGAAAAATTACAACTTCATATATGTACTCACAAATGTTAAAAATTCTTGATGTTTTTTCTCTGTGATGTTAGGTTTCACTATATATTAGTTTTAATAGTTCATAAATCCATCAATCATTCACTGCTATCTTGATTGCATTTGTCCCATAAGTTGTTCATCTTGAGCTGACATTGCAGTCAGTTTTTTCCCTATTCTTTCATGTATATCCAAATATTTTGCAACACATCTATCTAAACAAACAGACTCTCCTTTACTGAGTTCTCCCTCACTGAACTTGGGTGAAATACATTTCTTTTGACAGGCAGATGTCAACCTAGGAATTTAAACAGGGGGTTGCTAGTCAGGTGCACTGTTCGTCATGAAGTATAAAATTCATTTTTACATTAAGAAATTTCATTTATATATAAGTTTGATGTGTTAATACTTGTAATATTTTGTTGAAATTTAAAACGATATAATATGAAGTGGAATTAAATACAGTGTGTGATTGTGTGTGGATAAGGGGTGTGGGTTAGTAGATTGTGGGGGGGGGGGATGAGAACAAATTCATTTGGTAATAGATGAAAATCCTTGAAATTGAAATTGAAATTGAAATAAAAAAAACTTCTCACAAATAATAATGGCACTTGGCTCGTCATCCATACTTATTAAAAAGATCTGTCATCATTTCTATTTCCAAATCTGCCACGACTTGCATATTTTGAGCCGATTTTGCATCCATTTCAAGGCAGATTCTAGTCTTAACAGCAAAATATATAGTAGTCAGAATCCTTTTATGACAAATTAGTCTCCGACATGTACAAGTATCACTCCAATTGAATAAATCTACAAATTTTCTTGATAGAGATAGAGCCAAAAGAACCAAACAATATATTTATTTCGACATGCACCAATGCATGCACAAGTATGCCAGTGCACATTAAGTCGACGGTTTCCGAAAGTCTCACGGAAAATACCGACTCACATGACGTTGAATGAAATTAAAAACATGTCGAAGCAGCCAAGTGTAGTCTTTTTATGAATGAAAATTTGTTTTCTCCATGTTAATTACTCTTCTTTCGTTGTAAAGATGCCTTGAGTGCAAAAATAAACAAAGAAATGGGTGTAAAAGAGTCAAAAATCAGCTTTTTTCCTTTCGAGGAGGTACATAAACGAGGTAATGTCGATGTATCTATTTCATATTTTTAGTATTTTTTCTTACCAACTAACTTTGAACACATCATTAAAGAGGATGTCCTGTTTATTTTTTGTAGTCAAAGACGATGAATTGAAAAGACTACGTCTAGCTTTTAAACGGATTGCCGGTGCTAGTGGTGTAATGAGCAAAACATTGTTTATTCGTGAAGTTCTCGGTGATGCAGTGCCTATAAAGTTGGCCGAGGTAAATATGATGTGAACAAGATAATGATAGACGCTAATTGCAACACATTTGTTTTGTTTAATATGGCTCAAGTAAGTTTTCAATATGTTAAATATATTCGTTTACTTTTGAGGACTGATTGTTTCTTTTACAAGGCATGCATTTGTATTTTTAACGTTTTTCATCAAATCAAAATTGTATTCAATGATTATTTCGAATTAAACATCTTTGATAAGTGTGTATGTTGACGTAGCTTAAACATTTAATGCGAACATTGTTGTATCATGGCTGTCTCATGTTGTTTTTATAGTGTCAGATGTCAGTACCTTTCATTGTTTTCTTGAGGGATGGTTTTTCATCATTTAACCTTTGAAATAATTTTCTTGTAGCATTTAAAATCAAAGGATGTTGCTATTGTTCATACTTTTTAGCAATTGCTTGTTTATACAATGGATGATGTTCATAACATTTAGATATATTTCGTTCTCTTGTTGAGTAATTCATGAAAATTAACTCATTTATTGAAAGATTTGTACATTTAAGAAACTAATGACTTTCATGTATGATGTAAGATGATTCCTGAAGAAGCCAATGATGTCATATAAATATTTTTTGTTTTGTCATGGAAGACAAATTAGCATCATTGATAGATTGGTCTCAAATCTCAATGAATGTAATTTTTAATACATTTAGCAAATGTATGTTGCATTTGGAGGAGCTAGCAAAGGTATTGGTTTTAAAGACTTAATATCTGGCCTGGCTTTGCTAACAAGAGGGTCACTAATGGATAAACTAAGATGTGAGTCTATCTCTGATGATGTGTTATGTTTTATATGTAGTTCAAAGATATTTTTAACAACATACGATACTTGACTACCTCTTGCTGTCCTGTTCTCTCTTGCTTGCATGAATATAATACAAAATAAATGAAAATATGTTTTTACTTTTACCATGTTGCTGTCCAATAACATTATTTTTACTATTTTGAGCATAATTAGCTCACCCAGATGACATTAATCAATTGCAAATGTGTATAAGTTAAACATTTTTTTTAGTAATCTTTGAGATCTACTCCACTGATGGCAATTATATCTATCAAAATGATATGGAAAGTCTTTTACTTACTACAGAAGGAGGACATGTTCCACAAACAATAAAAGAATTGTTTGTTTTGGTAAGTTAGTTGATTATAAATATTATTGTTCACTAATACTAGTATTTTTTAATGATAGATTATCTGGGGGTGGTGCAAGGGGGGGGGGGTGCCCTAAATAAATTGTTGACCCCTCTAAGAAACATTTTAACCTCCCAATTTTTTAGCAAAACAGATCATCAATACAGTTGAACTGACTTTTTCTAGACAATGGTTCAACTCTCAACACAACCTTCAATAGTTGCACTACCCAGCTGTCCCTAAAATCTATACCCTTACTTGGTCTTACATCACTTACTCAGCAGTTCACCCCTTCCCCTCAATTTTTTAACACCTTCCCTGTAAATAGTGCAAAAATCTATCCATGGATACTGCTATTGGTATTAGTTTTCTGATATTCGACTCTACTAGTATTATTGTCATGTGACAGTAGTATTGTCAAATACTATTATAACTTGTATCATAAATACCAATACCTTAACTCTTTTTAAAGCACTCACTGTTGTCAAACAACGCTGATGTAGAGTATAGAAGTTATTTCCCTGTGAATTTGGTGTAACTGTTATATGCAGTTTATATAAATTTTCAACATAAATTTGATACCCAGCAGTTTAAAGATTTACTCGTAACGATATTTTTCATTGTAAGCGAAGGAAAAAACCGTCTCTAATTCACAATATATGCCTGAGAAGTGCATTTTCAAACTCATCTCAATGATCATTACCAGCCTATATTGCCCTAAGATGAATACCATATCTTCGTTATCTACATCATTAACTATTTTTTACAACTTTACCCAAGAGACGTAATTTTTCGTTTTGGATGCATAGTGGTATATTCTTTGTTATCACGTTGTTTTTCCTATGAAAGAACAATCGCGCTTTAAATATTTGTGCAAAGCAACAAATATGAGTACATATACATCCACACAAGTTAGATGTCACCTCTGACGTCCTTTGTGAAAAGATCAAATGTATTTATGGTATAATTCATTAAGAAATTTCATAAATGTATAAGTTATTCATTTTCTTGTTAGAGTGAAAAGGTTTCTTCATCAGATTTCTGTGATTGGTTAAGAAGAAATCCTGACGCCATCACTCTTTCGCAATGGTTAATTAAACAAGGCAATACACTACAGCTGACTGACTATGGGGAGACACCGACATTTTATCAAACATTGGCAAAATTTACAGGATGTTAGTACTCTAATCTTATGCGCACGTTGTTTTTGTTTGAAATTTCAGCAAACATCGTGCACGTGAAGAGTGTTTTTTGTCATTTGGATGTTTCAATGTTATAGTAGTATAATTTTTAAAGTCGTCTTCTTTTGAAGAAAGTTTTTTTTACCTCACTTACTATTATAGTTGTAGTCATTAAACATTTGTTTGAAAAACTGTGTTTTTCAGTAAGGTAAAAGGAGCTGTTATTCTCTTCTTTTAATTTTCAGTACGTGAAACGGACATCATTGAACTGGAAAAGCGGTACTGGTATTTAAAAACTGGAACGAGAACCGGAAAATTTGATTTAGAAACTTTCACTCCACATTTATCTACTTGTGTGTCTGACTGGCTGGCGACAGGTATTAACTGTATATTATTGAATGCATCACTATAAATCAAAATTTTTTGGGTCTCCCTTCCTCACGCAACCTGTGATTGGCTAAGATGGTCGTGCATTTAAGGAAAATGAAATATTTAACCATAAATTTTGGCTTCACTTGTTTATCGAAAAGCCTTTGCTATGAGTATGATAATATACACCCTAAAGAATAGAAAATGATAGGTATATTGCTTTTAATATCGTATTTCAATATTTTTTATTTCATTTCCAGCGTTTTTCAATGCGTTTGACGAAAATCAAGATGGACATATTGATTTTCGCGAGTTGGCCCGTGGAGTCGCGACCTGTTGTCGTGGCCCCATTGCCCAAAGGATAGCATGTGAGTTATTAAAATTCATTTGCCATTTGTATGAAAAGCGTAAAAAATTTCCAGTATAGTAAAGAGAAGCAAAATGTAGAAAATTTCATTAGGTTTATGTTTCCAAGAAACAACGAATTTTTCAATAATTGACGTGTTTCCACATATAATTCAATGATATAATGATATACAATAAAAATTGGTGAGAATTCCCGGTCACAACCTTTTTAAATTTCGAACGAGGGAATTTTTGGGGGTCTTACTTCTTAGGACTCAGACTAAACGAATCTAGTGGCCGTCTGGCCTGTGGAGTACACTGTCTAGAATATACTATAGAAGATAGTAGAAAGTCAAGGAACATTTGCACCATAGTTTTCTGCATAAAAAAATGAAATTTACCGATTAATCGGCTCATCCCGATGGACGTAAATAAATATTTTTCCCAGGGTCCCCAGATGTTCTCCCCTGGAAATCTTCCATCGTACTTTCGTACTTTGTCGTAAAACGTTAGTTATGTTAATGTTAATATGTATTTAATGACACGACTAATTGAGTTCGGCTATTTTGACGATTATGCTTAATATGTTTTATTTATAGTTACGTTTAATGTATTTGACGAGGATCGAGATGGGCTTCTCTCTCAGGACGAAATTACCAACATGATTACAGCTTTGATTCGACTCAAGCTGGAAAACATTCCTGATTCGTCGAAGGTAAGACGAAAATATCACTTATGACCTTGTGTTTTGACTATTTTTATAAATGTGATGTTAAAATTTCGTCAACGTTCGTCAAGGATAACACAGATAACGCTGCTGCTGATGTTAAAGTTTTGATTGATGAAATAATGAATGACTATGATGCAGATAAGGCAAGTGAAGAAGTGAATCACATACCTAGCTATTACCCCTATGACAGATGGATAGAATTTTTACAGAATTGTTGAACGTTGTAATGTTTTAAGTATGCCTTTCATTCATCGTATATTAGGATATTTTACAACTTTTACTCGCGGCAATTGTTCCTTCATATTCATATACATATTCAAGCTGATTAAGATTTTTCTCATTGAAATGAGTCACGACTGCCAGTACCCATTGTGTACTAAATTTCAATATACTTTTAGGATGGCTTTGTAACGCCAGAAGAATACAAAAAGTGGGCGACATCCCATTCGCTGGCTCGTCTACTTTTGGATATTTTGTTTCAGGTGAATCCTTTTCTATGTAACTCGAGCTTTTCAGGTTTTGTGAGTATGATGCATATCTGCATATTTTATGAGAAGGACTCATAAGCAAAAAGATAAAATTCGAAAGCAAAAAATCCCGTTTTCGGTCCATGCTTCCCGATACCTTCTGATATGTTAGGCACTAGGACGACACATGTTAACGTTTCGGTAGGAGATTTCGGCCCCTCCATGCTATCCTACTTGGGAGATGCAATAGCAAGCTTCCGCCCATCAGACCCCGAGATCACCTGCGATAGGCTTTGCTCGGGGTACGCAGGGAGAGTGCGGTTGCCACCGAAGTGTGGGCCCCTAAGCCACTGCATACTATATCGCACACAGCTTCCACTGCTAGTTGACATCTACTATACCTAGAATTGGCTTTATATATATATATGCAAAAATTCAAAGGCTTACGAAAGTTGTGGTGTTATCACAAGTGATGTCAAACTGGTGATGTCACTACTGCGCATGCCCAGATTATTTCTTTGATAATTTGCGACTAAGTGAGCTAATTGCCAATAATGTTGTGCAAGTACATATAGTTAGTTGTTACCATGACAATGAACAATTAGTCGAGTGGACTGCGCATGCTCTAGCGCATGCGCAGATGATTTCTCTCTTAAATTGTTACTAATCATGCTATTTACTTCAAAATCGGAGTTGGTAGATGCAGTTGGTTATTGCCATGACTATGATGGTTGCCTCATTATACACGAGTCAAAATGAAATGGGATGGGAGTTAATTGAGAAATGAAATAAATGTATGAAATATTTTATTAGATGTTCCAATTACTAATTAAAACAGCCGAGTTTTATGAATCGTTGCACTATTCCCGGATCACAAGTTTAAACCCTTAGGTGGCGAATTTTTTCGACAGTTGCTTGCCATTTCGTTTCGTGATTGTAGTAGTTCTGCTACACTGCTATAGAAAGAGCTTTGAATATTGAGGGGCTGTCCGATATGGAATGGGAGACGAAAGGATGTAGTATTTGCAAAGAGATTGGGAGTGGGTGGAATATTGCACTTTGGTCAAAAGCTTCTTCTATACTGTAATACAGAGTTGAGACATTGATAAGGAGTTGTTACTTTTCTAGGTAATGCCCTCACTTTCTGCCTTTGTTTAATTAAATAGGTATTGATGTGTTCGGTAAGCTAAAAGTATGCAGTACCTTCTTGTTTGTTTTAGGTGTGTCACGTTGTATTTGGACTTCGACCTGCAACAAGGAAGGACGAATATCAGGTTATATGGTAAGTTTTAAAACAATGTATGGTTGTACTCTGAAAAGTTTTAGTAACATGAGATACATACGTGAGTAACGGTGGACGAGTCAAACGTGTAGTATGTTTACTCAAGTTTCACATTGAATGTTTTGTCAATGTTATGTTTGCACTTTATAGCTACATGATTACTCTTTATTACTTGATTATTGTTTGTTGTTTGGGCTAGATGGAAAGTAATCTAGCTACATAAAGTAAACGGTTTGAACCCGGGAGTATCGTTACATGTTTGTAAATGTAGATCGTCCAGGTTGGTATAGTCCTGAGAAGGACTGTTTTTGTTGTTGTTTACTGACGTTTCGACAACCTTAGCGGTAGTCATCTTCAGAGTCAAATGAGGAGTAAACGTCAGGACTATACCTCTCCTTCTCAGGACTATACCAACCTGGACGATCTACATTTACAAACATGTAATCTAGTTACATGTTTGTTAATTTTCAACTTTTTTTTGTGATATTTAGTTTTGAACGTTGATAGGAAAACAAATGATTTGTAAAAAAAATTTATAATTGTGATGAATTAACGTTGGATAGGCAACTTTAGGCTCTCCTTGCTAATTCTAGGATGCCTGATCTCATCGAATGTTTATTTCTCTATAGGGGATGGTTGGATCGAGAGAATGTGCGTGGTTTGCAACCAGGCAAAACCTGGTATCTTATTTCTATGACTTGGTGGATGAAATGGAAAGATTTTATTGGAAACCAAAAATCGGTTCGTCAATTGTCTTGCTGTATCTCTACATTTCATGTCTACTCACGATAACACCAAAAAGACTTTTAGTACGACGTTATTCAGTACTTGCTTTAGTCAGCTAGAGTTCATTTGGTGTTTTTAGCTACGTTTTAGTCTCTCTACATTTCATGTCTACTCACGATAACACCAAAAAAGACTTTTCAGGACGACGTTATTCAGTACTTGCTTTAGTCAGCTAGAGTTCATTTGGTGTTTTTAGCTATGTTTTAGTCTCTCTACATTTCATGTCTACTCACGATAACACCAAAAAAGACTTTTTAGTACGACGTTATTCAGTACTTGCTTTAGTCAGATAGAGTTCATTTGGTGTTTTTAGCTATGTTTTAGTCTCTCTACATTTCATGTCTACTCACGATAACACCAAAAAAGACTTTTCAGTACGACGTTATTCAGTACTTGCTTTATTCAGCTAGAGTTCATTTGCTGTTTTTAGCTATGTTTTAGTCTCTCTACATTTCATGTCTACTCACGATAACACCAAAAAAGACTTTTTAGTACGACGTTATTCAGTACTTGCTTTAGTCAGCTAGAGTTCATTTGGTGTTTTAGCTATGTTTTAGTCTCTACATTTCATGTCTACTCACGATAACACCAAAAAAGACTTTTTAGTACGACGTTATTCAGTACTTGCTTTAGTCAGCTAGAGTTCATTTGGTGTTTTTAGCTATGTTTTAGTCTCTCTACATTTCATGTCTACTTACGATAACACCAAAAAAAGACTTTTCAGTACGACGTTATTCAGTACTTGCTTTAGTCAGCTAGAGTTCATTTGGTGTTTTTAGCTATGTTTTAGTCTCTCTACATTTCATGTCTACTCACGATAACACCAAAAAAAGACTTTTTAGTACGACGTTATTCAATACTTGCTTTAGTCAGCTAGAGTTCATTTGGTGTTTTTAGCTATGTTTTAGTCTCTCTACATTTCATGTCTACTCACGATAACACCAAAAAAAGACTTTTTAGTACGACGTTATTCAATACTTGCTTTAGTCAGCTAGAGTTCATTTGGTGTTTTTAGCTATGTTTTAGTCTCTCTACATTTCATGTCTACTCACGATAACACCAAAAAAAGACTTTTCAGTACGACGTTATTCAGTACTTGCTTTAGTCAGCTAGAGTTCATTTGGCGTTTTTAGCTACGTTTTAGTCGAAGCATTTGTTCAAGTGTCTGTTATGCCATTTGTCGAAATTCAGGTTGTTGCTCGTAGTTTGTCCACCAGTGAATTGGAAAGGAATGGAGTAGTGTTATCGGGACAGATAAATTTAAAATGTAATGGATTAGAGGCAACAGATATTTCCGCACGTAAAGTAAAGACTCCAAGACGATTATCTCAGCCTAATCAAGGTGTCACATCGACGTTAAAAGTGAACGGAATAGACGCGTCGAGACCAGGCTCCATTGACAATTCAAATCTTATTGAAGCTGATCCTCGTAAGGTTTGTGTTTGCAGCTAAAGGGGTTGCGCAGATTCGTACGTTTAGTTTCAACATGACAGTTTGATACCCTCTGTTAAAATAAATAATGCATTTAGATATCATGTACATGAAATGTGATTTTTAATATTGTGCTGCATCCGAGTTCTACTGTCAACGGATAAAATTTGTGTTGCATAGAAAACGTCTTTATCATCATAGATATTGGCAATAGACGAATATACAATTGCTGCGTAGATATTGTGATGTGAATCTTTGCAAAGTACGTTTTCATCTAATCAAATTGCAAGAGGCAGTGATATTTCGGTGATTTTTTTGCTTACTTTTGCAAAGTTAGATTATGTGAAACTATGTGTAGTTAAACTTTGATTTTGTTGATTTGGCATGCTAGTGTGATATATTTCTCAGAAATAGAGTCTAATGTTATAAATAAGAATATTTGTCAGATGTGTAGCTGAATTGTTTTTCATCTATTTTATTTACCCCATCTTTACTGAACTTTTGCATCTATTTTACATTATTTTTTAGATTCAGTCATTGACTGCCGATGGCGGTAAATTAAAGTGCTCGTTACCTTTGGTTCAAGGAAGAGATTTTGAAATTGTTCCTGAGCTTATTTGGAGGACGTTAGTTCAGTGGTACACTGGTTCACCTGCTTTGCCAAGAAATGTAAGTCAATAAATACGTTAGTTCAGTGGTACACTGGTTCACCTGCTTTGCCAAGAAATGTAAGTCAATAAATACGTTAGTTCATTGGTACACTGGTTCACCTGCTTTGCCAAGAAATGTAAGTCAATAAATACGTTAACTCGGCTACATTTAGTGCAGATATCTACGGTAGATAAAGACTTCAGCTTCATTTATTTTGTCATTCTACGAAAGGCGTCTATCAACAACATTGTTCTGCATTGTCTTATTTTAGGTTATAATCTCTTCCGATGGAGAACCATCACCTACATTAGAACTCTTTCCTAGAGTCCTAAAACTCTATCGTCACAGTAACATGTCTACAAAAAGTGGCTTCTCGACCTGGTCAGGCATTCATCTTGGCTTGAGCGGTTTTAATGTTGCTCAGGCAGGAAGTGGCGGGATTTCCCCTCATGTGGTCACACCGAGACGACAGTTTAGTTACACGGCTACTTTTAGTAGAATGAACACTCTGCAACAGGTTCGTTTTTTGTTTGCTAATGTTGTGTTTGTTATAAAATGCGAACCTTTCTTGTTGGTCAGATGTACGTAAACATGATATCTTTGAGTGTTTGTGAAGTGGTCGTCGACCTATCAGTAGAAAGTTTAGTGTTTTGCGTCTCACCAGGAATAAATAAAGAGCTATAAAGTTTTAGCGGCTTAGGAGAAAATTAAAATATTTCCTTTTACAAACTTCTAAAATTGGTAAATTATATGTATCATAAATTTTTTATGCTTCTGATGTTTTTCAGGTGTTCGACTTTGTTTGTCAAAGGCTTCGTTTCAGATGTGAAGATGTTCGACTGTGGAACATGGCGGACGAGGTGAGATGACATCTGTTGAGCTGTGTAGTAAATACGCAACTCTTACTACCGCTTACGGCTAGGAATTTCTCCAATTCTCCATTTCGTATCTTAATTATACCTTGTAAAGTAAAAATTTACCTTAAAAGTATAAAAACCTTACAAGAACTGTTGAAAAGTTAAACTGTTGAAAAGTTACTGTTTTCACATTATTATTATTAATATTATTATTATTACGAATACTTTTACTGAGTGAAAACTCAACAACGTAATAAATAGCGCTGTTATCAAAGAGGTCCTGTAAAAGTTATTAAATTATATAAAACAAACATGTAAATAAATAAAATATAGGAAATAGTAAAAATAACGTTGACGTACGTATCTGTTTTGTTTCAGAACAATCTTCAACTTTTGGACGAAGATCAGTTCTCGCAAACACTTGAATCACTTGGAATTGTTGATGAACATCCAATATTAATTGAAGGTACGTTATAGTTCGACAAAATGAAGTTTCTGTTTTCATCAAAGGTAATTTTAACTTTTGATTAAGATAATCAACATCCCTGTGGTTATTTCCTTTAAATGTGAATTGCACTTAATCTCATTTAAGTTTGAAATAGGTATTGAATAAATAAAACATAAAACAACTTGTAAATTATAACTTTCACAAAGCTATTTTTATCATAGATTTCCAAATACAATAAGCATGTTTCAAATGCAGATGTTATGCATTTAACTGAGCTTTATTTCTATTTACGTACCTCTTGTATCATCGAACTCTTAACTTCACCCATTCGTAGGCATTTACGTACCTCTTGTATCATCGAACTCTTAACTTCACCCATTCGTAGGCATTTACGTACCTCTTGTATTATCGATCTCTTAACTTCGCCCATTCGTAGGCATTTACGTACCTCTTGTTTCATCGAACTCTTAACTTCACCCATTCGTAGGCATTTACGTATATGTGCATGATTTTTTCAATCTTCAATTTCTATATTTTAGTTCGTAATCGTGACATGAGTTGGCCTGAAGAAATGACATCTATGGCTTTAAATAAAGCAATACGTGACAAAAGACCACATGGTTTGTTCATATTTAATTGCTTTAAATTGATACTTCGTGACACAGTGTATGTCTTCTTGTGCTGTTAAAATACATGACTTATGTTGAGGTAAATATTGGCAATAGGATTTGCTCAATGATTTTGCCAACATATCTCTAGTTTTAAATCAATAGTATTGGGTGCATTTTCAATGTGTTAAAGACTGTCCTGATGTTTCCACATCACACGTCATGTGAATTTTGCCTGTGTTAAAGATTGTCCTGATGTTTCCGCATCACACGTCATGTGAATTTTGCCTGTGTTAAAGATTGTCCTGATGTTTCCACATCACACGTCATGTGAATTTTGCCTGTGTTAAAGATTATCCTGATGTTCCCACATCACACATCATGTGAATTTTGCCTGTGTTAAAGATTGTCCTGATGTTCCCACATCACACGTCATGTGAATTTTGCCTGTGTTAAAGATTGTCCTGGTGTTTCCACATCACACGTCATATGAATTTTGCCTGTGTTAAACATTGTCCTGATGTTCCCACATCACACATCATGTGAATTTTGCCTGTGTTAAAGATTGTCCAGATGTTCCCACATCACGCATCATTTGAATTTTGCCATTAATGCTTGATTCTTTATTCTTAGGTAAAGGTATGACAGGTCTAAGTAATTTGGGAAACACTTGTTTTATGAATTCAGCCATTCAATGTATGAGTAACACTGTACCATTGACAAGTTACTTCACCGAAGGATATCATATGTACGAATTGAACAAGTGAGTGAGGAGCAAAACTGCCATTGGCTACCGATGATAAATTTCAATACAAAATCACCAAGACGACAAACCTTCATCACGAGCATTAAGAATTGCGCTAAACTTAAATGTTTTTTTTTCCTCTTCGTCTCACTGTTTTTGTTGTCAGTGACATTGTGTAGAAAATTTCTGACATTTTAAGTATTTTTTGTATATTTTTAAGATCCAATCCACTCGGCATGAAAGGTAATATTGCGTTGCGTTATGGCGAGGTTGTTCAAGATCTTTGGAGTACAAACTATCGTTCAATTGCTCCTCTAAAGTTAAGAGTAAGTACTTTATGTTAAGACTAGGTATAACTAGTTGTATAGTCATGCTTCTGGATATTACATTAAATCATTCTAGGTGTTGTATTGTAACATGCATTGTTTTGTTTTGTAACATACTAGATGTTTTAAAATATGGTATGTGTTGTGTAGAAACATGCTAGGTTTTGTATTTTAATATAACATTGTGTTGTTTTGTGACATTCTAGATTTTGTGTTAAAATATGTTAGGTATCGTGTTAAACGATTCTGGGTATTTGCAACAAAACTCGTGAATGCTTATCGATTTATTTTTAAATTTGATCATAGTGGACTATTGGTCGTTATGCTCCTCGATTTAATGGTTTCCAGCAACAAGACTCACAGGTAATATTGAACTTCTGCGTAATATTGAATCTGACCACAGGTAATATTGAACTTCTGCGTCGAAAAATCCTTGAATCGACAGAGAATAAGTTTCTTCTAACTAAGTTATCTTCACCCGCCAAGATTTTATCAAATGTTCTCAAATGGAGAGTGCGTATCCATGTTAAATTCCAAGAACGTTAGTCTTTCTTAGTTTAAAAGAGATTCGCTCCATTACTACCCTGTTTCCTAGGAAAAGTAAATCTTGTCCAATTTTACCACAGGAATTTCTGGCATTTCTTCTGGATGGCTTGCACGAAGATCTTAACAGGTTTAGTCGATGCATTGTTTTTTATTTTGTTTGTGGGTAAATATCATTTTGAACATGATTAACGTGCATAGTTCTTAATGAAATGTTTTTATTTGTGTGTAAATATCAGTCAGAATATGACAGAGGTGTTTTCATGGTATATTTCTCAAATATGCGCTGTCGAATATTTTTTGTAATTATTTCTCCGTTATCTAATGACCTGTCACAAAAACATCATCATCGAGACCGATTGTTAAGCTTAAACGTGTATTGAACAGCTTGAAAAATGTAGCAGCCAATTTATTATTTGTCTCGCTCATTGATATTCATTTTTTTTTATTTCAGAGTTCAGAGTAAACCATATGTTGAGTTAAAGGATAGCGACGGAAGACCAGATGAAGATGTTGCTCATGAGGTGCGTTAAATTGCATTTAGTGATTACAAAAAATCTGGACTAACCTATCTTGGATGGTGTTGCAAACAGAAAGAGTTTTAGGAAAACATTTACATGCGTTGTTACTTTTGTTATTATAAGCTTCAATTTTTGGAAATATTTTAAATTGTGTAGGCGTGGGACAACCATTTAAAGAGAAATAAGTCGATTGTTGTTGATCTTTTTCAAGGTCAGGTACGAGCAAAACCTCACTTTTCCCATGTAACGTATCCTAGTGTATCTGCTTTACGAAGAGTCATTCTCATAATTCAGTTTGAAACCTTATACAACAACCTTCTCTAATATTATCTTTATTGACCTTTTCATTTACACAAACATGTTTATTTTTAAGTTGAGAAGTTGTGTTCGTTGTCTGAAATGTGACCACGTCAGCGTTCGCTTTGATCCATACACATTTTTATCATTACCCATTCCTATGGATAATTCTATTTACGTCGAATGTATTGGTGAGTTTTTATTGTATTATGAATAATTATGGATTACTAATATATCTATGGTTAACTCTTTTACATCAAATGTACTTGTTCTCAACCTTTTTGGTTCGGTGAACGAAAGATTAAGTTTTATATAGTGTGTAAACAAAATACGTTCCTTTTGCTCTGATGATACCGGTTTGGGCAATCGATCTTTCACACAAATTTTAAAACTACCATGTAGAATTTTTTCCTGTGTATTATAGTTGTTGCTCTCGATGGCAGTGTTCCCGTGAAGTACGGCTTGTTGTTAAACACAGAAGATACATACAAGACGTTGAAAAAAGAGTTAGCCAGACTTTGCTCTTCGACGCCCTCTCAGCTTTTAATGGCCGAATTACTGGGAGCCGTCATCAAGGTAAAACATATATATACAAGGCATACTGATACACTGACAATGATGGATGATTTAGTTGCACAGTTTACTTTAGTTACTCAGAAAAACAGTTGAGTACAATTTGTGAGCGTTATGTTCGATGTTAATGCAGTAAAAACTTAATATACAAAATTTAATGTTTCTTTCAACTTGTAAAAACGCGCTCTTCTAGTCCCTTACTTGCTTATTGCTACACTCGAATACTCTTAGCGATTGGATCCAAAATTTCTGCAAATATATTTGTTGAAAATCCAAATTCAACATTTCACTAATTCATGACCACATTTTTTATAAAAATCCAATAGAAAGTCTTGTTCTGTTTTCCTGTTGTATTCACACGGAGTAATTTCTTTCTGTTTCTTTGCATGTGTAGGGACTTCCTTGGATAATCAAAAAGTGCGGTGTAGCCTATCGGGAATGATGTACGCCTTTGAGATCCCACTGCCTTCTACCATTGAGGAAGATAACCGTCCACCAAGTGTCGATGCTGTTAGTATTGGAGAAGCAACTAGTGAAGAGATGACTGTAGACGATGATACGCAATCATTGCATTGTCCAGAGACGAATAATGAAGAGACAAGCGTTTCTTCGACTGCTATGTTATGCAACGAATCTAGTAATACTCAATGCGTTCGAAATGTCAGTCAAAGCAGCTCTGAGAGAAATCACGGTGGATCATTAAAAATTCCATGTATTAGTAGACAGACATCTGATGAAGGCTTGGACAACGATACGGTTACGTCCGGAAAAAGCAATGCTGGTTTTTTGAAACAATTCAGTCCGAGGTTTCTTCGAAGCATACCGAATAAAAAGAACTCTTCTTCATTTAGTGAAGGACTTGGTAGTCATTTAAGCATTGAAAGCTCAAAAACTTCTTATGCTCAAGCCAACGTCAAATCAGCGAATTCTTCAGATTCAAATGTTGCATCTAGCTCTATTACTGTCGCACATTCTGCTTCATCACAAGTATCTAAAAGGTCAAGTCGGACTTCTTATCTCATCGGTTTTCATCGAAAACTGGTAAATAGTTTAAAATTTTTATAATATATACATACAAAGAGTATTACAATGTGCCCTCCCGGCTATCACCATAGTAAAATGGTGACTCCTGCACTTGGGACACAGGACGTACGGTTACACATTGTATGGATTGTATTGTAGAGTCACCACAGTGCTCAAACCTATAAAGGTGAGCTTTGCATATCGCGAACACGGTGAACGTATAATATATACATATATATATTGTTGTCCCTGTGTATTGCTTATAAAAATAGGGTAAACGTTACTCTTTAGTGTGTTGAGTGTATCATCTTGTCAAAAACATGTTATACGTCTACAATGGGAAACTTGATTACTTGGGAAAAATGTAATTGATTGAAGAATCATTGGTTTATAGATACTTAATGTTAAAGCACCTTAATTGTGTGAATATATACTTAAACTGTGCGTATTTGTTTCTGTTGTATAGATGAGATTAGATGTGTACTTCATCGCTCCACAGAAGAATCGTCGAAGTTTGTTTGGATATCCACTCATTATACCGTGTTGTCCGAATACAAAGAATAGCGAGTTGTATTCAAGCGTCTGGCGGCAGATATCTCGTTTTGTTAGCGCACATCCGCCAGGAGACGATTCATTGTCAAACAGGTTTGTTTGTTATTCTTCAATTTCGTCAGGTTACTATAGCAACTCATGTTTACGCCCTCTCGTATAATAATATAAACGTTTACTATTTTTGTAATATTTAGTGAGCAAGGCTATCCATTTCAATTGAAAATCGTGGATGAAAACGGTCTTGTCTGTGCTCAATGCTGTTGGTTTAAGTAAGGAAATATTTATTATCGTAAATTTGATTTACAAACATCATGTGGACCATATGTGTTCGATGAGATTTAAAAAATTAGAAAAATCATTTCGTGATAAAATGAAGTTTCCTTTCTTGGAAATTTTCGTGATAAAATGAAGTTTCCTTTCTTGGAAAATGTTTTTGAATACAGCAATCAACTTGATACTGAGAAGTCAACTTCAAGCAACGAAAACTCGTCTATTTTGTGTAATTTTATTTCCTGATAACTATAGGGAAACAGCATAGCAATGGGGAAAAAGATATTTAAAAAAGGCAACTGATAAATGCTTTCATTAACTTTCAATGGATGTTTATAAAAAGGGATGAAAATTTTGTAATTTAATGGTAAATATTTGGGTACAATATGGGTGATCTTGTACTTGTAATTTTTTCTGAACGATCGATGACAATTGTTGAGAAAGTGTTCTGCCGATCGTGGTGCTATAAAAATGTTAAACTTTTTATTTAACACATTTTCTTCGTTTTCCACAGGTTTTGTCGCGGTTGCACCATCGAATGTAATGATAAAGAATTTAATTTTGATTGTCATTACGTTGCCATTGAATGGGAGCCTACAACTTTACATTTACGGTACCAATCTTCTCAGGAAAAGGTTCGTTTTTGACACTATAATTACAAAATGTATTTCATATCTTGCTGTATGTCAAAGATGTTAGAAGACTCAAAGTTACGTACTTAGTTAACTGTCAGAAATAGATTTCTTGTTAAACCATTCCTATTTTCACATCGTGGTAATATTTGCATCATTTAAACATTAACCATGTACATACTCATACGTCATATTAGGAAATAAACTTCTTGTTAAACCATTCCTATTTTCACATCGTGGTAATATTTGCATCATTTAAACATTAACCAAGTACATACTCATAGGTCATACTTGGAAATATACTTCTTGTTAACCCTTCCTATTTTCACATCGTGGTAATATTTGCATCGTTTAAACATTAACCATGTACATACTCATACGTCATACTAGGAAATAAACTTCTCGTTAAACCATTCCTATTTTCGCATCGTGGTAATATTTGCATCGCTTAAACATTAACCAAGTACATATTCCTAGGTCATACTTGTATTTTCACCAGGTTTTTACTGAACATGAAAGTGTTGCAGAAAGTCGTCGTCTTCAAACTGAACCCATCGACCTTTACGAGTGTTTCAAAGCATTCACAAAGGAAGAAGAACTCGGAGAAGATGAAATGTGGTGAGTTTATTTTAAGATTTTATTTACAATGAATTAGTAAATATTTATTTCACTCTAACTTATAAATCTCTGTGTCACAAGCTATTAGCAACTTTTTTGTTTGTTTAATGAAAACAATGGACGCTGTAATTTGTCGGCAAATTGTATGTTTGACATCTTTGTCTCTTTTGGAATAGCATGAACAGCGTTTCTATGTTGTGTGCTGCTTTTGTTGTGTGTTACTTTTGTTGTGTGTTGCTTTGTTGTGTGTTGCTTTTGTTGTGTGCTGCTTTTGTTGTGTGTTGCTTTTGTTGTGTGTTGCTTTTGTTGTGTGTTGCTTTTGTTGTGTATTGCTGTTGTTGTGTGTTGCTTTGTTGTGTGTTGCTTTGTTGTGTGTTGCTTTTGTTGTGTGTTACTTTAGTTGTGCGTTGCTTTTGTTGTGTGTTGCTTTTGATGTGTGTTGCTTTTGTTGTGTGTTACTTTTGTTGTGTGTTACTTCTTCACTCGATTATACTTTTTGTGTTTTGTGAAATTTCTCGTTTTCGACTACATGAACATAATACTCTTCTCTAACAATTACTTGATACTCAGATCATTACAGGTTGAATCTTGAAGATTGCTTTGACCCGTTTAGGTATTGCTCAAAATGTAAGAAGCATCAAATGGCCTGTAAGAAATTAGACATATGGAGTCTTCCGCCTATTCTGGTCAGTTCAAATCTTGCAAATATTAAGAAAATTATATTTTGTACATAGAGAGAACCATTTTCTGTTTTTATTCCGTTTAGATTTACAAAATAAATATTGTATCGATTAATTTGGACAGATTTTCATACCTTCCAAAAAGCATGTACTTTCCTTTTGTTTTTATTTTTTAGATTATTCATCTTAAACGATTCCAGTTTATGAATGGTCGTTGGGTAAAGTCGAACAAGATCGTTAATTTTCCTATGGAATACTTCGATCCATCTGAGTTTGTTGTCAAACGTTCAGCGGAAGATGCAAAATGTGTGAAAACAGTTAACGTACAAACAGCTGTTGATAATAATCTAGAAAATACTGGAGAAGATTCTCATCAAGAGTCTGATAACATGATTTTGGACCAGGTAATTGCTAATATTCCAAAATCTGTTTTCGTCAATTAAATACTCAGTCATTTCGCACTCACATCAGAACGATTGTCGTTTGCTTTAAAAACATAGCAATACTTTATCTAAGCTACTTTATCTCTATGCATGTACCTTATGAGGTTTCATTGCATTTTAAGATTTTCACGTGTTTTTAGGATCTTGTCGACTTCGAGATGCAACAAAAGAGTTCCAATGATTCAGGCTTGACTTCAGGCACTTCAAGTACAGAATCGTCCATCGAAAATGAAGATAGCTCTGGTTGTCTTTATGAGAATGGAAGGGATCGTGAAAAAAGGTCGAAAAAACATGAGTTGAAGGAGACGAGAGGTGAAAGTACTGACGATGACATGCAATGCGACAGGTCTCTAAAGAATAACGATGAATCAAATGGTATAGATCTCTCGTTATCTAATGACATTTCCAAGATATCTAATGTGAGACTTTCTAAGCGAGGTTCCATAGTGAACTCGTTACCTTCAAGTGGAGCTTCAAGTACAATGAGTGATGTCAACTGTATTGATAAACAGTTGTCAATTGTTACAAATATGGAAGCTTACACTTCGTCAATGCTTTATAATCTCTACACGATTTCGGTAAGTGGGTAATCTGCTTTCCTCAATGAATAAATGAAACAAAGATTTCTTGACTATCCTTTAAATCTGTTTTTATGATTATTGTTTGGTTACCCATTTTAGCACTTTTTTTAAGCCTTCAGCTTTCCGTCTACCGTAAGCAACATTTCACAAACATCCTTGTTATTCGTTTGTTTTCTTCTCTTACATAATACATTCGTGTACGTCCATCGTTTCTGTACGTCCATCGTGTACGTTTGCATCAGTCAAAAATTTTATAAAATACATTGTATTTAGAGTCACACGGGTGTTATGGGAGGTGGTCATTACGTTTCGTTTGCGAAGAATCCAGACTCTGGATGGTATTGTTTTAATGACAGTAGTTGTAAGGTTAGTACTGCATTATTATTTGATGGTATTGTTTTAATGGCAGTAGTTGTAAGGTCCTTATTGTATCTTTTAATTGTAAACGCGTTTGATATTTGACTCATCTGTCACGAATGACAAATGTTGTTCAACACTTCCGTGCACACTTGGAAATTTTGTCGATCACACTTGTCACGAATAACAAGTACGCGCAGCAAGTTTAGCAGTGTGCGGCGGGCTTTAGTGCCGATGATTAGTGTGCTCGCTTATCAATTAATACGACATTTATCAGCGATTTCTTTTGTATGAACAAACCCCTCTCGCCCCTTTCGATATGTTTTTCTATTTGTAAGAAAGATGTATGCCAAAAATGTATAAAATTATATTGTTATTTCTTACCACTAGGCGGCCATAACTCGTCTGAAAAACTTTAGCTATTGCTCATTAGTTGTGTAAGATGGCTAAAGTTAGTTGGTTGTTATTATTTAGGAAACAACAGCAGAAAGAGTTTCCAGAGAGTCCCCATATTTATTGTTTTATGAGCGCGTTGGTGTTCGTGAGGAAAATTTTAAACCAGACATTTGTGATCGCAATCAAGAGTCGCCAAAAGACGATGATGAAATCGAGAAAGAAATGAAGAAAGCTTGCGTTCTGCAATAAATTAGATGATGACGCTTTATACCTCAAGAAAGTCGTTATTAGCGTTGTCTCCAACGTGAACGGTTCATTTCCGCTGTGCAAAAAGCTTGTCAGGCTTATTGTAGCCCAACTTAAATGATTCCACATTCACATTTTCCGCGAACCACGTTCCTAACTACAAATTTAATATTTATTTTGTGCTGAGTTGCAATGATGTCTAACAATTTTTAAATTGATTTTGGGGCAAAATTAATGAATTCATTATGCATGAACTACATCAAGCAATTTTTGTATTAAGACCTTTCTTATCGTAAAGGTGTTTTCTATCATTCAATTTCAATGCCCGAATGGTGTATTGTCGAATTTGTTTTTATGTCTGCCGTTATCTGATATTCCTGGTTTGTATTGAAAAAGAGCGATGTCAAATCAAACACAAGCTTTATGATTTTGTTTTTACCTAAACAACACTTACAACTTTCAGTACTTTTACCTCCGTGCATAGTAGCCATCCTGTATGTTTTGTCCTGCTTGTAAATTCTCAAATATTGTAGCTATCCATTTCTAAGAAATCTATTGTTTTTGCAGTGACCAAATAATAAAATATTTGCGTAAAGCTAGTAAGGAATAATAGGTGCATGGTTGAATTCAACAAGCCGTTTCGTAAAAACTATCTACCTGTTCAAAATAACGATAGTATGCATGTTAACAGCATAGAAGCTGTTTAAAATTTTCAGAGGCCTTTTTGAAATCCATTGTGATTAAAAACAATGTGCATTTTAGGAAAATGAATGACTGCTGTTTGATACACTCTTTAGTGTCACTTAATTTGCACACCTTATTCAAAGCATGTGAAAAATATTCATTGTCTTTGTATAATTGTATTCAAGCAATTAATCTGACCAGCAGGTAAGAATAAAAGTTCTTGCTTCCTTTAATCTTTGCATTATCTTCTTTTTAGAATCAATTGAAAGGTTGACTTAAGAGCAATTGTAACCTCAGATTTGATTTCATCCAAAAACAACTAATTAAAATATAAAGATTTCGAATGACGTCAATTCGAAGAAGATTTGAACAAATTTGAACATAATTTTGGGTTTCGCTAATTTCTACAGAATATGACACGGTGTTGAAGTAATGCTGAAAGCAAAAGTCAATACATTTATACACAATTTGCTTTTCTTTTCTCTATCAAGATAGAGTTTGGTATGTGTTGTTGATTTGTATTTGTGTTGCGTTGTCTTGTAAGGTGCGTTTGTACATGAGTGATTTGAAATGAATTCAAGGCTGATATGCTGTTTGTAGATTTTATGACACACTTATGTAAATAGAAAAACTGAAAGTGATTTTATCATGAACAAAACACAATTAAAAAAGTACGACCAGTAAGCATGGGTTTTTTGATCTACCTTAACGTCGTAATCTTTCATTATTCATTTCTTTGGAACTCTATTGTTTTTCGATAAGTGAACACGAAAGAGGACAAGATGCTCCTTATTAGTCAAACGATCCATCGGTGTGGAAGAAATCCACTTAGTTACATCTCTTGTACATAGAGCGACTGTATGGTTTATTATGTTCAAAGCAAATATAAGAAAATTCTTATGAGCGCGATAAAAAGTCTGTACTTAATCTATAACTAGATTACGTGTTTATAAGGAAAGCACAAAACTTTTTTCTTTTTGACTATCTTCATTTCAAAGAAAAATGTGGGAAAAAAACACAGGTACATCTCCCTCGGCTGTGATATTTCATATTTTAGCCAGTTTTATTGGTTACTTTTTCAGAGCTCAAAAAAATCCTTACCAATAAAATGCTAGAACCTTATGGAGATCAGCCAATGAAATGAAGCCACTAGTTATCACGTCAATCACTTTTCACAATCACAGTCTGGAGCTAGATGCCCTCAAGACTCGAAAGCCAAAGGTACGTTTGTGAATTTTTAATAATTATATAAGAAAAGGACTTCAAATGTCTATGAATTCGATGACAATAGCCTTGTTTGATGTACAATTACGTATTGTTTTACTTGTAAATCTTTTGGTCGATTAATTTTGTCCAATTTGACGTTAAACTGCGTGTCTTCTTCAGTGTGTTTGCTTCGCAAGAGAACCTTGTTAGTATAAACGACAAGTTTGTGTTTTTGAAATTCTTTCTTTAAGTTTTACATTTGTGCGTTGCCTGTTGCAAGTATTTGAAATGTGTTGAGGTGAAATTTTATTGAATAGTTTATTTTCAACGAGTATTTGTGAACGATATATTTTCAACGACCAGTGTCAACGACAGACTTTGCGACCGACATCTTTTTCGTTTCAACGCAAAAATATTAGTAAAGTACAGGTAAAAAGTTGCAGCATGGCTAACTAAGGGATAAGCAGGGTATTTCTTTTTCCTTGAGTTGAGTCTTGTCGATAAAAAATGTTCCTATAAACGAAAATTTTAAAGATATTTGAAAAAATATGAAGATGTTTGTTCATGTTGGACGTTGGACTTTCAATTATATTGGCGCCTTTTTCGTTCCGCGTGAAAATGAAGAACACTGGGCACAAATTATGTAAAATTAACCAGCTTGACTATAAAAACAAATTTTCAACCAAAACACCAAAACATCTTTGTGTGGAGTGGGGGCACAAGCAAAAACGTATAGAATAAAGAAATTCAAAGGCGTAAGCCTTTAAGGTCTGCAGGCTCTTCAGTTAAATATGCTCAAATGATAGCAATTCTAGTTAGCAAAAAGATTTTTAATCAAACATCAATGAAAGATAGTGATGATAGATAAGGCTACTTTAGTAAAAATCAGAAGAGTTCATCATTAAAAATATGACTATTTTTGAAACATTTTGCCAATAAACGTGTTTGAATTCTATAGGAAAAGATGCTAATTTCCTCTTGAAATTTAACTATGAGCAGTCATGAAGAATGCAACCAAAGTCGTATACCAAAGTTGAAACATAAAACAAAAAGCTATGGAAAGAATAGGAAAAGAAGTAAGGCTGGAAACTCAAAATTATTTGTCGTTCAAACTTTCATTGATTGTCTAATTTCTTTTATATGAAAACGGTTTTGAAAATTTTTATTGTGATGCACATCTTCAAATGGGCGAAACACAGAATTTAATTTCATTTAATTTGAATTGATAGGATACTCAAATGAAAGTGACATTCTGATTGAGAGTAATTTTATAGATTTACTTGTGCACACATTAAAAAATTTTTCGACTTTCCTATCCAAAACTGCACGAACAAGTTTGTTTTAATATTCTTATTATATAGCCACAATCATTATCTTCATATTTTGTTGCAAGTGCATGAGTATTATTTCAAAACAAAAAGCAGCTATGTTTAAAGTATGAATGCAGAATGAGCAGACAATAAATCAAAACTGTTGTTGTAGACGATATATCGTAAAACAACGTTCAATGGCATATAAAGAATCTATAAGTTTTCTTACTTTTAAAATGTATAACATATCAAAAGAAACGCTGATTGGAAGAAATCTATTCATGATGTATACATGTTGTACTTGCGCCTACTGGCAGCTTGAAGCTTGCATTAGCCTACTATTTTAATTTAGTAAAAAACTCCCCTAGTAAAAACAAATGTAGTGAACGATCTACATCAAAAATCTTGCTTTATTGGCATATCAAGAGTCTATAAGACTTCCTTGTTTTGAAATGTATAAAATATCACAAGAAAGATTCACTGAAAAAGTTTACTCATTGCATAAAAGTAAATATTGAGAACATTTTCAAACCAAATGCTGTGGGGTTTAGAGTAAGGATTATAAGACTATTTGTCAAACTTGTTGTGAACGAATGATATGAAATGGACGTTTATAAGAGCAAATAAAGAAGTCTATAGGACTTTGTTTGAAATTAAAAAAAAACATTCATTGGAAGAGATCTGTTTATGAAACAAAAAGTAAATTTCATACTTATCCATTCACCAGCCACTTGAAGTCTTCATTTACCAACTATATTCCTTTATTAATTAGACAAGTAAGTAAAAGTATTGTTATAAAATGTATCTATGAAAAAAAAGTTCAAGAATATATGTATAAAATATCTGCAAAACGTCTAGAACACTTACAAACGTCTCAAAAGTGTTATCATTTCGAAGAGGTCACTTCTGGAACCACAAGCTCACTATATTTAATCAGAACAAGAGAATTGTTAAGACTTTATTATTCCAAAGCCATAATCAGAGTATATACATAATATTAATCCTAACACGGTTTTTATATGAACATGAAAAATATGTGACTTGGACGAGATTTCAACTTGTACCTTCGGGATACTAGTCCGCCGCTCTACCTGTTGAGCTACCAAGCCCACAGGGATTATAGACGAGTCAAATATGTTTAAACTGCGTATGGACGAGAGATTCTCGCCACGCTAGCAGTTTTCCTGGATGGCACCGTGTTTAGACTTTATTTCCAAAGCCATCATCAGAGAATATACATAATATTAATCTTAAAACGTTTTTTATATGAACATCAAAAACATGTGACTTGGACGACATTTCCACTCGTACCTTAGGAATACTAGTCCGCCGCTCTACCTGTTAAGCTACCAAGCCCACAGGGATTGTAGACGAGTCAAATATGTTTCAAGCTGCTTATGGACGAGAGATTCTCGCCACGATAGCAGTTTTCCTGGATGGCACCGTGTTTAGACTTTATTTCCAAAGCCATTATCAGAGAATATACATAATATTAATTTTAGCACGGTTTTTATATGCAGGTCTTTAAATTTTTCTTTTTTTCATTTTCTTGATATTTATCTATCTGATAAAAATTAATCTATCTGACAATTCTCTGCATTCGTGACACTTTCAAAAGAAGAAAAACGTTGCATTTGAAAAGTGCTCTGAAGAACTCAAACAATGGAATTTTCTGCCCCATCAGAAATTCGTCATTCTCACCTGCAACGGAAGACATTGCACTTCAACAAAAATGCCCTAACCACTGGCCTCAACGCCTGAAGACGCTGCGCTTGCAAGAATTGATGAAGTCACTTCATCGATTTTTACAAGCGCAGCGTCTTCAGGTGTTAATTGAAGTGCCTCTACAACGAAAGACACTGTACGTGCCATCGTGATTTGATAAACGTCCCAAACCTCTAAAATTGCTTCAACACCTGAAGACTCTGCACTTACAAGAATTGGTAAAGTGCCTCAAAATGGAAGATGCTACCATTACAAGAATGGATGAAGTGCTGCAACATCTGAAGACGTTGCGCTTGCAAGATTTGATGAAGTGACTTCATCAATTCTTGCAAGTGCAGCGTCTTCATGTTGATTGAAGTGCCTCTACAGCGAAAGACAATTTGCTATCGTGATGTGATAAACGTCCCAAACATTTAAATGCTGACATCTATCTGTTGAAAAAAATAAAAATAATATGAAGTGGTACATGACAAAAGATAAAAAAAGAAAATTTGTGACGGAAAATAAGATGAAATGATGCAAGACAAAGATTTTTTGAACTCTATAACTATATTTGTAAATACATTGCCTGTCACTTTGGCGCATTCATGATTTTTGAAAACTTCCTGTTGTTGGTGTAATCTTTTTCTACATGTTGATTTCTCTTCAAGATGAAGAAATGATATCAGGTAGGATGAAAATTAGATGATGTATGGACATTGACATTAAAACTGCCTCAAGACTCTGTCACGTGTATTTTAGCAAAAAGCGTGCATTAGTCACGAGTTATGGTGCTTTATCCAATTATGGTTTGTTTTGCTACATAATGCAAATATTGAAGTTATTCATGATGATGACATTGTGTGGAAGTTCTAAAAAAGCCATGATGAAGTATGATCTCAATATGGAAATAAATCATCCATGATCCATCCCGAATATCACCGAGCATAACATATGTTTTGGTAATTGGTTATTGATACGTTTGATTATTTACTTGCAGTTTCTGCAAAGCTGGTTACATAAAAAGTAGACGATCATATCGTGAATAAAGATTACTCAACAAGTCAATATAAGAATCTCCCGAAAACCATTTGAAATGTTGCTTCAAATGAACAAATGACTCAATACGGCATAACAAGCAGCATTGCACAAATTGAATTTAATTAAAATTATAAATGTCTGAAATATCTTGCTTGATGATGATGCACTATAAACAATCTTCGCTTTGTGTTCGAATTGATTAAATTTTGAACCATGCAAGATGCTCGTCAAACACGCGAAAATGAAAAAAAAGGTCAAAACGTTTAAAAATGTTTTTGAATAGGCAGTCTAATAAACTTTGTAAACATAATTAAGGCCATAAAAAATGCGAACATCGTAAAAATAACTAGTAAAAATAGATAAGAAGATCCCATGTTAATATGCATCTACTGACTGGTTTTCGTAGATCTCTGAGGGTTTTCCTCCGGCAAAACGCTGGTTCCCTCATCTTTAGAGAATTGCTCTAAAGAATAACAAAAAAAGGGTGGCCATGTCTTCTGCAGTCGGGTTAGATTCGCAATCTATACGAAGAAACAAGAATTTAAAATTTCGTATTTCTGGAATCAGATACCTATAATTACTATGACAACAAACAAAAACAAATACATTTTTTTTAAGGAAGCTGCCAAGTTTCGTCATTGATTTAATTGAACATCAATTTTAACTTATACATTCTGACAGATTTAGAAACACTTCATTCTTATTTCAGAGATGATTCTATATTCCTAGCACATGAAATTAGCTCCACAGGAGCTTTTCAAGCATACAACTGGAAGAAACTTAGTAAGAAGGATTTTCAAAAGTTGTATCCTGTACGAAGAAGTTCTTACTAAGCCGTAAATTGTCGTTGTGCTGCTCTTGCATTATGAGAATTTGTCGCAAATTCTTCGCTATTTTACGTCTAGTATGATGATAATTTAAAGCAAGCAACACAAGCGAGTGGCTCGCAGGAGAATTCACGAAAAGGAAAAAATAATGCGTGAGTAAAATTAGATTTTGTACGACAGATTGCTGTGCTTTAACTCCGATTTTTATATTTTTGCTTTGTTTATTTATAGAAAATATGAAACGCTAAACAACTTACCAGTTGAGGAAAGGGAAAGTCATGCTATGCTTATAAGTCAGCTGAAGTGAGTAAACTGTAATTAAATTTTACCGCTTACAAAACCTTCAAGAGAAAGTTTACAGCTGAATGAATGTTGCTGAAAACAAGCAGTAACGGTTGTTACCAGCTCAATTTAATACAAACTATTACCTATTAAAATATTTTATCACAGCGTCAGGATCAACAAATTCTAAGAAACACGAAAAACTAAAACAAAACACTTTTTGCTCTTTTGATTGTTTTGTTTGCCAGAAAGATTTTTTTACCGGATCAAGAGGTTTTCCCTCCACGCCCACTACGAAAAGGAACACTGTTTCTACAAATGACCAAAAATTTTTATATTTTGAATGAATTATTTGACCACTGCAGTCTGCACATAGTTTTTTTACGTGGATTGTCATCTGAAATCTCTGTTCACGTAATTAGATTTCCTTGAAAACGGTACCATATAAAGTCTGTAAACGTTTTGATTTATATGCAGTATCGATCTATTTGACTCATATTACGAAATTATTGCGTTTTAAGGCAATTATATGATAATTCTTAAGCAAAAGGTTTATTAAACATATCATTGGTTCACAAAGTTGATATCATATGTAGTTTAGCAAAATTTACGAAGTAGCTGTGTGCCCGATCCATATATTTATTTTCTGAAATTTAGAAACAGTATGGCCATCTCAAACTCTATCTAATGCGTTTCTATGGCATTTATTAACACATTATAAGCCATAAAAACTTCTACATATTTTTAACACGATAATTAAAATCTAATATTGATAAAGTATTAAAACGCTTATTTATTTCATATGGCTAACACGTATGGCTAACGCATATGGCTAACACGTCATATCGTTTGTAAATGAAAACTTCCTAGGACCTCGTAATTTATTTCATGCGCAAATGGATAGCACGTCATATAGTTTGTAAATGAAAACTTCCTAGGACCTCGTGATTTATTTCATGCGCAAATGGATAACACATCATATAGTTTGTAAATGAAAACTTCCTAGGACCTCGTGATGTTCTTCCAACTTTTTAATTTTCTAACATTTGAAAACACATTTTACTTGTCGGTCTTTGATCATGTTTATGCAACCAGCAAAACGTCATCAAATTTTGCATCATGGGAATGGTAATTTTATTTTGGTCATTTTTTGGTCTGTGACCTTTGATGACCTTTGATTTGAATTCCTCTTTCACAAGTGGCATGAGTTCCTCGAAAGCCACGACACCATACCACATCTCCCAAAGCATGATACCAAAACTGTAAATATCTGCAGCTTTTGTCATATGATGCAAGTTTTCCAGTACTTCTGGTGCATGGTAAATGATACTTTTTTCAGTTTCCTTGATTTCACCAACAATTCCAACATCAGATATCGCTGCTACGTCGTTGTCTTTTATCTAGAAAATGTCAATGTGTTAAAATCCATCTTTATAATGTAGTACATCAACCGTGTAAGCTGCCTGCTCTTTTTGAATGTTGTAAAACGTAGTAATCTAGGCGATTGTGTAATTTACAAAAAGTGTTAAGTTTTTTTTACCTAAATTTTGAAACAAAAATTGTTATATTCCACAGCTACATTTTGATAATTCAAAACACAGTTTCCTTATTTTTTTAAGTATTTTTATTGCAACACTAACTGTGACAGCAACACTTCTTACATTTGCCATTTGTGGAAAAATCACAGAGAGAATATGTCTTGAATAAAGGTCCCGCAACTCTTAATTTATTTATTCAATTGTAATTATATTCAATCATTATACTTTATTCCTTCACTGGATTAAATGATAAAATTTCTGAAAGTTTTCGTAGATCTGTAATTTGTTGTTTAACTTTATTAGTTATCTTAGCATTGATGGTGGGAATACTGTTATTGTTAAAATTTTTAATGCTGTTATTCGTTCGTTCTAAACAAAAAGGTACTTCTCTCATGGATAATTACGTTTGGATTATTTTAGCTGGTTTCAATGTGTTATCATAGGGTCGTTAAAATTAGATAATAATTCTACTAAAATTTATGTATTTATTTATAACAAAACCATTCAAGACCTCAAGGAAAGCAATTTAAAAAAGCCAAGTGATTAATTGAATCATTCGTAAACGCTGCAATATATGCTACAGTCTCAATTATTTAGTTCTTTAAAAAAATTTTTCGCAGTAGAACTCCAAGATTTTTCCCAACTATTATTGCCCAACATGTGTGATCATTGACTTAAATGTTTTAAAAATATTATTATGTAATATTTTTGGTCATCAATATTGAGCCATGGGTCATCATCATATTTTCTTTTTGCTTTTTTGCAAATGACATGTTGGTTATTGTGATTGAATATACTCGTTAACTAAACTCTTCTGGGTTTTCATTCTTTAGATGAGAAGAATTAAGGTACAAAAGTGAAATTGTTAAAAGCAGGCTAATTTGTGTGTGCATTAGCTATCTTTACTCAAAGTGTTGAAATGCATTTCTTGATATGTAAAATGAAAAGCATACGAACCAGAACATTTTCCAATTTAAGATGTCGATGTACGAGACCCCTCTCATGGACGTAGTTTAGCCCGTTTGCAATTTCTTTTGCCCATTTCTTATAATTCAATGTTGCAAAGTTGGTGTGGGATTGAGCTGGGACATTTTTGGATTGTCAAAATGACTCTCCGAAGGCTTTTCTTGCAAAGTGGCATTATGAAAATATACTTCTGTGGGTCATCTTGCTTCATCACTCCAATAAGTTGAAGAACGTTGTCATGTTTCAAATGTCTAAGTATACGTAATTTTGATAGATTAGTAAGGGCAATACTATAATTTTGTGTGCAATTAAGAACAAACTATATCTACCACTGCCATGATTTTAAAACAGTTGATAGTTTAATTTTTGCAATGCTATTGTACATGTTTGCATTGAAATTATTTGAAATTACAATGTTTGCTAGAATTAAAATAGAAAAATGATTCACTCTAAAGTGGTCAGGGAAATGTAAATTGAAACAATTACTCGCAGATGCTCTTGGACAGGTAGTTACGTATGAAAAATTATTGATTTTGGTAGATAACCTACTTGTTAGGGTAAATTTGACAATGAATTCCTAAAATACAACGCAATGTATCTGAAAAACCTTAGGATGGGGAAGCAAATAAAATTCCCCAAGAAAGTTAACCAATTCAATGAAAGTTGAATGAAATTTAAAAGACAAGCATAAAATATAATTACCTTACATCAAGTTGCTCATTCAAATAAAATCTTCCATTCATTTGGTCAAATGGATTTTTGAAAACTTTCAAGGCAATGTTTTCTAGTAATGGTATGGACGATTCAGACCGCTTCACAATTTTTCTTTTTCCGCGATAAACTTGAGCAAACTCTCCTTCTCCAATATGAGACAGAAGTTTAGGTTCCCATGTTAAATCACGTTTGTCTATTGTCGATGGAAACAACTTCAGTCCCAACGGTGTTATCTTATCTCTCAGTTCTTCGCTCCTTTCCTGAATAGGAGCATAATGATGTTCCATCTCCTGATTACTACGTGAATCATCACTCAACTTCTTCACCATTTTCTTATCACCTTCTACTACATGTGGAATGAGATTTGAATAAATCGACACAATCTCTTCAGTTTTATTTATTAGTGCTTGCGCCTCTTCAAGAATTGGTTGGGCTTTTTTTTCCTCCAAAAATTTTTTCGAGCGATGTCGCAAATATTGATAAGGGTTTTCTTCAAATTTACGCAATGCTTTATGGGAATTAACTTCCTTTGCAAATACAACTGTACCCAGTACTGGTGCACCAATAAGAACACCCGCAGCAGCAACGGGTAACCATATGGGCAGCATGGCTCCAACAAAACTTTTGTCGGGAGGGATTGCTGGCTTCGGCGTGTCAAATTTTCAGCTTGCCACTTCAGGCTATTGCCATCGTTTCCCAAACGGTCAAGTTCTTCTTTAAAGACGTGTAAGCTAAAGAGAAGATTCAATTTTTGTTGAGATTAAAGCTTGGGTGAATGAAGTCGTCGCAAACACACAGGGGAAAGCCAATCCCAGTCGTATACGATTTAAGTTTAACTTTGTTAGGTTATGTTTTTTAGGTTATCAATTAAAAATAAAAGTAGGCTTTCATTATTCATAATTACTGTACTTTGATCAATCACGATCAAAACAACCTTTTCAAGTAACGATCAATAGTTTCCCAGTGGATGTTTTCATGAATTTGTTCTTTCATTTCCCATTCATTTATAAGTTGCAAAAACTTTTCAGCAATTGATTTATCGATATTTCCTTTTGTCAATTTCCATTTGTGCTCGAGCATTTGATCCACATCATCGGTGTTCCAGGAATAGAATTTTTCTTCAAATTCACTCGTTTTTATGTATTCTTTCATCATATCAGAAAAAGGTTTTGTTTTAGATTGTAACTCTGTTCTTATTTTTTCGCTTTCATCCTCATTTTGACTTTGGATTTTTTTAATTCGACATTCGAGTGAATCTATTCTTTTGCGATTATTTCCTTGTACTAAATTAGCCTGGACTTTAAAGAAATTTGCCAACTTGAAAATCTGAGACAGAATCGTATCTAATTTCCTGAAACAACACAATCAGATACTGAAAATCAAGTTCAAAGAAAAAAGCTATAAATAAAAACTATGAACTGCATGATTGGCAAAAGCTAATATTACTTTTCAGCCATCATGAATAAGCTGAGCACAAATAATTTTTTCTCGCCACAACTAAATCATTCTTTTATCTCAGTTATTTAATATTTTGGAGGAGAACATGGAAATTTCCACTTATGGAAATCACCTACTGCAGATAAAAATCTATTTGATTTAAGCTGTTCCATGCTGCTTGTAGATAAAAAGCTTGTGATATACCGAATCTTGTGACCAACTTACTGCCAATTGTCGTACAGTCGAATGTCAATCGCACGTAGTATTAGTTGCCTAATACTGTCTAGTAATCTTTGAAACTCTGGAGAAATGCCGCCACATTCTTGCACTTTAATGGCATTTTTTGCAGATATTGTTAGAATGTGCTTCTTTGTATTGGCAACTTCCCAGCATTCAGCTAGCTGTTTTTCAAGATGTTTTCTTACGGAATCTTGCTCTTTCTTTTCTACTTGATCCCATTTATTTGCTACAAAAAGTGTGCATTCTGCGAGAAGGTTAATGCAATAACGGCCAGCATTAGACGTTTCAAGTTTCTCGGCCATTTTTTTCATCTGAAGAGATTAACATCTTATTATTAGCATGTGTTTGAATTGGTTAAATTAAATTCTGTGTTTTTGACATTTTTCATTTATATTTTTCAGAAATGTTTTCAATCTTCATGCCTAAAAACTTGAAAAAAGACAATAACTGTTGGCGCATCTTTAAGTTCAAAATATCAAAGCTGAAAATATCAAGTGTAAATAAAATCAGTATTGAAAACATTTATAACAAATAGTAATTTGCTTAGTTGTAGTTCATAAAATGCATCAGACATTAGCAATTTGGCTACCTCAATTTACATTTATTTGTGAATGAATCTTAAGTCAATCTTGAAAGTAGAGATTTTGTTGCAAAAAAATGCTGCAAAAGTTTTGAAGTACCTTCATTGTAGACTCTCTTTGTACACCACCAGCTCGTGCAACATCAAGAATATAAATATATGCAAAAGCATTTGGAAGATAGTTCATTAAAATTTCGTCCATTTTTTCTGATTCACCAAGACCTGGACTGTCCACAATAACAATTCCTTGCTGCAAAATACAAATGAAAGCTTAAGGAAATTGAAGAAAATTCTAACGTTACACACTGGCCTATCAAAGAGTAAAAATGTGTAGTTGTAAACCTTCAGCAAATCATGTGGCCAAAATATTTCTACTCTTTCAATTTCTCGTGTTTCCCTCGTGTTCTCGGGGTTAACATATGAACCGATTCGCTCAGCATAACTCTGCTCAGATTTTTCATTTCTTTCCAGAGTAACGACTTTGGGAGCACGTCGTCTTTTTTGTACGTTTTCATATTTATAGTGTACAATCATTTCCTTGTCTTTGCCAAATTTAACCTCGCATATTGTTGAAGTCGAATGAAGAGTATGATGCGGCACTGCATCTTCACCAAGAATCAAATTTAGTATAGTGCTTTTTCCAGCACTTGTTTCACCTTCACGAAAGAATCAAAACACATGATGTTACACGTGTAGTTTTACTAAAAACTTCAGGTGGGGCTTCTTTGTAAAAATAAAGTGAAGGAAAGATTTTTTGTAAATATTATGAAATGGAATTTCACCATAGTACATATGTCATTCCATATATAAATTAAAAGTTTAGAATGCGCTGAGTTTGATGAGCTCAATCCAGATTCAAATTAACCCAGGTTAATTTTTTTGGGTGTACACACTTCTAAGTTCTAATCCAGGTTTAACCTGGATTTAACTCAGCTCATCTCAAGAGAAAGGTTAAACTTAATCCAGGTTAAACCTAGGTTAGTACTGTTTACAGGGAAAGAACTAACTTCGGTTAATTTGAACCTGGGCTGAACCCAGGTTAGTTTATGTTGTGTGAATTGGGCTTTGTAGCTGCATGTTCCTGTGCAAAAATTGCTCAATTTTTATCGCATAGTCTGCTGAGGTTTTTTACCTGCAATTAGAAGATAATATTTCTTTTTTTCCAATGATTTTTGAATGTCGTTAATGTACTGTCGAACATCAACTTTGATATTAAGAAGGTCGTTTAATATTGGAAAATCTACATCCCCAAGACGGTGTAAACACTCGTCGATTTTTTTGTTGTAGTCTAACAAATCAGCTCTATTTTGGTTGTCTCTTGACTTTGCTTTCTCCACAACTTCAGCACCCTAATTAATGTAAATGCTTTCTTCATAAACTTAAGCCATCACACAATTCTAATATTCATTGTTTGTACCGAAATTCCATTTGCGTATATTCCACTTCTGGAAGTTTGATCACGAATTCTCTCTTTTAGTATTGACTTCAAACTGCTTAGAGACGCAGTCTCGTCGTCGTATTTAATGTTCAAAATGCGAACTATCTCTAGGATCTCGTGAAGTTGTAGACTGTCAATGCTCTTTCGTGGCATTTTGCAAATTTCTTTTATCTATAATAGTTTTGTTTTAAAAATTAATGGTCAAAATGTAGAATTGGTCATGGTACAATCTTTGCATGTTTTTGTCATTGAACTAAAATACATGGAACGCTATCTGTAATAGAAAATCGTGATAATTTGTTGAAGCCAAATCTTACACCCAGACACGCATGATTATACCCAGACACGCGCATGTAGTTCAATCAATATTCACTCCGCGAGAAAATCTCGAAACACTACACACGCGTGTCTGGGTGTAATTTCGCGTGTCTGGGTTTAAGATTTGGCTTCAATTATTTGCTTCATATAGTGTTCCACCATGTATTTTAGTTTAATGGTTTTTGTAAAAGTTTACTTTGTTTTGTGTAATACTTTTAATATAAAAAATTACATTACGTTTCGTGAACAATAGTAATATTTTAATGGATTTTTTCTTTGTGCTAGGTAATTTTCGTTTGATGATAGGTACAGATATGACTTGCTTTGAACATAGTTTAATGAGATTCCCAGTTTCAATCAAAGTGACTGCTACGAAAAATAACCCATATATACAGAGTTTAATGCATAGAGTTTAATGGATGAGCTATGTGATTGTATGTTTTTTAATTTGTATGCATGAACTAGGAAGTTAGGAATCAATGATATTTACTAGTTGGCTTTCATCTGTGTATCTATGTAAACATGTTGCATGTAAGCACGGAAACTTTCACAGGTTTCCATAATGAATTGAGAAAACTTGTAGCATTCTAAGTATTTGATCATTAATTAATTGATCAAAGTTCTGTCAATATAAGCAAACGTCATTTTCTCTTCAACAATGACTTCATTTTTTAAGCTTGTTGTTTACTGATACATGTTCTTGGCAGCAGCCTTTGGATGTCTCATTAAAAATAAGCGAAATAAATGTAAGCAACATTAAGTTATTTTATTGAGCTTGTCAAAACACCAGTCGTCTTTAAAGATGCTATCAAATCATAAATGTATGTGCTGCGTTAATTTAAAGAAAAAAACTTAACTGAAGCGATGATAAAATCATTATCTTAAATATATAAATTTTACAATGCAATGAAAATTTTGATGGTTACTTAAATTAAGGAAGAAGGATTTGGCAACTAAGATATTACAAGGAAATTTTTTTAATCTAATAAAAGAATGTTTGAAGCCAAATATAAGTTTGCTTATGTTTGCTTATACAATCAATGTTCAACATTTTTCAACTAACCTGCTTCGGAATAAGTTAACACACCAACAACAGCGAGGACCTATTTCAGCAACTAATATAAAAGCAGAGTCAGTTGCTCAACGTTATCATACTTTGATATGAAGGATATATGCACCGTTGAGTTCTTTGAAAACATTCTATGCAACGGATGAAATAAATAATGCACTTATGCGAAGAATTCTTCTACAGTTTTTCACTTAGAGTACGTCAACATTTAACAATAATCTTCAATATTATTTGTTATGCCTGACAAATGTTGATGCCTGAAAATTGAAGATTTAAGTGTGCGTATTGATTTTAAAGACAGCATGAATTGCATAAAAATTCTTAATTTTTCTTTGAGCAAAGTTCATGAGATTTTCTTAGTAGGTTGTGCATTTATTATATACATTCAACTTTATCGAATCATAGAATGATTGGATTCAATTTGTGAACGAATATTCTTTGTTCTTGCTTGTTTGTGAAGATTATTAAATAAAGTTTTGTCATAGAATGTGCGTGAGCTGATAAGATCGCGTTGGCGCATGAAAACTTATCGGAATGACAAACGTTTTGTAAACAAAACAAACTCGAGCTTCTTTTTGTTTTTTCATTCTATAGGCACTTGTCAAACAATCAAATATTTTCAACAAAAACATAGTTATTATATAAATGCGATGTTGCAATCGAAACTAATGTTTGAATCGAAAGATTTTCAAAAATGTTTAGAGGTTTATAGTTTTCATAACTGAAGAGAATAAGATTTTGCCAAAGAAACGAAAGCAACAAATAAAAATATTAAATGAAGAAATTTTTATATATTTCCTGCTTCTTTGTCATAACCAGTTGACTACTTACAAAGATTAGTGTTGTATAATCGCTGCGCCGCTATCAGTGTATCATCATCTGCACAGAAACACTATTACAGTGTCGCTTAGAACATTCTTGTTTCTATTTCCATTTTCTGTGCTACTTTCTTTGATTCGCTTACCTACATTTAGCTGTGTTTTGTCATTGATTGTTGTGCATTAGAAGAAAACAAAATTCTTAAAATAACTTGAAAAGTAAGTTCCACAAGAACCCAATTGTTGACGTAAGGTTAGGGATAGGATTGACAATTTCCAGTTAGAAAGCAAGATTGTATTTGCTATACCATATTAGAATTGAAAACATTTCTTAAGTACTCCATCTTGCTTTTGTGCCACAAATGGCTCTTGAATTCTCTTAAACTTCCTCTTCAACCAGTCATTAATTTTTAGAGGCATTCAATAAAAAAGAGACTGAAATTATCACTGATATGAAAGAAATTCATTCATTATGAAATCTACATAAAAGGAAAACTATAAATTTGCTGACATAAAAGTCTTCTCTTGGAGTCTCTCCAAACATTTTTGAATGCTTGGTCTTTGATGAGGATCATGGTGCCAACATGTCTCAATCATCTTCTTTATATGTGGATAGTTCATGACCTTATCGAGTGTTGGCCGATAACCGTTGATGATCTTTAATTTGAAATCATCTTTTATAATTGGTGCAAGCTCTTCGAAGACTTTAACACCATGCCACATTTCCCAAATTAAAATTGAAAAACTATAGATATCTGCTTCTTTCTTCATGTTATCAAAGCTCTTCAAAACTTCTGGAGCAAGGTAGATTATACTTCTCTCGGTTTCGTAAAATTGGCCTGAAATTCCAATGTCTGATATCCCTGGTTCACCGTTTTCGTTCATCTGTAGAATGTGGTGATAATTGAGATTAAATCATATCTTTGAAACAATAAAAATTCCGTGATTGCTAAATGAACAATATAGTAAATTAAAATAACAAGCCTTTGAGAGAGATGGAAGACGGTACAAACAAATAAAAGCTATGGTCGAGACAATGCAGTAGTGTTCTCATTAATATTATTTTGCTCTAAATGTTGTGTTTAGATCTTTATCCATCATCTCTACTCACTTTACTATATGTTCATCAAAATATTAATTTCTACCATGTTAATATACATGCTATCACAATTCCGAAAGTCGATTTATGAGGAAACTATATAAGCATATTTCTAAAAAAGTTGAAAAATAATGTTAACCAACTGCAATTTTTTCGAATATCAATTTGTTGTAACTGCTTATTAAAAGATTATCCAAAAAGTTGATTTTGAAAATTTCAAAACTAATGCCATTCAAAATACATTGAAATAAAATGATGATGGTTATGTGACCAACTATATTTGCATGTGAGATCCTTAAACAAACTTTGTAATTTAATCTTCGTTCCTCAAACTAAAAATTCTTTAATAAGAGTAATAGTCGAGTAATTAGTAATTGTTAGTGACAAAATGATTGACTAACATATTTAGAAACATATTTTATGATTTTTCGGCATTTAAATACAAACCAAAATATTTTCAAGTTTGAGATGACGGTGTTCAAGACCCATTTCATGTATATACTGCAATCCATTAGCAATCCCTTTAATCCAGCTCACAAATTTCTCGATTGCTGCATTGACATCATTTGAATTTGCTGGAATTACGTCATTGTCATCCATCACCACTTTCCTGAAATTTTTCTTGCACAACGGTAACACAAAAGCATGTATCAAATGTTTTGAACCATCGTCCTTTATAATTTCTTCCTTTATTGCCCCAATAAAAGGAAGAACATTTTCATGCTTTAAACACCTGTTAAAACAAATTTTACATGAATTATTTGAAATGAATTATTGAGGATTATTGTATATATCTGAGTTTTCATGAAAAATTCAAAATGTGCTAAATAACAATGGAAATCACAAAAACGTTATCAAAATTTCAAGATAACATAAATGATAAACAGAAATTTGTTTTTAGAGTAATAAAAATTGCATTTTTATATTCGAGGTTGAAATTCTTAGTCCCACTCGGCTTGACTATTACCTTAAAAGAGCTTCCTCGTCTATGTAAAATCTTGCATTCAGATCATCGAATAAATGTTTGAAAACTTTCACAGCAACTTTTGAAAGATGTGGCTCAGCTGTGCTCGTGTTAATCATGCCACGATAAACGTGAGAGAAATCTCCCTCACCGATTTCAGCTCTGTAGGTATTGTCCCATCTTACATCACGGCGATTTAATGTTGCTGGTAAAAGTTCCCCGCCTAAAGAGATCATCCTTTTTCTCAACTCTCCACCTTCTTTTTGAATTGGAATATATTTTTCTGCCAATTCCTGACTACTTCGTGTCTCATTGCGTAACTTGACCACCATTTTCTCGTCTGCTTCAATTACGCGTGGAATAAGGCTTGAGTAAGAATTCAGTTTTTTTCTGGTTTTCTGTGTGAGTTGTTTTGCTTCTTCCAAAACTTTTGGGCTAATTTTTCGTTCAGGAACTCCTTCAATCGACATTTTGCATACTTCAGTAAGTCTTTCATGTTGTTGCTGATAGAAAGTCTTTTGGTAACTACAATTGGAGCCAGAATTGACGCACTTATCAATGCTCCAGCTGCAGCAAATGGTAACCAGAAGGGAAACGAAAGCCCTAAAAGAACTTTAGCTGAAAAGGACAGATCACTTTGTTTATTGGTGACATCATTCTCCTCCACCTTGTCATCAATACAAGTGCTCATTTTATCAAGCTCCTCCTTTAAAAGACTCAATCTGAAAGATAAAATGCGATAATCTCACGTAAATTTATTTCATGGTTTTCATATAAATACATGGGTATGAAAAAAGGCCAAAATATATCGTCAATTGCTATAGCCTTCATTATACCCTACATACAGCTCTCATGTCAATGATTATCATATCTTAGTTCATATTTCTATTACATTTTTTACCACCAATTTATTCATTGATATACTTTTTTGACTGCTTGAAAACCAATTAAAGTCGATTTACAAACTTTTTGAGGTAATTGTTGACGATCATCCAATGAGTTTTTTCGTATACTTGTTCGTTGATTTCCCAGTCTCTTAATAAACGTGAAAATTTCTCAGAAATGGCGTTTTCAATGTTCCCTCTGGTTGTTTGCCAATTTACACCACGAAGCTCCTCTACTCCAATGGTATCCCAACTCAAGAAACTGTTTTTAAAGTCTTCCGTTTTAATGTATTCTTTCATTTTGTTAGATATATTCTTCGTTGCATCATCCAAATATTTTTCTAGCAATCTTCGTTCCTTCTCCTCTTGATTCTGAATATCTTTAATACGAGATTCAATAATGATATATTTTCGTAGAGAATCTTTAGCTTGATGTTTAAAGTAATCTGCCAGCCTAATGACTTGCCAGATGATCATATCTAAAGTCCTGTGTGATAGAAGTATGTAAATATATTTTTAGCAATTTTAAATAGTCGTACACTATTTTGAAATAGTCATCTACAAATTATGTTACAATGACGTCAGTTGCTAGAATCAAATGGGAAATTTTATATGTATAGCTATCTTGACATGTGCTGCCCTTGCATTATGAGAATTTGTCGCGAATTCTTCGCTAATTTACGTCTAGTATGACGATAATTTAAAGCAAGCAATACAAGCGAGTAGCTCGCAGGAGAATTCACGAAAAGGAAAAAATATGGCGTGAGTAAAATTAGATTTTGTACGACAGATTGCTGTGTTTTAACTCCGATTTCTATATTTTTGCTTTGTTTATTTATAAAAAATATGAAACGCTAAATAACTTACCAGTTGAGGAAAGGGAAAGTCATGCTGTGCTTATTAGTCAGCTGAAGTGAGTAAACTGTAATTAAATTTTACCGCTTACAAAACCTTCAAGAGAAAGTTTACAGCTGAATGAGTGTTACTGAAAACAAACAGTAACGTTTGCTACCAGCTCTATTTAATACAAACTATTACCTATTAAAATATTTTATCACAGCATCAGGATCAACGAATTCTAAGAAACACAAAAAACTAAAACAAAACGCTTTTTGCTCTTTTGATTGATTTGTTTGCTAGAAAGATTTTTTTACCGGATCCAGAGGTTTTCCCTCCACGCCCACTAAGAAAAGAAACACTTTTTCTACAAATGACCAAAAATTTTTATATTTTGAATGAATTATTTGACCACTGCAGTCTGCACATAGTTTTTTTACGTGGATTGTCATCTGAAATCTCTGTTCACGTAATTAGATTTCCTTGAAAACGGTACCATATAAAGTCTGTAAACGTTTTGATTTATATGCAGTATCGATCTATTTGACTCATATTACGAAATTATTGCGTTTTAAGGGAATTATATGATAATTTTTAAGCAATAGGCTTATTAAACATATCATTGGTTCACAAAGTTGATATCATATGTAGTTTAGCAAAATTTACGAAGTAGCTATGCCTAATCCATATATTTATTTTCTGAAATTTAGAAACAGTATGGCCAGCTCAAAGTCTATCTAATGCGTTTCTATGGCATTTATTAACACATTATCAGCCATAAAAAATTCTAAATATTTTTAACACGACAATTAAAATCTAATATTAATAAAGTATTAAAACGCTTATTTATTTCATGCGCATATGGCTAACACATCATATAGTTTGTAAATGAAAACGTCCTAGGACCTCGTGATGTTCTTCCAACTTTTTAATTTTCTAACATTTGAAAACATGTTTTACTTGTTGGTCTTTGATCATGTTCATGCAACCAGCAAAACTTCATCAAATGTTGCATCGTGGGAAGGGTAATTATATTTTCGTCATTTTTTGGTCTGTGACCGTTGATGACCTTAAATTTGAATTCCTCTTTCACAATTGGCATGAGTTCCTCGAAAGCCACGACACCATACCACATCTCCCAAAGCATGATACCAAAACTGTAAATATCTGCAGCTTTCGTCATATGATGCAAGTTTTCCAGTACTTCTGGTGCATGGTAAATGATACTTTTTTGAGTTTCCTTAAATTCACCAACAATTCCCACATCAGATATCGCTGCTACATCGTTGTCTTTTATCTAGAAAATGTCAATGTGTTAAAATCCATCTTTATAATGTATTACATGAACCGTGTAAGCTGCCTGCTCTTTTTGAATGTTGTAAAACGTAGTAATCTAGGCGATTGTGTAATTTACCAAAAGTGTTAAGTTTTTTTTTACCTATATTTTGAAACAAAAATTGCTATAATCCACAGCTACATTTTGATAATTCAAAACACAGTTTCCTTATTTTTTTAAGTATTTTTATTACAACACTAACTGTGACAGCAACACTTCTTACATTTGCCATTTGTGGAAAAATCACAGAGAGAATATGTCTTGAATAAAGGTCCAGCAACTCTGAATTTATTTATTCAATTGTAATTATATTCAATCATTATACTTTATTCCTTCACTGTATCAAATGATAAAATTTCTGAAAGTTTTCGTAGATCTGTGATTTGTTGTTTAACTTTATTAGTTATCTTAGCATTGATTGTGGGAATACTGTTATTGTTAAAATTTTTAATGTTGTTATTCGTTCGCTTTAAACAAAAGTGTATTTCTCTCACAATTACGCTTTGTTTATTTAGCGGGTTTCAATGTGTTATCATAGGGTCGTTAAAATTAGATTATAATTCTACTAAAATTTATGTATTCATTTATAACAAAACCATTCAAGACCTCAAGGAAAGCAATTTAAAAAAGCCAAATGATTAATTGAATCATTCGTGAACGCTGCAATATATGCTACAGTCTCAATTATTTAGTTCTTTAAAAAAAAATTTTCGCAATAGAACTCCAAGATTTTTCCCAACTATTATTGCCCAACATGTGTAATCATTGACTTAAATGTTTCAAAAATAATATTATGTAATATTTTTGGTCACCAATATTGAGCCATGGGTCATCATTATCATATTTTCTTTTTGCTTTTTTGCAAATGACATGTTGGTTATTGTGATTGAATATACTCATTAACCAAACTCTTCTGGGTTTTCATTCTTTAGATGAGAAGAATTAAGGTACAAAAGTGAAAGTGTTAAAAGTGGGCTACTCAAAGTGTTGAAATGCATTTCTTGATATGTAAAATGAAAAGTATACGAACCAGAACATTTTCCAATTTAAGATGTCGATGTACGAGACCCCTTTCATGGACGTAGTTTAGCCCGTTTGCAATTTCTTTTGCCCATTTCTTATAATTCTTTGTTGCCAATTTTGTGTCGTGGGATTGAGCTGGGACATTTTTTGGATCGTCAAAAATGACTCTCCTAAGGCTTTTCTTGCAAAGTGGCATTATGAAAATATACTTCAGTGGGTCATCTTGCTTTATCACTCCAATAAGTTGAAGAACGTTGTCATGTTTCAAATGTCTAAGCATACGTAATTTTGATAGATTAGTAACGAGAATATTATAGTTTCGTGTGCAATTACGAACAAACTATATCTACCAATGCCATGATTTGTAAACTGAAAACAGTTGATAATTTAATTTTTGCAATGCAATTGTACATGTTTGCATTAAAATTACAATGTTTGCTAGAATTAAAATAGAAAATGATTCACTCTAAAGTGGTCTGGGAAATGTAAATTGAAACATTTACACGCAGATGCTCTTGGACAGTTAGTTTGTTAGGTATGAAAAATTATTGATTTTAGTAGGTTAACCTACTTGTTGGGGTAAATTTGACAATGAATTCCAAAATGTATCTGAAAAACCTTAAGATGAGGGGGCGCAAATAAAAATCTCCAAGAAAGTTAACCAAATCAATGAAAGTTTAATAAAATTTAAAAGACAAGCTTAAAATATAATTACCTTACATCAAGTTGCTCATTCAAATAAAATCTTCCATTCATTTGGTCAAATGGATTTTTGAAAACTTTCAAGGCAATGTTTTCTAGTAATGGTATAGACGATTCAGACCGCTTCACAATCTTTCTTTTACCGCGATAAATTTGAGCAAACTCTCCTTCTCCAATATGAGACCGAAGTTTAGGTTCCCATGTTAAATCACGTTTGTCTATTGTCGATGGAAACAACTTCAGTCCCAACGGTGTTATCTTATCTCTCAGTTCTTCGCTCATTTCCTGAATAGGAGCATAATGATGTTCCATCTCCAGATTACTACGTGAATCATCACTCAACTTCTTCACCATTTTCTTATCACCTTCTACTACTTGTGGAATGAGACTTGAATAAATCGATACAATCTCTTCAGTTTTATTTATTAGTGCTTGCGCCTCTTCAAGAATTGGTTGGGCTTTTTTTTCCTCCAAAAATTTTTTCGAGCGATGTCGCAAATATTGATAAGGGTTTTCTTCAAATTTACGCAATGCTTTATGGGAATTAACTTCCTTTGCAAATACAACTGTACCCAGTACTGGTGCACCAATAAGAACACCCGCAGCAGCAACGGGTAACCATATGGGCAGCATGGCTCCAACAAGAACTTTTGTCGGGAGGGATTGCTGGCTTCGGCGTGTCAAATTTTCAAATTGCCACTTCAGGCTGTTGCCATCGTTTCCCAATCTGTCAAGTTCGTCTTTTAAGATGTGTAATCTAAAGAGAAGATTCAATTTTTGTTGAGATTAAAGCTTGGGTGAATGAAGTCGTCGCAAACACACAGGGGAAAGCCAATCCCAGTCGTATACGATTTAAGTCTAACTTTGTTAGGTTATACTTGTTAGGTTATCAATTAAAAAAGAAAAGTACGATTTTATTATTCATGATTACTATACTTTTGATCATCACGATCAAAACAACCTTTTCAAGTAATGATCAATTGTTTCCCAGTGGATGTTTTCATGAATTTTTTCTTTCATTTCCCATTCTTTTATAAGTTGCAAAAACTTTTCAGCAATTGATTTATCGATATTTCCTTTTGTCAATTTCCATTTGTGCTCGAGCATATGATCCACATCATCGGTGTTCCAGGAATAGAATTTTTCTTCAAATTCACTCGTTTTTATGTATTCTTTTATCTTATCAGAAAAAGGTTTTGTTTTAGATTGTAACTCCGTTTTTATTTTTTCGCTTTCATCCTCATTTTGACTTTGGATATTTTTAATTCGACATTTGAGTGAGTCTATTCTTTTGCGATTATTTCCTTGTGCAAAATTAGCCTGGACTTTAAAGAAATTTGCCAACTTGAAAATTTGAGACAGAATCGTATCTAATTTCCTGAAACAACATAATCAGATACTGAAAATCAAGTTCAAAGAAAAATAGCTATAAATAAAAAAACTATGAACTGCATGATTGGCAAAAATGTTAATATTACTTTTCAGCCATCATGAATATAGCTGAGCACAAATCATTTTTTCTCGCCACAACTAAATCATTCTTTTATCTTAGATTTTTAATGTTTTGGAGGAGAACATGGACGTTTCCACTTATGGAAATCACCTACTGCAGATAAAGATCTATTTGATTTAAGCTGTTCCATGCTGCCTGTAGATAAAAAGCTTGCGATATACTGAATCTTGTGACCAACTTACTGCCAATTGTCGTACAGTCGAATGTCAATTCCACGTAATATTAGTTGCCTAATGCTGTCTAGTAATCTTTGAAACTCTGGAGAAATGCCGCCACATTCTTGCACTTTAATGGCATTTTTTGCAGATATTGTTAGAATGTGCTTCTTTGCATTTGCAACTTCCCAGCATTCAGCCAGCTGTTTTTCAAGATGTTTTCTTACGGAATCTTGCTCTTTCTTTTCTACTTGATCCCATTTATTTGCTACAAAAAGTGTGCACTCTGCGAGAAGGTTAATACAATGACGGCCAGCATTAGAAGTTTCAAGTTTCTCGGCCATTTTTTTCATCTGAAGAGATAAACATCTTATTATTACGGCGTGTTTGAATTGGTTAAATTAAAGTCTGTGTTTTTTCAATTTACATGTTTCAGAAATGTTTTTAATCTTCATGCTTTAAAACTTGAAAAAAGACAATAACTGTTGGCGCATCTTTAAGTTCAAAATATCAAAGCCGAAAGTATCAAGTATAAATAAAATCATTATTGAAAACATTTATAACAAATAGTAATTTGCTTAGTTGTAGTTCATAAAATGCATTAGACATTAGCAATTTGGCTACCTCAATTTATATTTATTTGTGAATGAATCTTAAGTCAATCTTGGAAAGTAGAGATTTTATTGTAAAAAAGTACCTTCATTGTAGATTCTCTTTGCACACCACCAGCTCGTGCAACATCAAGAATATAAATATATGCAAAAGCATTAGGAAGATAGTTCATTAAAATTTCGTCCATTTTTTCTGATTCACCAAGACCTGGACTGTCCACAATAACAATTCCTTGCTGCAAAATACAAATGAAAGCTTAACGAAATTGAAGATAGTTCTAACGTTACGCACTGGCCTATCAAAGAGTAAAAATGTGTAGTTGTAAACCTTCAGTAAATCATGTGGCCAAAATATTTCTACTCTTTCAGTTTCTCCTGTTTCCCTCGTGTCCTCGGGGTTAACATATAAACCAATTAGCTCCGCATAACTCAGCTCAGATTCTTCATTTCTTTCCAGATTAACGACTTGGGGAGCATGTCGTCTGTCTTGTACGTTTTCATATTTATAGTGTACAATCATTTCCTTGTCTTTGCCAAATTTAACCTCGCATATTGTTGAAGTCGTATGAAGAGTATGATGCGGCACTACCTCTTCACCAAGAATCAAATTTAGTATAGTGCTTTTTCCAGCACTTGTTTCACCTTCATGAAAGAATCAAAACACATGATGTCGCACGTGTAGTTTTACTAAAACTTCAGGTGGGATTTCTTTAAAAATAAAGTAAAGGAAATATTTTTACAAATATTAGCAAATAAAATTTCACCATAGTACATATGTCATTCGATATATGAATGAAACGTTCAGAATGCGCTGAGTTTGATGAGCTCAACCCAGATTCAAATTAACCAGGTTAATTTTTTTGGGTGTAAACACTTCTAATCCAGGTTTAACTCATCTCAAGAGAAAGGTTAAACTAAACCCAGGTTAAACTTAGGTTAGTACTTTTTACAGGGGAAAGAACTAACTTCGGTTAATTTGAACCTAGGCTGAACCCATGTTAGTTTATGTCGTGTGAATTGGGCTTTGTAGCTGCATGTACCTGTGCAAAAATTACTCGATTTTCATCGCAAAGTTTGCTGAGGTTTCTTACCTGCAATTAGAAGATAATATTTCTTTTTTTCTAATGATTTTTGAATGTCGTTAATATACTGTCGAACATCAACTTTGATATTAAGAAGGTCTTTTAATATTGGAAAATCTACATCCCCAAGACGGTTTAAACACTCGTCGATTTTTTCGTTGTAGTCTAACAAAGCATCTCTATTTAGGTTGTCTCTTGACTTTGCTTTCTCCACAACTTCAGCACCCTAATTAATGTAAATGATTTCTTCATAAACTTAAGCCATCACACAAACCTAATATTCATTAATTATACCGAAATTCCATTTGCGTATATTCCACTTCTGGAAGTTTGATCACGAATTCTCTCTTTTAGTATTGACTTCAAACTGCTTAGAGACGCTGTCTCTTCGACGTAGTCAATTTTCAAAATGTCAACTATCTCTAGGAGCTCTTTAAGGTGTAGACTGTCAACGCTCTTTCGTGGCATTTTGCAAATTTCTTTTATCTATAATTGTTTTGTTTTAAAAATTAATGGTCAAAATGTAGAATTGGTCATGGTAAAATCTTTGCATGTTTTTGTCATTGAACTAAAATACATGGAACGCTACCTGTAATAGAAAAAGCGTGATAATTTTTTGATGCCAAACCTTACACCCAGACACGCAAGATTATACCCAGACACGCGTATGTAGTTCAATCAATATTCAATCCGCGAGAAAATCTCGAAACACTACACACGCGTGTCTGGGTGTAATTTCGCGTGTCTGGGTTTATGATTTGGCTTCAATTGTATGCTTCATGTAGCGTTCCACCTTGTATTTTAGTTTAATGGTTTTTGTAAAAGTTTACTTTGTTTTGTGTAATATTTTTAATATAAAAAATTATATCAACATGTCGTGAGCAATAGTAATATTTTAATGTGCTAGGTAATTTTCGTTTGATGAAAGGTACAGATATGACTTGCTTTGAACATTGTTTCATGAGATTCCCAGTTTCAATCAAAGTGACTGCTACAAAAAATAACCCATATATATAGGGTTTAATGCACAGAGTTTAATGGATGAGCTATGTGATTGTATGTTTTTTAATTTGCATGCAGCCAATCTCAGCATGCATGCATGAACTAGGAAGTTAGGAATCAATGATATTTACTAGTTGTCTTTCATCTGTGTATCTATGTAAACATGTTGCATGTAAGCACGGAAACTTTCACAGGTTTCCATAATGAATTGAGGAAACTTGTAGCATTCTAAATATGAAATCATTAATTAATTGATCAAAGTCATGTCAATATAAGCAAACGTCATTTTCTCTTCAACAATGACTTCATTTTTTAAGCTTGTTGTTTACTGATACATGTTCTTGGCAGCAGCCTTTGGATGTCTCATTAAAAATAAGCGAAATAAATGTAAGCAATATTAAGTTATTTTATTGAGCTTGTCAAAACACCAGTCGTCTTTAAAGATGCTGTCAAATCATAAATCTATATGTGCTGCGTTAATTTAAAGAAAAAAATTTAACTGAAGCGATGATAAAATCATTATCTTAAATATATTATAATTTTACAATGCAATGGAAATTTTGATGGTTACTTAAATTAAGGAAGAAGGATTTGGCAACTAAGATATTACAAGGAAATTGTTTTAATCTAATAAAAGAATGTTTGAAGGCCAAATATAAGTTTGCTTATGTTTGCTTATACAATCAATGTTCGACATTTTTCAACTAACCTGCTTCGGCAAATGTTAACACACCAACAACAGCGAGGACCTATTTCACCAACTAATATAAAAGCAGAGTCAGTTGCTCAACGTTATCATACTTTGATATGAAGGATATATGCACCGTTGAGTTCTTTGAAAACATTCTATGCAGCGGAATAAATAAATAATGCACTTATGCGAAGAATTCTTCTACAGTAATTCACTTAAAGTACGTCAACATTTAACAATAATCTTCAATATTAGTTGTTATGCCTGACAAATGTTGATGCCTAAAAATTGAAGATTTAAGTGTGCGTATTGATTTTAAAGACAGCATGAAATTGCATAAAATTTCTTTTCTGCAATTCTTAATTTTTCTTTGAGCAAAATTCATGAGATTTTCTTAGTAGGTTGTGCATTTATTATATACATTCAACTTTATCTAATCATAGAATGATTGGATTCAATTTGTGAACGAATATTCTTTGTTCTTGCTTGTTTGTGGAGATTATTAAATAAAGTTTTGTCATAGAATGTGCGTGAGTTGATAAGATCGCGTTGGCGCATGAAAACTTATTGGAATGACAAACGTTTTGTAAACAAAACAAACTCGAGCTTCTTTTTGTTTTTTCATTCTATAGGCACTTGTCAAACAATCAAATATTTTCAACAAAAACATAGTTATTATATAAATGCGATGTTGCAATCGACACTAGTGTTTGAATCGAAAGATTTTTAAAAATGTTTAGATGTTTACAGTTTTCAAAACTGAAGAGAATAAGATTTTGCCAAAGAAACGAAATCAAAAAATAAAAATATTTCATGAAGATATTTGTATATATTTCCTGCTTCTTTGTCATAACCAGTTGACTACTTACAAAGATTAGTGTTGTATAATCGCTGCGACGCTATCAGTGTATCATCATTTGCACAGAAACACTATTACAGTGCCGCTTAGAAGATTCTTGTTTCTATTTCCATTTTCTGTGCTACTTTCTTTGATTCACTTACCTACATTTAGCTGTGTTTTGTCATTAATTCTTGTGCATTAGAAGCAAGTTCTTAAAATATCTTGAAAAGTAAGTTCCACAAGAATCCAATTGTTGACGTAAGGTTAGGGATAAGATTGACAATTTCCAGTTAGAAAGCAAGATTATATTTGCTATACCATATTAGAATTGAAAACATTTCTCCATTTCGCTTTTGTGCACCAAATGGCTCTGACCAACTGAGCTATGAAGTCACACATAGCTCAGTTGGTCAGAGCACTGCACCGGCACCACAGAGGTCATGGGTTCGAATCCCGTTGAGTCACCTAAATTTTTCAGGTTCATGAGACAATTGCTTAAATTGTCCAGCAAAGTGCGAAGATCATATCTTCATTTAATTACTAATTTCTCGACTATTACTCTTATTAAAGAATTTTTAGTTTGAGGAACGAAGATTAAATTACAAAGTTTGTTTAAGGATCTCACATGCGAGTTTCCTGTCAGGGAATATTGAAAAGAAATTCACCTTGAGAAAGTCATGAGGCCAAAAAATCTCCACTTTTTCGTACTTTCCCATTTTCCTTTCATTTTCTTGCAGACAAACATATGACTCCATTTGTTTAGCGTAACTTTTACCGAAACTCTCGTGTTGTAACTGGATTGTTGTAGGCGTTTGTCGACTATCAACGCAACTCTTGAGCTTTTCGTGTAAACAACCGTTCTTACTTAACCTCACAGATTTAACCTCACAGATAGTTGAAGTCGAACAAAGAGTGTGATGTAGAACTGCGTCTTCACCGAGAATTAAATTTCGCATGGTACTCTTTCCTGAACTAGTTTCACCTTAATGAAAATTAATAGCGATGCATGCAGCTACAATATTTAGACAATTCAATTTTAGATAGCGTTAAACTTCAGTAAAGTCTTATGAAAGATTATAATAATAAACTCTATATTCGAGTCTATTTACATACGTATGGATATATTTTAATGGAGCTTCACTCTTTGAAATATCTTTCAACTTTGCTTCTCTTACTGCAAAAACTGCCTAAAAATATAGAAGTATTCTGTTTTCTTGTTTTTTTCTTTCAAAATTTTCAACTATGAGAGTAGACTGTAGAGTTTTTGGCTAAACAGATTCCAAACTCCCATCCATTGTTTATATTTATATTTTCTCTTTTCTACATACATGTTCTACTTGAGGGTTTAGAGAATGAAATGCACCCTTTATTGTCACTCAAAATTTTTTTCATGTAAACCAATTAAATAAGTTTAGTAAATGCATGTAACTTAACCAATATATGTGCATGAAAAACCTCGTTTTAAATGCAGCCACTACTCTCATTGTAAACATCAAATGGAAACTTATCGTCAAAGCACGCTCATATATAACCGATGGTACGTTTTGTCATGCATCCTTACCGGATGTACTCCATTGTCAAAGCCCTGCTCTTCTATTTTCTTTTTAAGAATTCCCTTGAATACTGGTAGGGTGTTATTTTCATCGTATTCAATTTTCAGAATATTGAATATTTTAATGATTTCATTGAGGTTTAAATTGTCTATATTTCTTTTTGCCATCTTCTGACAGTCTAAATTGTCATAAGGATGAAATTATTGGTATGGAACAAAAAACAACAATTAAATTATCGTTAACTCTATTTAAACCAAGCGAAAGGTTGGTAAAAAAAACTATATATGGCATTATTCGACATGAAACGAATCTTTCTTTTGCTGTTTTGCAAAAGTTGGCCTTCACTTCCTTGTTTTGGTCTGTAAAAAGTAAATCCTCTGAAATTGTGTTGTTTGAAACTCATGATACAACTCGCTTGAGTGTTCGTCCTTTTTACTTTCCTTCTAATGCTTGGACCGCTGGGTATTTAGTTATTTGTCCTTTCTTAAAAGCTACAGTGAGAATTGTCTTCGTTTACACCTTAAGTATGAGGACGTAATTTTAGCTTATTATTCTTCTTTGAGAAATTGAATAATTTGATTCTGTCTTTATGTAAAATAATATTGTTTTCGAAGCTGAACTGTAAAGTTCATTAACAACGATTTCTTTTTATCAATGCTGACATATTCTTTCACAATAATTTCTATTTAAACAGACATTCACATATTCCACACTTGGCGAATCGTACAACTAAATGCAGGTATAAGACTGTATTTACCAAAATGCATTACAAATTACCTGACACATATTATTATAGTTTATTTATAGCTGTCTTCTGTCCAATTTAGCCATTATATATATAATAGTGTTGTGATGGTAGGCATGTCGTTTTTGAAGTAAATTACTTGTTGGTAAAAACGTATAATTTCATAAAGCCTAAAATCTTGTTGTTATTTGCAGTTGATATCAGCTTCTTCGGAGTCGGAGTTATATATTTAGATAATTATGATTCGCTCACTTGGTTTTCAATGGAGAAGTGTCAAAATTCCACTCATACCAAAACTTGTTGCTGGTGGGGGAGTGAGGATCTCCTGGTGTGCATTGTGTGTTTCATAAAAATTCATATAAAGGTTGCTATCAACACGAAAACGTTTAATTTGATAAGAATCTTCAATATGAAAAATTGTTGAAATGAAAAACTAGCCTTACATCAAAATCCATTTAGAATGCTAATTGATTTAGTATATGATTTTTATTCTAGTAACTGCTGTTGAAGGCTTCAAATAGGGCCTCTTCAAGATAAGAACAAGACAAAGACAACAATTTAGCTATCATTATGATAAACATGACCTTTAACAATCATAGCTTACGCTTCACTTACTTAATTCTTTATCTGACAAGCTCTAGCTTTACCATAATTTATCAGTAAAAAGTGTTTTGACAATCAACAGGTTTTTTTGCTTATACTTTGCTTATAATGCCGCACTAATGAAATACCATAAACGTTTTTGTCTGCAGCTTTAACAATTGATTGTGTTGCATATATTATAGCTATATATTCGTGATGCGTTGAATAAATAAATAACTTCGCCATCACTCAAATGCATTGCCTTGTGTGGGTTGGTAAGTTCGTGATTCGTTTACCTCATGACAAGTAAGTTATAAAGCTGAGCAGTTTACATTAATGGTTTACTAATATACCTTTTGATTCATAAATGTTTTAAATCATTAAAACATATTTAAAATTTTTTAATGTCTTTTTTTTTCATGAAGAAGACATGGCAATTCAATGTTTGTTTTTTGTATCAGATGCAATGTGCAAAGGTTTAAGTCGAATTATCTACTCATAAATAGCAAAGCACCATCTTTCCATATAATATATCCTGCTCATAGGGATTGCGAGCATAATTCGAATTAGATGATGCACCGGTAAAGTTCCGCTTATAAACAAACGAATGGACAAAATTATACGCGTAACTTAGACTGTTTATGAAATATCTTTTGAAATATCTTGTCCATCGATTAAGTCACAGAAACCGGTAATTGAATCACTGTTAAAACCTGGCTTGTAACGCTAAAAAAACAACTCCTATTTTCATTTATTCAACGTCATTTATTATATTGAACGTCATATTTTTATTTGTTTAACAATTCTAACAACTTAATTTACAAATATAGAAATTGTTGATCGCAAGCCAACACATACTGACCGACTACTAGACCAATCATCTTACAACCCTACATCACACAAAGCCACCACAATCAGAACATTAACAAGACGTGCACAAATCATATGTGATTCACCGGACGCTCTACAAAACGAAAACAACTATCTCAAACGTGTTTTTGACAAAAACAACTATAACTCTGACTTTATCAAACGCAACACTTACAAACCCAACGAACCCAACGAAACGAACAACTCAGTGACAACAGCAACGATACCTTACATCAAAGGTACGTCTGAGACTATCTCGCGTATCTTACGACCATACAACATACGTGTCTCACATAAACCAATCACAACATTACGACAAGTACTAACGAACATAAAGGACAAAGAACAACCCAACGAACGACAAGGTGCAGTTTACAAAATAAACTGCTCCGACTGCCACGCCTCCTATATCGGGGAAACTGGCAGGAACTTAAACATAAGACTTACTGAGCACAAACGAGCTACTAAGAAACAAGACAAAACTAATCACATTGCCGAACATCACCGAATCACAAAGCACAACATTGACTGGGACTCGGCAAAATGCATCACTTACAGTACTGACTATAGACAACGGCTTACATTAGAAAGTTGGTATACCAACTTGGAACAAACCCTGAACAGATCACAGCAATTACCGGCACCTTACAAACGACTTATTCACAATACAAACAAACGATCAACTAAAAACATTACACTTCAAACTAATTCACAATGACAATACACAATTGACACCACACATTACAACTAAAAACGTCACACCTAAATCACACATCACAACTAAAAATAAAATATTTCACTTCACACTAATCCACAATGACAATACACATTTCCTGTACACACAATACAATGACGTAAGAACCAGACAATAAATACGGCTAACCTGATGTTTACTCCTCATTTGACTCTGAAGATGACTACCGCTAAGGTTGTCGAAACGTCAGTCAACAACATCAAAAACAGTTCTTCTCAGGACTTTATTAACCTGGACGATCATCATTTACAAACATATAACGATACTCCCGGGTTCAAACCATTTACTTTATACCTTTTGATTCATAAATGTTTCAAATCATTAAAACATATTTAAAATTTTTTAATGTCGTTTGTTTTCATGAAGAAGACATGGCAATTCAATGTTTGTTTTTTGTATCAGATGCAATGTGCAAAGGTTTAAGTTGAATATAGAGTCGACGCGCTTAGGCAACAAATGGCGAAGTTGAAAGTGGCCAAAAATGGCTTACATGAAGTTTTCGGTTTTTTACAAGGATGCGTGCATATTGCCATAGTGACCTCTTCCAACAACCATGTAAAGATAAAGGTAGTCTAATAAACTTTGTAAACATAATTAAGGCCATAAAAAATGCGAACATCGTTTTTTGTAAAAATAACTAGCAAAAATAGATAAGGAGATCCCATGTAATGTGCATCTACTGACTGGTTTTCGTAGATCTCTGAGGGTTTTCCTCCGGCAAAACGCTGGTTTCCCTCATCTTTAGACAATTGCTCTAAAGAATAACAAAAAAACGGTGGCTATGCCTTCTGCAGTAGGGTTAGATTCGCAAACTATACGAAGAAACAAGAGTTTAAAATTTCGTATTTCTGGAATCAGATACCTATAATTACTATGACAACAAATAAAAACAAATACAGTTTTTTTAAGGTAAGCTGCCAAGTTTCATCATTGATTTAATTGAACATCAATTTCAACTTATACATTCCGACAGATTTAGAAACACTTCATTCTTATTTCAGAGATGATTTTTTATTCCTAAGGATTTTCAAAAGTTGTATCCTATACGAAGAAGTTCTTACTAAGCTGTAAATTGGGGTGTGTAGCCCTTGCATTATGAGAATTTGTCGCAAATTCTTCGCTATTTTACGTCTAGTTATTCTAGTATGATGATAATTTAAAGCAAGCAACACAAGCGAGTGGCTCGCAGGAGAATTCACGAAAAGGAAAAAATATGGCGTGAGTAAAATTAGATTTTGTACGACAGATTGCTGTTCTTTAACTCCGATTTCTATATTTTTGCTTTGTTTATTTATAGAAAATGTGAAACCCTAAACAACTTACCAGTTGAGAAAGGGAAAGTCATGCTGTGCTTATAAGTCAGCTGAAGTGAGTAATTATATTTTACCGCTTACATAACCTTCAAGAGAATGTTTACAGCTCTATGAATGTTACTGAAAACAAACAGTAACGTTTGTTACCAGCTTAACTTAATACAAACTATTACCTATTAAAATATTTTATCACAGCATCAGGATCAACGAATTCTAAGAAACACATAAAATTTAAACAAAACACTTTTTGCTCTTTTCATTGATTTGTTTGCCAGAAAGATTTTTTTACCGGATCCAGAGGTTTTCCCTCCACGCCCACTAAGAAAAGAAACACTGTTTCTACAAATGACCAAAAATTTTATATTTTGAATGAATTATTTGACCACTGCAGTCTGCACATACTTTTTTTACGTGGATTGTTGTCTGAAATCTCTGTTCACGTAATTAGATTTCCTTGAAAACGGTACCATATAAAGTCTGTAAACGTTTTGATTTATATGCAGTATCGATCTATTTGACTCATATTACGAAATTATTGCGTTTTAAGGGAATTATATGATAATTTTTAAGCAATACATATTATTGGTTCACAAAGTTGATATTATATGTAGTTTAGCAAAATTTACGAAGTAGCTGTGTGCCCGATCCATATATTTATTTTCTGAAATTTAGAAACAGTATGGCCAGCTCAAACTCTATCTAATGTGTTTCTATGGCATTTATTAACACATTATCAGCCATAAAAACTTCTACATATTTTTAACACGATAATTAAAATCTAATATTAATAAAGTATTAAAACGCATATTTCTTTCATGGGAAAATGGCTAACACGTCATATAGTTTGTAAATGAAAAGTTCTTGGGACCTCGTGATGTTCTTCCAATTTTTTAATTTTCTAACATTTGAAAACACATTTTACTTGTTGGTCTTTGATCATGCTCATGCAACCAACAATACATCATCAAATGTTGTATCATGGGAATGATAATTTTATTTTCGTCATTTTTTGGTCTGTGACCTTTGATGACCTTTGATTTGAATTCCTCTTTCACAATTGGCATGAGTTCCTCGAAAGCCACGACACCATACCACATCTCCCAAAGCATGATACCAAAACTGTAAATATCTGCAGCTTTTGTCATATGATGCAAGTTTTCCAGTACTTCTGGTGCATGGTAAATGATACTTTTTTCAGTTTCCTTGAATTCACCAACAATTCCAACATCAGATATCGCTGCTACGTCGTTGTCTTTTATCTAGAAAATGTCAATGTGTTAAAATCCATCTTTATAATGTAGTACATGAACCATGTAAGCTGCCTGCTCTTTTTGAATGTTGTAAAACGTAGTAATCTAGGCGATTATGTAATTTACAAAGAGTGTTAAGTTCTTTTTTTACCTAAATTTTGAAACAAAAAATTACTATAATCCACAGCTACATTTTGATAATTCAAAACACAGTTTCTTAGTTTTTTAAGTAATTTTATTGCAACACTAACTGTGACAGCAACAATTCTTAAACTTGCCATTTGTGGAAAAATCACAGAGAGAATATATGTCAATTATTTAGTTCTTTAA